TGGCAATAAAACAGCTCCAGACTGAACCTTATGATAATGAAGCAATCCTCTCATTTATCGACCATGATAGATGAAATCTCGTACATGAACGAAATCCCGTGTGACAGACACGTGACCCCTCGCGGCCATAGACGATCTGGACTGTCACGCTTCAGTGCTATGAGTCGGACATCTTTCTTTGTAGGATGATAATTCTTTTTGACAATACAGGCTTTGCTAGAGTGCTTAATTAGCCAGATGTATTTTCATCTGGGGTCGAATTTCTGTATGGTGGGATATGAAAAGGAGGAGAGTGTCAAATATGATGAATAATTTCTATCACGATTTAGACAGTGCTCGCAGAGGTTTAATCGGTTTACCATTTTGTTTCAGTGTTGCTTCTTTGTTGTACAAGTTGGTTCAAATCCAATTGTCGCGACAACAGCGCGACAAAGAACTGGCTAGCTATTCTCGAAACGTTCGTAGCCCTACGAACTTCTTAAGCCCATTCTTAACACATTGGCTACGATCAAAGTTAAGAATTCTTAGGGCTACGAACGTTTCGAGAATAAGGGCCCTGGGCATTTGTATAGTATTCTGAATTGGTAATAACGTCAAAACAATTTGTGTTGTTGCTTGTTGCATATGTGAATAATTTTCAATGAAGAAACTGATGTTTTATAACGGAGGGTTTTGTTTAGCTCTGTTCAAAGTCTGTTTTGAAAGATATGTCAATAGATTATGTGCTTATAAAAGGCAAGTCGAAGAACGTTTGTCTTTTTTAACAATATTTATATGTTTTAGAAATTATTATTTAAACCAATAATCATTTGTGAAAGTCTAGGTTATTTTTTGAAAATACGGTAATTTATCACCACGACTTGGTAGTGACTCACAAAGTGATCCCCTCCTTTGATAATGGTCGGAAACATACAAGGGATTCTGCCAGTGGCGTGGGTTTCCTACGATTATAGAAAGGGTTTATCATGTTATCTGGAAAACCTTTCGTTTTTAGACGTTAGAGTGAGATGATTTTTTTTTTTTGATAGTTTTAACTTTACATGTTCGGGATGGACAGTCAGTAATACATTTGATCTTAGTCTGTCTCACAGTCCCTAGACCGCATTATTTTCCCTCCAGCCCAGCCCTTTCTGCAAGGGCGGGGGACACCAGAAATGGGCTTCACATACATTTAGAGAGCCTTCGTTTATTGGAATATCAGTGACGGTTTAAAGATTTCGGGATACAAGGCCCTAGGAAGAAGTTTACAGCGTAAAACCACGAACCTTTCGATCAACATTTGAAAGAAAAATTACGCGAGAGTACGAGCGACGATCTTTCTCTGGTGTAATCACACGCACGTGCGACGCAGACGACAGGTGACACGGTCTGATTGGAAATGATAAATAGCCGAATATTCACTTCCTTGGACGAGATATTAACTAAGTAAGTTTATACGGGACACGTGGATTGATCGGTCCCCGACTGAGACTGGTATTTTGTGTAGGATCACCTGTAATGTGAGTCTAATTATTAATTTCTTGTGAAGTCCCTGAACTGTTACACAAACGTTTGCTTTCGGAAAATAACTAACGCCCTTTGTACGACTTTAACTAATATGTTTGGACCATTTTTTTGCAAGGTAATTATTACAAACGACACGTGAAAGGTAAAATCTAGATTTGTGTTAAGCTTTGATTTTGTTTAAACGCTTAACAATGAATTATTGACATGGTTGTCAGATGTTTGTCTTGAAAATAGGTCAATAAGAGAGTATGGTTTTGCGCAGCTTTTAGAAATATCCCAGCAGTTTCACAGCATGTGACACCAGAAATGAACTCCATAAACGCATGAAAAGAGTTGTGGGTTTAAGTGGTGCCTAGTGGTGTTTCCTGTGAGAATATATGTTCTACGGACATCTTTGTGCTTGTACGTGAAGATTCTGGTGTCCCCCGCCGTGATATTGCTGGAATATTGCTAAAAGCGGCGTTAAACTAAACTCAGTCAGTCAGTGTACGTGAAGGAGTCGATGAAAGAACGTCGGATGGATTGAATGTAGCTTATCGTAACTCGTAATCGTGGATTATTGTACATGCATCCGATCACAGCATTGTCTGGTCCAGGATACATGCTCACATGACATCATGCATGATATACATCACAGGGGCGTGTCACGCTTAGAAACAGCGTTAGAAAGACATATAGGTATATAGACCCTACCCTAGTACTATATAAAAGGATATATTACTAGAGTAGGGTCTATATACCTATATGTCTTTCTAACGCTGTTTCTAAGCGTGACACGCCCCTGTGATATACATGGGATACTGACGGATAAGGACAGACAAAGAGCATGCCATGTCTGTACTCGTGCTTCGTTACTTACATACAGACAGGTGAGTTGTACCAATTCGGACTGCCCAGTCGTCTAAGGCGAACAATTCACTGTGCAGAGTTACGCCTCTTGGGCACCCAGAACCGTATGATTTTGGATTCGAATCTCGTTTCGTCCCGATTATTTTTCCAAAGTTTGTCAGCAGTGTACCCGTGCCCGCAGTACAAGGTATGTGCAGTTAATGTTACGCCATAGGATCACATGACATCCACATTACACGTGGAGTGTCACACTGGCGTCGCCTGAATTATGTTCTTAATAGTTAGCGAGAACAACGTATTCGGGTGTACCTTAGCATGTGCTGGTCTTGTAGTCTGTCTCACAGTCCCCGAATTAGTTTCCCCTTCCTCCCAGCCCTATCTGCAATCCTAAATCCCCAAATGAAGAAAGTCGAGAATACCCCATCTGTAAAAGGAAATTTGTGTTCTATCATAATTATATATATTCAAAGCGTTAGTCTAGCCTTGTTCCACAAAGATGGCTAGAAGGTGCGAAAAGTATAGATAGTTATGTACTGATATCGGCTCTTACTATCCAGTATCTGTTGGTCTAATCAGTGGATCTCAGATGGTAAATGCATAACAGGTATAAGCTTGGTACGATTTCCAAGCTATTCTTATTACTCATTTACTTTAATTCCAAAGTACTCTGGCACACAGACCCTGCAACACAAATACCTCCTACAGCCCAAATACGTGTACAAGTCTGTAATGTTTGGCAGTTCTAAATTGCCACAGTTCCATGAAAACGAAGAAAGTCTCTGATCCCTATTGATCATAGCTTATGAACTTCAAGATATTTAAGAAAGTTGCTTTCTATTCCTTTCATGGAATAGATATTAGTTTATTGGAATGGGAATAAAGTCGCGAATTGATTTCGTAAGGAATGTATTAAATTTTAAGCTACAAATTTTACATAGACATTATCAGTTGTAAGGATATTACTATTCAGATCAGTTTGGAGAACGGCTGGTGTCGTTGAGTATTCCAAGAAGATAAACGAAGTTATCTCCCTTTTCCTTTTAGCTCATTGAAAATTTGACGCTACCTGCTTATTGACCTTATTGAAATTCATCGACTACAACATCTCTTAGTCTATTTGACGAGCTTTCTAAAATGAATTACAAAAGTGTAAGGTTTGGGACTGCCGAACACTAAAATTTAAAATGCTTTCCAGATAAAGAAACAGAAACAGTAATATAAAGCTTCGCAGAGACGAACTAAATGAGCTTGCAGTTCAAGTATCGTCCGTTGCAGATCAACGCTTTGTTTCGCGTGATCCATTCTTTCTTACTTCGCGGTAGCGCCCGCACCAAATGTCGTAAATATTCTTGAACGGTATTTTTTGCATCCCACCGAATTACTGAACATGTGCACTTTCAGTAATACAAACCGTGACGTTTGTGGTGAGTAAGTTTTAGGAGGCTTTTAACAATTTGCTTCACACATTGTACCCATGTGGCGAATCGAACCCAAGTCTTCGGCGTAGCGAGCGAACACTTTAACCACTTGGTTTCCCGACTGCCCCTTCAAGTGAGTGGATATTGTAAGGAAAGTACTATATTTCAGTTGGCTCGTCACGCCAAAGACCCGGGTTCGATTCCCTACATGGGTACAATGTGTGAAACCCATTTCTGGTGTCCCCTGTCGTGATATTGCTGGAATATTGCTAAAACAAAACTCACTCACTACCATATTTCTTTAAAAACAGTAATATGTAATAACCTACTATGACAAATACGTTACGCAATACAGCATTTGTATTTTATTTATTATATTTGTCTTTACCGACCACAGTAAGTGATAACGTAGAACAATAGAAACTTATGTCGTTTGTTTCAACCCCAAAATTTATGGGTTCATAAAGCAAAAAAAATTGAATAATTTCTTGAAAGACCTATTTGTCTAACCCCTTGAGTCGATGAATGGAATGAAGATGGCCTTTATATTTTAAGAGAGGCTATATTAGTCTTTTCACAATAGTCTTTCTCACAGCTTCTGCAGGAGACATAGTATTTTCCCTTCTCGCCTAGCATTTATGTTACTGATCTTGATGAAGCAAATCCAATTTTCCCAGCTTTTGAAACCCCTGTCTGAGTTTCTTTTCCAATATAAACAAAGTTTACATATTGTCATATACAAAGAGCAAGTCTGTATTCACACGTGACGTTCGGTAATGATGAACCGTCCGTAAAATCACCCGTCTGAACAGTAAAGCAGATTTAGATGACGTTCATCTCATACCCTTGTCAAAAGAGGTGTCGGATTGTCTTAATGACCAATACAAACGTGCTATTTAATCTTCTGGTTTTGAATGTTGTTTGCAGAGTTGGGGGTTCTTTTTCATTACATAGTCGGGCTGCAGTCGGAAATTTTACTGTCGCTTCACTGCAGTTTTTGCATGTGGAAACTGTATTCTTATCCCATTTTTTTGCACACTTAATACCTGTCTGCACACTTTTTCATAATCCTTAAAGCTGACTACAATTAAAACAAGACGTTTCAGTGTGAACGAACACTTCCCACGAAAGAGTACGAGTGTATCTCAGTTCTGGTTGCGACATATGCGATGTGTTCTCAATCAGTTTCCGTTAAATTCTCTGCTAACTTTTTGTTCAATGCTAACTTCCAAAATGGCTGTCGACGAGTTGGGAGAGGTAAAACAACTTTGAAAAGTATTTCTCTTAAAGAAGCGCGAGGGTTTGAGGTCATTTTGTTTCCTGATATATAATCTCTCGAACACCATGGAAGCAATTATTTGCGTATTTTGTTTGCGAAAATGAAAACTCCGTTTCACGTGAACTATTTCAAGTGTCATAATCAAGATTTTCATTCAAGCACACTTTTATAATCATTCAGGTTAGAACTAGGTTAGTGATCACAACATATTTGTGATAGCACCCATGGTAAAGTGGCTAATCATTCTTCGAAAAGATTTCCGCCCGTAACCCCCGTGTTTTTATATATTACTTACCCTGTACATTTCAATTCTCCATTAAATACAGCTAGCTGCCTATCATTTCAAGGGTGGGTTACGGGCGGAACTCTTACCGAGAAGGCCTTGCATTGTGAGGCCCCTCTTGATAAAACTATTAAAATTATTCTTGAGAATAATTTAATTTGATAATGCATTTTATTTGAAAATATTTGATAATGATACTACTCTTTTCGTTTTACTTTGAAGATATTGTACATAGATTGTAAGAAAATATCAAAAGACAAAGGCTAATAACCCAACTAAGCTTGAAGCCTTGAAAATGACAATTGAAAGCCTTGTAAGGGACTTGAATTGTACTAGGTGTTCCTTATCAGTATGAACCTTGTTGATCTACCTCACTGAATAATGTGTGTCAGTGGTTACATTCTGTTGCCAGTGCCACGTTATGATTGTTATCACTGGTTATCTATTTATTGACAGCCAATGCAGCCAGGCCACTCCAATCAAGGAGTTGGAAGCACCAACACTTTGTCAATGAGGGAAAAGTCACATATGAAAAGAAGAGTGAACAAGGAGCACAATAGCAACTTCCGTGCTGGCTATATCAATATCAATGAGGAATACCTACACAAGACAGGAATACGGGGAAGAAAACGCTACTTCCTCTACTGCTTTGTTGGTTTCCTGGTGTTCCTTGCTTTGGTCAATGCCTTGGTATGGCCAACATAACTTTATGAAGTGACTTGGGGTTTTTTATATTTTTTTTTTTTGGGGGGTTTTCTTTTTTTTTTGTTAAGTCAACCAGCCTCATAAGATAAACAGACCCTTGAAGATTGGGGTTAGAATTGATCTTCAGTAAACCATGCTTGGTCAGGCTTCATGACGTCATCTTGGTTGATGCATGTCTTTGTATCCTGATTGCATATATCACTACCCATAAAAGCAATCTCTGGAATTCTGGAATAGTGCTGAGTGCCATTAATAAACAACAGGCAAAACAAAACAGCTTCAAGTGTTTGCATCTGTAAGGTTCTTTCACTTGAACCCTTTTAACTTGCTATGCCATGAATCCATTATGTTCTATCCATGATGATCTTATGACATTTGACGTCCATTCATTACCATGTCTTATCAAATAATTAGGAACTGTTCCATCATGTAACTGGTGAATATGGATTCTTTGTTAGAAACATGATTACTTATGGGCCATATTGAAATCTTTAGAAATATTTTTCATTTATAGGTTACAGCGTGGCTGATTTACAAGTTCAGGATTTATCATGTTGGGATGAAGCCATTGGAATTTGTGTCTGACATGAATATGCTACGTTTCTTGGAAGAGTCTGAAGTCCAAATCATCAAAATGTCCAATGCAAGGCTGGGCGGTCGGTATGAAAAGGATCTGAGCATGATTTCTAAAAATTCCACAGTAAGCACTAGTTTCAAAATGTCTTGTATTTAAGTGCCACTGGTTCAGTTGAAATATGTTCCCTGTGCCTCTAGTATATAAACATGATAAATGGTATACTTAAAAATCATTAGCTAGTGGGGGTAGCCTATGGGTTAAAGCGTTTGCTCGTCGTGCCAAAGACCTGGGTTAGATTCCCCACATGGTGTACAACGTATGAAGCCCATTTCTTGTGTTCCCGATATTGCTTGAATATTGCTAAAAGCGGTGTAAAACCATACTCACTTACTCATTAGCTAGTGAAAAATTATTACTGATTATCGATATGAATATTGTGTCATCAATAGTATCATACATAAACTTACTCACACAATAGACAAAGTAAGGTATTTAGGGGTGCTTCTAAATTATGTTCAGGACGTTGTTTTGTTAGTAATCGATATACTGGTAGAGTTTAACTTGTTCATTGTTGAAAGAAAGTCAGCTGCTTGAGTGTCAGTGTGATTGTGATGATGATGCACTACTAGAGTTGTCTTCCCTTTCAGATGTTCATTGGTGCAGAGAACATGCGGGGATCAGTCTGTAAGTGTATCATTGACTTCTAGATATTTAACTTTACCGAAAACACTGCTCTTGCAAATGATGTGATCATTGATAGTAGGTGATGGCATAGACTTGAGATTACAGTGTTTTGTCGTTACACCTGAAGCCTTTGTCTTGAGTATAGGATGCCAATTCCTGTCATGCTATTGTTGGAATATTGCTAATACTTATGACTTGGTTGATTGCGCCTGGTGATTTTGAACTAGCCCTGCTATTCAGAGAAAAGAAGAAAGCCATTATTTTAACCCAAAACCCTTATTGGCTGAATCAGCATTTAATGGGAGATATGCAAAATATAGAGACGACTTGTCCGATACCTAATCTACTGTTGAAAAACACATGATGCATCTTCAGAGTTTCAAAGTCAACAATACCATTATTCATACATGTACGAGTGCAGCTAAAATATATTTTCCTACATGCCTGGCACTTTGTTTTCATGGGTTGGGCATATTAATTGAACACACCTGAGTGATACAGGTTTGATATCAGAGGCAAATATCTGCTTTTCATGAGTTTGAAGGAAACAGTCAAGTGAATATTGTGTTGTGAATGGTGGTTAATTACATTGTTCTGTTTACCATGTTTCAGTGAAGCTGAAAAATGGCCTGTTCCGGGTATCAAGTGATAACTTCCTCGTCAAGGACAAAAACACAGGTGACACTTTGCTGCAGACAGGAATTGAACAGGTGGAGGTTCCTTTGAGACATGCCAAGAATCTCCATGCACTCACAGTCCAAGTTGGGAAGGTACCATGAGTGTCCGTGCATGATCTCAGCCCGTAGTGATCAACAAGGAAGTCAATTGCCCATGCTGCATGATGGAATGGTATATTAACAATCTTGCCAGGTACATGTCATTACTTAACCCTTAGTGTGCTTGTGAGACTCAGAGCATGATTTGTATGAGTGACGCATGCTATATTTGATGTGTAAATATCCCACTTAGAAATCTAATCTAGGATTCCAGATAATAGTAGATTGCTAGCAGCCAGTGCTGTTTTTGTGAAATGCCTTGATTGATCATTGTGATTTTGTTGATGGCATGTCATGGATATATCATGGGATGATGCTTATAACATCAGTCACTGGATTGTCTTGACCATCTGCTGGATAATGGGACCGCCTCCGTGGTGTAGTGGTTAGAGCGTCCGCCCGGAGAGCAGAAGGTCGCGGGTTCGATCCCCGACCTCGTTATACCAAAAGACGTTAAAATATGGTACTTGTTGGTCCCTGTCTGGCGCTCGGCATTAATGGGTACAACAAGGACTGGTCGGCTCGAGTCAGTATAATGTGTCTGAGTGGGGTATTCATGCTTCACTGCGGGATGGTATCTCAGTGAGCTAGCACTATAAAACCAGCTTCAGTCTGGGCAAGTACAAGCAGCCGCACATACACATACACACGTATGCACGTCGTCATGTGAGTGAAATGGCCTACCTTTAGAATACAGCACCACAAACTTTAAAAATACGTCATAATACCCTTTTACGTAATGTAATGTGATTTTGTTCGAAAGGACGTTCTAGAAACAATGCCCTATGACGCCTGCATGACAACACGGTTGTCCGGCTCACCGATAAGCTCCGCCACTGGTGCTCCATCTCTATGAGCTATGTCATTGCATAAGCCCACTCCAGTAGTTGTTATCATCTCTATTTTGAAGCACATGATATCATTGCATAAGCCCATATTTATTTGATGGGCTGCTGAGGTGTTTCCAGTGTATTGTATTTTGTAATTTACATATATATTTTGTCATTCAGTAATTTGCACAATCACATAGTTTTTATTAGTATTTTATTTTTCATAATAATGCATTACACTAGACCGTCCAGTCGGTCTTTGTGCCTTCGGTCAATGCATTCTATTTATTAGGATTAATTCAAGGGATTAGGGTTAGGATTAGGGCTAGGGCTAGGGTTAGGGTTGGGGTTGGGGACCTAATGCAATATAGTAGGTACATGTCCGGTCAATGCATTCTATTTATTAGGATTATTTCAAGGGGCTAGGGTTAGGGCTGAGGGTTTAGGGTTTGTTAGGGTTAGGGACCTAATCCAATATAGGTACATGTTCGATTGTAATACGTGAGTACCATTTGTTGTGTAGACTACTTTTTTGCAATGGCAAAAAACGGAAAGTACATTATGAAATGGTTAATGTGGAAATTTTGGGCTAATGGAAATTGGCAATTGTCCGCCTCTTTCACACGCAACAAAATTTTGTAAAGTAATGATTCAAGTCTAACTCACCTCGTGCCGGCACTACACATGCTCATGTCTCCCTCGCTCCTTAGTGCGATCCACATTATCCTTACAGTGTTCCTACATCACTTTTCTGTCACTCACCGATTTATATAAAAGCTGTCATTCATGCATGCACCGAGGAAATCTACATTGGCGCCTGGCGCCAACAACCCTTTTCAGTTTGAGGCATATCGGCTCATACCAGGAATTTGTAGATTACGAATGGGGCGAGTGTGCCAAATGGCATCGGATCCATTCGGCAATTGTCCGAAGAAAATCACGAGACACCAAGTCTACCCGTAGCATTTTGTCACATTGTGCAACATTGTGGCGTCACAGGAATGACTCGATAAATTTGCTTGTGCAACAGTGTGGACGGTTAGCTTAGCGAGCTAACAATCCGAAGGTCACGAAGTTCGCGTCCGGCGGGTTCTCACAAACTGGTTGCTTGTCTTAATGACCGTGACCTACGGCAGAGATCGTCCTCACGAGAAGTTGTGGTGCTGTATTCTAAAGGTGCTCCATTCGTCCCGTAGCATTCGTAATTGTCCGTGACCTATTCGACTCTTTCCGTTCATTTCAGTGTGGACGTGCTAAATTATCAGTACATTGTATGGAAGCATACAGATTTAGGTTCGCAACTGAGCTACGTCCACACAGTGTGGTCACGGACAATTACGAATGCTACGGGACGAATGGAGCACCTTTAGAATACAGCACCACAACTTCTTCTCAAGCACGACGTTAAACCCAATTTCACCTCACCTCACCTGCTGGATTATGGCTGGAATACTGCAGAGTGTGGCATTAAACAGCAAACAAACAAACAATATCCATATGGTTTTTGTCTGGTAATACTCAACCCTAGGGCTGTGTGTTTGATGTAAGAGCTGACAGTAATACTGATCAATTTTGATTTGCATCAAAGATGTTTAAACAGTCTTCTTTGGTCTTGTTCTGTTGAAGAGCAGTGCACTCTCTTATCTCAAATTTACGCCTACAGTTGGATTTCTTTTTATACAATTATTTTCTCAAAAATGTCAGTTCATAGTGATCAAGCTAGCTATTCTTGAAACAATCCAGCCCTACGAACTTCTTAAGCCCATCCTTAACAAAGGGTCAAAGGGGCTACGATCAAAGTTAAGAATTCTTAGGGCTAGGAAAGTTTTGAGAATAAGGGCCAAGGATGGATGTAGCAATGTTTGTTTAACATGTTAACCGCACAAGAACTGTCAAAAACAGATTGTTACATAGTGATTTGCAAACTGAAACTCAAAGGTTAACATGGTTAACCCTGAAATCATTTTTAATTCATACAGAACTAAACTGTGAAATCATTAAATAACCCGTATTCTTGAAACGTTCATAACCCCAAGAATTCTTAACTTTGATCGTAGCCAATGTGTTAAGAATGGGCTTAAGAAGTTTGTAGGGCTACGAAAGTTTCGAGAATAGCTAGCCTGGTCTATAAATTATCAGTACATTGTATGGAAGCATACAGATTTAGGTTCGCAATCGAAAATGTCAATACAGTGGGTCAAAGAAGTTGTAGCGGCAGCTACAACAGTGAGTAACAGGCCTTAGAAATGCAAGCAACCTGGGAAATGTTAAGAATTTTGTCGGTTTGATAGGCTTGACTTAGGCTTCAATCATCTGGAACAGTGTTGGCAGCTGGCAGGAATTGGATCCAATGTGTATCCAATCCAAGGATTGTGGACGTGACACAAACCAAAGTGAAAAGGCTCCTTTGGTTCTTATAAATTGCGCAGATCGATGCTCATGTTGTTGATCACTGGATTGTCTGGTCCAGACTTGATGATTTACAGACCGCCGCCATACAGCTGGAATATTGCTGAGTGCAGTGTAAAACTAAACTCACTCACTCACTCTTATATCGGTACAGTCATCCTTCTTGAAACTTTCTATCATGAAATATTGCAAGTGATCAGGCATGCCATGTACATGTTTACACAAAAGCTGAAAGCACTATGTTTTTCGCTAGCTCTTTATATTTTACCATTGTTTCCATCAGTTGATGGGGCGGTGGGGTAGCCTAGTGGTTAAAGCGTTGGCTCGTCACGCCGAAAACCCGGGTTCAATCCCCACATAGGTACAATGTGTGAAGCCCATTTGTGGTGTCCCCGCCGATGTTGCTGGAATATTGCTAAAAGCGGCGTAAAACCATACTCAGTCAGTCAGTCAGTCCATCAGTTGATGCCACTAACAGTTACTACAAATATAGTTACAAGAACCTCTACTGTCACATGGAAAATATGCATGGTATGGACTAGTTACAGTTGAAAATTTTGCCAGACACTGACATTTAACTTGTTGGTTTTACATGTTTTAGCAGACTGATGTTGAGATTTGTAATAATGACAGAGCTCAGATAAGATTTAGCTCATGTGGGTACTGTACCCACTGTATTTTATTGGAGTGGGTATTATGAATGTTGAGTGGGTATTTCATTTTCCATTAACCACTGCTTTCAGATATGTACAGTCATTTTACACACCTAAGTATTGTGTCATTGAGTAAGTTTACTAAGCAGGTATGTTCTGCCTTATGTCATACCTAATCAAAACCAACTTAAATATAAAGGGAAATGATTTCATAAAAATCAATCAGTCCTATACTGACAGTACAACACTTGTCCTATACTAACAGTACAACTTGATAGCAATCGATGTCTTTTTCATTACGCAAGCGATTTTTATTAGTATATTCCGTACGCATTTGTTTTAAACTCTTTGCGTATCTAACATTTTAAATGCGTAATTGGTACGCAACAATTATTTTTCAATGCGTAATTTGAAATTTTCTATGCGTATTTTACCCGGATACGCAGCTTATCTGGGCCTCTGAATGATATTGGTACTAAAATGTTACAATGTTAGTAGTGGACCCCTTTAATGTAACTGTGCTTGTTGACTGTGTGACATACAAGACTGTATGACATGTCAATTGTGTGTTGATTTGATATTATTACTTGTCAACAGTCCCATTTCTATCCTGATATGGATATGTGGTGTTGTGGTTAGAGTGAGTGAGTGAGTTTTGTTTAACACCACACTCAGCAATATTCAAGCTATATGGCAGCAGTCTGACCACCTGATCCCGTTAGTCGTATCTTACGACAAGCATGGGTTACTGAAGATCAATTCTAACCCAGATCTTCACAGGTCTGTGGTTAGAGTATTTGCACCACATACTGATCGTGTCACATGTCACTGGTTTGTATGGGCCCTTTTGATCTTAATGTCTTAAGCGTATGTTACAGTATGAGAATTACAATCCTCTTAGCGTCAAGATCATCTTGTGCAGTTGGATCCAGATGGATTCTGTAAATTGACATTGAGTCCCAGAAAATAGTGAGTGAGTGAGGTTTTCCGCTTTTTGCAACATTCCAGCCATATCGAGGCAGGGGACACCAGAAATGGGCACATTGTACCCATATGGGGAATCGAGCCTGACAGAATACCGCATGATGAGCGATTGCTTTAATCAATAGGCTACCCCACTGCAACCCCAAGAAAATAGTTTTCATATTTAAAAATATACGTCTACTAAAAATGTATCCCAAAGGAGCCCAGAACAATTGTCATTTTTCAACTGAGGCAGTCTCGACTTGCCCAATTATTCTAGACTTGAATTGGACTCCTTTATGTTTATTGATTTATGTTGTAATGTCTGGGAGACAGACTTAGTATGCTGTGACAAAGAGGAATGGTGTGGTGCTCATTAACCTTTGCATTCTCCCTCTCTTTGGGACAGATTTCTTCACATGGTTTTTATCTACACTAAACCAAATCTGTGGAGAGTACATGTGCGGTTGTGTGTTTTGCAGCTTAAAAGTCGAAAAGGCTACCCGGATATAGTGTTTGAGTCCCAGAAACAGATCAAGGTGGTTGGATCCGAGGGGGTGCAGGTGGAGAGCGGCAAGAGCGTCTCTATCGAACCCTCGAACTCTGTGAAACTCAACGCATCAGTGAGTACAACAACTACGCTTCCATATTTTAATGTCTAATAACAAGTATGCTTAAAATTTGAGATAAACAATCCATACATGTTAACTGTTTAATCCAGGTAAAAAAGTTCAAAGTTGTCAAAGTTTTGTATACTTAAACATTGCAACAGTTGTCTGGACAGGCATTCAATCCTTGGATAGTCAGCACTATTATATTCTGGGTTGTTAGACCCATAAAGATCCGGGTTAGAATATTGATCTTCATTGAACCCATGCTTGTCGTGAGAGGCGACTAACGGGATCGGGTGGTCAGAGCTGCTGACTTGGTTGACACATGTCATTGGTTTCCATTTGCGCAGATCGATGCTCATGCTGTTGATCACTGGATTGTCTAGTCCAGACTCAATTATTTACAGACCGCCATATAGCTGGAATATTGCTGAGTGTGGCGTAAAACTAAACTAACTCACTCACTCACTGGGTTGTGAGTGGCTCATTGTCCACATTGTCTTGTTTGGCAGTTCAGAGTTGTGTCCCTTAGGTGTGTCAGAACATTGTAATCAAGGCCTCAACTCAATATATGCCACAAGTATGTTTCTGGACTCAGAGCCGTTATGTGCATGAGAGTTTAGGCTTCCTGTCTGGGGTATTATATTACAGTTATGTTTTGTTTGTTTATTTAAACAGGAGGGCTCTATTCACTTTGATTTTGGGAGCAACATCTATCTGAACCAGAGTTTGCCAAGACTGTCACCTGGGTACCAGATTGACCCCAATCTTATCATCTACAAACTCTGTGTTTGTTCTGACAGTGGGAGAGTGTTTCGTGTTCCGATCACCGGATCCAACTCGGGTTGTAATACATTGAATGAAAGTCAGAACCCATGTGACTAGGGCTTCCACGGGTACTCGAGTACTCGAGGAAGAGTCGGGTTTAGCTGGACTCGAGTCCATTTTCTAGGACTCGAGGACTCGAAAAGGGGAAATAACTCAAATTATTGGGTTACATTGACAGACTGTCTGCCATGTGCTGAGCATGAGCGGCCGTTAACGTCTAATATTAAGATAAGATATAACTTTATTATCCCGGAGGAAATTCCCATACATCCAAACTGTCTCAAAATGAATATGTACACAATTCACAAAAATATACACAATAATTACATGCATAAAACGAAAGCTATTTACACAATAAAACTCACATGATATAATTCAATTAACCACATAGGTAAAGAGGCTGAATAATTCTAGTTGTTATCACATGGTGATAATTCAAATATTTGTTGCATTCACGAATACTTGGTGGTATGAAAGACTGTGAGGTCTGTTTGTTTTGAGGGAAGGTAATCGACAGCAGCGTCCAGAAAGAAGTACTTCAAAATGGTGAGATAAAATATGTTAACTATCAAATCTAATTTTAGTTGCCTTTTTGACAATCTGGCGCTCATAGATAAAGGGAATATACTCGAAATTTTGTTGGCAGTATTAACAATTTTGAAAAGTTTGTTTTTGTTGCGATCAGACAGACCCCCATACCAACATAGAAAATTGTAGGTCAACACACTTTGAATAAAGGTTTGATGAAAACTGTCATTACGGTTTTGTCAATGCCTTGACGATAATAAGGTTCAGAATCAGAAATTTGGCCAGTAACAGTGGCGTCATCTGCGAATTTCACAGTAAACAAGTCATTTAATGACAAGTAACAGTCATTGGTATACAAAACGAAGAGTACAGATGAAAGAACACAGTCCTGTGGAGCTCCAGTAGAGGTTGAGAGGAAAGAAGATTGATAGCCATTGACACTGACATACTGAGTTCTATGTACCCTGAATTCTTTAACCCATCTGATAATGATTTTATTAACGCCTAGATTAAATAGTTTACTCCTCATAAGGTGTGGCTATATGGTATTAGTTGTTAAAGTCTGCAGATGAGAGTAATTATTATACAGCGTTTGAGATTTCACTTCCTAAAATAATTAGGTAACTATCTTAACAGACATGGAGAACGATAAAAAATCAAATGTATGGGCGTATCTTGATCTGGATAGTGAAAAGAGAAAAATAACCAAATGCCGCCTGTGCGGTATATCACTGCGTTATGCAGGCAGTACAACCAGTACGATGAAAAAACAACATTTGGCAAGTAAACATCCAGATACTGATTCTGACCAATAGGAAATGTTAGTCACACGACGATATAAAGTCGGAAAGAAGCGTTCACTTGTGTGGTCGGAACACATGTCATGTCGGTTACGCTATCGTTTGTTTGAAAGGTATGAATTTCGAGTACTCGGGTCCGAGTCGAGTCTCACCCCTCGAGTACTCGAGTCCAAGAAAATGGACTCGTTGAAGCCCTACATGTGACTTATAACCTGTGCTTGTCCACAAGCCTCCATGTATTGGGAGAGAAGCCTTATTTAACCTTAATCATGGCTGTTGGTATGTAGACATTGAACTATGCAAATGTGATACTGATATAAACTTTGTCACTTTAATAAGCTCTGACAAATATGTTCAGCTTCAGCCTCTGAAATAAGATGCTTAGAGGTGCTAATGGACGAAGGGTAATTTGATTTTGAAGTTAGTTGAAATGGTATGACAAGATATTGACAAATCTATAAATCTCAGTGGACTGTCATAATTTTGTAAAAGATAATGCAAGATGGGGTTTGCACTGCTGGAAATATGGCCTTACATGATTGTGATTAGCTATACCATGGGAAGCTGTCATTATTCAGTACGTCCATCTTCTGATACCTCTCCCTTTGCTGTAGGTAAACACGATATTTTGCAGTTATGGCAATTATTGTACTTTGTTAAACGTCAGTACATATCTAATGTAAGGTTGCTTACCTTAATCAATTGAATTATCTCCCTTATAAAATATTTGTTGGGGTTTTACAAATGGGGAGCTAATTATGTTGATTATCTTTATGGTATTTATAGAAATTATATATTTGTATTTGATATCATACAGATTACAGTTTTCACGAATGTTATATTGTCATTTATATGTGCTTACACTGTTACTATGGACAATCATGTGAAAATATTCTATATTTATACCTATTTGCCTGCAAGGTATGCTTAATCCGTCCATCAGTCAAACATTATACAGATTTGAGCTTATAACTGTACTGCCTACATTCATTCATTCATGTTGATATAATACAAACAAATATTTATAAAATGTCCAATATATCTAGACTATGATGTTCCTAATGTTGATTATTTTTAAGACAGTTTTGTACCAGCTGTCTTGTGAGACATAAACATCATGCTGTAGTCACACAAATGTTTTATCAAATGTTTTAAAAGTAACAACAGCCTTATTTATTATGCCATTTCTTTTGTTTTAAGGTTTGAGTTAAAATTGATTAACAAAGTTTGCAACTGTAATGTTAGAAAATGCCTGTCCTATGCTGGTGTTTACTCAAGGGACTTAAACATGGAAAGGTTGCAAGGAGATTTTTAAATAAGTAAGTTATTACAAGGATGAATGGAATAAAATATTCATTTGAATAGATGAACTAAGTTTGAAATGTGTTACTGATCAAATGGAGGAACTTTGAATGAAATGAGTTATTAATCAAATGGATGAACTAAGATCAGATCTACCACTACACATAGTGCGTAGAGTAGCATGCACTGAGATCAGATGAGATTGTACTTACTGAGAGTTGGAAAATGGATAAACATAACCAAATTTGACAACTGTTCTTCCAATTTTCAATTTCATAAAATAAAAGTCAAACTCGGTATTCTTTATTTCACCACCACCACCACCCCCACCCACACACACTTATACATCAGTTCCTTATACAAGCTTTTATTTGCATGGCTAGATACTTGTGTATTTAAATGAACTGAGAATGATTGAGGTGTCTCTTACTTTTTTCTTCCTTTTATTTCTGTTCACTATTTTCTGGTTTCATTCTTGTGTGTATTTTTCGTTTAGTTTCCTTGTAAAGTGGTTTGTCAATTATTACAAATATTCTTAGGTTTTAGTAAACTTAAACAGTATTGTGATATATAAAATGTTGTCATTTAGTTGATAAATCATTAAATTCTATCTTGTTTTGTTATTGCCTTCTTTAACCTGAAAAAGAGACATTACTGTTTATTGATCATGAAGATATGGTGTCTTTCACCAATGTCCTTTTTTCAGCTTGCCTTGATTTCATCAAGATGTCAAGCAAGGTCTTCTTTGGTCCTGTGGGGAAGCCTATTGGTTAAAGCGTTCGCTCATCACACTGAAGACCTGGGTTTGATTCCCCACATAGGCACAATGTGTGAAGCCCATTTCTGGTGTCCTCCGCCTTGATATTGCTGGAATATTGCTAAAAGTGGCGTAAAACTAAACTCACTCACTCATTCTTTAGTGTGCAGTCCATCTGTCTCTCAGCACTGAACTTAAAGGGCACGCAAACTGAAATAAGGGATTGTGATTTTGTTCATATCTTGCTTTCCAGATACATCAGTCAATATGCACGAGAGCCAGATATATTTGTTGAAAGTTCTTTAATGTCAAAATGAAAGTGTTGAAATCACAAGTTCTGCAGTCGCCTTCCAAAACAAACATTTTTGAGGTTGTGACCTAAAGCTACTGGCACAGTATCCTGTTTGGGAACATTTCCAATGAACTGAACATTGACCACTTGCACAAAGCAGTCTAATCCTGCGTGAATAACTGCAGCACAATCAACCACTTGGCAACTCAAGCCTCAGGAATTGAGTGAGTGAGTTTGGTTTTACACACGCTTTTAGCGATATTCCAGCAATAGCATGGCGGGGGACACCAGAAATGGGCTTCATGCATCATAACCTTGTGGGGAATCAAACCCGGGTCTTCGGCTTGACGAGTGAACGCTTTAACCACTTGGCTACCCCACTGCCCTGTCAGGAAGTAAACACAAACACAAGTAAATAGTAAACAATTTATTGCTCATGTATGCCAAGATACACGTCCAAATGTATCACAATAAAACATGATCACATGGTGTACAAGAGGAAAACAAGAGGCACTTTAATCTGTACCAGAAGAGGAGGTGCATGAGTGAACAGTTATAGGAAATGCTGACATGTATGCAACATACAACTGCATGAACTGTGGTAATCTATACGCTACTGTTATGACAGGGAAATAAACTGTTGGATAGAATATTAATCTATAAATCTATTAAAGGACTGATGATTTATTAAAGGGTGGACGTGATGGTGGGATTCTTTTAAAGACTGCGTCAATTTTTGCTTACAATATCTCCCCTGCCACCTTCAATATATTCCACATTCATTTCTCTCTTTCCAACGCTCCCCTCCGAAGTTGTTATTAATTTTGGTGACCCTGTGTTATTTTTTCATGACACTCCCAATAATGATTGATCAGTCCCTAAATGTAAATATAGTAACAAGTACATTTTGAATAAATTTCTGGACAATATTCTACATAGATAATATCAATTTTTGTCTGAAGGTGTAGAGGACACATGACTAATGATGTGAATATACTCATGGGAATAAGAAAGGGAACAAGATGCATTTATCTGATATGTACTGTCAATATTACTAAAGTTTTTACCAATTCTGTCATGCAAAAGATACTAACAATCTATGATATTATTTAGTCCTTAAGGAAAATAATTATGTCAATGCAACATTATATCTATTTCTGCACTATTTGTACAATATAATGTGTTATAATGTTTCCTGTCGGAATACATATCGTCATGAACTTTGAGCGGTTCTGTACATGTCAGCCTGATGTAGATGGAAACCCACAAGTGATATACATCTTAGCTCTTAACCACTGCGGTGAAACCAATAAGCAAAGACATTCAGCTGGGACTGAATGATCAGAGGATTCTGGCACAAGTAAGGGACACAACTCTGCACAGCCAGTTGCAGCACCTCAGAAGACTGGGCCACATATACCTCCCTTTATGAAAAATAAAAGAAATTAACAAATGTTGATATTTTACAGATATGCCCTTAAGGCTGGAAAAGGAATATAATATTTGTGACATTCAAAGTATTTTTAAATGTATTTTGACTGAACAGGTACAAGACGTGGAATGTGATCACTCACAGAACTATATACACAAAAATCAATTCAGAAACAGAAACCAATTTCAAGGCATATTCAAACATAATTAGTTCCTAAATGTATAACCAAGTACTTGGGTTAATACGGAAATCAGTTTGGATTTGACTCATCTCTTACTTGTAAGATCATAAATGTATGGTGAGTGAGTTGGGTAATATGCCAATTATCAATATTATCAATTATCAACCTCAGACCCAAGGGGTATCCCCGGCCTTCAGCCACTAAGCTACCCAACATCCTCATTAAAATGCAAAGAAACTTCTCATAATTTTACAATCACAGCAAGATGGTAAAATGTGTTTCGAGTATTGTCAGTTTAATGCTATTGGCTGACTTGACCATAACATCCTTGTTGTAATACTGAAAGGTGTTTTAATTTTTTTTACAGTAATGATGATGATGATGATGAGTGATGTAATAGTGTGATGATGTTTGTCTACAAACAAATCTGAAACAAAACCAGAATAGTAGATAATAGTCCTAGATATTTAGACAATGCTAAGATGAGTGGATTCACTCCTGGTGCACAATCAGCAGGTCCACATTTTTACTTTTGACTTTTGAGCCCAACTTACACCACATGTTTTAGCTAAAATATATGGAGAAAATTAATGAATAATATTAATTCCACTTAAAACACTATTTAAGTCATATGATCTGAGAAATTAGCCTGAAGTGATAATCACTATTAGTATGGTGCAGACAAACCTAGAAATGTTACCAGGCGAAATCTGGGATTTGAACCCAAGATTACCTGTGGGATGCAACTCTGTAAAGTGCAGAATTGTGCTTCCAATGTCTGTGCCAACCATTCTCTCAATGTTTACAGGAGGTATATAAGAGCTTAAGAGAAACAAACACAGAAAACCTGTATTCATCAGACAAACTACCTAACTGGAAAGCACATTAAACGATGTTTTACATTGAAAGCATTGAAATATCATTATTCATTATTCAAATATAATGCTGTAAAAATGTTTCGTTTTTAAAATTAAAATATGTTAAAATGTTGTGTTTTTAAACAATTGCTCATAATACTAAAAATGTATCACAAAAAGCTATTTTGGCTACAGTTGGCTCGAGGCCCTGCATGCTAATAATTCTATACTAAACAGTTAGACTACAATGAAACCATATTAACAGGGCTGTAAGGGTCACAGACAATACACCTCACATTTGTTTCATTTATGACAAGGGGATATTGTTTCATTTTACTTGTTTAACACCACAGGCAGCAATATTCCAACTCTGTGATAGTGATCTGTAAATATCAAGTCTGGACCAAACAATCCTGTGATTGACATGACAAGCATTGATCTTCACATCCATGATAAGAAGACATGGATCAACCATGTCATCCACTCTGACAATCTTGTCCTCTCATTTGGGGCAGTGGGGTAGCCAAGTGGTAAATGTAATCGCTCGTCACACCAATTCAGTTCCTCACATGGGTACAATGTGTGAAGTCCATTTCTGTTCCCCGCTGTGATATTGCTGGAATATTGCCAAAAGCAGCATAAAACCATACTCGCTATTAGAAATATTCCAAATATAACTGCCAGGGACACCAGAAATGGGCTTCAAACATTATACCTTTGTGGGGAATCAAACCCGAGTGTGACAAGCGAATAAGGCTCCTCAACCACCCTGCCAATATGATGCTGATAATGCCACATTAATGCTGAAGATTCACAAAGACCATATTTTTTGCAGCATCTACCAAGTATATCATGTGGTTGTCCTCATAACAGTTATGTTCGTCACGCCGAAGACCCGGGTTCGATTCCCCACATGGGTACAATATGTGAAGCCCATTTCTGGTGTCCCCCGCCGTGATATAGCTGGAATATTGCTAAAAGCAGCGTAAAACTAAACTCACTCACTCACTCATAACAGTTAACAGGTTTCAGTGTAGCTTTCCCATTCTAAATGCATGATATAGTTCAACAATAATCCTGAAACTAGGATACATGAATGTTCATAAACTAACAACTAGGAAACAACCTGTTTCCAACATTGGCAAAAGGAAATCTAGATTGATAAGCAGCATTAACACAAAGGCCACTTTCTGAAACATCCTGGCTAATCCTTTCCAATACAAAGTGCACGGACTAGAATTTACCTTAAGCATATTCTGTGACAAGGGTTAGGCAGGGCTGTTGACAATGTTGACAAATTCACTGTTTGTTTTTTGTTTGATGTTTTACACCACAGTTAACATTCCAGCTGCATCATGGCAGCCTGTTCATTTTGGGTCAGACAAGCCAGTGATTCAATTCCACTTCATCAGACAACCAGTGATTCAATTCCACTCCATCAAGCATGATGTCACACAATGAACAAATTTGCCTGGCACGATGACACACGGTCAACCGTCTGACCCTATTTATTAAGTTACCTGTAATGACAAACACAGGTGACTTAGCCGGTTTAATAAAAATCCCACAGAAGGTCAGAGAATAGTCTGATGATATTTTTATATTTTTATAATTTACAATCACTGGTTCGTCAGACATTGTATTCATGCTACCAACCAACAGCTGGAATACTGATGAGTGAGTGAGTGAGTGAGTTTAGTTTTACATGCACTCAGCAATATTCCAGCTATATGGCGGCGGTCTGTAAATAATCGAGTCTGGACCAGACAATCCAGTGAACAACAGCATGAGAATCGACCTGCGCAATTGGGAACCGATGACATGTGTCAACCAAGCCAGCGAGCCTGACCACCAGATCCCGTTAGTCACCTCTTACGACAAGCATGGGTTACTGAAGGCTCATTCTAACCCGGATCTTCACGGGTCGGAATACAGCTGAGAGAGGCATGAAACAGCCAACTCTAGGTTCACAAAATGGTGCTTGTGTTGTACAATTTGTGATGAAATTTTCATTATGCTTTGTAAAGGGTAGTAACAACATGAATTTTTGTAAAATGAACACCAAACAACAGTTGGTTATTAAGCTTCATCGTCATGACAATTGTTGACCGTTGTAAAAGTTTATACAAAAATGTAAAATGAGTGATTGTCACTTAAAACAACATGCAGGAGGAAATAGTTGTAAGGAAATATATTAACAAATATTGTCTTATCAGACTTTAACAACCTCATATTTATAGTTTAGGACTCTTGAACACTCATGTTGTTTTAATTGGTCTCATTGTTAAACGCCACATCCAGCAATATTACAGCTGTATGACAGTGCTCTGTCTAATTATGTCTGGATCACACAATCCAATGATTAACAACATGAGCACTGATTTACGAGGTCAGTGAGTCTGACCACCTAATCCTGTGAGTCATTTCTTACGACAAGCATTCCTTAAGTAGTACAAAGTAGTCACAATGCTACAGCTGTCATTAATCTATGTTAGAGTAAGTAAAAGGGAGTAACAATCATCTTAGCATTACGATTGCTTAGTGGAATGTCACCCACTTTAGAATTGACCTCCATGGGTCGTACACTTTCTCGTGTACTGAGTTTTAGCGTTAAAAACACATCCCACATACCTTCACTTCGACTTGTAAACACAAACTGCTTATCAGGCGAAACAAACCAATGTCTTGTTTTGGTTTCTTGGTCAATCCATCTCAAATAAGAAGTTATCAGTGCTCATTTCTGATCAGTTAAGAAAGCATTTAACAAAAATCTTTCAACATATGTAAACAACATACATATTTTTACATTCATTAACAGCTCTGTCCATGACACAAAGATATTAATTAATCTGGCCTTATTTGTACAGAACAGCTCTGAACACATACATTTGATTGGAACACTTCGAAAGTAAATTCTTTGGTATACACCAGTGACCAGAGTGAGTGAGTGAACTGGGTTTTTCACCTATTCAGTATTTGTAACGAGTGTCCGCTGAGCATGGAAGACCACCATGCCCAGTATGGTGTACACTTTGAGGCTAGGTATTAAGCTGACAGACCAAAAATAATAATCTAACTTCATTGGGATTTATATCGGTAAACAGCTAAGGGAGGCAACTCTACAATGAGAATTGCCCAATGTCATATTGCATATAATACCCATATCTGTTTATAAATTTCTATTTATTATCTCAAAGAGAAAACAAGTGTCCTTATACTCGGCAGATTTTGCTAAAAAAATGGATGCCTGAGACTTGAGCCTATTTCTTTTGTCGGCTTACATATATTGCACACCAGCAAGTATAGGTAACATAAGCATTAAAACTAATCTTGTCAGGGTATATTATGTCGCACAACCTTACACAAACACACAACTATTGATTAAACCAAGAAATGGTTATATTAATAGTAAAAATTAAAGAAGATAAACAGTATTGCAACTTTGACTTATCTGTCCAAGTTCATAGTTACATAGTTAAAAGCACACCACAGTCACACTTCAAATTGTGATATCATGTCTCATACCTGCCCCAGTTTCCAAATTTAAGAAAGTGTTGGGGTTTTTTTCAAAATTTCATCCTGGCTCAATATATGTATCGGATTTATCATGACAACTGTCCAAAATGTTATTACAATGTTACAGTTTTTTAAGATTGGATTTAAAATCGTAAACACCATATTTATAGGCACCCCTTACCAACTGCAAGAACTATCCTTAAGTAATCTATAGAAGCAAACTGCACCACAAAAGTAACAATTATCTTGCGCATAGTACACGTGTCAACACAAAGTACAGCGGTGAAGATGGGTATACATACACACAGGCAGTGAGTTTTGATTTGTTCCAAAATAAATATGTAACACTGAAATTCCACTGTATTACAAAACTCAATTTGAATGGTTTCATAAAAACATACCTGACTACAGCAAATTTGGCAGCTGATGATATATGATATTATACTAGCTCATGAATTCATGCAGATTTGTATATACAGGTGTGGAATATGATCTTATTGCACTGCTGGCCTTAAAGTAAGTGAGTGAGTATGGTTTTACGCCGCTTTTAGCAATATTCCAGCAAAATAACCACGGACCTTAAAGCCTAACATGAGTAGAGCAGTTAACATGGACAAAATGTTACACATGTACGACAAAGTATATTTGTGGTATTACAAATTAATGATTTCTTCATCTAATGGATATTATTGGTGTCCTATTTTCTAGTAAAGTGTGGATATACTCCAGTGAAATAGATTTTTACTTTCTGTACAAATGATATGTTGGACAGGTTCAAGAAGGATATGAGCACAACTTCAGTGGAAAGTTGTGAAATATTGGCGATTAGAGCTTTGACAACATATTTTGTCATACACGATATGTATTTTCATGGTGATATCGTAAACAATGTTACGTAACTGTTCTGCCACCGTTACCACAACTTCATGGGTATGAATACATCACGTTTCTCCATCCCTCGTGAATACATTTGGGTTCATATGAAGTGTTGGGCTAATGTCTTCATATAATCGTCCAACTTAATTGATTATAAGTTTACTGTCTGGTAATGAAAATACTATGTAAACCTCACAGAATCTCTTTAATCCTGATCGGAGCATGACCTTTAAATGAACATAACCAGTGATCGAAATATGGCCTGCCCGCCTTCCCGAGGCTGGCAGCTTTTCCTGTCGGGATGCCTGAAAAAAATCTCCACAAGCCCAATTGTCTGGCTGATATTTTTGAATACCTCCCTTTTCAGAAGCTTAATATGAATAACACATAAGAAGTATATTTGAGGCGGTATCACTCTAAACTTTCACTATTAAACTTTTTCAGAAAATATATCATTGTGATCAGAGACCATATATGGCCTCTGTTTTGATGATGTAAACCGATAAGGGGAATTGCAAGTTTAACAAGCTCTTTTCAAATGTCACAGGCTGGGGATGTGACTGAGTATTTAATTTCATGCTTGTTGTTTTTAAGTTGCTGAATTAATTCACATTTGAAACAATGATAAATGCAATTTATGAGTCAAAAGTGCGGGCAGGTAACTTTCAAGATGGGCAGGCAACATTTATTGGTCACCTGCCGAACTGTCTCGTTGAGTTTGAAAATTATTTCAATCACTGAACACAACCACTGCTGGATGTGTAGCGAGTGATGTTTTTTTGTAAACTGAACATTCATTGGTCTAGGTATACAATAGTTGTCTTTTGATTGGATAGTTATATGTCCCACCATTGCCACAAAGTGAACATATGTATTCATTCATAGGAACTCATGAACACAAATCTATGAAGCATGGACAATGCGCCATCATAGGAGACCCAACAAACAAAAATTTCAAAATTTGAGTCAAGGATACTTACACTGACCATGGAAATAGAAAAGTAATGTTTTACAATTTTATAATAGTCAACATATCTAGCACCCCTGCACATCCCTAATAAAAATCTAACAGAGGAGCTTATTAGGATACCCAAGGAAATGGGGGCGCTAATTGGGATGAGGTTTAAAATGACACTAAACAATCAATCAACAGGTACTACCATGCGTCGTGAACATCTACTTAGTTTGGGGTTCACGCTCGCCTCAATGATTTATTTTGATTAAATTAACGGTATGTACACCTAGTAACAACAATAATAACCTTTATACATTTGGGAAGGGAAGGCAAAATGGTTGCTACATATTTCTAATCAGGGTGCATACTAATGAGGGGTGCTAATTAAGTTAAATATGGTAATTTCAATAGGTAATATCACGTAATCCTTGCACTTATTTGCTGCAGATGTGTACAGAGTGTGTACACAAACATGTTACAGACCCATGATGCATCAACCAAACATGGAGTTCTGTTCACACTGCAACACCATTTTTCTAAATCCTGGAGCCACATATTTTATACCAATAAATGACCAACAACAGGTAAAACTAACATCGTATAACAAATACCGATGAACATAACCTTCAGTGAAATATTACTCATGATGAAGAAAACAAAAAATACTTTGTCAAATCGAACATTTTATACATATGAACAGACTGCTGTTATACTGATATGCATGTGAAAGGGAGATAACTACTGGTGAAGTGGACATATTACAAGTTCAATAACATTTGGCTTGAGAAAGCAATGTACATCCCTGTCGACATAAGAGAGTGGCCAGTATATTTTCATAGTGTGTAACTTCATTTAAAAAAATAAGTACACATGAATGAGATTTGATTTTAAGATATTTTGATTTGATATTTTGTATATTTGCTACATTTTGATGAATGATTGAGATAATATTATTAAAGTGACTGAGTTTTTTCATGAACTATTTCCTGTTGAGTGATATATTTTCAACATCTGTAAATACTTCACAGATGAGTGTTAATTCATATTCTCAACACACTAGTAACATATCGGGCACTTTGGATTTATTCTCAATCTATAAATGTACCTACCTTTCATTCAGTAAATTTGTTCAATGACCGGCTTTGCCAATAATCTTCAACTCTTGTCAGACTTACTGTCTGTTTGAACTCAAAAACAGCTGTTACTAACTTTTTAAAAAAGTTTTCAGTTTTCAGTGACACTAATGAGAAAACAGTCAATTTGGATACATGAAATGTATCCAGTATTTGACAGTATTTACCTAATTTACAATAAATAACAGTGAACTACAATCTATTGATCAAGGAATTCTAACTATCTGGCCTCATAGACGAGTGAGCAATTGTCATCATATGACTATCACATGACAGGAAGAAGATCACATGACTGGGTTCAAAAAGGCTCCTTAGATCTCACAGTTGTTCCATCTGTTTGATGGAGGCTAGAGTACGGACGAGTAGAGTATATGTGTCCCGTGCAGTTCTCATTTGTGACTCCGCAAACGTTACCAGTGATTCCTGAGTAGAGAGAATCCGCTGTTGGAGAAAGGTCTTCATCTGGAATATGAATATGAATATTTGAACAACTTGTTCACAGTTGGTACCACAGAGAAATCATGCATGTATTTACTGATACTGCGTAATGGTTAAAGGGCTCGGTCGGCACGCTAAAGAACAAGGTTCGATTCACCACATGGGTACAATTTGTGAAGCCAAGTTCTGGTGTCCCCTGCCATGATATTGCTGGGATATTGCTGGGATATTGCTAAAAGCAGTGTATAACTAATACTTTACTACATTAGCGAAACCCATGAGATTTTTAATGAGCAGCCAAAACATAATTATTGCAAATCTAAAGACTGAGCCCATAATTATCTATTGCTGTCAACCCATGTAATTCTGTACAGCATATTACGGTGCTTCAGATGCCTGGGCCAGCAGTGGCCAACTTCCTGTCAAAGAGTTTTATGCCATATGTACAGCCAGGGTGACTCGTGATTGTGAGTGAGTTTAGTTTTACACCGCACTCAACAATATTCCAGCTACATGGCGGTGGTCTGTAAATAATCGAATCTGTACCAGACAATCCAGTGATCAACAGCATGAGCATCAATCTATGCAACTGGGATATGATGACATGTGTCAAACAAGTCAGCGAGCCTGACCATCCGATCCTGTTAGTCGCCTCTTACAACAACATGGGTTGCTGAAGACCAATTCTAACCCGGGTCTGTACACCTAGGGAGCACCAGCCATGGGCTTCACAGACATTGGAAATCTTGCTTTTGGCAAGAGGAGGAAATGCTCATCACATGTTTTGGTTAACTCCTATGCAAATTATACAAAAGAATGTTTAATTAATTATTGATGATGATGATGATGATGATGATGATGATGATGATGATGATGATGATGATGATGACGATGACGATGATGATGGTGATGGTGGTGGCTTAGGAGAAGAAGACCTGGGAATTGCAAAGGGAACTCATGACCTTTGCATGGTATTCTAGAACAGGACACTACTTATAAAAGCCGAGCAAGTAAGATGGCCTGTTACCTCTCTCCTGGCATTGTCGGAGCAGACCTCGTAGGACTTCTCAGCAGTCTGTTTAGCTTCCTCAGCCTAAAATCATAATAATTACAAACATCAATGATTAAGACAAAAACAATCTGATAAAAAAAACATGACATTCGGAAACAATAAAGTGTCACTAAAATAAATATAAAATCTCAAAATTAACATCATACTCCACTGATGTCCATTGCAAGTGCCAGGCATGACAAATTGTACATGTCTATATATCATCACTTCCTGAATAGATGACTGAGTATGGTTTTACACCACTTTAAGCAATATTCCAGCAATATTGTGGCATGAGACACCAGAAATGGGCTTCACACATTGTACGCATGTGGGGAATTGAATCTGGGTGTTCAGCATAATGAGCAAACGCTTAAACCGCTGGACTACCCCATCGCCCAACTTCCTGAACAAACCATGTCATGGAGTGCTTCCTCTTTCAACATAATTCATTTTGATATATACTGAGGGAAAAAAATAAGGGATCACATGAAAGGACAAGGGTTCCTTTATTTTTTTCCAAGGTTTCTTCACAAGCTTTGTATCGCATAGCTTGTGAAGAAACCTGGAAAAAAATAAAGGAGCACTTGTGCTTTCTTGTGATCCCTTGTATTTTTCCCTCAGTATATATTAATTAGGGTTTCCAGTTACCAGAGGCTGGGTTACCTTCTTACCAGCTACAACTGAGTCTTTCCTGGATTTTCACTCAGGAATCTATAACACTTCAATCACGAAGCTGGGCCTGGCAGCATTCGCAACCATTTTAGACCCATAACATTGGTCAGGTTGTGACTTTTCCATCGCTTGGTCCTTAGCATTCATTGGGTATTAACAATTATGTTTGGTGATGGAAATTGTCACATAGCGAAAATGGCACAGCCATTTATTAGTATCATTCCCTTTCGAAACTTGGGGTCACCCTCGAACCGCCACACCCTCAGCCATTACATCCACTGTTGTGTCTTTGTTATTCCTTCAGCATGGTCCGCTGTTCTCAGGAAGGTGGGTTCTTGGTGCTATATCATGTAATACATAATCATTAATGCCTTACAGCTTGTCTCTTCAGAGGCTTGGCCTTGTCCAAAGCCTTGTTAGCATCCTCGTACTCGACCAGCAGGCAGGTCCGCCTCAGCAACATGTCCTGGGGACAGACACAGCAAATTTGCAATACAGCGTGAATAAAGACATTGAGACTGATGTCAGTGTAATGGTTGTGTATCACCATGGTTACCATGGACCTTCTGATATGAAGTCGAAAGCCTTGACCACATAACCAAAGTGATTGAGTTTAGTTTTACGCCGCACACAGTAATATTCCTGTTACATGGCGTCAGCAGTAAATAATCAAGTCTGGACCAGACAATCCAGTGATCAACAGCATGAGCATCAATCTACACAATTGGGATACAATGACATGTACCAGCCAAGTCAGCGAGCCTGACCACCCGATCCCGTTACTCACGTCTTACGGCAAGCATGGGTTACTGAAAATCAATTCTAACCCGAATCTTCATGGGCACCAAAGAGGTTAACCCCCGTCAGCAAGTTGACAAAGTAAGTATGTCATCTGTGGGATGACTCATGCCACATTCGCAATAGCTGCAAGGTACATCTAGTAGCTACTCTTAGCAGTTTCATACTCAGGGGCCCAATCCACAAAGCGTTCGAAGCACCACGTCATTCGTAAGCCTATGGTAAACTATATAGTTATGATAGCTCGTAACATTATGAATGCTTTGTAGATTGGGACCCAGGGCCCTGTTTCACAAAGCAATCTTAGCGCTACGACTGTCGTAACTCATTGTTAAAGTATAGGAGATATGATAGCATAGCGCTATGATCATTTGTGAAACCCTGTCCAGGATGGTTAATCACCATTTTAAACAACCAGTACTGACCAGCAGTTTAGTTTACAAACAAACACTTTTGCATCACTGAGCACAAGTACAGCTGAAACCTTCCCATCAGTTAATAAGAAAACGGTCAAACATCTCAATGGAATCAACTTATCTAGTCCAGTCGTAATCCACCCATCAATAGAAAAAGGAGACACCTACCTTGATAGAATCACTGTATCTAGCATACAGGTCCAGCTGAAGGCCCAATGTCCTCTCATCATTGGAGCAAAGAACTTCAAGACCATGCTGAAATACATCAGTGGATAGATATTCTATTGTAGTCTGTTCAGGGTGAAGCTGGTACTCAGGTTTGCATTAACCCTTCACTTTATTGACTTGGGTGCTACCAAGTGCTAAGATTGTAATACTTCCAATACTTTAATATGGATTTACAACAGGATGTTTTGTACACTGGTTGGGTCTCTTACAGCTTTCATGATGCTCTCCAAGACAAGACATAGAATATTATTATTAAAATCATATTACTGATGCCAAGAAAGAAAAGAATGGATGATACTTTTTATGACAATTGTGTTGATGCCAACATTTATCAAGCAAGTGATGAAGGAAGAATCTTGTTATAACTTTATTTTCGGGGTGGGTGATTTCTACCCATAAATCATTGTTTGAGCTAACTGTAACTAAATCAAGCTACTTTACATATCCACCTTATTTGCAACTGGATAAAACATTTTAAACATTGTACCTAAATGAATTGCCCATCTTAACCTCATCTTCAATGCAAAGCTTACCCTTGAGTCATTCAAGGCATCACTGAGTTTCATAAACACCCTGAAAAATAAAACAAATAAGTTAAACTGACTGACTGACTGACTGAGTTTGGTTTTACGCCGCTTTTAGCAATATTCCAGCAACATCACGGCGGGGGACACCAGAAATGGGCTTCACACATTGTACCCATGTGGGGATTCGAACCCGGGTCTTCGGCGTGACGAGCCAACGCTTTAACCATTAGGCTACCCCACCGCCCCAATAAGTTAAACAATATGTTAACTGAAAAAATGAGATATCTCACATCTAATATATTCAGATTAGCTGTCAAAGCAAAATCAGATAAAATTGTGGTGACAAAATGTTACATAAGTGGTCTATTTCAGCAAAGGGTACAGTCCAAAGACCAATTAGTTCAATCCCCGGCCATGTCATACCAAGAGATGTTAAAATATGGTACTTGTTGGTCCCTGCCTTGTGCTTGGCATTAATGGGTACAACAAGGATTGGTCAGCTCGGAGTCAGTATAATGTGTCTGAGTGGGGTATTCATGCTTCACTGCGGCATGGTTTCTCAGTGAGCTAGCACTATAAAACCAGCTTAAGTCTTGGCTAGTACAAGCAGCCACACATACACATGCATGCACGTTGTCATATGAGCGAAATATTCTTAAGTATGACGTTAAACCCGATTGTGCCTCACCTCCAAAGAGCAAACCTACTGCCCCACCCACTGCCCTTATAATAAATGACCAGTCCTGAAGCTGCTTAAGTTGTTTTGTGTTGACCTGTAACATCAATGACCTGTCTGAGGTCAATTTCCCATCTTTGAAGCCCATTTTGTCTCACCCTCACTAATTCACCAACCAACAGAGTAATCTGTCCACTCACTCGCTCACTCACTCACCAAACCAGCCAGTCTTTCATCCAATCATGCGCTCCTTCACCCACCCACTTTTTAACTCATTCAGTCATTCACTCAATCACCCTCACTAACTTACCATCCCACCATATTTTCACTCACTCACCCATCCATCTAATGACTCATGAGTGTGAATGACAGAGTGTAATTGCACCTAGTGCCTACAGTTATACTTTGACAAACACACCTGTTTATTTTTACACTTACACTTTGACAAACACACCTGTTTATTTTTACACTTATACTTTGACAAACACACTTGTTTACTTTTACAGTTGTACTTTGACAAACACACCTGTTTATTTTCACAGTGGCATCGTCCTTGTTGGCGCCGGTCCAGGTGAGCGCCGTAGCCAGGTGGGTGTAGCTGCTGGAGACTCCTGGCAATACAAGACACATGGTCTCATGACATCACCCACTGGCTTTACATTTTACATGGTATATATGTGGTGTTACCAATATTCATTTTCCAAAACAAAAATAGGACTGGTCAACAAGCTATACTAAATGCATAATGGTTGTAGCAAAATGAAAAGATATACTTACTGTATTGAGCACATACAATCTTGTTAAAGTTCTGCAATAAAGAACGATCACTGTTATAAAGAAATCCAGTTAAGTACTCACAGTCTATTTCCTGTTCATTATCACACATTTTTGTTTGTTTAATGCTGCACTCAACAATATAATCCACCTATATGTCAGCAGTCTGTAAATAATCAAATCTGGACCAAGCAATCCAGTGATCAACATCATGAGCATCAATCCATGCAATTGGGATACCAACTCAGCCAGCCTGACCAACCAATCCCATTAGTCGCCTCTTATGACAAGCATCAGTTGATAAAGACCAATTCTAACCCGTTTTAAGTAATAGCAGATTAAATATGTACATACAATGGATGCTTCCTTTACAGCCTGCGACCATTTTGTTGCCCACTCTCGCTTGTTGTGGAAGTATTCATCAATGTCCTGCAAGCCAAACACAAAGATTATGGGTGATATAAGGACAGTTTGGGGTTCAGTATCCATAGAAACAAGAATATATGTCCCTCAACAATATCTCCATGCATGGAGGAGAATATAAAAGTCACATTTCACAATAACTTTACTGTCATTTAACTTCACTCTATGTATTTCCCTTTCTCTCACTTCATTTATTCATTCACTCATTCTTTCCTTCATTCTCTCATTTCTTCTCATATATATCCATTTTGTTTAATCCTTAAGTCTCACTTATTCCTTCTCTATCACTCACTACTCCTTTCTTTCACTCATTCCTCCACTATTACTTGTTCACTCTTTCAGCCATTCCTTCACACTCATTCCCTCACTACCACTCAACACTCTTTCACTTATTACATCACTGTTTCATTTAAGAACATGGACTCACTCGATGTCCACCTTTTCTTGCTCCATCCATTGCTGAAGACAGTTTGCCAAACAAACCCTTCTTGACCTTCACACGAACAGGAGGCTAAAACAAATGATGAGGAATCAAGTGTTTGAAAAAAAGGATGAACAGCTCAAATCTCTGGGTACAATACTCCAATGATTATTCTCTTATCTTAGCAGGCCTAAAGAGTATGTAAAAAACATAACCTTAAACCTAGATTAAACTACCTGTGTTGAAAATATAACACATAACTTAATAAAACTGCATATCTGTGATTGTGTAATGTGGTCTATTTGAAGAGTGAATAGCAATAGCAATATTCAATATGTGGGTGAACAATCAGTAAATAAGTAATTTTCAATATGGTTACCATGACGGCCATTTTAAAAATCAAATCAGAATTCATGTAGGACCTACATGATTTGTGGAATATTGACGAAAAGTTTCTATTCAAGAACCTTCAGACAAAATTTAAAACCAACCTCCTTTTCTGAAAGGAATTTTTCTAAACTGGCATCACCTCCAAATGCCTCATGTTGCAACATAAGCTGTAAATACCTGAAATAGAATTAACACAGTTTGTTGTTTTTTTGAGCAGTTAATCAGTTTTATTACCCATAGGTAAACCAATAACTGAGTTCATAAAAATCGTATTTACACTAAAGAAAAACAAACTACACCAGTGTAATAATTACTTGATCCACATGGCATTGTCCACACCATTAGAATCTCATTATTTTTGTTTGTTTGTTGTTTAATACAGCGCTCAGCAATATTCCAGCTATATAGCAGCGGTCTGTAAATAATCAAGTCTGGACCAGACGATCCTGTCATCAACAGCATGAGCATCGATCTACGCAATTCAGAACCGATGACATGTGTCAACCAAGTCAGTGAGCCTGACCACCCGTTAATCGCCTCTCATGACAAGCATGGGTTGCTGAAGACCAATAATAACCCGGATCTATCACAATAGAAATGACATCATTGCTGAAGACTGTTGTCATCAATGCATTATTCTACTGAAAGTGGGCAATAGAGAGCTTTGTATTACAGACGTGTAGTAAGTTCTCTATTGCCCACTTTATGCATTTAACTTTTAAGGGGGTTCAAAGGCAATCAAATGGGCAATAGAGAACTTACTACACATTTCTATTCTACTTGCGTGTAATACAAAGCTCTCAGTCAGCAGATTGAAGAAATCAGACGCTCATTTTGTAAAATCAGGATTATATATATATTCATATAACTCTCGTATATCACACATAATAGTGCGTGCGTGCGTGCGTGCGTTGGGTTTTACATCACTTTTAGCAATATTCCAGCAACCTCACAGTGGGAGACAGCAGAAATGGGCTTCACACATTAAAGCCATGTTGGGAATTGAACCAGGGCCTTCAGCATGACAAGCAAATGCTTTAACCACTGGGCTGCCCCACTGCCACCCATCGGGGCATTACTAAACTATCCCGGTCAGCAGGTTTGACACTTACTTTTCCATTGTCCGACAGTCCTTATGAAATTCATCTCCTTTGAGAATCTTAGTGTCGTTACCAAGCTGTTTCTTTGACTTGTTTTCTGCACTGCGTGGATCCATCTCTGGCCTGTTTGGGAGGGGCGGTATCTGTTAAGAGGTCAAATATTCGAGATTCCATGTACATTACATTGCCTAATATAGAAGAAAAATAGAATATAGAAAATGGAATAAAGAAGAAGAAGCAATTTACACAGTATAACTATATCCTCAATAATCTCCAGGGTATACGTTCCAATAAATCTCCACTAGTACCCTGGATGCATCTACGGCTCGGCCCGATAATTGTATTACCTCCCTTTGCTGGTGACGTTAATAAGCCGTTACAACCGAACTTGCCAGTGTCAACAAAGATGGCGGCCACAGCCGCGAAGATTTGCACGCTGTGTGACTCAGGTTTACGGAAAAAATTATACAGACAAATTGACAGGTATGAAACCTTAAAAAAATATATGCAAGAACTCCTTCTGTTACTTTCAGGGTACCTCTTCAACAATTGTATTGCCATGTTTAATCGGTTAGATAAAAGAAGTGGAAGCGAATTACGATAGAAGCCTTGTGATTGGAACACTTGACACCTTATTGGATAAAAAGCCAGCAAAGGGAGGTAATACAATTATCAGGTCAAGCCGTAGTTGCATCCAGGGTACTAGTGGAGATTTATCAGAACGTATACCCTGGAGATTATGGAGGATGTGTAACTTCAGAAAACAATAATTAGTGACATCGTGTAATCCCAAATATAACAGATGTGGCAATACTTCAGTTTGAAAAGAAAATATATTTCACTATCAGGCCAGCTTTTTTCTTTAACAGAATTCAGTTGGCAAAAAACAAAGGGAAAGGAGTGAAAGGGCAAAATTCAGGAATTTATCTAAACGCTTGGCTCTAAGTCTGCTGATAAATGTCAGCAAAAATTCCCAAACTGGCACTAAAGATCTGCCAGTTCATGTCATCGCTGTAATAACTAACTGAGTGAGTGAGTGAGTTTAGTTTTACGCGTACGCCGCACTCAGCAGTATTCCAGCTATATGGCCGCGGTCTGTAAATAATCGAGTCTGGACCAGACAATCCAGTGATCAACAGCATGAGCATCGGTCTGCGCAATTGGGAAACGATGACATGTGTCAACCAAGTCAGTGAGCCGGACCACTTGATCCCGTTAGTCACCTCTTACGACAAGCATAGTCACCTTTTGTGGCAAGCATGGGTTGCTGAAGACCTATTCTACCCCGGATCTTCACGGGTATGCAATAACTAAGCTCTGCAATGATGATTTGCATTTTATTGATGACTGAACCAATAAACAAGTAGCAGATTAAATGTTCAGGTTTAAACTTTTACACTGAATGAAATAAGAATATATAAATTAAATATGGATTTTTAACATTTTTCCCCAGTTTATCTGCCAATAGCACTTAAGTAGTCCTTGATTAGTCCCTTAGACTGATTTCATAATTAGCATCTGTGAAAAAAATATTTCAACCAAATTATGTGAAAAACTACCTTTCAAACTAACACTGCATTTTCTTTTTCACAATAGAAATGTACAGCCCTGGCCTACACAAGAAAGAAAATTGTAAAGATGCAATAATTATATTTAGACCTGAACATTCTGCGATAACATTTTCTCAACTCACAATAATTCCGTCTGTTTCATTCTGGGTCAACAAGCAATGATGCAGCCACTCAATATCCTCAAACACCCGGGTCACAACAAAGCCCTTCTCCGAGTCACACCTGGACGACATAACAGTAAACTGTATCGCGTCGCCATCTTTAACAGCGTCTGTCACTTGCACAGTAAAACGTGGAGAAAAAGGAGCATGTTTTGTTGGAGTGGAGTCCGCAGAGCTACCCGTGTCTGACCCGTTCATTAAGTTGTTTGAAGAATCATCCTGGAAATGGAAACATGTAAGACAAATTTTAACCATCTATGAAGTTCTTTATCAATATGTTGTTTGTGACAAGATACAGTAAAATGGGTCTTAAAGTCACATTCAAGATTTTTGCATTCATATCTTGGTTGGTTTGTTGTTTAACGCACCACTAAGCAATATGCAAGCTATAAGCAGGGTTTTACATGACGCATGATTCCTGCGTATTTGACGCAATAATTTTGTAAAAGACTCTCAAAATATTATCATACGAGTCAAGCTTGACGCAAGTTTTATGAGTTACCCTCACAATTCAGTTCAGAGTCAATGAAATCGATCTGACAAGCAAACAATGATAGTTTTCGTGAGGTCTTCATTAATTTAGATTTTTCTTTCAATTCATGTTAATAACTGTATGTTACAGTGAATAAATCACAAGCCTGATTATTTGTTCAGTATAATAGAGTTTGTTATGACTGAACTGAACTGTGAAAAATATAGTGTTTATTAACTAACATATGGATGAGAATACAAAACAATAAAATCTTTGCCTTCTGATATACACACATAAATATTATGCTAAAATTTTAATGACTCCCAAATATTGAAAATGACTCCCAAAAACAAAATACTGTGGGTCACCATGACTCTCTTTTTTCAAAGTCTGTGTAAAGCTACATTGCCTCATCCTGCCTCCCTTACACATGAATATTTACAGTTACCATCTTTCACCAACACAAAGATAGCACACAGGGTGAATGAGTGAGCTATTTGAAGTCCTGTAATTTCCAATAAAGGGCTTCGCTGGAAATCAGCCCCTCAGCAATATTCCAGCTGTATGGTGGCGATCTGTAAATAATCAAGTCTGGACCAAACAATCCAGTGATAAACAGCATGAGCATCAATCTACGCATTTGGGATACAATGACATGTGTCAACCAAATCAGCGAGCCTGACCACCTGATCCCGTTAGTCGCCTTTTGCGACAAGCAAGCTAGGGTTTCTGAAGACCAATTCTAACCCTGATCTCCACAGGTCAACAAAACATGAGGACGAAGCAACCTGAAATGAACAGTCATCTGATCCCACTGCCTCATGAAGGACAGCCATCAGCTAGTTTACTTAGAGATTTATCATGAATTCCAAAGTAAGTGACCTTGTCAGGTAATCTGACGAAAAATTATTACTAAGTCACCTGTACAAAGTCATAAATATCAGAACAATGTAACAATGGCTGGGAAATTGTAATTCAAATTTGGGAATATTTACTGTCTTTGACTTGTGCTGAATATTGACCTCTGGGCTGACCCAGAGGTTATCCCTGACATATTGCTTAATTATGGAACACATGACAATGCATACATCAATTTTCAGGCAAAATGATTCACTGCCCCTGTCACATGTTTATAAGTCCTTGGTGATGGAACACTCAACAGTTGAGTTAAAAAGGGCATTTTGTGGGGTTTAAAGTTTGATTTAACTGTTAGGTTACTTCCCAGATGAAGCGTACAAGGGGAACAGACAAATAAGATGCACATATACTCAAAACACAGGTGTTGCCATCACTGAGCAATGTCTGTAAACATATTGTCCAGGTAGGGAAGTTACAAAAGTATTGGTTGAAGACACACAGAATGAAACCTCGCGTAATCTTTCAACTGTTTCAATGCATAATACAAAAAAAATAACATACAAAATACATGGAAAGGGTTTTAGTATTATTTAATCAGACTAAATTAACCACACAAACACACACACACACACGCTTACACACACTCCCCCCCATACAGTTTAATCTGATTTATCAGCTGTTGTGGCTTGCCTCGCTGCTCATTCCGCTCTCTCATGCTCCCTCAAGAGCTTACTTGGAGCATGTTTGTTTCAAATATTAACCTATGAAGCTTGCTATATCTGTTTCAGTAGATGTTGGACAGTTGGCCAAAGCAGCATCTCTGAAACAGAATGTTTGCTGTCAACACATGGCTTTAAAGCAATTGTAATGATTGTATAAAAATGAGTATTTACATTTTTATGATTATTTTACTACCCAAACGTTAGACACTAGCATCAGATAAGCAAAGCAGCATATTACAACGTCATCTGAATCTCAATCATACCGAGTAACAAAAACATGGTCCATAAAGAAGCAGCAACAGGTTTACTTGATAAATCTGAGTGGGCTTAGAACAAATGCAGAAATGATTGTGATGTCCTGTGGTCAAAAATCATAATCTGACCTTTGACTAAACCAGTTGTTTCACTTGGACATGTTTATGTGGTCCCAAGTGCTATCATATTAATAACAGTAGTGTTGTGTATTACTTTAGAAGGAAAACTTTTCACCTCTGATCAGTTTCTACAGTCTTGTTGTAGAAAAGCTTCTCTTGTTTCCAATTCCTTTTACATTGTACTGACCCATGGCCAAGGGTTAAAACTCAACAGTTGGTCTGATGCATGTCTTTGCCGCCAACCCATTTCTGTGCTTGAAGCTGCAAAATAATATTAAGATTTATATGCTGTCACTTGGCAACATACATTAACAAATTTTATGCCAGGAGTACATGCCACCAGTATTTTCGTAAACATAAAAATTAAATACAGATCAATCAACCTTTACCATTAATGAAATACAACAGGAATTTATTACCAACCAAATAAAATCAATTTGTCAAATTGTGCAACTGATTTCATCTGGTTAAATTGTATGATACTTTCCAAAGATGCGGGCGTCATTTACAGAGAATTTTTTTACTAACAATATATACTATTTACAAGACTGAAAATTGTGTATTTCTTACAGTTGACCCAAAAATTAGAAATGGTTAGTTGCCTTTTAATGGCTTTATGACACATCTTCATTTCTTGTTTAAAAGTTGTATACGATATTTACTTGTGAGGGGGCTGACATTTGTTGTGAGGAATCATGGTCTGGGTGCTGGGAAAGGGACATATTGTTTACGCTATAAAATACATCTGTAACTGGAGTCACCGACTTGAATGTAATATTATCCCCTGAGTTCCTGTACATCGCTGATAAGCAAGAGTGCCTCTGTGACCAGATCTGTGTCGACAGATTGGATACAGGGCAGAGGAAACAGGGAAAATTCCTATATTTGAAAACATGCCTACAGTTTGGTCATTTAATAAATGGTAAAATTATAGTTAAGTAAATAGTCATAGGAATTTGTACTGTTGCAAACTAAGAATGAACGTTCACAAGACACGATACAGAATTTGACTGGAATTCTTAAGTGATGATTTATCAGGTTAACTGTGCAATTTGACGTTTTTAGAACAATAATGTGAATACACATACCTCCTCTTAGAAAACTGTAGTCTTGTCACAAGAGTAAAATGAACAGTCTTCTATATCCAGCAGTGTGGCGGAACTTCCCGCCTGCTATGTACAGAGTCCGATTTTGAATGCAGGATAGCTGCTCTGACCTGATAAAGTATCTGGGAACATTCCTGAGACTGCTGACACCAAAACAAGAGATAGCAAGTTGTCCACACAGGGAAGGCTGAACTTAAACGCACAGCAGTAAATGGGAGATTATATTTGCAATAAAATGTTGCATTTATAGTAAATAGTATTGTACAAAATTAGTCATTGTAATGAAACACATGACATACTATTCCACTTGACCAAATTTTCACAAAGGTTTTCTAGAACTTATAATTTCTCATAAATATTTATGTTCAGGCGTATTTGCATAACAATTATTTTTCAAATTAATATACATTCCTGCAGTGAACAGAAACATCCTTATCAGGGAAAATTTACCTCAAAATGTTTCAATAATGATTGTAGACCATTGTGATAAGGCTTCAATCAAACTTTAGGAAAACCTCCACCAGTGTTTCAATAACGTTTCTTAAAGGTTGGTGTGTAGAAGTTTTGATTTTCTTTTTTGATAACTTTTTAATAACGTTACTCGGAACGTTTTCATAACGTTTCAAAACAAAGCATCACTTGTCGTTGACCTTTGGATGTAGTACAGCTACGTTGCAGCGACGTGGCCATGTGAATGGAAAACCGAACCAGAAAGCGACTGGTCTGCCACGTCCATACAACGTCGCACTGCGACTGCGACATGGCGACCTCAATGTGACCTGACAGCGACGTAACAAATACGTCGCCGGCCTGCTGGGTTATGGTTACCCGATGGAAAATAGGATCACATCAGTCAAGGTTTATCATTCATATCAGATCCTATGATTGTTCTAATGTCCTTACTTCTGTCATAAAATTACTAGTATAGGATGAAGCATAATCACAAATCATAAAATGTTTCCAAATGGGTTGAACAACTAACTCAAGCGTTGATATCTAGCAACTATTTTACCTCTACCATCAAATATTCATCATCTACAAGCCATAATTATGCAGAGTTAATTACAATTCACGTGCAAACGAGAAAATCGTTAAAATCAATGCATTGTCAATGACGATTGAGATACGGTAGTGGAGCTGTCAAATCCAGTTCAATTTGGTTCCTATTTGTAAGAGTTGGAAAATCAGCCCATAAATAACCTACTCTAGATTTGTAATTACACCCAATAAATGAAAACAAATAACGAATAAAACAGCAGTCATAACAGTCCATCAAACATTGTTATAATCAGCTGATAATGTCAGTGGAGAAAGCTATACATAAACGTCAACAAAAAGGGGGCGTGTCAGCGGCTTCACGAGATCTTTCGGACAAGCATTGACAAACAGCAACATTAATTAAGGAAAACATTCATCGTAATTTACCATTTAGACTGTATTTGTAATTAGGAGACGGATTCTCGGTGGTTGACAAATTCTGATGGACGTTTCCACCCGTTCATCGACTTATTTCCCGGAGAAGGCGTCGTTTTCGTCCTTGTTTGTTATTTCCACCGCTAGATGGCCGTCCCGCGGGGACATCTCCGTTTTTACATACAGATAAACATTTATTTGTCCCAAATGTATTATTAATTTATGATTGTGTTGAACATTTTTTATATATGGATATACTACTTAATTTTGAATACTTTTGATTTATTAACTTCCTATTTTAATTAATCCAATTTAGGGAATGATTAAATGTACACTCCCATGAGGTGTTACTAAAAATAACTAAAGGAGAATTTATTATTTTCACAAGTGCATTGTGGTAATGGGAACTGGCATTTCTGGTTTATTGGTTGATTATATTTAGCTCTGAGCAGAAAAAAAGACATATTGGCTTTTGAAAAGTAAATATGTTGTAATATAGCAACTTGTGCGAAAAACATTTTCAAATAGTTCTTGAAACATTGCTCCTCTAGTCTCCCTAACAGAGGGGATTCCTCGATACTATTTGTCTATGAACTAGTAACATAAATAAATCTGGAAACGGTTCTCTGTCGCATAAATCATCCTTAATACCTGATCGTATCTTGTTTACGTGCTACGTTTACAACGAGATAGCATTTATGTTTAGATAAAAACACGTTTAAATGGATTTCAAATTGTTTCAAGACTGTTACCTTAAAGAAATATATCTGGTTTCATAAAGCCACACCGGACAGCGTGTTACGTATATAACGATGTTTTTAGCAATGGTGGCCGTAACTATCAATATGTTTTGGTTGTTGTTTTTCTTTGTTTTGGTGATGTGATAATTGGTCGAAATGTCACGTTGGCACTTTGATCAATTTTGTCGTTATTTCTCATGGTTTATAAACACGACAGTATCGCCTCTAAAATCGGACGTGGGGTGAAATGAACTCTATGATGGGGTGAATGTATGCATGTCTATATTAACAGCATAAATGGAAACAAGACTCCAGCTTTGAGTGACCCGTGAAGGTCCGGGTTAGAAATGATCTTCGGTAACCCATGTCGTAAGAGGCGACTAACGGGATCGAGTAGTCAGACTCGCTGACTTGGTTGACACATGTCAGCGTATCCCATTTGCGTAGATCGACGCTCATGCTGTTGATCACTAGATTGTCTGGTCCAGATTCGATTATTTACAGAGCGATGCCATATAGCTGGACTATTGCCAAGTGCGGCGTTAAACAACAAACCAACCAACCAACTTTGAGTTGCTGAGAATACTGATGTCTGTGTCAGTGACGTGTACATCTGATACAAATCATGCTAGGCTTTTCTGAAGTTTTGACAAGCACACAGTCTCGCCTAAGTCCCAGTTTCGATTCCCATAATGTGTCGTCATTGGTAAATGATGCAAACCTGTGGCAAGCTTCGATTCCGCGAAGTAAAACCCGAGCCATATTTTAAAACTCGGAGTGTTGTTTCCCTTTAATTAATGTCGTGACTATGAGTTACTGTACAGGACGGTTGGGGGCAGTGACAACTAATCTTACACTATCGACTCCTAAATATCCAATTGCCTCTCTTTTTACAGCTAAATGCACACGTATTTGCATAATTACGATATATTTGTCCCCCAATACTGTTGATTCCATACGCAGTCTGTGGACAAGGCATAGTGCTTGCTATGAAAAGATCACAGACGTTTGTTTGTATACCTGAAACATAACCATGCAGCTAAAATTACCATATACAATATTAGGTGAAACTGCATCTTTTCTAAGCCCACAATGAGTGCATTGTGTGTTTAAAGTCATTACAATTGAATACCTCTGTATATGAGTTTTAATGTGTAAGTAGTTGTTACGGATGTATGATTTGGGTTGATCTATTTTTAGGTTACCCTGACGCCATTTGGGGATCCCCAAACGTGCATGACGCCATTTTTATTTTAGGCGCCATTGTGGGTGAGCCTGCCTTGAACTAGATTTGTGCAGCTGAATCAGGTTGCAATATGACAACATAGCAACTCTATAAGAACACCTGGAATAAACATTGTGAAACATACACGATCAAGGCATACACAAGGTGAGGGATGGCGTGTTTTCTTGGATTTTGAAATCATAGTGTCGTTGTGGATTTTTGAAATGGAGTGTGATCTCGTCTCTACATCCGTGTCTACTTTTACATCCTCTGTTTACATTCAAACAGCCCCCAACTTTAAAAATTACTCAATGTTTCAGTCAGTATCTTATTGGTATGTATAAGCCAGTGAACGTATGATATGTCGCTGTAGGAGAATATTACTCGTTTGCCTTTATGTCAATGTGTAGGCAGCCAGGCTCGGACTCCTGCGAGTGGCCATCGTGATTTCCTCAAATATTACTTGGGCCGTATTGCTTACACCTAAATTTAATAATTTTGGGCTGTAGGTAATCTTGTTGTGGGAGTACTGCACTTTACCGGGCGCACTTTTTCAGATTATAATTAGCGCAGCTGGGGTTCCCTAACCCTAACCCTTACCCCTAACCCTAAGGATCGTAAAGGGTGCCTAACCCTAAGGATCGTAAAGGGTGCCTAACCCTAAGGATCGTAAAGGGTGCCTAACCCTAAGGATCGTAAAGGGTGCCATACCCTAAGGATCGTAAAGGGAGCAGCGAGGGCTGCGCCCGGTAAAGTGCATTCTAGCCCTTGTTGTTTGGTAAGACTTCTAACACTTTCTTTTAAAAATATTAAATCACACCATTAAAGAGTGCAAGGGGACTTGTAACGTAAGTTGTATTGCTGAAGATAATACGTCCTAGGAGTAGGTCCAACACTGAGTCACTGAAAGCCATTTATATACAAATACGTAAAGGGATGTAAAACACAAAGTTGACAGCCCCTCTCGAATTGTTGATTTAATTTTAGCTTGAAAACACATACTTTTTAAAGGTTAAGTGCAGATTTTATTATCCGATTTTGGGGGTGCAAGTAATTATGGAGAATGAACCTGTGCTTCAAATTAATCAAAAAGAAGTGCAATGTTGAAATAATACAGAAAGGAAAGTTAGGAAAAGGATGGGATTTTCCAACCCAGTGAATTCTTGATAAATTTGATAACCATCTGAAATATAAAGTAATCACCTCAGATGTATATTCTCAAATCATAGTTTTTTAGTTAACAATAATTAATAATGAGAATAATTTACATGTTATGCCAAAAATATTTTTATCTGAGTTTCTCATCAAGTGCACCTTACTTCAGTAGTTTCTGTCATGTGCCTCTGATAACAAGAACCAGGTCCACATCTTAAGATGAAGTTCTCATGTTGCACTTGTAGCTATGCAGATAGGAAAATCATGTTAATCTGATGCATTTCAACCAGTGTTTTCAGTTCAACCAGTGTTATCAGAGCCTCGTACCAAGAGATATAATACACACCTAGAATCAAGGGTATGGGATAAATACATTGCCACAAAACTTGTGTAATGTTTGGTAAAAGTAGTTTATTTTGGTCAAACATTTATCAAAAGAACATTGGAAGTTATAATGGAACTAAGGCTGCAATGAATACACTATGTGGCGAATATGATATATATCACAAATATTGGGTAACGAATGTGAATAATTATTCACGAATACAATATTGTAATTATGTTATTGATGCACAATCAGTGTTCACGAATGGTGTTTCAAAGTAACAGGACATTGGGTCCTGTAAGTTTAAGATGTCTGTCTGACCCATTGAAAATTCACAGGACCCATGGAATAAAATTAAACACACATTTCAGATTTAACATTTCTTATAATTGGCTTTGAAATTATCAACAAACCTAAGAAAAATTAAGATAAAATAAACAGCAAACAAGTGTCACATGTCACATATTACATCTTCAGTCAAAGTCATTGTGAAACATACAGTCGGACACTGGGGCTGGTAGGTTGTAGACTTCTATCAGACCGTTGGCAAATCTGCCGGATTTGTCAGAGGGACAGACACTGTTCGCAAACACTGCACAATGTGGACACCCATGTTGACAGTGTAAATTTGTCACAGCAATAACCAGTGATCTCATGGCACTCAAATTTGTTATGTAATAGTTATAGTCGATTTTCTTTTAATAATGTGGTTGACTACCATGTGTGGCCTTGGCAAACTAACATGACTTGCTACTGCAGTGCAAGGCTAGTACATATTCCATTCTTGCATATCTAACTTTGAAAAAGGACATAAGGGTTCAAGAAAAACACATTCCCTTAAAAAAAATCATTAATATTCAGTTTTGGTGACCATGAATAACGAATTGAATTCATGAAAGGCTACAGTTAGATTCACCGAATATGCGAGTGAATCGTAACAGCCTTAATTGGAACATTTGTAAAAATTGTGCAGGGCTATTTCCTCTTGAACCTTGCCATAGACTTTTGTGAGGTGAAATGGGGTTTAACGTCATACTTGAGAATATTTTGCTTATATGATGATGTGCATGCGTGTGTATGTATGTGTGGCTGCTTGAACTAGCCCAGATTTAAGACGCAGTGAAGCATGAATACCCGACTCAGATACATTATACTGACTCCAAGTTAACCAGTCCTTGTTGTACCCATTTATGCCGAGCGCCAGGCAGGGACCAACAAGTACCATATTTTAATGTTTTGTTTGGTATGACGTGATCTGGGATCAAACCCACAACCTTCCGCTCTCTGGGCAGACGCTCTAACCTCTACACCACAGAGGCGGTCATAGACTTTTGTGCTTGATCCTTACTAACTGTTAAGAATGTATCGAAGTGTACTTTTATTGCTTACTTTAAATACAAGCATATCTTTTTGCAGGCAGAATTGTATTCATGAGAAATATCTACATGATCTAGTGTTAGTTCTAAGTAATATTGAAAAGTCTGAGTATGTTTTATAACTGTTAGGCAATTGTATCAAGTAATGAGTTGACAGTTTTGGGTTGATTTTAATTATCAATGCTTAGATTTGATTGTCTTAAGATGTATATGTTTTATATTTTCAGAATAACCCTTACGCTTTGTTGGTAGTACAGTGATGTTTGGACAAAAGCCAATGGGTTTTGGAACTGGATTTGGTGGAGGCACTTCTTGTAAGTATTATTTGAAATAACTTGTAGTCTCACTATGTTGACATGTTTAACTATCTTGAAGTGAAATAAATAATTGTCTCAGTGTTGTTGTGTGCAAAGTGAAAATCCCAGCTTGTTCCAAGACACTTATTATATTACTGGTGATAATCACCTGTGAAGATCCAGGTTAGAATTGGTCTTCAGCAACATATGCTTGTCGTAAGAGGCGACTAACAGCACCAGGTGATCAAGCTCGCTGACTTGGTTGACACTTGTCATGGTATCTGAATTGCCAAGATTGATGCTAATGCTGTTGATTACTGGATTGTCTGGTCTAGACACAATTACTTACAGACCTCCATATTGTTAGAATAATGTTGTGTGTTGTGTTAAACAATAAGCAAAGTAATGATAATGTATACTTGCCATTATCTTTTGTCGTGATATAACCCATGGAGATCCGTGTTAGAATTGGTCTTCAGTAACCCATGCTTATCGTAAGAGGCGACTAACAGGATCAGGTGGTCAGACTCGCTGCCTTGGTTGACAAGTGTCTTTGATGTAGTGCGAGAAGTATACCCATGTGGGGATTTGTAGTTAGAACCATTGCTGGACATTAGCGGCAACTAAGTATATAAGCTGGTCAGGTTTGGTGACCTGGTTGATTGTATGTGATCATTGTTTGCAATATCAGCCACAGGATTAGATTCTTGAGAGGCATTTAGAAGTTGGTGGCTATATAAGTCGAGTATATGGATGGCAACTTCTTGTTTATTTTATATCACAACGTTTCTGGGCTACTTCTTGCCCCTGATCAATCACCCGAAGAAGGGGCAAGAAGTAGCCCAGAAACGTGATATACAATAAACAAGAAATCACCTGAAGAAGGGGCAAGAAGTAGGCCAGAAATGTTGTGATATACAAAACAAGAAGTTGCCATCCATATACTCGACTTATATAGCCACAGGATTGTCTGGTTCATGTTCAGTTATTTAGAGGTCGCCTTCTTACAGCTCGAATATTGCTGCATGGCAACATGTACACATACAGTAATCATACACAGAGAGGTGAAACATCTGTATTTTACACCTGTACCTCTAAGTGCATTCAGCTGCCGCCAATTAGCATTTGTTTTCCTCGTCGATTTTGTTGTCATTTGTAAGTCATCATTGAATATATCTTTGAATTCTTTTGCAGCCACATTTGGAAGTTCGACACCATTTGGACAAAGTAAGGGATTTTCTTAATAATTAATCTAGTCCGTGTTTGAGAAATGAAGACAGGTTAGCTGGATCAGATAGAAAGTGTTTACATAAAATTTTCGTAAAAAAAGTTAAACATCAACGGCGACATGCCGAATCGTTGCTTTGTCGTCAATTGCTCCTAGAAATGTCGGCGATGGTGTCCCACATGCACAGATTTCCACAGGGCCCGCGGTTAGTGCTAAATGGGTTATGTTTGTGAGTCTTGAAGCGGCGTTGTGGAAACCTGAAACGATATCTTACTTGTGTTCCAGATAAACTTCGCGGAAGTTAAAGAATCAAAACTACTTACTAGTTGTAGTAAAATATGCATATGATTTATGACCATAAAGATTTTCTATGAAACAACTTGTAACATAACGATTTCTTCCCTCGAGGCGAGGTTGTGGTCAAAGTAACAATAATATTGTAAGTAGTATTATATGACACCCACCTGCTGCCAGGAAAGAAATTGTTATGTTATCTGCTATGTCATGCAAAATCCTATTGGCCATCAATAAAATACATATTTTACTACCAGTAGAAAGTAGTTTTGATTTTAGTAACTTCGGTGAAAACAAACCTAAATACCATTTATCCTCAGACTGGCGGATGTTCCCGACGAGGTAGCATCATATTTAAAAATAAAAAAATCTGTTAGAATTAATGAGATTATAGTTTGTTTTCATCAGAGTTAGAAACCAAGACTACTTTCTACTCGTAGTTAAATATGTATTGGAATCAAAACCAAGCGGATTTTGCATGACACAACTTATAACAAAGCGATTTCTTCCGCAGGCGAGGTGGGGTTCGAAGTCACAATACTGCTGCGATAAATTTCTTGCTACATTCCCATGGTTAATGTCCACTCACCAGTATGTAGATACTAGTCAATGTGCGTCTTTATATTTGGTCTTATAATCCTAATTAAATACTTGTATGCATTTTGAAACTAAATAAAAAGCAGGCGATCTGCTGATACTTATAGTGAATTTATAACAGAACTGTAATATCTAGACATTATATAGTTTGCCAATGTGAATCATAATTCGCGCACACCCTAGTGCATGTTGTCTGTCTCATTACACTTCACGGCGAAAACAATGATTCTGTTGATATGCTCACGACAAATGAATAAAACAAAATGCAAATATTAAAATTAAAACAGATTAAAGTTATAGGAACAATATCAGGCCATTACCTTGTTAGGAATGTATCCATCAATATCCACAAAACTGTTCCAAATGATGTGTCTTATAACAGTTTAATATCTGAAAAAGTGATAAATCTTTTCAGGTATTGGTGTATAGTCTCATTGGTCACCAAGATAGCACACCTGGCAACTAATTGCATAATGTCCGCCTTTCTTTAAAAACAGTAATTTAGTTAGCCAATAATGGGCAATCAATCAATGTATTGCGGTTAATCCTTTGAAGAAGAGCGTTGTTTTCATGAACACCGACCGACAGAGTGTATTCAGTATAGATTAGTAAATCTACATACATAAACACTACCTTTTGACAATTCGGCTGTGTAAGATAAAAGTAATCAATCAGCGTGTTATCGGTTAATCCTTTGATCGATGTTTATAATGTTGAATATTTACTCCAGACACAAGAAATGCCAAATGGGAACCTTTGTCGGGTAATCTAAGTGTGTTACCACTAATTATACCTGTTATAAATTCATTAACTGACCATCAAATGAATGATGACAAATAACATGTGTAGGTTTATACCACCTAACACGGGGTTACAACAAGGGAGTATTAATTGCTGTATTAGTGTGAAAACCAATGGGCCGACACTGTTTGAGAATACAAACAGATTTTTACATGACATGATTAAATATCGAGGTAAAAAAACACAGAAATGGGATCAATTTGGATCAGTCATTATACAAATAGGGCCCTACTGACACCAATGTCGATTTTGACAGAATCGTCTATGAAAACAAGTTGTAACTCAGAAACTAGGCAAAGCAGGAGACAAAATTAAATGACAGTAGATTGTGAGAACATATAGCTTTCATTTTCCACAACAATTGTCCGCGATTTCATGTTTATACAAGCCTGTAAACAAGATAATTCAAGATTACATGACAATAAGCCCAGTGGACAACCAGAATTATATTTGAGGCCTGAGCAATCTACATGATCTATGCTTGTGAATGTCAATATAGGCACCTCAAGAGGATAAGGTGGTCGGGCCAAGGAATGTCAGTCACTGTTGGGTCCAGACTTATGAGTGTTGAATGGCTGTGTGGAGTGTTAAACAACAAATAAACAACAGGAATTTAGACTGATGCATGTGTGAAAACCTATTTAAAAAATCTGCATGTCATAACTTTACCATGTGGGATTGTGTTCTCTGACATGATGATGAGCTGACCAATCCATCTTTATTCCATGATGAGGGATAATTGTAAATTGGATGTGTATAAGTCATATGCATTAGTCATATTAAATTTGGTACAGTAATTGAAGCCCATTTCTGTTCTCCCTCATTGGTGATATTGCTGGAATATTGCCAAAGTGAACCCCCCCACCCCCCAACCTTGCATAATGACAAGATTTCTCAAATGTTGAAAAGTCAATTCCTGACTCTAACTTATCTATTGGTCATTCCATGATCTGTTCCAGACAACAACTCATTCGGGAACAAGCCAGCTGGAGCTGCAGGGTTTGGAACACCAGCCTTTGGATCAACAACTCCAGCTGCAGGAGGCTTGTTTGGCGCCAACAACAACACAAGTGCTGGAGGCTTGTTTGGTCAGAATAATGCTGGCACGTTTGGGAACCAGTCAACTGGATTCAGTAAGTTGTTATGAGAAATAGTGCAAATATGGATGATTAGAATGTATTTTTCCTACAATGTCAAATGGATTTTCTGTTAATAAGCACCAAATTCTGACTTCTGTTGAAGAATATGTGTCCCATGCCTGTCATGTATTTTGATTGAATGACCAGATTTATATGATTTCATGTTGTTGCATTTTCCTTTAAATCAAATTTTTTACTCCAATATGTCACGACACTGCTGACACACCATGAAAAACTGGAATACTGTTCAGGGAGGTGTTGAACCCAACTCAGATTTTCAGACACTCAAGAATATCCATTGTTGTCTCTATTATCGCAGACCAACTCCATGGTGTAGTGGTTAGAGCATCCACCTGGAGAGCGGAAGGTCGCGGGTTCGATCCCCGACCACGCCATACCAAAAGACGTTAAAATATGGTACTTGTTGGTGCCTGCCTGGCGCTCAGCATTAATGGGTGCAACAAGGACTGGTCGGTTCGGAGTCAGTATGATGTGTCTGAGTGGGGTATTCATGCTTCACTGCAGCATGGTATCAGTGGGCTAGCACTATAAAACCAGCTTCAGTCTGGGCTAATACAAGCAGCCGCACATACACATACACACGCATGCACGTCGTCATATGAGTGAAATATTCTCAAGCACGACGTAAAAGCTAATTTCACCTCCTCTATTATCGCAATGAACAGTTGTAAAATGTCACTAGCCTACAACAGATATCTTAAACACAGGCCATAGGTCAAGAGTTGACCATATCTGTGACACAACACAGGTTGTTACCTGCCAAGTGAGCACTGCCATTCAGAAACGTTTGATGTCTAAAAAGTTATTATCCGACGATACTAAGTTTCACATCAGTTACTAATTTTGAGTCTTTGAGGGCACATTTGAATATTGAATAACATGTTATTCACAATAAAGAAGTTGACATCAATAAATCTTGCTTTTCATAACTTTATGAGCTACATAAAGTAAGGCACATATTTTCTTCAGACTTTGGCAACACTCCCAGTACATCCAGTGGAGGGGCGGGAGGGTTGTTTGGACAGACACAGACCCAGTCAGCAGGTGGGCTGTTCTCAACACCACAGTCAACCACATCAGCTTTTGGAGCCAAAACGCCAGGATTTGGTGGTGAGTGAGAATAAGTGCTTATGTCATGAAAACAGCAGTGTATAGATGTATAGGCAAATATAGACGTACCTACACCGAAACGTTGCACTCATTGCAATAAAGAAGTTGATTATCCATAGAACTTGGTTTTCCTTCAATGGTTGATATGCTAAAACATGTTGCATCTGTTTTCACTTGTTTTGAAAGTTACTGACATTTTTCATTTTCCTGGTCAGGATTTGGAACTTCCACGGCTCCTTCAGGGGGATTGTTTGGCCAGCAGAACCAGACAAACTCAGGGGGAATGTTGTTTGGTCAGGCTGGAGCAGCAGGTGAGTGTTCAGTACCCATCCTTCTACAGAATTCAGATCTAGTGAATTTGATCTGTTGGCTTATAAGGACTGAGTTTTGAGTGAAAAGCTGATTACAATAATATATGTCCCAAGTGGAGCGAGGATTTTCTGTTATTAAGATGCATATTAATTCTGTGAATACTTTAAAGTACCCCATGGTATGTATCATTAAGATGATATAACTAGAATACTGTTTAAAATGGTGTTAAGCCCAGCTCACTCTTACTCATTCATGCGTGGGCGTTTCATATATGGTCCATTTGTAGCTGAGACTATGAGTGAGTTTAGTTTTATGCCACTTTTAGAAATATTCCAGCAATATCACAGTTGGGACACCAGAAATGGGCTTCACACATTGTACCCATGTGAGGATTCGAACCTAGGTCATGGGCATGACAAGCAAACAATTTCACAACTAGACTACCCCACCACCCCCTGAGACTATGATATGCAAACTGCATTATCCCAGTACTTTTTTAATCAATATCATATGAAGTGACTAAATGCTGTGTTTAGTGTCATCTCACAAAATCAGTATTGAAATGAAGGTATTGCAGCAGATTGACCCAGGGTGTTTAACACAGTAGAATGGCAATATAATACACTGGATATCAAGGCTGCATTCAGCGATTTTCAGAACACATTTCAGTCCTGTTTCCCTTCAGTCTAAGTAAACTTAGGCTCAGTATTATTTGTTACACTGCTATACTGAGTCTAACAAAACCTTGTGGAAGGTTGCGTTAGGTAACCTTTTCAATTGACCAATCAGAACACAGCTTACCAAATCGCGAAAGTTGACATTCGCACATACCTTTTGAACTTTTACCTCGAAAAAGTTTTGTACCCAAACGATTCCGAATGCTATTTTCCGTACGATTGCTTCCGAGTGATGCACATGGAGCACGCCACAACCGTGAGTAAACAGTCGCTGAAAATAGCGTTTTGTCAGTATTCAAGGATGTCAGTTTGCGGAAATAATGATAACCATGTCAACAGAAACCCAAAAGCGTATATTCTGCAGGTCATACATCTGTGTTTTATGCAGGTTTTCATTTGTTGTGAGATCAGTGTTGGCGACCGGTGAAGAGTAAATCCATTTTGTAAGTCCCGCGAACACTAAATAGTAGCCGTTGTCTGATTGGTTAAATCCATTCTGTCGTCTCACGATTAATTGGACGGTCATAGGTCGCTCAAAGGTTACCTGACGCGACCTTACACAAGGTTTTGTTAGACTCAGTAAAGCAGTGTAACGAATAATACTGAGCCTAAGTTTACTTAGACTGGTTTCCCTTCATCATACAATGTTTGTTTTGTCAGGGTTTGCTAACAATGCTAATGGCACTACAGTCAAGTTCAACCCTCCAAGTGGCCAGGATACTATGATGAAGAATGGAGTGTCAGCCAGCATCAACACAAGACACCAGTGCATCACAGCCATGAAGGAGTACGACAACAAGTGTCTTGAGGTACTGTCGACAACTCATGGTTCTACTTTCACCTACAAAACAGGTGGTCCAGGAGACCCCAGAAATATATTTTAATGTTCTTTGAAATATGAGGATCATGTATAGTATGGAAATAGTGCTGTGTCCTGTAAGATTTGGTTATGCCAGTAATTACAGGCCCTTTATATATATGTTTGTGAAAAATGGTACAGTGAATATATGCCCATCCTTCTGGATGCAATATGTTTTTTACTGTGACGTTTCTATACATTTGTGCATAATGGACTTTATACTTTGGCCCAAGTTTTGGGTTAAAGATTGACCTGAAATTGTCAGGAAATGCACTGTTCTTGAGTTTCTAGCTTTTTATCCCACCGGCATATAATGCGGTGGGATATAGTCGTCGCCTCGTCCGTCCTGTCCGTCCGTCCGTCCGTCCGTAATCATTTTGTTTCCGGACCATAACTCAAAGACCGTTCGATATTTTTTAACCAAAATTGGTAGATATGTCAAAAATAACCTAAGGTGGTGCCTTTTGCTATTTACAGATAATTGTCATTTTTATTTTTCTCGGTTTCCTTGGAAACGTTTTGGACTTAGTCTTAAAGAAGGGTGGGCTTGCTTTCCGAGCATAACTCAAGAACCGCTCAATATTTTTCAACAAAACTTGGTAGATATATCAAACAGATCCTAAAGTGGTGCCTTTTGCATTTCACAGATTTTTGGCATTTTTATTTTTCCCGGTTTCCATGGAAACGATTCGGACTTAGTCCCAAAAGTGAGGGGTGGGCTTCGTTTCCGGAGCATAACTCAAGAACTGTTCAATATTTTTCAACAAAACTTGGTAGATGTATGAAACAGAACCTTAAGTTGTGCCTTTTGCTATTTGCCGATTTTTGGCATTTTTATTTTTCCCGGTTTCCATGGAAACATTTTGAACTTAGTCTCAAAAAGTAAGGATTGCTTTCGTTTCCGGAGCATAACTCAAGAACCGTTCAATATTTTTCAACAAAACTTGGTAGATGTATGAAACAGAACCTTAAGTGGTGCCTTTTGCTATTTGCCGATTTTTGTCATTTTTATTTTTCCCGGTTTCCATGGAAACATTTTGAACTTAGTCTCAAAAAGTAAGGATTGCTTTCATTTCCGGAGCATAACTCAAGAACCATTCAATATTTTTCAACAAAACTTGATAGATATATCAAACAGATCCTAAAGTGGTGCCTTTTGCTATTTGCAGATTTTTGGCATTTTTATTTTTCCCGGTTTCCATGGAAACGATTCGGACTTAGTCCAAAAAGTGAGGGGTGGGCTTCGTTTCCAGAGCATAACTCAAGAACCGTTCAATATTTTTCAACAAGACTTGGTAGATATATCAAACAGAACCTTAAGTGGTGCCTTTTGCTATTTGCAGATTTTTGGCATTTTTATTTTTCCCGGTTTCCATGGAAACGATTCGGACTTAGTCCCAAAAGTGAGGGGTGGGCTTCGTTTCCGGAGCATAACTCAAGAACCTTTCAATATTTTTCAACAAAACTTGGTAGATGTATGAAACAGAACCTTAAGTGGTGCCTTTTGCTATTTGCCGATTTTTGGCATTTTTATTTTTCTTGGTTTCCATTGAAACATTTTGAACTTAGTCTCAAAAAGTAAGGATTGCTTTCGTTTCCGGAGCACAACTAAAAAACCGTATAATATTTTTCAACAAAACTTGATAGATATATCAAACAGATCCTAAAGTTGTGCCTTTTGCTATTTGCCGATTTTTGGCATTTTTATTTTTCCCGGTTTCCATGGAAACGATTCGGACTTAATCCCAAAAGTGAGGGGTGGGCTTCGTTTCCGGAGCACAACTCAAAAACCTCTCTATATCTTTCAGCAAAACTTGGCAGATATGTGAGGCAGATATTGAAGTGATGCCTTTTGCTATTTACAGATATTTGTGATTTATTATTTTCTCGGTTTCCATGGAATGATTCGAACTTAGTCTCAAAAAGGAAGGGATGGGTTTTGTTTCCGGAGCACAACGCTAAAACTTCTTAATATCTTTCAGCAAAACTTGGCAGATATGTGGAGGTAGATCCCAAAGTGGTGCCTTTTGCTATTTGCAGATTTTTGTCATTTACTTTTTTCATGATTTCCATGGAAACGATTTGCACTTAGTCTAAAATCAAGCTGGACTTTAGGTAACTGTCAGATGATTTGTTCTTTCAAAGATGTGGGGGCCGGGGGGATATGTCATCTTCTGATGACTCTTTTGGCTTCGTTTCGAGCATAACTCAACAACCGTTCAATATTTTTCAACAAAACTTGGTAGATATATCAAACAGATCCTGAAGTTATGCCTTCAGCTATTTGCAGACTTTTGGCATTTTTATTTTTCCCGGTTTCCATGGAAACGATTCAGACTTAGTCCCAAAAGGGAGGGATAGTTTTCGTTTCCAGAGCACAACTCGAAAACTTCTTAATATCTTTCAGTAAAACGTGGCAGATATGTGAGGCAGATCCCAAAGTGGTGCCTTTTGCTATTTGCAGATTTTCATTTGTTGTGAGATCAGTGTTGGCGACCATGAAGAGTAAATCCATTTTGTAAGTCCCAGCGAACACTAAATAGTAGCCGTTGTCTGATTGGTTAAATCCATTCTGTCGTCTCCACGATTAATTGGGCCGGTCATAGGTCGCTCAAAGGTTACCTGGCGACCTTACACATGGTTAACGAATAATACTGAGCCTAAGTTTACTTAGACTGGTTTCCCTTCATCATACAATGTTTGTTTTGTCAGGGTTTGCTAACAATGCTAATGGCACTACAGTCAAGTTCAACCCTCCAAGTGGCCAGGATACTATGATGAAGAATGGAGTGTCAGCCAGCATCAACACAAGACACCAGTGCATCACAGCCATGAAGAGTACGACAACAAGTGTCTTGAGGTACTGTCGACAACTCATGGTTCTACTTTCACCTACAAAACAGGTGGTCCAGGAGACCCCAGAAATATATTTTAATGTTCTTTGAAATATGAGGATCATGTATAGTATGGAAATAGTGCTGTGTCCTGTAAGATTTGGTTATGCCAGTAATTACAGGCCCTTTATATATATGTTTGTGAAAAATGGTACAGTGAATATATGCCCATCCTTCTGGATGCAATATGTTTTTTACTGTGACGTTTCTATACATTTGTGCATAATGGACTTTATACTTTGGCCCAAGTTTTGGGTGAAAGATTGACCTGAAATTGTCAGGAAATGCACTGTTCTTGAGTTTCTAGCTTTTTCCAACAGTGGTAAATATGGTAAAGGTATTTGTCATTTATTCTGCAGTTAAATCCTTCCCAACACATTCTTTATTTGGATGTTGTTAATGTTTCCACAACTCTGTGATTCAGGAACTGAGACTAGAAGACTATCAGGCCAATCGGAAAGGCAAGCAGGCAGGTGCTGCTGTTGCCGGAGGTGGTTTGTTTGGCTCTACTCCAGCGACTTCCAGCACTGGCTTCTCATTTGGTCAGCAACAACAGCAGCAGCAACAGCAGCAGGCAGCAACTGGCTTTACAGGTCAGAATAGTGGGTCACATTATTTCTCAGCTTGTAATATTGCTCAGTTGTATAGTGTTGTGCAATTGATAAAAGTGTGTTCCCCTTGTTTAATTTTCAATGTCGTAACAGTTAGTGGTGAAAAACATGATTTTGTGGTTTTCAGGATCACTGCTATTTTAAAATTTCTTTGCAGTAAATTGTCTGTCTTGACAAAACATACATGAAACATGTTATATGCACAGTGTTTTTACACAGGAAATTTGAAAGAATACTCACATGAATTGTTTATGCATGGGATGAATTTTAAGCGCACAGCATTGATGTTAGAAACATGTCGTGTCGAATCATCACCTTGCGTTTGTTTTAATGGGACATTGAAATCAATGGCTTCAAAAAGCAGGAATAAATAAAACATGATTCACCATTTTCAGCAATTTACTTCTATTCTTCTTCTGTCAGTTGCTAATGTAATCTTTCTTTCTATGATAAAAAAACAACCTTTTACTTTCATTTGGAAATGAGAACAGACTTAGTCTGTTGTAAACGCATTGCATTATTAAAGGTCACCTACTTTTGTAGGGTGTAAAACATGGACATATACAAACAATAAGCTTGAGTAGGTTGACATTATGATTAACAACTAAAGCGTGTGTCGTTTATGGCTAAGTCACGCTGATTGAGTGCTGTTATGATACTTGAAAACAGGATGATTATTTATAAGTATAAGACAAAATACAATGAATGTCAACTTCTTCTTTATTGTATACACAACATTTCTGGGCTATTCCTTGCCCCTTCATCAGGTGAATGATTATAAAAAACATTGGGAGATTGAAGATCTTGCCAAAATGCACGGGTAAATGCATCAGTGATGTACCCTTTGCATGCATGACAAATAACAGTGTAAAAAATGTAACATTCCACTTCCAGCTGTAAAGAATTCATGGAATGATTACATGATATTTAGAAATTGGTCAAATGTGATATGTGTTAAATTTGGGATTTGGAAGTACAGATCACAGATCATTTGTGGGTTGAGTCCCATCATGGAAGTTGAAAATGTGATGTTCTATGTATGCTGTTATCTCGTGTTGTCTGTGTGACCCCTCGGTAATGATACTATATGTATTTGTGAAAGTCATAACACAGGTATTTTTTCTAATATTTCAGGATTTGGAGCCAATACATCTACAGCAAACTCTGGCTTGTTTGGTCAAACCAACCCTCAGGCTAGCGGTGGAATGTTTGGACAGAACAAGCCGCTGTTCGGTGGAGCCAGTACCACCACAACCGCCAGTACCTCTGGCTTTGGATTTGGAAATACCAGTCAAGCAACAGGATTGTTTGGACAAAACCAACAGAATAAGGTATTCAGAAGTCATCCTTGGGAAAACAAAATGTATCATGTTCATTGTTGGGATCACAAATCGTGGATATGGTGGACATTCCAACAGCCCACCACTAGTCACAGGGCTCTAGGTTAAGGACATTGGATGGTCAGGCTCGGTGATTTGGTTGACTCATGTCATCTTATCCTAATGGCATAGATCGATGCTCATGCTGTTGAGCACTGGATTGTCTGGTTCAGACTTGATTATTTACAGACCATAAAGCTGAAATATTGCGATGGCAATATAAGGGTGGCATATCAACAACAACATGCTTGCACACCACTGTGTCTGGGGAGAATGAAACCTTGCTTTTGTTTTCCAGTTGAAAATTATTTTGGCTTTCTTTTTGCCTAAAGTGCTAGTAATACTGGTGTTTTGTAATTACAGCCTCTGTTTGGTACGGCTACCACTCAGTCCTCTTTGTTCGGTGGCACAAGCACAGCGCCAGCAACATCATTCAGCTTTGGTAACACTGGCGGCTTCGGCACACAGGCTGCATCGGTACGTTGAAACTGGAATCCAGAAGATTTGACCACTCTTTTCAAATAATGCAATTTCGATGTGTACCAACAATTGTTTGATAATTAATTTTATCGACTGGGAAGCTGTTTGTTATGATTGTTTCATACCATGATTAAACTAGAATTCTGTTCAAAGTGGCATTAAACCCAACTCACTCACTCACATTTCTTTCTTCTAGACTGGACTGTTTGGTAGTAAGCCAGCAGGATTTGGAGCAGCAACAACTTCAGCACCTGGATTTTTTGGTAGTGGTGGTGGTGGCAATCTCTTTGCCAAACCAACAACAACGTCCTCATTTGGATTTGGTGGCACTAACCCAGGAACAGCTGGCTTTGGAGGTCAGTGCATATTGTAGTCCCTTTTACAAGTGCATCATAGCTCATTCACTGAATAGATGTGTCATATGTTTCATCTTCTGAAAGGTATTTCACAAAGGAATAGATATTTTGAAGTCAGAGTAGCATTTTGGTAAGAAAAAGAATGTGGCAAACAATAATCAATTTCCTATGGATGTCATGATGAAAGTTTCTGCACCTTTCTGTGACGCCATATCTTCAATGCTGTAACAAAGGATAAGAATTTTCTTCCTTTGTGCTCAGTTTTGCCAAAGCCAAGAAGAGACATCAGACACTTTGGAAATTTTGTTTTCTTTTGTGCTCAGGGATTTTAGCTTTGCTTTTCTTAGGGCTAGTATTTTAGTCGTGACAAATCACAAAGTCTAATTCCTGTTCTGATTTACTATTTGCCAAAAGTTAGTTACCATCTCTTCCTATCCATGGCCATAAATCAGACACTCCTGATGCACTCCTTATTATCTAAAAGGCTCAATAAATAACATTATTTTTTAACAATGCATTCAGGGTTTGGAGGGTTTGGTTCAACAGGTAGGTAACAGTTTAATGGTATTCTCATGCTCCCAGCCATGCTTACCTGCTGCCTCATTTGCACATGCAAAATCAGGAGACATAGCAGTGGGGTTCATTCTTGTGTCCATGTGATCAATTGCTTGCAGTAGCATGTGGATGAACAATTATTTTTTCATATGTTTGGTGACTATAAGATTGGCATAGATCTTAAGTTGTAACTTGTTTTGGTAGAGGGTATTTGTGCTGAGTAAACTATTGCAACCGTCTGTTGCTTGTTGCAAGGAATTATTTTTGTGCTTCAGTCCTGTCTTCATTCATACTCTTATTCATGGTTCAAAAATATATTTGCTCATCTGCAAGAACTATCTGCCATTATTATAATGGTGATAGGCCACAAAGAAATGTCACTTGTCCTTATTTTTCCCCCGGCATGTAATGTGATCGTCCGTCCATCCGTAATCATTTTGTTTCCGGAGCATAACAAAAATTGGTAGATATATCAAACAGAACCTAAAGTGGTGCCTTTTGCTATTTACAGATTTTTGTCATTCTTATTTTTCTTGGTTTCCATGGAAATGATTTGAACTTAGTCTCAAAATGAGGGTGACCTTCATTTCCGGAGCACAACTCGAAAACCGTTCAATATTTTTCAACAAAATGTGGTAGATATATCAAACAGAACCTTAAGTGGTGCCTTTTGCTTTTTGCAGGTTTTCGTCATTTTTATTTTTATTGGTTTCCATGGAAATGTTTTGGACTTAGTCTCAAAAGGGAGGGATGGGCTTCATTTCCGGAGCACAACTCGAAAACTTCTTAATATCTATCAGCAAAACTTGGCAGATTTATGAGTCAGATCTAGAAGTGGTGCCTTTTGCTATTTACACATTTTTGGCATTTATATTTTTTCATGATTTCCATGGAAACGATTTGGACTTAGTCTAAAAAGACATCAAGCTGGACTTAAAGTAACTGTCAGATGATTTGTTCTTTCAAATATGTGGGGGCCGGGGGAATATGTCATCTTCTGATGACTCTTGTATTATACTTGTCACAGAGTGGTGGACCCAGTGCATGTAAATATTTTGTAATATTATATATAAGCAGCAGATGCAACCTGGGTTGTTGTTTTTTCATGTGCAACAAGTTATTACCTAAGGTTGCACTGTGTGCAAGTAGGTTTCATTTCTTTAGATAAAGCCCTGACTTAGTTGGTATGGAAATATGAAAAGCTGTGGATCTTGCAAAAAGTGTGCCAACACAAGGCAAGTCACGCACTCATTAAATACTGTTTGACATGAAACATTTAATATTTTACTTATTGTTGCACCTTTCTGAAGAATGGACCCCTTTCATGAAGCATATCACTCACACAAGTCCTGCTTTCCATCACAAATACGACTTATCACAAAGCAATGTTTATGATTCACTGAAGTATTTATGTTGGGGTATATATTTTGATCTTTCAAATTTATTCTCCTGGGCCAATTGGTCTCTAGCCCTTATGACCGAGGAATTAAATAGCCAATCTGTTCACCTGAGAGCATGGAATTATCACTTTTTCAAAACCTTTGTAGATACTATTTCATTTGAAAGTTTGTCAGTTTTCAATAGAACTAGAGGTGTGACAAATTCACTGTTGGTTTCTAGGGGATCTAAACAAGAAGATATTGCTCCCATTTTGCTGAATTGTATTTGATTAGTATGATATGATATATATATCTTCTACTTTGCCTGATAATGCTGATGCAAGCCCATTTGTGGGCCACTTTGATATTTCTAACCATTGCAGAATAGCCCAATCTCTGTATCCAGAGAATACTGTTTTTTTATCAACTTATTCACTTCTTTTTCCAGGCTTATCTTTGGGAAAATACATTGAATCACTCTTTGATTGCCTTATCTTTCAATGTCAGCTGAATAGTTGTTGTGTGCCATTCTTACATAATTTTAACTTAGTAGTTTTTTTATATGTAAGTTGCTTCTTTGCTTGACAAGGCTGAATAATTTGCTGTTATACAATGCTTATTATCCCCTGCAACGCGTTTTTCGGGGGGTATTAAAATGGAATCCATCTGTGCGTCCGTCCGTGCACATTTGTCTTTTCCGGAGCAGAACTCTAAAACCATTCAATATTTCTTCACCAAAGTTGGCACATGGATAGATCTGGTGGTGTACTTGTGCCTTTTGGTAGTTTTGGAATTCTGAATAAAACATTTTTGGCGTTTCCATGGCAGCATGGAGCAGAACTTCTAAAACCTTTCAATACTCTCCTTCCACTTTTCTATATACACACCTAAATATTTGACATAAGCATAACTCGTAGACATAATCATGAAGAGTATTTTGCCATTGCGGGGGATATTGATGACTTTGTCTTCTTGTTTTAATTTGAAAGGACTTGGACATTACAAACATTGATTTTGTGTATAGTCGTGAAAAGTAGTATTTGGTGTTTTAGAAAACTTTGAGGAGATGCACAGGATCAGGTTCTGTTATCCTGATTGTAAATGATATTACTTATTGAGAGATAATTATCCGAGGTTATTCTTAGTTAGTGTACTTATTGAACTCATTCCCTTTTAGAGGTTACAAGGTTACTAAACAAACATGTATGATTAGTACCAAAAGGATTTCCCCATTACAAACATGTAGGTCAAGAATTGCCAGAAGTATCTTTGATTGTTTTTTGTGTTATCTACCTTTTTGTCACTGGTTGAATATGATTGATATTGAGTAACAAAGTCCCCCACTTTTACCAACAGCTAACACAGGAGGGGCCGGTCTGTTTGGTAACAAGCCAGGTGGATTTGGAACAGCAGCAGCTTCCACACTAGGTGGCGCAACTAACTCCTTCAACTTTGGTCAAACTGGACAGACTGGTACAGGACTGTTTGGCGTCAACAACTTGAACAAGCCTTCAACCTTTGGCTTCAACTTCAACAGCGGTCAGACTACTGCATCCACAGGTTTTGGCGGTGTAGGAGCGGGATCAGGCTTCTCATTAGGAGGAAACACCACCACACTTGGAACGTGAGTAGAAACCTTCATACTTTTGGCTGTTGATGTTCATGTGGTCTGTTAGATGGAGTGTATGCATGAAAGTGGAAGGTCTGTGTTTTGAACCCTGACTGTATAATACCAAAAGCGGTTGAGAGATGATACTTGTTTGAGGTGAAAACAATAATTTATCAGAGTCAATATACTGTTTCTTAGTGGGGTAGTCATGTTAACTCTGGTGTGTCATCTCAGTGGGCTAACTACAGTGCTGGAATTGATCCAGACTAGTACAAGTTGCCATGCACACATGTTAGTCCCACATAAGTGCAATAATCTTGAATGAAAACATAAAACACTTTCTTTGAGTGGCATTTTAGAAGTTGGGAAGTACAATATAGAACAAACTTTATGGATAACAACTTCTTTTTAAACGTCCACTCACGAATAAAAGAAGTTGTTATCCATAAAGTTTGTTCTATATTATAAAACACTTTGACTCATTGCAATTCATTTCAGTTATCTCTTTGTCTGATAATGCATGATGATCGATAAATAATATGGAACTGGAACAGTTTGATAGTGTATTTGCACGTACATGGTCATAGATTTAGATATTAAAAAGTGTGATCACTGTCTCGAAAAGGTCTTGTATAAATATTATTATTGCATGTTACAGGACAACCAACCCATCAGCAAGCAACAACCAGCTGCAGCAGCAGCTCTTGGCTCTCACCAGCTCACCGTTTGGGGACTCCCCTCTCTTCTGGAATCTCAAACAGGTCGGTAACTATGCACTAGCTTCATCCTTAAATCCCCCGCTGCTTACAGCATGCATATGACTGCAGACAGGGAAGTCCCAGTGGTGGAAGATACTTCCAAGTCATCATTCAGTGGTTCCAGTCTGCCATTGTGCTGGAACACACTGATATCATAATCATTGATTTGAAATCCCTAGATTTGATCCTAGTGTGATCCCAAAGCTGTACATCTGATGGTACATCTGTCATCATTGTGCTGGAACACACTGATATCATGAGCATTGATTTGAAGTCCCTAGATTTGATCCTAGTGTGATCTATTGTACATCTGTCATCACGTTTAGCTAAGGCTGACATGGCATGGTATTACTGAAATAATGGTCAAAGCATTGCTAAACTTAAACATATCATGTAGTAGAGGTAGTGTTCAGGTAAGGATGCCAGTGATACATATGTAATAGCATTTTGTTGGAACTGGTCAGTTTCTATAAGATACACAATTCAATGGATATTTGAAAAAGCTTTGAATTTGTCTTTTCTTCAACCAGTGGCTATTTTTTTACAGTGTTAAAAGTGTGTTTATTGGTACCTGAAACAGGATGATACCTTATTACCGACAAGGGAAATCGACCAAGTGATACTTCTGTTAAAATACACCAATAGATCCATGTGAACATAGCCATACTTTTTGTTTCAGAACTCTGAAAAAAGGGAGGAAGTTCTTAAGCCTACCAACCCTGCAGCTCAGAAAGCAGCCCTGAGTTCTTCCAGTCAGTACAAAGTGAGCCCTCGACCTACAGCCAAGATCAAGCCAAAGTCACTGCACTCACTCATGAACGGAAGCAAGGTTTGGACAGCCACCATAACGAATATGTTGCTTTGTTTTACATCTTCCCTACTAACTGTTCTTTGATCAATCTTTATGTAATTACCAGCATGCTATGTTACCAGAAAAAATACCCATGAAGATTCTGGTTTGTCTTCAGTAACCCATGTTTGTCATAAGAGGCAATTAACGGGATCGGGTGGACAGGCTTGCTGACTTTGTCGACACATGTCATTGTATTCTATTTGTGTAGATCAATGCCTATGATGTTAATCACTGAATTGTCTGGTCCAGACTTGATTATTTACGGACCGCCACCATGTAGCTGGAATATTGCTGAATGAGGTGTTAAACAACAAACAGAACAAAACTAGAAAAGGACTTTGACTTTCTAAAGTCACTGACTGGTTTCATGAGTTTAAATGGTTACATGGTAAATATTGGTGTTGCTATATGCGGTACTTCATGTACAGTGATGTAAATGATGGTGGGTGTAAAGGTGAGTGTGGCTTTATTTCAGTCCCAGTTGTTCGATGGGTTGGAGGATGAGGATTTCAGTTTCGGCAATGACACATTCATGCCTCGTCGAAGTGTGAAGAAACTGACACTGAAGAAAGTAAATGGCGATTCCTCCTTGAGCAGAACCTCATCACAGACTGATGAACACCCCGACCTACAGTCCTTCAGCCAGGACACTCCCAGACCTAAACCCATCACAAGGTTAGTTGGTTGCTCATACTGTAAACCTTTGTTGAAAATCTTTTGTTACATGAAACAGTCACCTTGAGGCTGCCATGGGTTTTTGTTCTAAAATGTGGTAATGGCCTAAAGATGATGCTTTTTCTCGTACTCAGAACCCTGTGGGATTTTCAGGTCAGCATTGATAGACAATAACCTAAGCTGGTTGCAAGACCAAATGGATCAAGTGGTCTGGGCGTATGATTTGGATGATGGCATCAGTTGTTGGCTTTAACCACTGGGTTGTCTGGTCAAGATACCATTATTTGCTGGCCACTATCATATAGCTGGAATATTGCTGACTGTGGCATAGACCAAACAATAGTCGTCATAGACTCACAGCTAATGGATCATTAAATATTGTTTAATGATAGATGTGGCAAACAGAGCTACAGATAACTTTTTTTGGGGTCATTAAGTTATGTACTCGCTTCTGTTCATCTCAATTGGGTATCCTAATTGTCATTTGAGTAACCAAATATGTTGTACCCACCTCACTCAAATTCAGGTGTATTTTCGCATTTTCCATTAATTGTAAAAATATTTTTAAAAAGTTTAAATGTTGGCTTGTGCATTTGTTATTTATATGAGAAATGATAAGTAAGACAGCAAGTTGCCAAGTTCGTTAGCTGAAATAGAACCTCTCAATATACCTGTTATTTTTTCCATCCTCAGTAACCTCCATCACATGTTTGTGTGTACGCATGTAAGATCATATTTATTGAGTATTTACAAAACTTCAAGTGTACTTGTATGCACTAGACTTAATAGGTATTGAGTTTTCACATAAATATTTGCATATTTTACGCGGATACTCAGCTTTTCTGTACCTCTGGGCAAACTTTAAATGCAGTTCGTCTCTTGATTCGTACAGTCTGTGAAATGAAAGGTCTGTATCTGAAGTCATTACAGTAAATTTAACTCTCATGTACATTGACCATTACATTTACAGAACACTACAAGCAGACTTAGATCGTGCAGCCCAGAGTCCTGACACAGAGCCAATACTCCGTACCAAGAGCATCACAGAACCTGCCAGACAATCTCCTATCAAAGAGTAGGTTATCAAATTGAATTTTTATCATGTATATTTCCTTTGTATCTGTATGGGATTCAAGTTAAGAACTGATTCCAAGCGTCCTGTGCTGATTTCACTCTGAGACTATATTTAATGGGTTTTATGTTTCTTTCTGTCATAGACCCGTGAAGATCCGGGTTAGAATATTGATCTTCAGTAACCCATGCTTGTCGTAAAAGGCGATCAGGTGGTCAGGCTCACTGGCTTGGTTGACACGTCATCGGTTCCCAATTGCGAAGATCGATGCTCATGCTGTTGATCACTGGATTCGATTATTTACAGACTGCCGTCATATAGCTGGAATATTGCTGAGTGCGGCGTCAAGTTACACTCACTCACTCACTCACCCATAATATACCTGGTATATCACTGAGAGTGGCATTAACAACAAACAGTGACAAATATATCTCCTGCCCAGAGTCGGGCATTGTTTTGTGCTGTTCCAGTTCCACTGCTCAGGAGGGGCGGTTGGGTAGCCTAGTGGTTAATTCATTTGCACGTCATGCCGAAGACCCGGGTTCGAGTCCCCGGATGGGTACAATGTGTGAAGCCAATTTCTGGTGTCCCACGCCATGATATTGCTGGAATATTGCTAAAAGTGGTGTAAAACCAAACTAACTCACTCCACCGCTCAGGAGTTCGAACCCCAGATTCATCCTGTCAATGGTCATTGGTATCCATGAAAGTGGCTGACAATTCTGTTTGTTTGAAAGATTGACCTTGACCTTGTGGCAGTCATTCTATGAAGGTTTTAATGATATTTCTTGAACCCCGCCAGTCCAGTCTACTGCTGTTGAATCGACCCCCCCCGTCCTGGGTTTCAGCTAGAATGGTGGGAGAGGCGGGCGTGAGTCCCCGCTTCCAAGAAGGCGATCCTGCTTCCCCAGACATCCCTTCGCCGCACTGAGGGGTATTCAGCGAAAGTCTACTAGAACTTTCTCAGCCGGATTGTTCTCATCGCGAATTTGGTACGGGGCCTGTATGATGATCAGCCGATCATCATTCCTGATGTACATCAAAGAATGACTGATGTCGGGCAACCATAGTGATGTCAGCGCGAGATCAACATTCGATGATCTTCCCTGAGGGTCCCGTCGCTACCAACACTCAAGCGCGAGACTTCGCGCTCCCCAGGGCAGCGCGACCTCTTCTGAGGGGAATTCAACGAAGTCTACTAGGACTTTCTCAACCGAGAGATTGTTCCAGCCGCTGAACTTACGCCTCTACGATGATCAGCCGATCATCATCCTCGACGATGAGACAAGTAGCCACCCGGTGGCAGCTACAATGACATCAGCAGAGATCAAGTCATGCAGCCTGATGTCTCTACACTGATGTCAGACGACTTACCTGAGGGCCCCACTTACTAACAAGCGCGAGAGATGGCACCGACTACTTCGCCGCAGACCATCCCAGACGAGCTACTACGGCAAATCATGAAATTAAGGTCGCGGATGGAGGGTCACTACAGACTGGAGAAGCAGCCAGCTTCCAGAGTAATGCGAGCCGCCGCGAAGGCTCCAACTTAGACAACACTCTAGAGGCACCTCCAGTCAACGTAGCAGCCAAGATCGATGCAGCCGGCGAAGTCGCGAGAGACCATTCTTGACGAAGGACCCCTTAGGATGAAGGACCCAGATAATAATAAGAGCCTTCGCGAAGGCGGGATAGATCATCACATTCCCTCGGCTTCATCCTTAGATGCAGACTCAGCCACTGCAGACTCACGGAAGCCTTCGCGAAGCTCAAATCGCCGTTCCCCAGCACGAAGCAGGAAGGCGCATGAAGGCGTTCCTGGCGTTAAGTGAAGCGTTAGCTGAAGGCATTCGCTAAGGCACTCCCGAAGGACGCGAATATAGATCGTCATTTAACAGAGTCAAGGGACTACTCAAAGAGCTTCGCTTAAGCTGTCAATGATCTCCGATCTCCTCAGTGACATCACCACATCGATGCGCCTCACAGGTTACCACACAAGTCTGCACAAGTCTACATCACCTTCCTAGAGTGGCAGTGTACGACGCTGGACATACCTGATGATGAAGGAAGGCGGCGCAGATGCTATCACCCTACCTCCGATGGACCGATTGCTTTCGCGGTAGCCACAGAATCTAGACATAGCATCCCATAAAGCCACAAAAAGTTCAGACACCATAATTGCGAACTTTCACGCCTAGAAGTTTTCCACTATCAACATGGACCCCTTCTTGATATTTCTTTCTTTCAGTACCACCAATCTGGATGACACTATTGCTGCTCTGAATTCCAAGAACAAAGCTCTGTCAGGGGACAGCCATTCTGACATGAACAAATCTCACAGTGAACAAGATGTCTCCATAGAACCCCAGCCACAGGTAACAACTGCAGGGCCACATTGAATAACTGAATCAAAGCTTCTGCAACAGCCAGTGCTTATATCAAACACAAACAGTAAAAGTACTGATGTATTTCATTGTAACTCCTCCCATAATAACTCTAGAAGAGGACTACCCGTGAAGATCCGGGGTAGAATAGGTCTTCAGCAACCCATGCTTGCCACAAAAGGCGACAATGCTTGTTGTAAGAGGCGACTAACGGGATCTGGTGGTCAGGCTCGCTGACTTGGTTGACACATGTCATCAGTTCCCAATTGCGCAGATTGACGCTCATGCTGTTGATCACTGGATTGTCTGGTCCAGACTCGATTATTTACAGACTAAACTCACTCACTCATTCACTCACTCTAGAAGAGGACAAGGTATTAGAACATTTCGTTGTCAATACATATGAGGGTATTTCAAATATAGCGAGTTCTTGAGGTTTTCGCCTAATATGTTTAACTGGGAATCCCAAACGTTGGATTTTTTACTTTTAGTTTCAAAAACTGTTTACCCGATATTCTGAAAAGGTCATCTGAGTTTGCATTCGTATCAGATGTTTGTATTTCTTGATAAATAGAAGTATTTATAATTCTTGCAAATGCCTTCTGGCTATGTCATTGCCATAAACCCTGTGTTTTGGGTGCCATCCCACTAAAATATCTTGCCTCCCTGACCATTTACGGATGTGCCAGATAGGAAAACCTCACTTCTGATGTTGATTACGAAAATCAAATTTGCAAAGCCATAAAAGTGTAACAGTTTTCAACTGCTCTTTTGTCATACATTTTGTCACTTTTGATAGCAGTAGATGGGTAGTGACATCTTTGTTTTTGTGCAGATGGAGGACTTCGAGCCCCACCCAACAGGGATCATCTTGACCCGGCCAGGCTACTACACAAACCCATCACTGGACAGCCTTGTGGAGTTGATCGATGAGAATGGAGATTGTTTTGTGGATGATTTTACCATCGGAAGAGAAAACTATGGCAGTCTGTTCTTTCCCGGTTCAACCAATGTTGCCAACTTGAACCTGGATGAAATCGGTAAGAAAAGTTATATTGATCACAAAATGGTTGTTTGTTGATTGTTGTATTTGGTGGGATGAAATTTGATTAAGAAGGTACCATCTGAACATGTTAAATGTAGATTCACTAATAAGAAATATTCTCAAAAATATTATTCCATATTGTGACATGTTAGTTCATTATATAGCATATCAAAAGATTACCTGTATCACACTCTTCATACTTGGTAAACCACTAGTCAAAGAGGAGTTTATGTCTTGCTTTAACTCACTGTGGTGTATTTATAGGTTTTATTTTCTGTGAAGGTGTCCTCCACGGTGACATTGCTTGAATATTGCTAAAAGCGGCATAAAAATAAACTCACCCTCTCACTCATTTCTGTGAAGATTGGTTTTGCAGCCTGCCTACTATTATTTCCTTTCCAATATTATAAAGATTGTATTTTTATAGCGCTAAATACTCCAGGCAAAATGTGTCTGCTCCAAGCGCTTGCACAGCACGTTATTACCCTGGATAACCTAAGCTGCCTGTGAGGCACTAGAAGGTTATAGTCACATGACTTTTCCCACCGGGTACCCATTTCCTGCTGGGTGAACAAAGGCATGTTTGAACAAAACTTGCTTGCCTAAGGTGAGACATGAATCACATGTGTTTCATTGTGGGGCAGGACTGAAGTCCTAGAAACTGGCAGGAGTCAAGCTGCCGAACACAAGGAAAATAGACACTCTAATTGAGGAACAGAATGTTTTTGCTATCAAAAACATGAAAAATTACCTATATCATTATTTATTATTGTTAATTACAGTGCATTTCCGGCGTAAGGAGGTGATAGTGTACCCTGATGATGACAAGAAACCCCCTCTCGATGAAGGTCTTAACAGGATAGCCGAGGTGACACTGGACTGTGTCTGGCCCAGTGACAAGACCACAAGGTCTCCCATCAAGGTAAGCAAGAAAACCAGTTAACACTATGGCATCTATAGGTTTATAAATGTACGTTCTTGTTCTGGGTGCTAGTTTCTTTGTTGAAACATCATGTCATCTTAAGCAGTTTATGTTTTGAATGCTGTGATTACCATTGTCATGGAAAGCATTAACAGCTAAACAGATCAAGTTAATTGGACCTATTCTTTGTTGGTGGGTTTGTATGTGGTGTGGGGTTCAAGTAATGGAAAACTTGCTGATTCAGCTTGTTTCATGACGCACTTGATTCCACTTGTGGATATTGCTGGAATGCTGATAAAGGTGTGTTATCTCTCATCTTGTGTACAATGTGTGGAGCTCATTTCTGGTGTCCCCCACTCTGATATTGCTGGAATATTGCTAAAAGCGGTGTAAAATCATACTCACTCACTCACTCACTCACTCACTCACTCACTCTCATCTTGTGCTGTTGTACCAAATCTGAATTCACACTCTCATTCAGTGTCCGCTCATCACGCCAAAGATCCGGGTTCGATTCCCCACATGGGTGTAGTGAAGCCCATTTCGGGTGTTCCCCGCCATGATATTGCTGGAATATTGCTAAAAGCGGCGTAAAACCATACTCACTCACTTTCATACAGTTAGGTTACTGATTTCTCAGTGCTTTTCTTTAAACCTTTCTCATCTTAAAAGGCCAAGTATAAACAGGTCTTCTTTCCTTTTACAGGAACCTTCTAGATTGAGGACAATGAACTACCAGACAAAAATAGAAGAGATCACAGCAAAGATTGGAGCCAAGTTCATTGACTACCGACCTGAAACTGGATCCTGGGTTTTTCAAGTGAGATCAGTTTTCCTCATCAACACTTGTTTGTAATGAAAGCTCACACTTTCATGAAAGATTTTTATGATCGTTAAAAGGATGATTTGGTTTAACTTGATTGTTTTTTCTTCTTGATATTCGGGGCAGAAGAGAACCACAGAACCCACTACTCGTTGCCTTGAGTATAAACTGATGGAATTTAGGGTTGCATGGTTGCAGACAGGCTCAATGTATGTCATCTTGTCCTGACAGTATTTGTGAATGCCCAGCAATTAAATTTGCTCAAACTCTGGTCTACCTGATGAAAGCTTGTATATATTCAGGGGTCTGTGCTGCCATTAAAAAATTACATCGCACTGCTTTTTAATAGTATAAAATGGTCCCCAGGATATTGCCAGATAGGAATGGGAATATATGAAAATGATATTTAGTTGCAGTTAATACTGGAAAGGTCTGCCTGTTATGATATGCAAGTGATGCTATCATTAATGGAATAAAAATGGATGAACCATATTGACTTGACACACATTGAATATAAATTTCCTCTATTTGCAGGTGAAGCATTTTTCCAAATATGGTCTTGTTGATGACTCTGATGAAGAGGAAGTGTCTGAATCAGAAAAGAAAAAATTGAAGCTTGCTCAAGAACAGCAGTTGCAGATACAGGTCAGTAGCCAATGAAAGCACAGGAGAGAGCGAGTGGTGTGTGTGATTGGCTGACTGACGTCCAGTGGGAACCTTCCAATCTTCATGAGTCAACCTATCAGCAGGATTGATGCGTTGCTCATTGAAACATGGATAGAAAATATGACAGCTTCTGTTATTGGATGGAATGCATTCAGATGAACAATTCTAAGTGGATTGAACACATCAGCTGGGCTGATGTTTGTGGTCTTTCTATGAGGTGATGGTGAACAGTTTAGAAAGAATTGGAATGAAGATTTCAAATGATGAACAGCCACAAGATTCAGTGCATTTCAGTGCTTGTCTGTGATAAGTGATTATAATGCAACAGTGATTCTACTTATACGGTGAGGAACTGTGTGTGTGCACACAGATATATGCCTCAAGTTCTCATGAAGATAATGTTTATAAATATTTTAGAACCATTTTAATGTCATGAATTTAACCATTAACACTTTTTAACTTGTTTCGCGTTCTTTAAAATCATCAATCATATGTTATAAGATTTTAAGTGTTGCCATTTTATTGTTCACCATCATCATCAAATTGATCATGCATTAGAGATTATTTTTACTTATTGTATGTGTAATTATATCATATAGGATATACGATATATTGCACCAGATGTTTGATTGCATATATCATTTGTATTTCATGCACTTATGAAGTTGAACTGTGATATTTATATTTCTCATATATGTGCAATGTTGAGATACCTATTTATTCCCAGTCTGCAAATATTTAGAACTGTATATCATCTGTTTACTGTGCTCTCCAACAATATTTCACGCTTAAAATGTAATATAAACTTTTTAGAATTGTGTAACTTACAGTAAGTTATACCGTAGCTGTTTCAAATCTGAAATCAAATTCTATGTGTCTGCTAATCTGAGTGTTCTTTATTGTTTGGTTTACTCTTTCTGAAAAGTTGACGGTTTAATATTTTCTTTAAAAACATGTCACTGAGACATAGGGCCATTGCTTTGTTAGTTACTTGTCAATTTAGTTGTGTATACATTCTTATTGAGAAAAAAAAAAGATTTAGAAAATTTGGACATTCTAGATGTCTAATACTATTATGAATGTTGGTTGAGGCATTTAGACTGGTGACACTTTCTAACTTCCATATATACTCTTGTGTTGATTTTATTGATTAACCTTGAAGTATTGTATGTAGATTACATATTTTAGCTTTGTACAAATGTACTTCTCCTTGTTTGACTTTGTACTATGTGTATGGGATGCAGTATTTGCATGAAATAAAATGAATGTCATGTTGTGGAAATAAAGAAACCGAAACATGCCGGTCTACAATTCTTGTTATTGTATGATGACCAACCTTCACCGATATGTGTTAACACCACTGAAGGTAAATAATTTCTTTAGCTTGGAATCATCACAAATCTGTTTTAGTGACATTTTTTAACTTTGACGGCTACTTGTTTCTTCTGAGGCAGTGGTCTGAATTAAGGTTTGGCTTGTGCACTTTTATCAGTCATTATCAGATTTTCATAATTTGGTATTTTTTCATAAATGGTTAAGTAATATGCTTGGTAAAGTTACAACACTTGATACCAAATACACTTAAGCCCTGAGCAGGGTATGAAATAAAACAAATTGCTTAGGTGCCAAAAGGACCTACAGAATATGGAAGCTACACTATTCTCTTCAGGCCCTCATTTTAGACCCAGCTACTTATTGTGACAAATCAACACATAAATTCACTGCCAGAAGGTTTGAAACTACAGGCCTGACACAAGATCAAGCTGCCACAGGCCTACAGGCAGGCGCATTTTTCTGTCACTCATTTTCAGTGGATTTTAGTCTCGAGAAATATATTCCTCTCAGTTTATGAGACTGAAAGAAATACTACTTGAAGCAGCTTTATACTAGTGGCTGCAGTAATATTGGCTTATAGTTAAGTCTATTCCAGTCACTAAAATAAAGTTTCATGAATTGGATAAGGCAGGTGGACATCGTATCAAAAACAATGTCAGATTCTTTATTGCATGTCAGTCAGTTTTTCAATGCTGAATTTTATGCTAACTCTTATATCATCAATGAGTCTGGACACCATGTTCTTGATACATCACCAACCCCAAAATGAGGTGGGTATATAAGACGCATTCTGATTGGTCAGTTGGATTTGGTAATTAGCTACTGAAATTCAAGGACAGGTGATTCCTTAATTCCCCAATTATTTATTCAGATGGTTAAACTTGGAACTGATAATAATACAGCTGTATGTAGTGAATGTTACAGTCCTAGAGACATAGCTTTGTATAACTGGTTATTGGCAGGGACAAATCTGTAATTACACATATTGCATAGCAATGGGTCCTTTAGGAATCGTCTAGAAGAAATTGTAGCTTTATGCAATAATTTGATTTGGAATTATGTTCATTATTCACACTTTCTATGACAACCTTTCAAGACAGGAGATTTAAAATTTCATACACACCATACCAGTCTGCTGAAATGGTTAAAATACGTTCGCAGTGCTGGAAGGGCCCATTTAGCATTCTTTTCACAAGGATTATGATGACGTTTATGATATGAATCAAGTGCTGCTTTTGAGAAACAGACATGACAAACACTTGCTTAATGTACAGTACTTAAAATATATATATCACTGAAATTGAAGGGAGGTAACTTTACAATTTACAACTGCTGTATATCTAAGCTACCTGTTTAGACTTCAAAGTGCATGCCTACATATCTGGGTGTCCTGTTTCACACCTCCATACAAGAACATTCCATCTATGATACCCTTGTTTGTTGGTTTAACCTGAGTGCTCAATGTTTAGGACCCCTTGCCTCGGTATCAGGCTTTCTCCATGGAATATGGTCACTTGTCGATGCTGAGTGACCAATAAAACATTACCTTTCAGAAGCTGAAAATACAAACTGAAGCCCAGATGAAGGGGAAGGAAGTTAGAGGTCAAGATGACATGGCAATGCAGCTTCAAGGTCTAGCTGGTAAACCTTTGTCACCCCCGAAGGAGGGATATGAAGCCCATTACGCTCAGTCTGAAGGTATTGATGACTTAGATGAGGATATGCCAGATATCACCATGGAAAAGTTCCCCCGAGATATGGAAGATTCAGGTGGGTTTGTGGAAATGATGTTCGATACGTGGCAATTGGATGATAGATTTGTGGTTTTGCCAAGGGGTATGTAAAACTCAGTGGACAGGAAATATAGGGAAACAAACATGGTAGTGAACATAGAGATTTTTTCTGGGTTACATCTTCTTTTTATTCTCGAGTACAACGTTTCAGGGCTTGTTCTGGCCCCATCATCAGGTAAAACTGAACAGCAACTGTTAACTCTGGCCGTGACGTCATTACAGTTACACAGAGTTAACAGTTCCTGTTCAGTTCTACCTGATGATGGGGCCAGAACAAGCCCTGAGTTGTACTGAGGAAAAATAAGATGTAACCCAGAAAAAATCTCTATGTCAAATATCAAATCTAAAATGCCAATCAGTCTAAAATGGTAGTGATAAGAAAAAGGATGGTAATAAGGAGGGAAACAAACATGGATGAGGAGGGAAACAAACAGTGATGAGGAGGGAAACAAACAGGAAACAAACAGTGGTAGTGATGAGTGGTAGTGATGAGGAGGAAACAAACATGGTAGTGATGGTGAGGAGGAGGGAAACAACATGGTAGTGATGAGGAGGGAAACAAACATGGTGAGTGAGGGAGGAGGAAACATGGAAGTGATGGAGGGAAACATGGTAGTGATGAGGAGGGAAGTGGTAGTGATGAGGAGGAAACAAGCATGGTAGTGATGAGGAGGTGATGACAGAGGATATGGTAGTGATGAGGAGGGAAACAAACATGGTAGTGATGAGGAGGGAAACAAACATGGTAGTGATGAGGGAAACAAACATGGTAGTGATGAGGAGGAAACAAACATGGTAGTGATGAGGAGGAAACAAATGAGGGATGGTAGTGATGAGGAGGGAAACATGGTATGATAGGAGATGGAGGAGGGAGGAAGGAAACATGGTAGTGATGAGGAGGGAAACAACATGGTAGTGATGAGGAGGAAACAAACATGGTAGTGATGAGGAGGAAACAAACATGGTAGTGATGAGGAGGAAACAAACATGGTAGTGATGAGGAGGGAAACATGGAACATGATGATGAGGAGGAAACAAACATGGTAGTGAAGGAGGAAACATGGTAGTGATGAGGAAACAAACATGATAGTGATGAGGAGGAAAAACATGGTAGTGATGAGGAGGAAAAAACATGGTAGTGATGAGGAAACAAACATGGTAGTGATGAGGAGGAAACAAACATGGTGTGATGATGAGGAAAACAAACAAACATGGTGAGTGATGAGGAGGGAAACAAAGTGATGGTAGTGATGAGGGGAAACAAACATGGTAGTGATGAGGAGGGAAACAAACATGATGATAGTAGTGATGAGGAGGGAAACATGGTAGTGATGAGGAGGGAAACAAACATGGTAGTGATGAGGAGGGAAACAAACATGGTAGTGATGAGGAGGGAAACAAGCATGGTAGTGATGAGGAACAAACATGGTAGTGATGAGGAGGGAAACAAACATGGTAGTGATGAGGAGGGAACACATGATAGTGAGTGGTAGTGATGAGGAGGGAAACAAACATGGTAGTGATGAGGAGGGACACAACATGGTAGTGATGAGGGGAAACATGGTAGTGATGAGGAGGAAACAAACATGGTAGTGATGAGGGAGGCCAACATGGTAGTGATGAGGAGGAAACATGGAAATGATGAGGAGGAAACAAACATGGTGAGTGATGAGAGGGAAACAAACATGGTAGTGATGAGGAGGGAAACAAACATGGTGAGTGATGAGGAGGAAACAAATGGTAGTGATGAGGAGGGGAAACATGGTAGTGATGAGGAGTGATGAGGAGGAACAAACATGGTAGTGATGAGGAGGGAAACAAACATGGTAGATGATGAGGGAAACAAACATGGTAGTGATGAGGAAACAAGCATGGGAAACATGATGAGATGGTTATGATAGTAGTGATGAGGAGGGAACAAACATGGTAGTGATGAGGAGGGAAACAAACATGGTAGGATAGATGAGGAGGAACACAACATGGTAGTGATGAGGAACAAAACAACATGGTATGGTAGTGATGAGGAGGAAACAAACATGGTAGTGATGAGGAGGGAAACAAACATGGTAGTGATGAGGAGGGAAATGGTGATGATGTGATGGAATGATAAGATGGTAAACAAACATGGTAGCAATGAGGAGGTAAACCAACATGGTAGTGATGAGGGAAACCAACATTGTAGTGATGAGGGAAACCAACATGGTAGTGATGAGGAGGGAAACCAACATGGTAGTGAGGAGGGAAACCAACATGGTAGTGAGGAGGAGGGAAACAAACATGGTAGGGATGAGGAGGGAAACAAACATGGTAGTGATGAGGAGGGAAACAAACATGGTAGTGATGAGGAGGGAAACCAACATGGTAGGGATGAGGAGGGAACATGGTAATGATAAGATGGTAATGATAAGGGGGTAAACAAACATGGTAGCGATGAGGAGGGAACATGGTAATGATAAGTGGTAGTGATGAGGAGGGAAACAAACATGGTAGTGATATAAATGAGGGAAACATTTACATATGACTGATAATGGGGAAAACAAATGTGAACAGTTGAAAAGAATACATGTGTCATGGTAATAGCAAGTAGGAAAATATGCATGATAGTTACACTGAAGATAACAGTTGGGGTAACATTCATCACATAGTGAAACCTCTGCAAAGACACATCTGATAGTGAAAATTGAGGAAACGCTGACAGTGAAAACTGGGGAACCACACTTGGTGGTGATAATAAGGCAAACAAAAATGGTAATGATAATTGGGGAAACGTGGCAGTGATAACTGGGGAAACAACAGCAGTTGGCAATATATTAGCCCTTTCTTCACATGCTGGTCCTGGCAAGGATTATTCCACTTCTGATGCCACTAACACGTTCATACCAAACGTTTTTTCTCGTTTAGAACGCTTTCATTTATGAACCCTCAATAATGTAATGTATGAACTATTGTAGGTTTTCATGAGTGCAATAGCACTGTGCACTGATAAGGATTCTGGGCTTGTCAGTACCATAACCTTGGTTGTGGGATTTCATTTTTAAAAAAAGACTTCCCTCCCTCCTCCCAGTGATAGAAGTGAAAAACTGGGTTTTTATAGCAGATCTACTCCCTCTAAACAACTTTGTCATTCAGTTTTATGTGATGTTTCTGATTCCCCCAGATGATGATATGAAGGGTGTGACCGACACCCCCTCGTCCCACCGCCTGGCCTCAAGCATGGGGGTCAGTGCTCACAGCATGCAGGTCATGAAGGCCTCCTTCTTTGGCGATGACGACTACCAGGATGACTTCAAAGGTAGGCGGGGCAGTTGGGTAGCCAAGTGGTTAAAGAATTTTATGATGAAGGAAAACTCCTTGGTTTTGGTATCTCGATACAGTGTGAAGTCGTACCCCAATTATGTAGAGCGATGTTCATGATGTTGATCAGTGGATTGTCTGGTCCAGACTTGATTATTTACAGACCGCCGCCATATAGCTGGAATATCGCTGAGCGTTTTGTTAAACAAACCAATCAACCAACTGTGTGAAGTCCTTTTTTTATTGCTTGAATATAGTTTCAAGTGGTGTGAAAGTCAATGCGCTCGTGATATTTGTGCTGAGAAAATTGTAACTTACTTCAACATTGTCATTGACAGTGCAGTGGTCACTTTTTGGAGGTGGGCTCAGGATCAGTGGTCACATACCTACAGTTTCTTTCCCTGTAACTTTTGATTAAATGTTCGCTTTCAGGCAAGCTGAGTGGGTTTACATCCGGCCAGGGCTTCCTCAAGCAGCAGGACAAGACAATGCCAAGTCTGTTCAGCCCTGGGCTCAAGTCAAAGTATGTGAGTCCATTGAGGGTGACACAGTCTCCAGTACCCCAGGAGATGCAGAAACAGCCCCCAGGTAGGAACATAGAAGGGTGTAGGGTGAAGGGGAGGAATGGGCGAGAACTATTTACCCTGTCCTAACCTGAACATGTGATCATCCATACAGAAATTGTGAACTAGCATTTCACCAAACTAGGAATTATAGGAAAGTTTTTCACAGCAATTTTTTTTACATTCTGTAAACTTATGCACAATTGGTTCAGTCAGTTGATATGTAGAACTCAGCACATTCTGGTCTATCCTTTAAAAGACTGTACATCAAATTATGAAAGATATTTTAGGTTCAGTTATGTTAACTGTGTTATGGAGAATAATTTCATGTGTCTGACAGTAAACTTATCTTTGTAGGTCTTTTCTCACAAAAGATTATTGCCCCAGAAGCCCGCCGGCCCCCACAGAATTTTGGCCATCCTCCGCTCGCTGAACACATGTTGTTGACTAGTGGGATGAGCCAGAAGGACACGCCCAGGAAGATTGCGGGGTCGCGAATAAGGAGGGAAATACCACCTGTCAGTCACTCACTCATGTACAAGAAGCAGGCCCTGATAGTGGACGCAGGCTGCCTGATGGGAAGGTCGTTCCGTGTGGGCTGGGGGCCAGGCTGGACACTGGTACACAGTGGTCAACCCTCCAACTACAAGGAGAAAGGTAGAGATGTCAATTCAATATCTGTGTCATGAATATTTAGGTTAGGGGGATAACCATTCATCGAATGTTCGCTTAATTGTATTACATTATGTTATATTGTGACATCATGGGTCAATCATTTTGAGGTCATGTGTCAGTGATGGTGAGGTCATGGGTCAATTATGGTGAGGTCAAGGGACAGTGATGGTAAGGTCATGGGTCAATTATGGTGAGGTCAAAGGAGAGTGATGGTAAGGTCATGGGTCAATTATGGTGAGGTCAAGGGACAGTGATGGTAAGGTCATGGGTCAATTATGGTGAGGTCAAGGGACAGTGATGGTAAGGTCATGGATCAATTATGATGAGGTCAAAGGAGAGTGATGGTAAGGTCATGGGTCAATTATGGTTAGGTCAAGGGACAGTGATGGTAAGGTCATGGATCATTTATGGTGAGATCATGGGGCAGTGATGGTGAGGTCATTGGTCAATGATGGCGAGGTCATGGGACAGTGATGGTGACATCATGGGCCAATAATGTAAGAATGAAATGTAATATTGTATGACATAATTCTATTTTCTGCTGGTTAGATTAAATTACTTTATCTACTATCAGGTAAATGTGTTTTGGTTGGGTTCTGTCACATTCTATATTTTGACTTAAATTGCAGTGTAAAGCAATATTTATTTATGCATTCATTTATTTATTCCATTGTTAGCTGGATTGTATTAAATGTTTTGTTTGGGGTCTCTAATTCTCAGATCTAATAGATTGACGATTATGTCAAAAGATCTTGTTTCATGTGCTGTAATCTTCATGGTGATTCATATTATGCAAGATGACAAAGTTTACTTGTATTTAGTTACAGTTACAAGTCAGATCATTTACAATAGGGTGGTGACAAAGACCGAACACTGAATAAACATCTAACTTACTCAGTCCTTTTCAGATTCATTTGTTATGACATGTTGAACCTGAGTAGCACCAGATGTGCATATAGGGTCACATACTCCTTCCCTCGACCCATAAAGATCCAGTCTTCAACCCATGCTTGTCGTAAGAGGCAACTAACGGGATCGGGTGACATGGTTGACACGCATCATCGTATCCCAATTGAGTAGATTGATGCCCATGCTGATGACCACAGGATTGTCTGGTCCAGACTTGATTATTTACAGACCGCCGCCATGTAGCTGGAATACTGCTGAGTGCACTGCTCCTTTCCTCCTAGTAGAGATTGTTAACTTGACTTGTTTTGGTTCATTCACAGAGGCACCGCGGCAGACACCATTCTCCTTGTTGCCAGGCATCCAGGGTGGGAAGCCAGTGAGGGCAGGCAGTAAGGCTTGGACTGTGACGTGTGAGAAGATGGACGTAGCAGATTATCTCACTGGCAATGACAAGACAGTCATTGTGAGTGCAACATTTCTTTCAATTAGTTACGTTGTTATATGACCTTTGATTTAGAAGATAAACATCATGTGTTGGCCAATTTCCATGTGTTCAAATACTCAATAACACCCTGAAATTGGCCAACATATGATGTTTATCGACATTGTAAACACATAAGTAAACCAAAAGGTCCACACGCATTTTTGTGTCTGCATTCATTGACATCAAGTACGTGTACAACAGTGGAGTGTCATCAACCGTCTTCCATAGTAGCATCTGGAAGTGCTAATTTGTGACGTCATTCCGACTTTACGTCACAATATGATTTGAATGATCGTCACCACAGCTGACGACACAACAAAACAATGGTGTGTACGATGTTATACGTATTAATACGTAGCAAACAGTCTTGCAATTTCTGGGAATCGAATACCATTTGATCATGTTTTTCGACCAGTCAGAATATAGAACACAGTGACTTTGGGTTTACAATTTACATTACGATATCGATGCAGTGCCCCATAAAAACAGGAAAGGAAGTGTGTAAAAACAGTGCCAGACTTTCATATCTGATAGATATAATATGTCCTGAAAATATCATTTTTAGTAGGACCATATTAAGTGATACTGATGATAGAGTGTACTGTGTTTAACTGTGTTCCCAACCAGAAAAACATGCGTCCGAATCCGAGATTCACCCTATGTATGGTCTTGCTTTGTCAGTACTTTACTGGACAAAAATAGTTAGGGATATATGTAAACTTTGAAATTATGAATAATGATCTATTTACTCATAGACACACTGATAAAATATAAATCATAAAAATACCAATATCCCTAACTTATTTTGTCCAGTATATCAATGCTTGCGGGTGCTGCATAAAGTGGTAAAATCTAAGGCCTGCATTACTTCAGACTGTTTTCCTAGATCAGCCTGACATACAGAGATATAACTGAAATACAGTGAAACCTGCCAACACCAGCCCCTGTCTAATCCAGCACACTGCTAAAACCGGCATAAAATTTTGGTCCCGCCATTTCACAACCATATTATGATCATTAAAACATTGTCTAACCCCGGCAGCTGTGTATTCCGTATTCTGGCATGACTTTCCGGCATGGGTATGAGCAGTCCCTTAATCCAATACATTGTTGCACAATTACAAAAGATCAAAAGCATTGTAGAGATAAAGAGATTGACGAGTGTAAATGGCAGCCATGTTGGAAAATGATCGTCTGTCTAATCCAACACCCTGTCTAAACCAGCATTTCATTTCGGTCCCATGGGGTGCCTATTTAGACAGGTTTCACTGTACTAGCAAGGGTTTCAGATCTGTTCATTTTCAAGGACATTGACTGATTATTGTCCAATATGTTTTAAAGATAAATTAGGTAATGAATTGCAAGGATGTCATATCCAAAGTTAAAATGTCCCAGTGGTTAAAGCGTTCGCTCATTAAAATGCCCTAGTGGTTAAAGCGTTTGCTCATCAGGCTGAAGACTGGGATTCAATTCCCCACATCGGTACAATGTGTGAAGCCAATTTCTGGTGTCCCCCTGTCAGGATATTGCAGCATTAATGCTTGAATATTGCAAAAAGCAGTGTAAAAAGTAAACTTACTCACACACTCACTCGTTTGTCTCTGTGAATATCACTATCTGTTTCCATTCCAGTCCACCCATGAGGAGATGCTGGACGTGCAGCTGGAGCACTCCCGGAGAGACACTGATGGTGGCTGCCCACTCTTTGTGCCATCTCCAGGCGTAGACTCTCTTCATCAGTATGCACAGCTGGGAGAGAAACTCTTAGAGGAGAACCGTGAGTATCTGCAGTCATTGCTTTTACATGGTTTTCTGCATAAACACCTTGCTTACTTCTTTGCGGGAAATGTATAGCCATGAGTTGTTAAACCTGCTCAGATCAGAATGCTAATTTTGATCTGTGACAAGAGCTCTTGATCAGCTGTGTAAGGTAAGTTGCATGGTTGCATAATTTTGAGCTGCATACAAGTTTGCATGAAGAATTTTGATAACCCAGAACTGGGTGGGATATCCCGATGTTGCTCTTTCAATTTGAATGGGACCGCCTCCGTGGTGTAGTGGTTAGAGCATCTGCCTTGGAGAGCAGATGGTTGCAGGTTCAATCCCCATCCGCGTCATACCAAAACACGTTAAAATATGGTACTTCTTGTTCCATGCCTTAATGGGTGAAACAAGGACTGATGGGCTCGGAGTCAGTATATTGTGTCTGAGTGGGGTATTCATGCTCAACTGCAGCATGGTATCTCAATGAGCTAGCACTATAGTATAAAACCAGCTTAAGTCTGGGCTAGTACAAGCAGCCACACATACACACGCATGCACATCATCATATGAGCGAAATATTCTTAAGTGCGACGTTAAACCCCATTTCACCTCACATCACCGCAATTTGAATGGACACTGTCATTTACAGGTATTTTATTTACCTGGGTTCGATTCCCCACTTGGGCACAATGTGTGAAGCCCATTTCTGGTGCCCCCCTGCTGTGATATTGCTGGAATATTGCTAAAAGCTGTGTAAAACCCAACTCACTCACTCACTCATTCAATGTTGTAATGATTCTTTACGACTGCACACAAATTTATGCGTATTAGTCATAACCTGAAAACATCGTAGCCCTGCATGGTATTGATGCTGACTGTTGCAGGAGGACATCCAGATGAGAGCAGTGTGGATCATATACGGATGGTGTGGAACCTCTGTGTAGCTCTGTGGGGGAATCTCCCGGAGTTCAGGTACTCAGGTGAGTCAATTTACACCTGAGTGAAACGGACATTAACAGTTGTAGATAACCTGAGTTTGTTCAAGTCGGAGTCTATCAGTGATATCGAGTATTTCCTACTGTTGACACACACTGCAATAGGTGAATGATGGAGGACTAGGACTGGGCCTCGTTCCACAAAACGATCGTAGTGCTCAGGGGTGGAAATATCTTTAAAATTGCTAGTGTACTTCGGTACAGTGTCACATGTAAAATCACTTGCCCTGATAATTTTTCTGCTATACCGTCCGTTTTCTTGTTGATTTTTTAAATAAACAACATAATTAACATTGGAAAGTCAACTGGACACCGGTACAGCATGATATACAAATATGCTTGCCCGACAGAAAAAAACACTGGACTCGGACGTCGGGCAAAGGGTTATTTCCACCCCTGGTGCTACAACTGTCGTAAGTCTATGTTACTATGTTAAAGTATGCGAGTTACGATCGTCTTAGGGTTACGATGACTTTGAGGAACGGGGCCCTGGTTTTCAACAAGCTGAATTTGATATGTTGTTGATCACCTGTGCAGTTTGTAACTAATGTCTAAGAACATGGGTTGACAATGTATGTTGAAGATACTGCTCCAGATCATGCCATAATTGTGCTTGATGCATGTCTGGATGTGTTTTATCAAAGGCAGTGAATGATGATATGTAGATAGCACTTCTCATGTCCATAGATACTAAGATAAATTGTATCTAAGATAAATTGGTGACAGGTACAACCACTTGACAAATAATTGTTTTATCAGAATAATATGTCAGCACCAAACTTGTTGCCCTGAGATTCTTCAGGCTTTGTGACACAGGTTGCATTGAGAGCAAAATATATACTTGAGTTTATCTTTAACGTAAAAACAAAAACAAAAATTACGGGATTAGAATTATCAAAACAAACCCATCAGTTATAACCTCTTTTGATACATGTTAACATATTCTGTGAGACACTGACTAAATCTGTATTCCTCTGCCAGACACTGATGAGTACGCTGTAAGCCAGGCGCGGAGGGAAGCTTTCTCCAAGTGGTTGTCTGAAACCGCCCAGCCAAAGATCAAGGAAGAAGTGCAAGAGTCCAAGTTCAAGGTAAACTATTGCTTTTACCATGTGTGACTTCCACATCATACCAATATTAAGAAGTTGATAGATGTTTTGTTACCTGATCCTGAGGTGATGAAACAGGAAGTATAGTGTTAGTGGGGTAGCCAAGTGATTAAAGTGTTCGCTTCTCACACCAACGACCTAGCATGCGTTGACCAACACTTGGAGAGTTGTATGGGTATGAGATCAGCATTTCCTCATCGTAGTCTGTAATCTTATGGGAGGTCCAGTTAAGAATAGGTCCAGAGGAACCTGTGCTCAGTTTAAGAGGTAACTACATGGATCAAGTGGCCAGGCCTGGTGACTTTATTAATTGTATGACACTACTCCCTGTCAATGTGTATCATTGCTTACTATATCAGTAACTTGTATGACTTCAGCCAGGCTCAATTATAGGGCCCATAAGTAGGTCATGGCACTTCGCGAGACCTCAGTACTCCCAGTGACAAACAATGATCAGTTGGTCTGGTCAAGTAAGGTCATATTTGGCGGTCACTCAATTTGGAACCAGAACTGGTTGTTTAATATACACTTGTCACCGAAATCTGGTTCCAGATGTAAGCTTTTCCTTGTCCCACGTATGGCAAGTTGGGCTCGCAAAGGGAGTGTTGAACTGGGAGTAACGCCTCGCGAGATTTACAGGCCCTATTTATAGGCTGCTGTTATGATCCTGAGAGCAAACAAACATGCCAGTCTGTAACATTTCAGAAGCTAACAGATAACCATTAGATATGACAAGACCATTGAAATAGATTCCTTTGAATGTTTGATTTTATATCCATTCACAAATTAAATCATATCTATTATCTTTGTGATTTCAGAATCAAGGTCACTTGATTGCCATCTTGAGCTATTTAAGCGGGAGGCAGATTACAGATGCATGTACATTGGCACAAAAGGTCAGGTGATCACAGATTGGCACTCTCATTGGCTCAAGCAGTCGGCAGCCATGTTGCTCGGCAGATGTTGGCCCGGCAGTTGGAGGAATGGGCAGAGCTTGGGGTATGTGGAATAAAACATTCACTTATTCCTCAATCAGATCAAAATCATGAATGTTTATAAATATATCTTGTCTGAATTTCTCCAGGATATTAAAAACAAGAAAAAAATTGGCATTTCATTTTCGTTTTGTCTTTAATTCATGCATATTTTGGAGTAGCCTAGTGGTTAAAGCCTCAGTGGTTGGGTTCAAAGGGTACAATTTGCTCATTATAAATTTGCAGATCACCTTAAGTTAACCATATGTATATGTATTAACCAATCAGAAGAGATATCTTGTAAATTATTGTTTCATAAATTTGTGAAGTATAGTCATAAGGAAAAAAGGCGGTGGTATCACAGGATAGATTGCAGGTGTTTTGTCTAAGGATGCTGAAAGTAATGGCAGTTCTGAAATAGGAACCCTTGTTGACAAAAAATTACAATGCTGACTCTCATGCATTTTGATGAGCTATGTTGATCGTGTTCCAGGCAAATCACTTTATAGATCAAGTACGACTGAAGATCTACTCCCTACTGTCAGGTCAACTCGTGTGGTCATCCAGCACAGCGGTCAACACATGTGACAACATGGACTGGAAGCGAGCCCTTGCTTTGCACCTCTGGTCAGTCTTAGTCTTTTCTAGCTCTTGTTTAGCCTTAATTATCTTAAGAACCGTTCTCTAGATTCTTTTCATATTTGGTACCTAGGTTCATCACAGTATAAGAAAGGCCCAAGTCAGGTTTGGTGACCTTGACCTTCATTTCAAGGTCACAAGGGGACATTAATGTTTTACCTGCATGTTAAGCTATCTCAAGAACCATTCACTGGATCTTATTCATATTCAATACAAAGCTTTATCTAGGGAAGGCGCAGGGCCAAGTCGATTTTGGTGACCTTCACATAATTTTCAAGGTCATGGCGACACTTTGAAGATTTCAGCATGTAAACCTGCATGTTAAACTATCTCAAGAACCGTTCACTGGATTTTCTTCATATTTAACACCAAGTTTTATTTTTGGGAAGGTGCAGGGCCAAGTCAATTTAGGTGACCATGCATCGATACATTTTTACTGCCGATACGATACGCGATACATGCTTGCGTGTATCGATTCCTATTTTAAAACTTTATCGATTCAAATTTGTATGCTATATCCATCTCCTTCGAAGTCTTGATAGTAAAATTATACGAGACCGCTCCGATAAATAGATGTAGCTAGCTTTACTTAAAAAATAGGTTGGAAACTAACAGCTTTTGTGATTGGCTGAGGACTACATGACTAATTTGATGGACCAATCAGCGTGATTGCGTTGCCAGTAAGTGCGGTAGGTAATGCTATGAAAAGGCGCTTAAAATTATGTATCGCGATACGTATCGTATCGCGGACCTTTAAAATCGTGATAATGCGATCGTAGAAACGGCCGGCTGATGACATTTCTCTGCTGTACCTGTACTCAATGTCAATGAGTGCAGACACAAAAACGTGTGTGGACCTTTTGGTTTACTTTTGTGTTTACAATGTCGATAAACATCATGTGTTTTCAAGGGAATATTTCATTTGAAACCTCCAGCTGACACCATCGGTTCCAAATGAATTCCAGTGCTTCAAATACTCAATAACACCCGGAAATTGGCCAACACATGATGTTTATCTTCTAATATATTCATTCTGTAGTCATTGCTTTGCTTTTGAATCTGATATGAAGATGGGTCAAGCCGAGTGAAATATTTAATGATTTTTCATATATTTGGTGATCGAAAAAGCAGTTTTGAAATACAGGGATGGACATAAACGCAGAATGCCCTCTAGCCAGAATATCGATAACATACAATAATACCTCCCACCATAGTGACCAAAAATGTTGAAATCTACTACCTCTAACATAAGGAAACAGATTACACCTGATATAATATTTCAATTGAGTTTTGGGTAAACAAACCCTTAACTGTTTGTTTATTTTTATCTATGTTTTAATACCACATTAAGCAATATACCAGGTGTATGCTGGCAATTCATAAGTAATCAGCTCTATACCAGATATTGTAGTGATTGACATCATGAGCAATGATCTACACAACTGGGTCGCGATGACATGCTTCTGCTAAGTCAGCGATCCTGAACACCCGATCCTATCTACATTAGTTCCATGCGTTGCTGAAGATCACTTCCAGACAGGATCTTTACATGTCTTAATGAAAATGTTCTTTCTTATGCACCACAATAACATACAGCATTCTTTCCAGGTATCACTGTAAGCCCAATGCAACTATACCTGAAGCATTGGCCCAGTATGAAGATGCCTTCAAAAGCCGCACATCATACGGCAAATACTCCAATGCCCCACTGCCTCCTTATCTGGAAGAAAATGACAGTTACGAAGAAGAGGAGGAGGTGATTGACGAACAAGATGAACATGTGGTGCGAGACACCTGTTACCACTTGCTCAAGTTGTACTGTCAGAGGGGCCATAGACTGGAGAGGATCCTCAACCCCACCACGTCAACTGCCAACCAGTTGGATTACCGTCTCAGGTAGTAAACATAACACTGTGTCAGAATAGTTTGTACACACTGTAATATTTTCTTGAAATGTGCTCCATTTAACAGTGTACATAAAAGGGTTCTGGGTTAGAAGGGGCCATCTCAGGTCATTACAGGTGATCTTAGGTCGCCACAGGTCATCACATCAATGCTTGTCTCACGTCCAATCAAGATAAGGATGAGGTGGTTGCAGTTTGTTTACTTTACTTTGCATGTCTAACACAAACATGCTCTATGTTATTAACTAATGGTTTGATCGCCTGATTTATATGCAGGAAGATAAGTCATCTAGTTTCAGGACAGTTGATAGTTTGCTGTGTCAAAAGTTTCACCACATGACTGTCCTGTTTGTTCCAGCTGGCATCTGTACCAGGTGTTACAGTCGATGTCCTACCACCATGTCTCCCCCTACCATGCTGCCTGTCTTCACACCAGCTTTGCAGCACAGCTGGAAGCTCTAGATCTCTGGCACTGGGCTGTATTTTCCCTGCTACATATTGAAGATCCACTCAGGTAGGTCTGTCTGTGCTATTTGGCTTTGGCTCATTAAACAAACAGCATCATGAAATGGAACTGATAATACCAATTGAAATGTGGGCCCTATCATCAAAGGAACGTTAATTCTCTGTGTAGTGTTGGGCATTCCAGAAACAGTAACATTAGGTTTGAGTCCCAGTTCACCTTGATCATGTCAACATGTTTCTCAGCACCATAGACCCGAGAAGATCCAGGGTAGACTTGGTCTTCAGCAACCCATGCTGGTCTTAAGAGGTGGTCAGACTCTCTGACTTGGTTGACACATGTCATTGTATGCAAATTGCGTAGATTGATGCTCATGCTGTTGATCACTGGATTGTCTGGTCCAGACTTGCTTATTTACAGACCACCACCATATAGCTGGAATATTGCTGAATGCAGCATTAAACAACAAACCAACCAACCAACTCTCAACACCATACCCATGCTTGTGTGTTTCACAAGTGTAGTAAACATCAAATACCTGTATCAGTTGGGCTTTCCTAAAACACTAAGTTGACACACTGTAATATAAGTGATAATTGTGTACCTTTACTCCTTGATAAGTATATTGTTATGAGCATTTTTAACAGGATAATTAGTAAATAAGAAGCAAGCAGAACTCTTTCATATCATTATAATACTTTGTGATGTTCCAGACGAGAGACAGCTGTAAGATCAGTATTAGAGCGACATGTGTCTCTGTCGAAGAACCCTAAGTACTTACACAAGGAGGAGTTTGTGAGAGAGAGGCTTCTGGTTCCTCCTGCATGGATACACCATGCTAAGGTGAGAAACTTGTCAGCGTGGAGATTTACATTTGGACTAACATATACCCACCAAAATACACTTATGTACTAGGTTTGACAATTCCAAAGAACCAACCTTAAGCATAAAGGAATCCAAGCTTTGCATGAAAGATACTCCATTATGTACATGCAAAATATGAATGGATGCAAATAAATACACCCAACACTTCAGGGTGTCAGTGGGTGACTTTCTTCAGTCTATTGATAGGATCCCCATCTGTAACACACTTATGATTTCTGAACTTGTGAACAAAAACTGCAAATCTATCTTGATAACATACATATGTTTTATTGATCATAAATCACAAAAAGCAGTGTTATGGGTCGGTAATTGGTCAATGCCTAAATCATATTATCCCTTTTCTCTTGTCCTGAAAAGAGTCAGATGGTTTCAGGCCCACTGAGGGTAGATGCTCATGCTGTCGACCACTTGTCAAGTGTCAACACGCTCGTTGACTATCATGCAAAGCAACTTAAACTTGTTCCTTGTTTTCAGGCTATAAAAGCACAGTCAGAAAACAAATACCATGACGAGGCATGGCACTTACTGAAGGCTGCGCAGTGGAATGAGGGACACAAGGTCATCTTGGCACACATAGCTGCTGATGCTATCATAAACGGTAAGTCTCCCTATACACAGGGATCACATGAATCAGATGTCAGATCCATAGTCAGTAACCCTGTGGGAGCTCCAGTTAGGAACAGGTTCCCAGAAACCTGTGCTCATCATAAGAGGCAACTTAATTGATTAGATAATCAGGCATAATCAGGCTCTGCGACTTGGTTGATGTCATGTCATCTTGGTTGGTTGGTTGGTTTAACGCCACACTCAGCAATATTCCAGCCATATGGCAGCAGTCTGTAAATAATCGAGTCTGTACCAGACAATCCAGTGATCAACAGTGTAAGCATCAATCTACGCAATTAGGATATGATGACGTGTGTCAACCAAGTCAGCGAGTCTGACCTTCCGATCCCATTAGTCACTTCTTATGACAAGCATGGGTTTCTGAAGATATTTATTTTTCCCGGTTTCCATGGAAATGATTCGGACTTAGTCTCAAAAGGAAGGGGTGGGTTTTGTTTCTGGAGCACAACTCGAAAACTTCTTAATATCTTTCAGCAAAACTTGGCAGATATGTGAGGCAGATGCCAAAGTGGTGCCTTTTGTTATTTGGCATATTTATTTTTCCCCATGGAAACGATTCGGACTTAGTCCCAAAAGGGAGGGTTGGGTTTCATTTCCGGTGCACAACTCCGAAAAGCGATCAGTATCTTTCAGCAGAAGTTGGCAGATATATTAGGCAAATTTTGAAATGGTGCCTTTTGCTATTTATAGATTTTTGACATTTATATTTCTCATGATTTCCATGGAAACGATTTGGACTTAGTCCCAAAAGGGAGGGGTGGGCTTCATTTCCGGTGCACAACTCGAACAGCGTTCAGTATCTTTTAACAGAACTTGGCAGATATATTAGGCAAATTTTGAAATGGTGCCTTTTGCTATTTACAGATTTTTGACATTTATATTTCTCATGATTTCCATGGAAATGACTTGGACTTAGTTTTAAAAAAGTCAAGCTGGACTTTTAAGTAACTGTCAGATGATTTGTTCTTTCAAATATGTGGGGGCCGGGGGGATATGTCATCTTCTGATGACTCTTGTTAATTAAAAGATGTTTACTTCCATAATTTTCATCAAAATAATATGTCAGTCTTATTAATTGCTGGAATTGAAGTAATAATTGAGGGGTCGAAGTAATAATGGGGATCTTTTGCATTTGTATTGAAATCTCCACTAATATATAAGAGAAATATAACTTGTTTTTACAGAAAACTTTGACTATTTGCGTCGTTACTTAGAAGAGTTGTCTCCCCCTGAGATTAGCTCTTCTGTGTTAGACTGGTCGACAGGGGGAAAGGTGTTTCTGGACTACATCAACTTGTGTCAACATTTGGAGGATCTCAAGCAGGTAACACATCATCTTGTGTTGATTTGTATGAATGTTTTAATTATATGCTACAACAGGTGACCACCTCTATAGTGTAGTGGATAGAGTGTCTGCTCACAGGGAGGAGTGAAAATGTTGGGTTTTATGTCGCTTTTAGCAATATTCCACCAGGGGACACCATAAATAAGATTCACACATTATACCAGTGCCTGGAAACCAGTATATACATGTCACCTTATATGTAACTAAATCAACCTCAGATGTTGCGTCATATTGACTGATGTCATGTGAAAATTGTTCCTTCTTGGTGCAACCATTAGGCCTAGCAGTCCTCTACTTCAGCCTCTTGTCAAAAACCCAAGTTGTGTAACATTATGATTAGCTCAGATAACAAGTCCAAATAGTCATGGGGACGGTGGGTTAGTCTAGTGGTAAAATGTTCTTCGTCATGCCGGAGACCCGGGTTCAATTCCCCACATGGGTACAATGTGTGAAGCCCATTTCTGGTGTCCCCCACCGTGATACTGCTGGAATATTTCTAAAAGCAGTGTAAAACTAAACTCCCTCGCTCCCAAATAGTCATGACAGAATACTGAAAGTATGGTCGAAGTTTGGTACTGCAGGCTCTAAAATTTTGTGCACAGAAGAAAGTACAACACAGCAGAAAACACCTACACCTAAACCAACGAATTGTTGACAGTTACGAGGGTAACCTTTTAAAATATAAGATTAGATGCTGATGAAAGCAGTAATCAGTAACACACAATGTTTTCCGATCCACAAAACAAAACAATCTTCATAAGCAAAATTGTTTTCCAGCCTGGGCTGAATCAGTGTGACTTCAGTGGCAGGACTTTGATATTTATATAAAAAAACTCCTATGCACTGTAAGTCACCAGAACATAAGGTGATAAAAAAATAGAAGCACAGTAAGTGAAATGAACCAGTCTTCAATAACATGTATCCAATAAAGTTTCAGGTTAAAGAACTGAGGTGAGTTTTAAAAAAATTGTCCAAAAATGATGTAAAGTTGTCCAGGTCATCATAAAGAAGACCTGTCATAAAATTATCTCTTCTAATTGACATATGGTTGGGGTATTTTTAGGGAACCCCCAGTGCTTATGATCTGGAGAGACTCCAACCAGCCGTCACATCCCTCTGCAACAGGGTAGGCAGTCTGGAGTGCAGGAATTCCAAGGAGAGGTGAGCATGCAACGAACCGTGTTCAGTAAATTGTCATACATCACAAAGGACCAATTTTATTACCTGTATACAGAACCCATTGGAATGCTGGATAAGAATGCAGGTGATCAGTTGGTCTGGGTCATGACATGGTTTAATGCATGTGGTTGTATCCCAATAACATGGATTGATGCTCATGATGTCAATCACGGGTATGTCTGGTCCGGACTCTATTGTTTTCAGACCACTGTGGTATAGCTCAAATGTTGCAAACAGTTCTCAGATATTTGTATTTGAGTGAACCATAGTGTTAATTAAACTACCAGTATAATTGATTCATTTATTCTTTTTGTCATTCTGTATATCTGTAAAGATATTTGTTGGTGAAATGCCATTATTTGTTTTGTTTGAATGCAGGCTTTGCCAATCCGAGATGGCTAAAAAGTCAGCCAACCTTCTTGGAACTCTCCTGACATTCCAGTGTGCAGGGTCAGCAACAGGACGACCACCAACAAGGTGAGCTGTACACTCACTCACTCACTCACTCACTCACTCACTCACTCACTCACTCACTCACTCACTCACTCACTCACTCACTCACTCACTCACTCACTCACTCACTCACTCACTCACTCACTCACTCACTCACTCACTCACTCACTCACTCACATACATCGCCCACCTTCACAGTCCTCCCACCAACATGCCCACTCAAAACACAAGGAAGGTCATTTTCTTATGTATGCTTGCCAACTTACTCACCCACTCACTCACTATTCTGTAGTTTCACTGAAGGATTAAAGCTGACTTTGCTGAATGTCTGTTAGTATACCTGACTGCATGAATCGTTGTTCACATCTCAGTCACTGGTTTGCCTGGTCCAGACAGGTAGGTGACATGTAGCTGGAATATTGCTAGGTGTGGCATTAAATAACATTCAATCACACCCATATTTATAGAATGGATGAAACATTTTCACCCTTCATATAAGACAGAACCCTAGAAATATTACTGTAAACAGTGTACAACCATAACCATTATCTCTCACTAACTTATGGACCCATGAAGATCCGGATTAGCATTGGTCTTCAGCAACCCATGCTTGTCTTAAGGTCCGACTCACAGGATCAGGTAGTCATTAGCTCGGACTTAGTTGACACATGTTATCATATCCCAACTGCGTACTCATGATGTTGATTACTTGATCGTCTGGTCCAGACTCAATTTACAGACCGCCGCCATACAGCTAAAATATTGCTGAATGTGGTATTAAACAACAAACTAATGCAGACTTTACTCTGTTGCAGGCTTGTTGCTTCTCATATCAGTGGTTTGCCCATGCCAGAGGACTACGCCCTTCAGGAGCTCCGAGAGCTGACACGCAGCCACCTGCTGGAGATGACTATGGGAACATAGGAACAACCCTTGTGTACAAACATACAAAAATATACATATATCAAAAGGTCCTGAAATACAGTGATTCCTGTTTGGATTTGTCGCAGGATCCAACACAATTGACCAGTGCGGATTTGACTTTCAAAAACAACTGCCTGACTACAATACAGGGTCAGAAATGGATTTCTCTTCTATTCCCTGTGTTTCATGAAGGGACAAATCTCATGTTTACCATCTTCATTTAAACATAATGAAAATCTTGAGAAAAAACTATTTTAAAAATAGCTCATAAGCTTTCAACTTATGATGATGTTACATGGTTAAAATCCATGGAACATTTGTCTTTAAGGTAGAAAGAAGATGCCAAGTATTTGTTGATCGTTATGATCATGTGCTAAATAATTTCATGTTCATTCTTGTCATGAAATGAGAGAAGACTTGTTGATCAGGTGGATATGAATGTTGCTATGTATATATCTTGTAAACTCTTGTGTGTGTGTGTGAAGAACGAAAAAGCCATGACAAGCAATCATTGATGTATGTTCATACCATTGACCTCATGTTGATTCAGGTCATTGCTCATTCTGTAATAAGTTCTGAGACATTGGTTGTGTTGATGCTGAATCACATATTCTCCTTGGGGCGTTGGGGTATCCTGGTGGTTAAAGCATTCGCCCATCATGCTGAAGACCCAGGTTCAATTCCCCACATGGGTGCAATGTGAAGCCCATTTCTGGTGTCCCCCACCGAGATATTGCTGGAATATTGCTGAAAGCGGCTTCAAACTAAAACTCACTCACTCACTCCTCATAGTTTCATGAAGGTGTTCAATGAATTATGACGTTTAACAGACCAAAGTGTAATGGTCTACAACAAAGTAATGATATCTGGCAAAATTCTGTTCATAGATGCCATTCCTCATGTACCAATATTATGTTTAAAAAAATGTTGATTTTGTGCCATGTATATATATATGAACATCAAGACTACAGAGACATGTTATTAATAAAAGGAAAAGTAATTCTTTTCTTGATGCATTGTTTTTGTCTTAATATTATTGAAAGTGAGTCTGTGAACGTGTTCACGCCCCTGTGTGCTATGTTACAGACTTGTTATGTATCCTGGGTGGTGGGGTAACCAATGGTTAAAGTGTTCGGATTCGATCCCACATGGGTATAATGTGTGAAGCCCATTTCTGGTGTCTCCCGCCATGATGTTGCTTGAATATTGCTAAAAGTGGTGTAAAACTAAACACACTCACTCACTATTATGTATCCTAAAGTCGGTCCTAGAATATTGCTGAGTGGCATTAAACAACAAACCAACCAACCAATGTTCCTAGGGGTTACACAGTGTATGAAATAAGCCAAAAACCCAGCCAGACATTTTGGGCTCGTAACTACAAAAACTCACCAGCCCAGAAGAGATTTAACCAGTCCTTCTTATATAGTATGACCAGAAATTATTGAGAATTTTAGGAATATGTTAAATTGGATTTCTAGTATAAACAACCTTGACCAGCTATCAAGTGCTTGGTTTCATTCAAGAGAGACAACTCCGTTAATCCTTTTTCATTAGTTTGTGAAGAGTTATCCCCCTTTGTTTACTTGCTAGCAGACGACATTTTCAGTGATCCTCAGTGTGGATGCTTTAGATAAGAGGAAATTGATTTTAGAGTATTATAACAAGGACATCAGAACAGCTAAAGTGATTTCAAGTAGAACAGGCATCCCTTTGTCCACTGTTTATCGTGTTTTGAAAAATATTGCAAATGGATATGACATTGAGCACCAGGGAGGCGCAGGTAGGCCCAGAAAATTGACTGTCGGTGACAGGAGGCGGCTTTGGTATTCTTGTTTCTAAAAGCAAACGAAGGAGTTTAGAAAACTTAAGGCTGGATATGATTGATAGAGGAACTGTGGCTGTCTGTAAGGAGACAATTAGAACTGAGCTGCATGCAATGGGTTGGCAGAAAAGTCGAGGAATTCCATCACCGATCATGAAACCTCAACAAGAGGAGCGAAGGTTGAACTGGTGCTTACAGCATAGAAATTTTAACTGGGACAATGTGATTTTCTCAGATGAAAGTTCTGTGTGGCTGTTTCCTAATACACTGAAATTCTGGACCAAACGAACTGAAAAACCTTTGTATCAGCGCCCAAAGTACAGTCCGAAATTTAACGTGTGGATTGGCATATCTGTGTTAGGGGCAACGCCCCTCTGTGTATTTGAAGGGAATATGAACAGTGAGCGGTACACAGATATTCTCGATGGACATTTACATGTACTTCCATCTGCTCACGTGTTCTATGGACATTTTTGGATTTTCCAGCAGGACAACTACCCAAAACATCGTTCAAAGCATTCTCAGTCCTGGTTTCGGACCCAAAATATGACATTATTAGATTGGCCAAGCTATAGCCCTGACCTAAATCCAATAGAAAATGTTTGGGGACTTATGAAGGAAAGTGTCAATAAGAAAAATCTGACAAATATTGCTAAAATGAAAGAAGAGGTGGTCCGATATTGGGACAGCATGGACCACGACTTTCTAACTTCTTGATCAGTAGTATGCCCCGCCGCATTGAAGTTAGACTTTGTTAGCTTGCTGCCTATGGTGACTTGACAAAATACTAACTATTCACCTGTCTTTGAATCTGGAGTTATGTTCTGCTAATATTCACATTTAATACGTGAGTAATGAGTGAAAAATATAAAAATTACAATCTTAAAATTCTCGGTAATTTCTGGTTGTACTGTATACTAAATAGAGAGTGCCATTGGACACGTTATCTGAATAAATAAAAAATCACCCGTCCATCGGGCTGGCTAGCTGTAAAATTAGACCATCCGACAGAAATCTAGTCTCGGACGGTCGGACCGGCCTTATTTCATACACTGGGTTACACCATTATGATGATGTCACGATGTTGTTACTGTTGCTGCTGCCAACAGAAACTCACTGAACAGGCATTATAAGATATAAGAGGTACACAACCTCTAGTCATAATGCAAAATTGAAGAGAAATTATATATCAACCATAATGTAATATAAATTTGAGAAATCAAATCAACATTTGATTCTCCATTTTAGATTCTATGGCATAAAAGACCCATCTGCATCGCATGTCCAGGGCATACTGGTGAAGGATGGTAGGATTTTCTTTCATGACTGATGCGGGGCGGCGGGGTAGCCTAGTGGTTAAAGCGTTCGCTCGTCACGCCGAAGACCTGGGTTCGATTCCCCACATGGGTGCAATGTGAAGCCCATTTCTGGTGTCCCCCGCCGCGATATTGCTGGAATATTGCTAAAAGTGGCGTAAAACTAAACCCACTCACTCATGGCTGATGCATGGGTACGTTGATAATTATTCCGTATTGTTGGTGCAAAACCAAAACATCAACCATTGAAATAATAATGGGTAAACTTTACTAGAAATCAACAGCCAATCCCAAGTTCGTTTGCAGGGATTTGTTTCTTGTTTAATGAGACACTCTGTACATAGTGTTCAATCTGTATATCAGCCGCCTGTAAATAATGAGTGAGTGAGCTATATTCCAGCAATATCCCATCGGGAGACACCAGAAATGGGCTTCACACATTGTGCCCATGTGGGGAATCGAACAATCGACTCAGCTTTTTTAATGTGGTGGCATTCACAAAGTGATGATGTATTGCTGTCAGTGCTGTGGTCAGTGATAGCAGCTGTGTATTGAATATTGTCATTAGCAGAGAGGCAGGCAGACACACAGGTGTCAATAAAACAAGACATCGAGTTTTGTCTGTGACAACGACATATCTATATCACAGTTAGAAATTCTGTCAACGCTAAATAATGACATTGCTTTTAAGTATCGAACTGAGAAAGTGACTCGGTAAGAAGAACGTGTGGTGAAATAGACAAATGAAATTATATAAACAGTTTATTTACTGTCATTTTTTAATGTGGTGGCATTCACAAAGTGATGATGTATTGCTGTCATCAGGAGACTTTTGTTGGGTTGAGTCCCATCAGGAATTCGAACCCACACTCCCAGAGTCGGGTACCAAATCGCCAGCCCACAAAGTCAGCCATCTAACCCCCTCAGCCACCGTGAATTCCACAATAATGGAGGAGGAGAATAACGGTGGTCTGACTCGCTGACTTGGTTGACACGTGTCATCGTATCCAAATTGTGTAGATCGATGCTCATGCTGTTGATCGACCGCCTCCGTGGTGTAGTGGTTAGAGCGTCCTCCCGGAGAGCGGAAGGTCGCGGGTTCGATCCCCGACCGCGTCATACCAAAAGACGTTAAAATATGGTACTTGTTGGTCCCTGCCTGGCGCTCGGCGTTAATGGGTACATCAAGGACTGGTCGGCTCGGAGTCAGTATGATGTGTCTGAGTGGGGTATTCATGCTTCACTGCGGCATGGTATCTCAGTGGGCTAGCACTATAAAACCAGCTTCAGTCTGGGTTAGTACAAGCAGCCGCACATACACATACACACGCATGCACGTCGTCATATGAGCGACATATTCTTAAGCACGACGTTAAACGCAATTCACCTCACCTCACTCATGCTGTTGATCACTGGATTGTTTGGTCCAGACACGATTACCAACCGTCGGCATATAGCTGGAATATTGCTGAGTGCGGCCTTACACAACAAACCAACCAACAAACACTTCTTGAAGTTCGTTAAACCAGATTAACACAGTTCGTGAATGGAATATGATGATGATGATGATGATGATGATGATGATGATGAGTTCGTGAACGGATGATTATGATGATATACAATACGGGATGTGAAACCGTTTCGTTTTCTGATTTTTTAGAAATACAACCTCCCCCATGTGGTGTCTTATTTCATGTGAAACAACATATTTTAGAACCTATTTGCACGTTTGGGTGTGGATATTCTGAACAAACATTCGCACTCAATCTATTAGAGACGCGTTCGTTCACCTGTACATCCGGCTTTTAATGGAACCTCATCGTGATACACGGACTGAACACCTGGTACATACTGACAGTGTTTACCCAGCGGTGAAGGAATAAGTCTGTCTCAAATGAATTAAAATTTGCATACCTCAGCAAATGCTTGATCATCGAGTAGGCCTATGTCCAATACATGCCTTTCATGAGTAGGGGGCGGGAGTGTAGCCTAATAGTTAAAGCGTCCGCTCGTCTCGCTGAAGACCCGGGTTCGATTCCCACATGGGTGCAATGTGTGAAGCCCATTTGTGGTGTCCCCCGCCGTGACATCGTTGGAATATTGGTAAATGCGGCGTAAAACCATACTCACTCACTCACTTTTATGAATACACAGTGCCTTTAACATGCACTTAGTCCTAAAGTGAAAGTTGTTTTGTGCAAGTTGCATCTGTACTAAAACGCCTCGTTGGCAATCATGAGATTATATATAACAGGAAATGGACATTGTTAAGAAGCCAGCTCATCAATAAATGATTCCACAAATGGCTGTTGGATCCTGTGTGTGTGTCCAGCTGAGGTCTGAATATGACCAGAAGATTCGTGACTCATTTACTTCCAACGCACACCAACACCAGCATTGGAGGAAATCCGAAGTAAATCCGGATTCACAATTTTCATCAGTTCACATAACCATCGCACCCAAACAGTGAGTGAGTATGAATTTACGCCGCTTTGTGCAATATCACGGCGGGGGACACCGGTAATGGCTTTCACACATTGTGCCCATGTAGAGAATCGAACCCGAGTCTTCGGCGTGACGAGCGAACGCTTTAACCACTGGGATACCCCACCGCCCCTCGCACCCAAACAGTGAGTGAGTACGCATTAAGGCATTTCTGAGCAATATTCCAACAATATCACGGCGGGGGACTCCGGTAAGGGTATCAATTTTTTTGTCACGTTTCACGTAGCCACCAAATTCTAGACATGGGTCTGTCGGTCGGGAGAAATGAAGAAGAAAAAAGCTTAATAAAGAACTTGATAACAAATTTTTTATCTGAATAATGTTCTTGATTCTCATTTATTGTAATTCTTATTACAATTTCTCGCGTTTTTTGGATTTGTGGCAGCGACTGATTGAAAGATAAACATTTCATTTGACGAGGCTGTACGTTTTAGGTTCGAGTCGGCGGTGTTCGAAAGAACAACAAAGGTTGTTTGGGGGTTGTTTTGTTTTGTTTGTTTGTTTTTGTTTTGTTTTGTTGGGGTTTTTTTTGGCGTCGGCAATAAAGTTAGAAGGGTCGTTCGGGCGATGAGTCACACAGGAAAAATAAAACTGCATGCTGCCCTATTGGGCTTCACACATTGTGCCATGTAGACAATCGAATCCTGGTCTTCGACGTGACGAGCTTTTACCACTAGGCCCACCGCCCCTCGCACCCAAACAAAACACTTTGGTGTCCGCATATACAGTATACGTGTTCATAAATACATGTACTAGGTTATGATATAGTGATATAGTGATATCGTCAAATGGACTCTGTTGAGGGTTTTACAGTAGAAAGAGGTCGTGGCAGGCAGAGGCTTTTTATTCATTAAAACACGCTGATCAAAGCTGGCGACTTTCTAATGTTTATTATGAACAATGAAATTTCTCAGGGCCAAGTTGTTCAAAACTCGGTTATCTTTTAACCAGCCGTTAAGTACATTTAACCGACCGTTAACTAATAACAGAGGGTTATCTTGTTGTTCAAAATTCTCTTAACTTTAAACAGGGCCCGGTTGTTCAAAACTCGGTTATCTTTTAACCAGTCGTTAAGTACATTTAACCGACCGTTAACTAATAACAGAGGGTTATCTTGTTGTTCAAAACTCTGTTAACTTTAGACAGGTTGTTAACGTGACGTAAAGTTAACACACCTAAGGACCGCCGCTAACTTTTTAAGTGTGGTTAACTCGCAAATGGCGTCCATGGCTAACACTGCTTTCATGAGGCCAGTTCAGCAAAGAAAGGATAGGGTGTATCGTGGACTGGACTTCGATACTGGAAATTATTCTGACGAAGAGTTACATACGAAACTGTAACTATATATGCACTTCATAGGAACTAACATACATGTTGTACAAGAACATGATGCCTACGTTTCATCTTTTAACACTTGTGTAAAGGTTTATATATGTTTTACTACACTAAATGTGTGAATTTCTTCTGTAAATATTATTCAAACAAACACTTTCAAAGAATCAAACACGTACACCCTATACCCACGTATTGTATGATATTGAACAAGACTAAATGTAGATAATTAAATTAGTTTCATGAAAAAATATCCGAATGAATACATTATGATACTGAAAGTGTAATCGGCGGGATATGGTGATTGTGTATACTCTTATTCTACCGACCTTCACCTCAGAGAAATTGCCAAATATGTACAACAATGTTGACGAATGAAATCACTACCGTTGAGATTTCTTAAATAATGGTGTCTGAAATGGGTTTTGCGAGGACCCTGCCCTTGATTCAGGGATCGTTTGTACATAAATATGAGATGTAAGTAATCAGAATGATTCTGACTATCTGTGTATTGTTACATGTTTTTATCGTTTTCATTTTAAGAAAGAGCAGAAGCGGCCAGAAATGCCGATTGTTACCGTTATCGTTCTGCGTAATTTTGCGTCAGCCATGGCGTCACGCTGCACAGAAACTTGACAGTTTCGTATAAACACATCACATTCCTGTATTGTATCTACTTTTAATTTCCTATTTCTTGCTACTATGCTCTTTCCATGCAAATGGGTGTCTGAAAAATTGAGAAAATGCTACACAGTATAAAGTCTGAAATTGTCTTTGTTTACATTTCAAACAGGTGTTGTCTTTCGAGCACAGCATTTGTTTCCACCCCCAATATCTTTCGTTTCAGTTTATCTAGACACTTGGTATTTGTGACAAAGACCAGTTGTAATTAGATTCTAAAATGTATGAGGAATTCAGTAGGGCTGGTACGAGTAAGAAAAAATGGAATCGAGTACCCGCATGTACTTACCCGAATCGGAATCGAGTACCCGGAAATGTAAGAAATACATTCGGGTCAACCTCTGAATATTCAATCACGATTTGACAGAGACTATTATAGAAAACTTGAAAAAGTGGTAATAAGACATTAAAACTGACCTCAAGCTATTGAATTTACGTCTGTTTAACCAATATAGAGAGTAACACCATTACTTACACTCCTCGTTATAACAACGAACGTTTCGTTCCTGCTGCTACTGTAACTTAACTAATCACTGCACATGCACAGATAAATTACAGTCATTAAAACTATGCTCCATTAATCGGACAATACCAATGATGTAAAAACCCGTGAATTTCCGGGTTAGAATATTGATCTTCAGTAACCCATGCTTGTCGTAAGAGGCGACTAACGGGATCGGGTGGTCAGACTCGCTGACTTGGTTGACACATGTCATCGTATCCCCATTGCACACATCGATGCTCATGTTGTTGATCACTGGGTTGTCTCGTCCAGACTCGATTATTTACAGACCGCTGCCATATAGCTGGAATATTGCTGAGTGCGGCGTAAAACTAAACTCACTCACTCACTCACTCACTCACTCACTCACTCACTCACCTCTCACTCACTCACTCACTCACTCCACTCACTCACTCACTCACTCACTCACTCACTCACTCACTCACTCACTCACTCACTCACTCACTCACTCACTCACTCAATGATGTAAATGTGTGTTACGTCAAAAACGAAAAAGACAAGCTATTGTCTGCCCTTGTCATTACAGAGCTCTCTCCCTTTCCGGGTACCCGATTCCTAGAAATAGGACTCGATTCCAGCTGTACCCGACCCGGATTCGAGTACCGAATAGTACCCGTCCCAGCCTTAGAATTCAGTGATGCATTTGTCGCCGCTGAATATGAAATATGTGTGATGTAATTGGCGTCTCAATACCGGCCTTCGCGAAACGTTGTGAGTTGTGAGTGATATGCAGGCCTACTTCGTAGTCACTTTGATTAAATGTTATATTTGAATATCGAAACATTTTTGTCACAGCGAACACAACACTATCTCTTGTCATTTTACACGATAATGTTTGGAATTTTAAACTTATTTTATAACAATGTCTGAATGCTAATGTTATACACGGATGTATTTTATATAAGGAATACAATGGCACAATAGTATTTCTCTGCCGAATCGTTGCAGCGTTCTATAATACAATTATGAAATATAATACATGTTTTCCGTCCTTGAAGACATTGAAAAGAACTATCAATGGATTTTCTATAGTCACTTGTGAATTGAACTAAATGGAGGTTGTTTAATTATTAAAGACATTTACCTGAGTATGTTAATCAATTTATCTTATAAAGTTTCATTAAGTTACCTCCACAAGATTCCGTTACATAGCAAATCAGTAATTAGCTAGGGTGAATCCATTCTATCAGACAGGGGAGTATGGTGTGTTTTCGTTGTTAATTACCGACTCCACTGTCTCATAACTGGGAGTCTCACAACTGGGAGTTCTCACAAATGGGAGTAGACCGATTAAAACAGTAGCCTGCGCATCGAGACACAAGAACCGTAAGCTGGTTCCCGCTCGCGCTAACGTTCGCCAAAGCTAGGTATATTGCGATATGAGAGACGGGGCCCAGCTTACAAGAACCGCACCTATACCTGCACCACGTGAAATGGGTCTAATAAGGTGTAACGACGTCATTCGTTTATCATTTGGGCACCAATGACGTCATTTCCAAGGGACACAAGCCATGGTGTGTTTATTGTGGACACAGAACTCTCGGTAAATGAATTGATATAACGCAAAAAATAAATTAGTTACTTCTGATATATGTACGGGTTTGGATATAAAACTACTTGACAAACATTTTTCATGATGAAAAAGTGCAAGACAAAAAGGTTTATTTTCGTGTACACTTGCCCTTTAAAATCCATAAATAGATGTATGAAACAATTAAGGTTAAAGACATATTCTCGTGCCGTTATAGACAAATCTGCTAATGTATATGTATTGTGGCTGTTTCTTCGTGAAAAACAGGGTAAACTCAATTCTGTTTCCTTATGGGAGTGAGTTAGTGGTGAGTATGTTTTTACGCCGCTTTTAGCAATATTCCAGCAACATCACTGCGGGGGACACCAGAAATGGGCATCACTCCTTCTGCCCGTGTGGGTAATCGAACCCGGGCCTTCGGCGTGACGAGCCAACGCTTTAACCACTAGGCTACCCAACCGCCCTGTTTCGTTATGACACACACTGATGAATTAAATGTTATAGAAAAGTGGTATAAACAAGCTTAAGCCTCAAGTTAACAGAACACGGACAAATATTTTTGTTAAACCATATAAAAGTACTATCGATCCTAAACTAAGATGGTAACGAATGACGTTGCTAGACCATAAATGAATACCTACTTGCTTAAACTAAATATTGTTGGCAGACATTTGTGTACTTTCTGCGAGATGGAAGTTGGAGCTGAAGTCCATCTGTTGGGAGCATGCAGAGAATGTAAACTCTCTGAGCAAAATGGTTTACGTTAGGTTGGAGGGAGACGGTGGATTCGTAGCCCAGACTGGTTCGTAGACGGTGATTTCGTAGACGTGTATAAATAATTGAATAATAACTGTTCGGATACTTGTGGTAGCGATGTTAATTGTGATACCGTCTTGTATGGTACAACTTGTCGTTTATTTCAAACATATGGATCAATAGTCTGTATATCTGTAACATTGTTATATAAAGCTGGAGGGGCAGTACGCAGCGTGCAGCAGTATTTAAACATGCAACAATTTAACACATGTATTACATATACTGTGTATATATATATTTAGATGTATTTTCGGGAATAACAGTTATTTTTTAACAAGCATTTGTTTCATTCAATTCGAGTGCATGATACGTCACACACAATTAAATAAACGCTCGGAAAATGTACATGAGGTTATATTGTTTTTACACTCTCGTAACATCAAATGAAATCCAGCAATCAGCTGATGATGATCAATGAAAGATAGTAAATAGTAAGGAATTATCTCCCTTATATAAAGCGGAAGCAGCTGATCAGCGCCGCCTATCTGTCGGACAACCCGTGAGTGCAGACGGCAAAATCAGGCGAAAGTGTTTCAATGTTCACGTACCGGTCCTTGAGCGAATGAAAATTTAAGCTAATGTTAGGTCATGCTCGAGCAATGTGTAACGTGGGAAATACACTCTTAAAAGTTAAATAAGAAGGTGGTAACGAGAGATTACAAGGCTTTTCATGTGATTTGGTAAGTATGATATGATCATTATTCCTAAAATCTCGGTCGTCGCTTCCATTGACCTAAAGACAAAAGTCAAGTCAAGAGATAAATGGATGCCTTTGATATCCTGTTCACTGTGGGACGTTGCGACATGCTCGACATGCTCACCGCAACATCTTTACTATTGTTACGAAATCTGTTCTCCACCTTGCACAAACTATTTTATTATCAATTTCTGTTTTTTATTTATGTTTTTCTTTTCAATATGTTAATAACATGGTTATATTTGCGAGTCGTTTCTTTGATACATGAAAGGATTGTGATGAAGAAAGTTGTGATATTTGATTTACAACACAGGATCGCGGTGAACATGGTGAATATCTGATTTATATCATCACTAGCTGCCGTCACGTCATGGAGGAAATACATTGTTTCGAATGTGCATAGATGTAACTTTATCTTACGACCATTATATATACATAGTTATCACAAGTTGAACACATGTTAGGGCAATATTTTCACATATTCTTCGATTTATTAATGAATAATGCTTTAAGGTATTGTGAAACAAATTTGTACAGATAACAGAAATCTATGGCCTGTAGAAACACCATAACTGTTGACAAAAACAGCATTTTGGGGGACATAAAAAATGATTTATGTTGTGCCCACTTTTTCACATCTTGTGATACTAACTTGCCACCCAGAATAATTTTCCTTGTATTATTTTAATTTATATATACAGGGTAGTAGGATTTGCAAATACTTTATACTTTACAATGAATGTATGATCACATGTACTCACAATTTCTTGCCATGGCTCTAGATCTTCTAAGTGCTGTCATTTGGTATTTCATAGTGTTGTTATTGGTAAAATTGTTAATGGAAAAACCTGTCATTCCTAGATTCTATCATGGAAAGTGTACCTGTGAGATAATTTCTATCATGATATGTCTGTTGTTATAATCATGTCATTGTTTTATGTTATTATCCCAAAGGACTGAGGACCTAAGATTAACATAGGATAGCATAGTTGTGAAAGTGTTCACCCGCCATGCTGAAAAGCCGGGTTCAATTCCCTACATAGATGCAATATGTGAAGACCATTTCTGGTGACCCCTGTCATGATATTGCTGGAATATTACTAAAAGTGGCATAAAACTAAACTCACTTACTCATTAAGAGATCATCAAGATTAATGGAGATAAGCACTTTCATTATCTCAATTAAGTAACATAAGTTAGGGATCTTTTCAGGAACAGGTTAACCATGTTAACTATATTTATGTTTGTGGAGCCCCATATATTTGCAATCATTACAAGTCCCTGGGTGACCAATGTGTGACTGCCCATGGGGATTTTGGGCCCCTTTACACCCTACTGATCTTGTCATAGAAATTCCAGCTCAGTATAGGTTTCCATGCACTCTGTTTGTCCCCTGAATACCCAATGAATATTTGTTAGGTCATTGTTTATGTACCCATGAAGATCCGGGTTAGAATTGATCTTTAGTAACCCATGTTTGTTGTAAGAGGGATTGGGTGGTCAGGCTCGCTGACTTGGTTGACACATGTCATCGGTTCCCAATTGCGCAGATTGATGCTCATGCTGTTGATCACTGGATTGTCTGGTCCAGACTCGATTATTTACAGACTGTCGTCATATAGCTGGAATATTGCTGAGTGTGGCGTAAAACTAAACTCACTAACTCACTCATTGTTTATATGAGTAACAATGTTTTGTGTGTTATAAAGAAAGATATTTGTAGTATATACAAAAATGACATGTGAATGTTATTACCATTAATTGTAAAAAGAAACATTTGTTCTTTTGTTAATGAGTGTAACAATTAATAAAATATTTAGTGCATTACGGAAAAAAGATATATGTAGTATATTTTAGAATGACGTGAATATTATGAACATTAATTATAAAAAAGTCTTTTGGTCAGTGTAACAATTAACAGTGTATTGTGCATTACAAAACTGGATATCTGTAGTATATATGAGAATGACTTGAATGTTGTGAACAGAAATTATAATAAAAGGAACTTTTATGTACAAGTGTTCTCAATTGCTGTCTTGTAACATGAATTAAGTGTAATAAATTTCCTTCACTGGGCTACTTTTTGATAATAGAAATGTGTCCATAAAATGACAGGCGTTGAGTTTTCATGTATAAAGCCATGTGGCATTCAGGGTTTTACCTTAGGGTTCAAGGGGACCGTCAATAATTTATTTCAAGGGTTCTTACAGAAAGTATGAAGGGTCCGTAAAGTAATAAAACAAAGTAGTGTAGTGCACTGTAAGACTTGATGATGACTTTAACTACAGGACCTTCAGGTTTTGTCAAGATATCTAGTATCTATTTATAAAGCATTATATGTTTGAATCACCTTGTACGTACCAGTGTTCAAGAAAATGAACCAGTGTTAAAAGTATCTAATAAAACTGAACAGACTAGTACTAGTAGTAGAGAATTCCCAGTACTGTATATGTAATATCAAGATCAAGATTGCTAGTTTATTATGTAATAATTGGATGTTATCCTTATTCCATATGTAAAACATTGTTCATGATCTATATACCCTGGGAATGAGTCAATGTTGGTAGATATGGTGTAATATTACATAACGCTTTATGGCCCTTTTCACAGTCACTCTTCCCCTTATCTTAGTTAAAAGCAGTTATTGTGGTTACTCTTGAGGCTGTTTCATGGTTGAATGGCTCATTTGACTGATGCTGAATGGCATGTTATTTTTGTTATCAAATAAGAAAGTGTGATGTAACATGGCCTTAGCCTGAGGCTTGTATTCTTTGTCAAATGATAAGTGTTGTCTTGTCTAGTTTTCTTGTCATTATGGATGGATATGACCAGACGATCAGAAGAGGTCATTTGAGGACTATCTACACAGGTTATATGTACTTAGTATATACTGGCTATATCCTGTGCAGTCTATACTAAATGTTCTTCTCCTGTCTCGGCTTGTAAGTGTAAGTTCAAGATACAGATTCTGTATTTTATTTTTTGTCATATTTATATATTTTAAGTGTCAACTTTTAATTCCGCTATATGTTGATTATGAATGTGTTTATTCAGTGTCATGTTCTTATATGCATATGTATGTTGGTTTCACCTGTGTGGTAAAATCTCTTGAGCTGTGATACTTTGTACATGATGTACTTTCATGACTCTAGGGTCTGTAGTACTTTGGTCCTAGGTACTTTCATGATTCTTAAGGCCTGTAGTACTTTGTTCCTTGGTACGTTCATGATTCTTAAGGCCAGTAGTTAGGGCTGGATATTGTTATAGATTAGGTTATAGATAGATCGTTTACTAAATATTGATCGATTATCGACAAATATTGGAAAAGTAAATTTAAGCAGAAGTACCAAAATAGTCAGAAAGAAATCAACATGTTTCACATCACTGGTAAGTTAAGATGGATTTATACATGGATTAGCCACAGAAAACCAAGTGTGCTGTACATAATTTAAAAGCAGCCTATGAATAAAGACCTAACTTTGTGTACTGTCTGAGTAAATTAAAATTTTATTCATCACAACAGTTTATGTGATGACACAATTTTCATATTTAATAAAAAAATAATTTCTTATCGACAATATTTCTGATTATTAGCTTTCCAGTCAACCCTTCCAATATAGTTTCATGACTCAAGGGCCTGTGATACTTTGGTCCTGTGTTATTTCATGACTCAAGGGCCTGTGATACTTTGGTCCTGTGTTGTTTCAAGACTCAAGGGCCTGTGGTACTTTGGTCCTGTGTTGTTTCATGACTCAAGGGCCTGTGGTACTTTGGTCCTATGTTGTTTCATGACTCAATGGGCTGTGATACTTTGGTCCTATGAAGTTTCATGACTCTGGGGCCTGTGATACTTAGGTCCCATGAAATTTCATGACTCTAGGGCCTGTGATACTTAGGTCCTATGAAGTTTTGTGACTCTTACTTAGTCTAAGGCCTGTGGTACTTTGGTCCTATGAAGTTTAATTACTGTAGGGCCCGTGATACTTAGGTCCTGTGAAGTTTCATGACTCTAAGGCCCGTGGTACTTAAGGCCCGGTGAAGTTTCATGACTCTAAGGCCCGTGGTACTTAGGTCCTGTGAAGTTTCATGACCCTAAGGCCCGTGATATTTAGGTTCTATAAAGTTTAATTACTGTAGGGCCCATGATACTTTGGTCATATTTGAAGTTTCATTACTCTAAGCCCCGTGATACTTTGCTCCTATGAAGTTTCATGACTCTAGGGCCCGTGATACTTAGGTCCTGTGAAGTTTCATGACCCTAGGGCCTGTGATACTTAGGTTCTATGAAGTTTAATTACTGTAGGGCCCATGATACTTTGGTCCTATTTGAAGTCTCATTACTTTAAGGCCCGTCGTACTTAGGTCCTATGAAGTTACATGACTCTAAGGCCCGTGATACTTTGCTCCTATGAAGTTTCATGACTCTAGGGCCCGTGATACTTAGGTTCTATGAAGTTTTGTGACTAGGGCCTGTGGTACTTAGGTCCTGTGAAGTTTTGTGACTCTAGGGCCCGTGGTACTTAGGTCCTATGAAGTTTCATGACTCTAAGGCCCGTGATACTTTGCTCCTATGAAGTTTCATGACTCTAGGGCCCGTGATACTTAGGTGCTTTGAAGTTTTGTGACTCTAGGGCCTGTGGTTCTTAGGTCCTGTGAAGTGTTGTGACTCTAGGGCCCGTGGTACTTAGGTCCTATGAAGTTTCATGACTCTAAGGCCCGTCCTGTGAACTTAGGTCCCTTGAAGTTTCATGACCCTAGGGCCCGTGAAACTTAGGTTCTATGAAGTTTTGTGACTCTAAGGCCTGTGGTACTTTGGTCCTATAAAGTTTAATTACTGTAGGGCCCATGATACTTTGGTCCTATTTGAAGTTTCATTACTCTAAGGCCCGTCGTACTTAGGTCCTATGAAGTTTCATGACTCTAAGGCCCGTGGTACTTAGGTCCTATGAAGTTTCATGACTCTAAGGCCCGTGGTACTTTGCTCCTATGAAGTTTCATGACTCTAGGGCCCGTGGCCGAAAACCCGGGTTCGATTCCCCACATGGGCACAATGTGTTAAGTCCATTTCTGGTGTTCCCCGCCGTATTATTGCTGGAATATTGCTAAAAGCGGCGTAAAACTAAACTCACTCACTCACTCACTAGGGCCCGTGGTACTTAGATCCTGTGAAGTTTTGTGACTCTAGGGCCTGTGGTACTTAGGTCCTGTGAAGTTTTGTGACTCTAGGGCCTGTGGTACTTAGGTCCTATATAGTTTCGTGACTCAAGAACCTGTGGAACTTTATCGCACATCATTCAGACCAGCTGTGTCAGACATGGTAGTGGCCAAATTTGGAATCCTGTTACTTACAGACACAAGGGATTTTGAGTGAATGTTTCAAGCTTTTTACGTGTCAGATGTTAGCATCTTGTCTTGTTCCATCACAAGTTTTATCTCCCTAAGCAACTAGAATAGATTTGCAGAGTTTAATCATCTTGGTTACAGGAGGTATAATTAGGACACTGAGTTGGCAATTACATTTCATCTTATCAGAGTGATAACATCTCTGCCATACCACATGTTTCTGTTGAAATTCAAAGCTTACCTTTCTTATTCTTGTTTCTGAAGCGTTGCCATGTGTGTGTTAAGCGATTTTGTGTAAAACATGTCATCATTTATGCATCAACCTTGAAATAAATAGTCAAGTAATAGTAATAGTCATGTTTCACCAAATTCACTCCCGCAATCCTAATGCTTGTGATATGTACATTCTTGTCTTTCTAATTTAGGCTGAAGCATTATAGATCCTTCAAAATGATTCAAACTTTCTGTTAAATTAGAAATAATTTACAATTTTATATGTCTATATTGTTGATCAAAGAATGTCTGGTCTTAATGCCGTGTCCTGAACCTTATGTGTTAATGGTCATCATGACACAAAGATACAAAAGTCTCTTGAAAACTTGCATAGGGCTGTAATATATCTGTTGATGCTGTAGTTACGAATTGTATATTTATTATAGCATTGTGTTTGCAAGTTCTAGTGGTATTATTGTTGCCGTTCTGACAGCAGGGGACGGTGGGGTAAAGAGTCCACTCATCATGCCGGAATCCTGGGTTCAATTCCCCACATGGGTACAATGTGTGAAGCCCATTTCTGGTGCCCCCCTCAATATTATTAAAGTGAACAATGCAATATAAACACAGGCTACGGATCGCCAGCTACTTAAGGTAGATTACTATACAAGGCCCATGGGGACTTACAGTAATTTTGCTACCTGCGTTGACCCTAGCTCCATTTACATCCTACCTTCAGGTGTTGGCGATTGTATAGCAAATTAGCAATACATTAAAAAGGAACAAATATGCTACTATTAAAATTCTGAGAATGAAAAATACTTTGAATGCAATGGGACTTACGTACCCACAATTGGAAAGGACACTTTATAATTTCAGGCATTATAGACTTGAGCGGGACGCCTTTCTAATTATATTAACTAGTTTCTTGGAGACAGACAGCCAAAAGGCAGGTCTTGGGCTGTAAATGTCATGCTATTCAGCTGCAGTGACTAAGTGACTAGCCTAAGCCTTACTGTGGCTGCTGTCCAGATCACCTGCAGGCTGCTCCAGTCACACAAGGCACCCCTTTCAGCTGTCAGTTGTCGAAGTGGATGCTGCTGTGTCAAAATGAGTCATTTTGATTGCTGTGTTGTCAAAGTGTCAAAGGACAGTAAGGAAGTCCAGTGGTTAAAGCGTTTTCTCGTCTTGCCAAAGACTCGGGTTCAATTCCTTACATGGGTAGAAGCCCATGTGTGAAGCCCATTCCTGGTGTCCCCCGCCATGATATTGATGGAATATTGCTAAACGCAGCCTAAAACCATAATCATTCACTCATTCAAACTTGAGTATCGGTTAATCAGTAGTTTTTCTTATAGATCAATGGCGGTAAAAATAGCCTGATAGAATAACCCTATTTATCATCCAAAACTGTGTTCCACAGGAGATATCGCTTGTGTGAGTAGATTTTGTACAATGCCCTGACAATGCTATGACGTCATGTACTTGATGACGTCACAATGCTATGACATCGCTGCACTGCAAGTGTGATGGCAGTACCATGTTCAGAGATGTACATTTTTCATTGAAAATTAATTAAGAGTGATTTTGGATGATAAATAGAATCTCACCCTCGTGTCTTCTGATATCAAATATATCAACACTTGTTGATAAAGTAAAATATCCTCGGCAAGCCTCGGATATTTGTAACTTTATCAACTCGTGTTGATATAATTGATATCAGAAGACACTTGGGTGAGATTCTCTATATATCTTTGTTTGTCATTCAGTGCATCTTAATGGGATCAGGAACTTTCAGTTTGAGAACTCCTGTAACATCCGCGAGAAAGCTTACCTTCAGATGAGACATATCAGATTCTATGTATGAGTATCCTTTTGGCCATCATCTTGTCAGCCAAGGTATACTGTTATAGCTTAATCTAAACAAATGGCAAGATGACAACTACTGGACTCACCTGCTCTCCTTAAAGTCTCATATATAGCAGGTTCCTGAGCATTTACCAGAATCATGATAACAGAATTGAGATATGATACAGATGAGAACAGATTCCATTTGATGCATAAGGCAAGATGAAGGGATCACTGAAAGTCAGCAATGACACCAGGTGTTCATGAATGATAAGCACGCTCTGAGTGAGTGAGTTTAGTTTTACACCGCACTCAGCAATATTCCAGCTTTATGGTGGAGATCTGTAAATAATCGAGTCTGGACCAGGCAATCCAGTGATCAGCAGCATGAGCATCGACCTGCACATCGATCTTGGGAACTGATGATGTGTCAACCAAGTCAGCGAGCCTGACCACCTGATCCCATTAGTCGCCTCTTACGACAAGCACGGATCACTTTCTAAAGCAATACCCATGTTTAATTTGCTATTGGAGATGAAATGTTAGAGATCGACTTACTTAAAATGTGGATTAAACTAATATACATTTGCTAATTGTTATTTACCTGTTATATATCTTCTACACTGCAATGTTTTATGTAAGAAAAACTAAAATCACTAACTTACCTAATAGATAAAGATTTCTGTCACAATGCCAAAGACATGGGTTTGATTGCCCACATGGGTACAATGTGTGAAACCAATTTCTGGTGTTCCTTGTCGTGATATTGGTGGAATATTGCTTAAGTGATGTAATACCATGTCCACACACTCACCTAAAGTAGTAAATTATTTTGTGACAAATATTCGTTTATTCTTGTGATCCCTCGAAAATTTGGAGTCAGATAACACTCAAACACTGATGTTGAAAGTTATCACTGATCAGTGTTTGACATCAGTGTGGCTGATGGCCTGTTGAAAACATGTTAATAGTGACATCCAGGAAAGTACCTATTCACATGTTTTTATTCATAGGACCTAGTTCCTCTTTCATGGCATGTTGATAACAACTGGTGTGAAAGTGAAGCTGATAAAAATATGTTACTATGTAGCAAAACAGTACTAACCTGGAAAGCACTTCAATCTTCTAGCCTGTATGTTTCAGAAGTGTGTGTTTGAAAACATTTAAGGATGATGTGTTGTTTTTTTCAGTTTTGTGCAATTAACGTGCCTGTGACGAAATTAGTGGGGACAGCCTGGACGTGTGCAGCTAGTCTATGCGAATGAGAGTAAAGCTGAAGAATGTTCTCATTGTGACAAGCGTCCTCTGTTTCACACCTCTGCTTTGGCTCTCACTTTTTGCCCAAAATGGTAAGTATTATGGTGATAATTTCCAGTTAACTCTATTTACCTTGTTTAAAATGTATACATTGCAGGTCAAAGAGGCCACAGGGACGGCCAGGTAGCCTAGTAGTTAAAGCCTTTGCTTGTCTCGCTGAAGACTTGGGTTCAAGTCAACACATGGGTACAATGTGTTAAACCCATTTCTGTTGTCCCTTGCTGTGATATTGCAGAAATCACTCACTCACTCACTCACTCACCCACCAACTCAATCACTCACTCACTCACTCCCACTCACTCACTCACTCACTCCACTCACTCACTCACTCACTCACTCACTCACAGGGGCTACTGTTTGGCTTAGGTGTGGCCAGGCTTCCTGTTGTAATGTTAAAATGTTTCCATTCAGTGGTTTACTTGGTTCAGACGTCATCATTTTCAAGCTGTCATGATGTTTTAATGCTGAAAAATAGCTGACTGTGGCTTTAAAAAACATTCAGAGTAATTAATTTAAATATGCCTTAATTACTATTTCCCAGCTGGGATCATGGGGCAAGGTAACCTGGCAGAGACCTCTTGTTTTCAAGCAGTAGCAGATGTTGGTTTCAGTCGAATCTACATAACTGCAGTTGATATACAACAAGACTTGGATACTGTGGCTTTGAACAGCATGCCCTGACCTCTGCTGCCTCAGTTATTGATCTAAGAACTTACTTTTATTCTGAATTTTTTTACCATTTCCCCAGGGGTGATCATCAGGCAGAATAGACTTTCGGAACACCTTGTTAAAGTTGTGGGGATATTGTTTTTCACTGAATCAGCATTCCAGCAATTCATAAGTAATGGCAAATCCATTGTTTTAGCATGAACAAAGGTCCTTGGGCAATGTTTGCTACCTACTTCCCATAACTGTAAACTCTCTTACCATGTTGGGGTAGCCTAGTGGTTAAAGTGTACGCTCGTCACGTCGAAGACCCGAGTATCATTCCCTGCTTGGGTACAATGTGTGAAGTCCATTTCTGATGTCCTCTGTTGTGATATTGCTGGAATATTGCTAAAAGCGATGTAAAACTAAACTCACTCTCTCTTACCAAGCTAAGATGATAGCATATACATATTCATAACATATTCATGTTAATATGGTTCAAGACATTTTACAATTGAATAATATACACCATACACGCCAAACATTTGTCTTTGTGTTTATAATGTCTTATGAAGTCTGTCTTAGTCCATGAACCAAGGGGCGGTGGGGTAGCCTAGTGGATAAGGCGTTCGCTCATCACGCCAAAGACCTGGGTTCGATTCCCCACATGGGTACAATGTGTGAAGCCCATTTCTGGTGTCCCCCACCGTGATTCTGCTGGAATATCTATAAAACTAAAAGCAGCGTAAAACCAAAATCACTCACTCACTCACTCCATGAACTACATCATTTTCCCTACTTCCTTGCCTACAATGCTAAAAGCCTAAATGAAGCAAGTCTAGATTTGTCAAGGTTCAGGCCCGAATCTCCCAACTCACTGGGGCTCCATTTGATTAGTCTATGTTTCATGGTATGTTCACAGAACAAGAATAGAAAACTTCAGGCTTTACATTCCTATCTCACCTTATCAGTAGAGATAATATCCTAAGTAATAGTGATTACCAGGGTGTAATGTCTTGTCTTTGATCTGAGAGGAGCTAGTACCAAACCATGGCGCAGGCATGTTGAGAGTCCTAATGGTTACCGTATTACCTGAATCCATTATGGGTCTGTCTCCTAATGCTTATATATACACTCCATAGATGTAGAATCATGGGATACTTACATGGTGGTGTTATAATATGTCTGATAGATGGAATAAATGGAGTATTATCAGTGCTGTTATATGAGACTTGCTTGTGGAAGGATCATTATTTTCAGAGACAAGTATCCAGATAATTGATGTTTCTTTGCATTTTCCCCATTGATAGAGATTCATTTGCAGAATAAACCCCCTGTAATGCCTTAGTTTGTAAAAGATGACAAAACAGGATTGGTTGGTAATAATATACCACATGCCTGAGAGTGTGATAAGCATGGATTGTCCGTTATATTGACCTCTAGTATGCCTCACACAAACTTATCTACAGGTTGTTGTGACATAACTGGGATTGCACAATGCTTATTCAATCATGATTTTTATAATATACTACCCATCAAAAGTTTAGACTCACTAGTGTAAATGTAGCCACTTACTTGTCCACTGTTCTAAACTAGCTTTTTGCAAAATATTCCATACTGTTTAAAGATACTGTTTAGTTATGAACTGGTGTATTGTAAAACATATTCGTAACATTGAAAAGATTATTGTCATGAGTTCAGTAAATGATTAAAATCTGTGAAAATTGGCGAATTCTTAACAAAACTTTACACCAAAACGCATCTGTTCACATGCACGACATTTGCTCATGCCTTTCGCAATTTGAAGCATCATCCTTGTGCAATTCATCTGCATAAGGTTTTCAGTTGGTTCCCCCAAGTTGGTGGAGAAATTCATCTTCGATGTAACCACATACATATACATAACATATAGTGAGTGCTTTAAGTGAGTCTAAACTTTTGATGGGTAGTATATGTAATATACTTTTTAAGTGATGAGAGTGGCATAAAGGCAAATTTGAGCAAGCTGCAGCGTTCAAAATTGAGGTTGGGTGGAAAGATCTGTCGATTTGCTGGTTTACAACCATAGTTCCTTTGATAGTGCATACTGCCCTCCCCTCTAAAAAAAGTGAAAAAAAGATGACATCTGTGTGGAGGGTATTGTAATAAAGACATTCGAGTCCTACATTAAATGTGAGTACATAACAGCTCTTCAAGTCATTATACCATCTGGTAGTCAGTAGTGTTCATTGTATATCCTTACATATTTGTAACTTATTTTGTATAATTTAGTCAATTTTCATTCTATATTGTTCATGTTCATTTTTACGCCACGAAATTGCTGGAATATTGCTAAAATGGCGTAAAACAATACTCACTCATTAATTTTGGCAAAGTTATAAACTGGTCAGCTGATCACTAGGACTGCACGATATTACCGGTATATCATAATATGCTTTTCAAACAATACATATTGCAATTTTTTTTTTCTGAGAACCGATATATTGGTTAAAGAACATATATGAAGTTTTTGTGATTGTCTTTATGGTTTAAATTAATATCTACACATACGTTAATTCACAACAAATGTTTTCCATCGTTATTCAATGACAAAACAGCACACTGTAATACAATATATTGTATAAATACGAAAATAGAATCCATGACTATGCAACCTAATTTTGCGATTGCTGTTATCAGAACCATAACATGTATGTTTAGGGACTTATATCAAATAGGATTGTCATGCACAGTTAGTGTCACTCACTGTTAAACACTTAAGTTCCCAGTATGTTGCAATACGTATAGCAATACGGGTACCTGAATTATTGCAATACAATATTTTTGCGAAGACACTGCCCTACTGATCGCACAAACTCACTGCTACAGCAACCCTGGTAAGATTACTGCTACCAATGCCATGAAAGAAACCTGACTTGTCAGAGAATTGATACATACATCATAAATGATGTCAGATATCAGTGTCTTGTTTTCACAATTGAAATAGCAAGACCTTGATCGCCAAGCTGTTCCATAAAAAGCATACAGCTGTGTGCTTATCAGAGGTAGAGATAAGTTGCGTATCTGCGTAAATTACGCAAATATTTATGTGAAAACTCAATTCTTATTAAGTCTATTGCGTACAAGTACGCTTGAATTTTGAGAAATACTCAATAAATGTGATCTTACATGCGTACACATGAAAATGTCAAATCTTAGCTTGTGTACCGGTGGATAGATAAAATAACTGAGGTTTACTGAGAGGTTCTATTTCGGGATATGAACTTGACAACTTGCAGTCTTCCTTATCGATCCTCTATTACAGATCAAATATAAATAACAAACACTAACATTTAAACTTTATTATATTTTTAAAATGAATGGAAAATGGCAAAATACTCAATTGAGTTTGAGTGAGGTGAGTACAATTTATTTGGTTACTCAAAGAAAAATTAGGATACCCAATTGAGATGAACACAAGCGAGTACATAACTCAATGACCCAAAAGGTTATCTGTAGCTCTGGCTTATAGTTTGTATTGTTTTTAAAACTAAAATGTAAGTACTATTCCTGGCAAAATTATGTTTTCAGATACAATTACATCCGATCATCGCATTAAATTCTTTCTAGCTTTTAATACCTTTTTAACTTTATATCACTGTTAGATTTAGAATGTGAATACAGCTTATTGCTATTTCCTGCTCAGATTAGAAGACATTTACAGTAATCCTAATCTGAACATATAAAACATTAGGCATAACAGGAAATCAATTGAATTTGTAATTCATCATGTCCAGTGATGGTTGTTTTTTTTTTATTTATTATTTAAGTTTGTTATGGTGGTTCACCATGCTTGCTCATAATGTTTCGGTGTGTGTGTGTGTGTGTGTGTGTCTGTCTGTCTGTCTGTCTGTCTGTCTGACTTGTGTGTCTTAGTTGTTAACTCGTTCACTCATCACACCAAAGGCCCGGGTTTGATTCCCCTCATGGGTACAGTGTGTGAAGCCCATTTTTGGTGTCCCCTGATGTGATATTGCCTGAATATTGCTGAAAGTGGCATAAAATTAAACTCACTCACTGACTCAAAATGTCACTGGAAAGTGTTGGGGACACAGTCATTTAATACTTGGTTGACAGTTGTCATTGTTTCCCAATTGCGTTTGGTTTGTCCAGTTTGTCTGGTCCAGACTCGATTATTTACAGATGCTGCCATATATTGCTGAGTGCTGCGTGCTGCGTTAAACAACAAACAAATAATACCCCATTCACATGCACACATTTCTTTGTGTGGTTACATTTGGTTATGTGTAGCTGCACATGCATCTGTACATGCGCATTTACTGTACATTCACATGAAAACAACTCTTTAAAGGGAAACAACTCTCCAACTCTCAGTAGTTTAGCTGGTGTCATTTTAATTAGTTGACTCATTGACAATGAGTGGGAATCCTCTCCAATCCTTATGTATAAATAGATGATGCTTACTAAACCCGCTGAGGCTCACTTCATGTACTCACCAAGAAACCCGTGAAGATCTGGATTAGAATTGATCTTCAGCAACCCATGCTTTTTGTAAGAGGGATTGGATTGTCAGGCTCGCTGACTTGGTCCACGCATATCATCATATCCCAATTATGTAGATTGATGCTCATGCTGTTGATCACTGGATTGCCTGGTCCAGATTTGATTATTTACAGACTGCTGCCATATAGCTGGAATATTGCTGAGTGTGGCTTTAAACAACAAACAAACAAAAAACTCACAAAGAAACCTTAATTTTTAGGTAAATTGTATATAATACAACAAGTACTACTCCCTTCTTGCAGGTCCATGTTTCATAGTTTTAACCCTACACCTCTTTATGTGTCGTTATTCACTTGATGCTCAGTTAATGGCTTTAGTTGTAATATAATTAGTGTTAGATCCATTCATATTTCCCAACAAAGACCAGGCAAAATAACTCAAAGATGTTCACATATGCCTCTGAAGGTGACAATGATTTGCTGTCAGCGATTCTCAATCGACATTTCTTGCATTTTGTTTTTAGTGAATCTGAGATTAGGTAATAAAGCTAGATGTGATGTTGGAATGTATTGCATGTGTTGCACAGTGGAAGGTAACTGTAAAATGTCTACCTTCTGTCCTTCCAAATACATACGAAATATATATACATAGAAGCAAGTACATACATTGGTCAACAAGAACAAAATATGCGGTGTGTCTTGCTCCAACAAATGAAAGTCCTACACTGTTTCTCCGGTGAGTGAATTACCTATATAGCGCCTGTAAGTATGACAAGGCGCTATTCCCAGTACTAAGCTGGTTCCCAGCTCCCTTTGCATGTGCCAACTTGCTATATGCGTGGTCCTGTGCTTAAAGCTCAGGTCACAAATCGGTGAAGTTAAGCAGCGTCGAGCTCGGAGAGTCCTTGGATGGGTGACCGTGTTTGGCAGCTTGACTCCTGAGAGTTTCTAGGACTTGAGTCCTGCCCCACAACGAAGCACATGTGACACATGTGGTCTCACCTTAGGCAAGTGAGTTTGTTCAAAATTGTCTCTGTTCACCCAGCAGGAAAATGGGTACCCGGTGGAAAAAAGTCATATGACTATAACCTTCTAGCGCCTAACAGGCAGCTTGGGTTATCCGGGGTAATAATGGCCTTGATTGTTAGCTCTATGAGCATACCTAGTGTGGAGTTTGGCGCTATATAAATGGACACATTATTATTATTATTATATGCGAGATTAGGCCCAGCTTCCGGTACAAGATTTCTGGTGACAAGTTATATTCAAGAACCAGATCTGGTTCCAAATTGCGCGACCACTGAATATGACTTGACTAGAGCGGACCGAGTGTATGTTGTTTGTCAATGGGAGTACTAAGGTCTCACAAAGTGCCGTGACCTACTGGTGGACCCTATTTGCTTTGCAGTGCTTGTCATGGATCAAAAAGCTTTTTGATATATCTATCAGTTCATTATAAGCATGTTCATTACATGTTAGTGGGATACAAGGCACTGCGACTCACTGTGCAGTAGGGCTGGGACGGGTACTCGGGTACTCGAATCCGGGTCGGGTATAGCTTGAATCGGGTACTATTTCTAGGAATCGAGTACCCGGAAAAGGAGAAGGGCACATAATAACTAGTCTTTTTCATTATTGACGTAACTTACATTTGCATCATCTTGGTATTGTCCGATTAATGGAGGTCATTATTGACGACTGAATATATCTGAGCATGAGCAGTGAGGAGTCAAGTATGGGTAACAGTAACAGCGGTAACGAAAAGTCCTGTGTTTTAACGAGGAATGCATATAATGGTGTTACTCTCTATATTTGTTAGACCGCCTCCGTGGTGTAGTGGTTAGAGCGTCCGCCCGGAGAGCGGAAGGTCGCGGGTTCGATCCCCTACCGCCTCATACCAAAAGACGCTAAAATATGGTACTTGTTGGTCCCTGCCTGGCGCTCGGCATTAATGGGTACAACAAGGACTGGTCGGCTCGGAGTCAGTATCATGTGTCTGAGTGGGGTATTCATGCTTCACTGCTGCATGGTATCTCAGTGGGCTAGCACTATAAAACCAGCTTCAGTCTGGGCGAAATATTCTCAAGCACGACGTTAAACCCAATTTCACCTCACCTCACCTATATTTGTTAAATAGACGTAAATTAAATAGCCTACTTTCAGTTTCAGTGTCTTATTGCCATCCTTTTAAGGTTTGTATAAAAATCTCCGTCAACTCGTGGTTGAATATTCAGAAAGTTGACAGAAGCGCTTTATTCCTTACATTCCCGGGTACTCGATTCAGATTCGGGTAAGTACATGCGGGTACTCGATTCCATTTTTTCTTACCCGTCCCAGCCCTACTGTGCAGAGTATGGGGCTTAGTCCACTTAAAAAATTACTTCACTTCAAATTACTTCACTTAGGCCACTTCTAATATTTGTATGCCATACTTCCTCCATCATCACTGAATACATCAAGCTCTTGTGATGTGTGGAGTCACATTATTTGAAATATCTATGACCCAAAGGTCTAGTTCCATGCAAGTAGAACAAGTGAGTGCTTGAACCATCGAGACCTTAGTTTGCAATGCATCAGCTGCAATGTTTGAATGACATGAGTTACAAATGGCCTTGTTTGTAGTAGCTTACTGACATTCAATGTAGACAACTTTCACTTTTTCATGTTAGCGTTTGTATGTGCACGTGTGTGTGTGTGTGTGTGCACCTGTGCCTGTCTAACACATCCACTCTGAATATATGTAAATTATGATAGAAGCAACATACTCCACTTGAATTAGAAAGGAGCCCCAGTGAACTGGGAGAACCTGAGAAAAATGTAGACTTGTTTCATTAAAGAATCTTCTGGGTCTAAAGGAAAGTAATGTTGTGAGACAGACTCATGTATGTGTCTGTTTGTGCTCACACAAACTGAACATTATGCAGGGTTTTGTGCGATGTGCAATAGTTCATCCAGTACTCACAAATGTATGGAATGGAAGCAGAAAAACAATTCACTGCGTCTAGAGAGACACAAAATATTATTCTTTGTATCCACAAAATATTAGAGGTGCGACATTTCAGAAATTTCACGATACGTATCGTGATATCTTGGAACGATAAGATTTGATTTGATGCATATCACGATATGCTTTCTTTAGTTATTTTCTTTAACAAATCATGTTTTAAAAGCGAGACATTTTGACATAACCGTCAATATCTAATGAAATATAACAATTTTAAGGTGAACGATACATATCAAATACGAAACAATTTGGCGAGTCCCTTTGAAATTTTACTTAAAAAACGATCGATTAACATTTATCGATACATATCAATTTGCGATAAAAAATCGTATGGATATATTTATCGATAGATAAAGTATCACGATTATCGATACTACAATATATCGTCACAGCTCTACAAAATATCTATGACTTTGCTAAGTGTTTGGTTGTTTCTTTCAGAGCATTTACATGCATCATTTCACCCATCAATCCACATGATCAATGATTCATTCCAGGCTCTAAAGAACTTATCAAAACATACAGTTCTCTACACCGTTACTTCACAGTACCCTCATATTGCCCACAAGGACCCTTAAAACAAATAATTGGGGATCATCAGGACCCCCATGTTTGTGAGTCGAGGTACAACCCAGATTATGTCAGTAGCAAGAAAAAACAAGTATTAACATGTATACACAATATTATGTCGCCAGTGGTATTTAAAGCATGTCCATGATGTACTGGAAATCACTGTAGCAATGATATATTTCTGATAACTTTATATGTGTTATTTTTTGTTAGAGTGGCATTCTAGAGGTTGGTGGTACAGAGATGACAAAACTTTATGGATGATCAACTTCTTTATTTTGATAATGGCGACGTTTCGGTATAGATTCTTAAACTGTTTGATCAATGAAAACAGAATAAGAATCTATACCAACACGTGGCCATTGTCAAAATAAAGAAGTTGATCATGCATTTAGTTTTGTCATCTCTGTATGTGTTTTGTTAACAATATTTCATCTTGTTCATGGGCGGTGGGGTAGCCTAGTGGTTAAAGTGTTCGCTCATCGCACAAAAGGCCCGGGTTCGAATCCCCACATGGGTACAATGTGTGAAACCCATTTCTGGTGTCCCCCGCCGTGATATTGCTGGAATATTGCTAAAAGGGGCTTAAAACCCAACTCACTTACTCATCTTGTACATAGACAGTCTGAGAAACCAGTGGTAGATATTATGAGCTACTGTTAATGCTGTATGAGTACTGTACACCCAATCCATCAAGTCTGAGCTGTCTTTACTATCTGATCCAATAAATGGATTCTCACAACCTGCTTCATGACTAAGGTTGATGGGGACAGATTCTTTTACCATAATTTGACCGGAATCGCCACAGGGAAATAACTATTATTATGAACTAAATGGATAATAAGGTGTCCTTTCTTTCCAGAGCACAACCAATATGAGGAGCTGCTAGAAAAGCGCTTCGCTGACCTGAGGGATAGGCTTCAATATGCCGAATCTTTGAACAGGCAGCGAGAAAATGACCTTTACGTACTCAGAACACAATTCAACTACCTCCTTGAGGCTGTCGCCCACAGCAATGGCACTAATAACCGGTAAGTAAGCTTGATAGAGTACCCCTCGAGTTGTCATGGTAGTAGCTCTGCTGAGTTTAGTGGCTGAAGGCACTATATTTCACTTTGCTGCTTTGTATCTCTTTGTCGTGACAGAATCCTCTGTTCTTGCATTTGAAACCCATACATTATGATCTTTGATTAGTTACATCTGTCCAAAGCCATTGATGAAGTTTCTGAGTATTGGAAAGCTGGTTACATGGAGTTACCTCATGGTAGAGTCAAAGGAAAGGATTCAGTTCTCTACTTGGGTACACTGTTTGAAATCCACTTTTGGTGTGCCCACTATGGTATTTGTGGAATATGGTCAAAAAGTTGTATAAACACATCTTACTGGACTTTTTTGTTAAAGAGCATCCTTTTCTGTGTGTACTTTTCAACAGAAAAGCAACAACATCCTTGAAGAAAAATATGTCTTCTTTAATGTTTCATCCTATCAAGGCTCACAGATTTTTAAAGTTATTATTGATTTATGAATTTTCTTGTGATGAATATATGTTTGGAATAAATATTGTATTATTTTAATTCCTAAATGTGATATTAAGGATATGTATGCACACTTAGATAATAATTGATGCTATGGACATAATATAACTTACTGACTTAACTTAAAACGGTATATAAATAAAATGATAGATTCATTACCTTATGCCAATCACCCACACAGAGGAACACCATGCTAAACTTTAAATGTTTTGCTATAGATTTTTAGCAAGTAGGTATTGCTAGCTGACATCATTTGCATATTTACTGGATTGCCTTAATGCATAGATAAAAGTTTCAGTATGTTATAAATTCTAGTATAACCTCAACATTCTCAAACTCTTGCATCTGCAACTGAGGCTAGCTAAATCTCACGCCTTGTGTCTTTGGCACATGAATTTCTATAAGGCACATGAATCAGCAATTTGGTATTTATTCTCTCGTATCCCATTATACCACGTATGAATAGTATCCCTTTATTGTTGACATTAATGAGTTTCAATAACAAGATCCCATGGGGTTGAATATAATCCACATCATTACAAAGAATTTGATATGTATCCCTTATTTTCCCTTCCCCATTTGTTACATGCAGTATCACACACCATGTATTTGTTTACATTGAGTTTCAGTGTCATGTCGCCTCATGTTCATAAGCTTTCATTAAGGCAACAAAGCATTTGCTATGTATCTTATATATTCCCTTACCATGTGATATGTGTCATATCACAACCCCCAGTATTGTGTACCTTTGAAAAGTTTCAATGCCTTTCATACAAAGCATCAGTACAAAACATTTACTATAATCCTTTTTATCCCCTTTTACCATGTCAAAGTTTAAAAATGTTTAAATTGCCGTTTCACCCCTCCATTATATGTCAAATCACCCCCTCCATTATACACATCCAGTGCTCCCATTTGTAATGTGTCAGTCACTTCTAGCATCGTTCATTTCCGTAACTGTCTTGCAAAGCAGTTATCACATTACACTTTCCATGGAACAAGCATAGCCATGCGATAAGCATGTGAATATGAAGGGCCCCATTGTTGGTTTGGTGTTGGGTTCCCCCTTGACCTGAAACTCATCCAGTGTGTCAACTTTCCTTTGTCAACTTCTTTCTTTGACTGTCAGCTTCTTGCCAAGCTGTAAACAAGCTGCACAATCTTTCACGCTCAGGCCTTGTACATATTAAACAGATGCATGCCTCTTACAATTGTCATGCACTCAACAAAGTGAAGCTAACATGGAGAAAGTTGCAATTTGTGTGTTCTGTATACAGTATGCTTTATTGATTAGACCATGCTAGATCTTAGTTAGCTAGACTTGATAAGGTTGTAAGAATCTACACCGAAACCTCTCTCTATGCAAACAACAAGAAGTTGTCATCCATAAAGTTGTATGTTTCATTTTTGACTCACCAACTTTTAACCTGCATGAAAGCTTGGTGCATTTTTAATGTCCCTATAATCAACTTTCACAGTATTTTATGCTCATTTGTCAAAACAAAATCAACAGCCCTTACAGAAATCATTCCCATAACATCAAAGGGTCATTGGTTGGTGCTACATAGCAGTTACCATGGTTACAAGGAGGAAAGTACAACATGAGTAATTATGTCGTATTATATTAACTTGAGTCATTAATACCGGTTATAACATTTTGCATATAAGTTTGTAAAATAGAATGTTGAAATTAATGTCAGCGTTGTGTAAATATGTTTATAGTTTCATGTGACATCTTCAGCATGTTCGGTAATTGAAATAAACTAAATAGTTTATCTTGAATTGAGTTAATTTTCAGCTTAACATATTTCCTCTGATATAATGGCAACACAATTGCCTCTATATGTCTGTGGAACACAATGCATCAAACTACCTCAGTTGTCCATACGAGTGTCATCAATGGACATGATGGAAGGGCCTCGAGAAGGGAAGCCATGTTGTTTGCATTTGCCTAACTCTGTGACTCACATGTTATGCTATTTGCCTGTGATGTCGCTCCACAACTGTGTGTAATGCCATTCTGAGATTCCTCGCGGTTTGCCATGAAACACAACTATGTGACTTTTTTATGTCGAGCTTATCACAAAGCCTAGGCTAAAGCATGTGAGAGCATATGCGATATTTTAATCAATGTGAGTCATTTTTTTGTAGATAGGCATTAACTGTGCTTTAGATTTCCAGGGCTGAGTTTTGAAAAAAAAAGTACCCCCTTATATACATCATAAATGGACAGTGAACCAAGCAGTTACAGTATTGGCTTGTCATGCTTTAAGCTTGTTTTTCCCTTCACTTTCATTTGAATACAGACACATACAAGCACCAGAGATACAGTTACCCATTTACCCCCAAACACAAATACAAACTAATTTTTTCTTAATAAGTGTTAGTCTCACAATTAGGCTCAAAACAGTTACGATTGGTAACAAATATGAAAATTAAGACTATGAGCAAAATTGCGTACCCAATTGCACCCATATAATTAATAATTTAACCTAAAAAAACAAATTTCATTTATCATCTAAAAAGCATATCAATTCATTTTGAAATCATGCATCATATTTAATTTATTCTGTTATGTGGTATAGAAAATGTCCTTGTATAGCTGGACTTACGTTTTTAATCTATTCTATCAATTGCATGTAACTTTTTTTCAGTATTGTTTGGCTAAGCCATGTGTGAATTGATTGTCAGGTTGCACCAGTTCACCAGTATTTACATTAACTCGATCAGATTACCTATATTGATATCTGGGAATGAACCTTAATTATCAGGGAATGGATACCTTTATCATGTATATCATAACTGTCATACTTTGAGTCATTACAAGTTGCTTTAGTTTTAGTTTGGATATTATGTGTCAACATATCAGTTTTACAATCGAAGTAGTTAAACTGTGGGACACCTCAACAGTTCTTTTCAAACTGTTTCATGTGTAAATATTATCCAACAATATACCAAAGTCTGCTTATGATTTTTCATAGGTCATGATGATGAGAATAAATTGTGATCGGCATAAACTTGGCATAGGGTATAATATGGCTGACATTGATGTGGCAATAAGCCCATACTTCACTCATTCATTTTTATTTTGGTTTCAGGGGTGGAAATAACTTTAAAATTGCTAGTGTACTCAGAATAGTGGCACATATAAAATCACTTGCCCTGATAATATTTCCACAATACCGGCCGTTTTCTTGTTGATTTTTAAAAATAAACAACATAAATAGCATTGGAAAGTCAACTGGACACCGGTACAGTGTGATATACAAATTTGCTTGTCCGACAGAAAAAAACACTGGACTCGGACGACAGGCAATGGGTTATTTCCACCCCTGGGTTTACGCTTTCAATCTTACTTTAGATATTCAGTATATCATCTTCAAAACAACATCAATGTTTTCTTGAGAATTTAAGCTTTCAATCTGACTTCAGGTCTTCAATGGAGGTGTTGCACACAACGTCAATGATTACTTTACAAATAAGCTTTCAATCTGACTTCAGGTCTTCAATGGGAGGTGTTCCACACAACGTCAATGATTACTTGAGAAACCTAAGTGGTATTGGTCCGGGACAAGATACCATCCACTTGCCTAGTATCTTCACATATCTGCCATACCTTGTGGGTCGCCCTGAGCGCATGCGGCCAGCATTTCGTCTCACAAATGGGAGACATGGTGGTAAGTTAGTTTCCTTTATGCATATGAATTTGTTGTCTTGCGATCACATCACAATAATCTCTCCTCAAGGGTCATCATACACACACAGAAGACCCAAACCTTCTTGGGTTCTCACATCAGACAGTAGACCCGGCCTCCTTGGTTTCTCACATCAGACAGTAGACCCAGCCTCCTTGGTTTCTCACATCAGACAGTAGACCCAGGCCTCCTTGGTTTCTCACATCAGACAGTAGACCCAGGCCTCCGTGGTTTCTCACATCAGACAGTAGACCCAGGCCTCCGTGGTTTCTCACATCAGACAGTAGACCCAGGCCTCCGTGGTTTCTCACATCAGACAGTAGACCCAGGCCTCCTTGGTTTCTCACATCAGACAGTAGACCCAGGCCTCTGTGGTTTCTCACATCAGACAGTAGACCCAGGCCTCCTTGGTTTCTCACATCAGACAGTAGACCCAGGCCTCCTTGGGTTCTCACATCAGACAGTAGACCCAGGCCTCCTTGGTTTCTCACATCAGACAGTAGACCCAGGCCTCCTTGGTTTCTCACATCAGACAGTAGACCCAGGCCTCCTTGGGTTTCTCATCAGACAGTAGACCCAGGCCTCCCTTGGTTTCTCACATCAGACAGTAGACCCAGGCCTCCTTGGTTTCTCACATCAGACAGTAGACCCAGGCCTCCTTGGTTTCTCACATCAGACAGTAGACCCAGGCCTCCTGGTTTCACATCAGACAGTAGACCCAGGCCTTGGTTTCTCACATCAGACAGTAGACCCAGGCCTCCTTGGTTTCTCACATCAGACAGTAGACCCAGGCCTCCTGGTTTCTCACATCAGACAGTAGACCCAGGCCTCCTGGGTTTCTCACATCAGACAGTAGACCCAGGCCTCCTTGGTTTCTCACATCAGACAGTAGACCCAGGCCTCCTTGGTTTCTCACATCAGACAGTAGACCCAGGGTTTCTCACCAGACAGTAGACCCAGGCCTCCTTGGTTTCTCACATCAGACAGTAGACCCAGGCCTCCTTGGTTTCTCACATCAGACAGTAGACCCAGGCCTCCGTGGTTTCTCACATCAGACAGTAGACCCAGGCCTCCTTGGTTTCTCACATCAGACAGTAGACCCAGGCCTCCTTGGTTTCTCACATCAGACAGTAGACCCAGGCCTCCGTGGTTTCTCACATCAGACAGTAGACCCAGGCCTCCTTGGTTTCCATCAGACAGTAGACCCAGGCTCAGACAGTAGACCCAGGCCTCCGTGGTTTCTCACATCAGACAGTAGACCCAGGCCTCCTTGGTTTCTCACATCAGACAGTCAGACTCCTCAGGCCTCCCTCCTTGTGGTTTCTCACATCAGACAGTAGACCCAGGCCTCCTTGGTTTCTCACATCAGACAGTAGACCCAGGCCTCCTTGGTTTCTCACTCCTTGGGTTTCTCACATCAGACAGTAGACCCAGGCCTCCTTGGTTTCTCACATCAGACAGTAGACCCAGCCTCCTTGGTTTCTCACATCAGACAGTAGACCCAGGCCTCCTTGGTTTCTCACATCAGACAGTAGACCCAGGCCTCCTTGGTTTCTCACATCAGACAGTAGACCCAGGCCTCCTGTGGTTTCTCACATCAGACAGTAGACCCAGGCCTCCTTGGTTTCTCACATCAGACAGTAGACCTAGGCCTCCTTGGTTTCTCACATCAGACAGTAGACCCAGGCCTCTGTGGTTTCTCACATCAGACAGTAGACCTAGGCCTCCTGGTTTCTCAGACATCAGACAGTAGACAGTAGACAGGCCTCCTTGGTTTCTCACATCAGACAGTAGACCCAGGCCTCCTTGGTTTCTCACATCAGACAGTAGACCCAGGCCTCTGTGGTTTCTCACATCAGACAGTAGACCCAGGCCTCCTTGGTTTCTCACATCAGACAGTAGACCCAGCCTCCTTGGGTTCTCACATCAGACAGTAGACCCAGCAATCTACATCAACAAGGCCAGTGAACCTGATCACAGATGATAGACGTGTGACAAAGCAAACTTGGGGATAGAAAACATAGGACCAGGGTTCTATAATGACAAATAAATTGTACTGCAATATATTGCGATTCTTGTACCTGTATTCTGATACATATCACAATATTTATTGGGAGCTTCAGTGTATGACAGTGAGTGACATTGATTATACATGCAGAGACTATTTTCTACATACTTAAGCCATAGCAATAACTGAGTTGATTGTGATAACAGAAATCTTGAATTTAGATTTGATTTTGAGGTGTTGTATCTTCTCCATGAAATTTATTGTATGTAAAATATGCAGTTTTGTCAATAATTACAATGGAAAACTTCATATATTTTATTATCCTGTATACCAGGTCTGAGAAATAACATTGCAATATGTATTGTTTGGAAGCTGTATTTCAATATACAGGTACCTAGTTATTTGTCTAACTTGCACCAGGTGCAAGTCAATTGTTTAGAATTAAATCAACAATAAATATAACATTATAAGCATAATTATGTCAGCTCATTTTTCTTCTAAACTTTGAATAATTCAATAGCATATTTCTTTCATTACATATTGCAATAAGAGCAGTGCAGCTGGAATTTGGCTGGTGCAACTAGGTTTTTATATCCGGTTGCACCTGGTGCAAGTAGGTTAACATCTTGTAAATCGAGCCCTGTAATACCATGCTGTCCTACATAGGACCATGTTTTTACTGCCTCACTCTATTTTCCAGCTGTATGACAGTGTTGTGAAAATACTTATGATTGACATCACAAGCATCTGTCTACACTACTGGGTTCCATGACATCAACATAATTTCATTGCAGTTTTATTATATTTTGTGGACAGATGTTTCTTAACTTACCAAATCAACCTGAATTTTACAAGACCTAGGCTTCAGACCACTGGATGAAGGGCAGTCTACCAATATCATGACCCGGGTTCGAATCCCCACATGGTACATTGTGTTAAGCCCATTTCTGGTGTCCCCCCACGGTGATATTGCTGGAATATTGCTGGAAAATTGCTAAAAGCGGAGTAAAACCAAACTCAGTCAGTCAGTACTTTAAGATGCTTGACACTGTAAGATAATCATATTATTGTTCAGGGTCCCATAAGAACAAGAGGGAGAAGGCGATCATAAGTGGTGCACTTGTGCCTAATCCCGTTGTGTTTTGGACAATATGTTTAAACCAAGAATAAGAGAGCAATAGTAAACAACAAACTACTGCCAATATGGGTGATATATGAATATATACAATGGGCTTTATGTCTTGTTGATACTGCATGTAATAAATAGAAATGTTTTGACAGTCTCCAACTGTTCAACATGTATGAAGAAGAAAAATCTCTCAGCAGGGAGCAGAGACAGAAGCTTATTTTGAGATGTCGATATCCTGCAGTGTCCAAAAAGATAAAATTATACCAGTACAAGTCACACTTTTGTGATAAAGGTTTTAAATGTGTTAGAAAATGTTTGTCATAAATGGTTATTGGTTATATATAAGATAATTACGTGTATATTAGTGTAGTCATATCTCTTATCTCATAAAATAATGAACAATGTTCTAACTTCTTATCAATATATAATTTTCATAACTAGCAATACTGTTAAAATGAACAAGGAAATTAGTAACCAAAGATTCCCTTCTTCTAAACTGCTTAAATATAAGATGAAATAACTGTAAATTATTTTTGTTAAAAAGTGTTGTTCATGTTGATATAGGATAAAATGTATCTATGTTTTAATTTTAATTTTAATTTTAATTTTAATTTTAATTTTAATTTTAATTGTTAATATGAATTGTTAATGGATGGTCTTAAACAAACTTCTGTGAGTCATAATAATTAGTGCTGAGTAAAAAAAAAATAATCAGACTCCAACAAAATTCAAACTGATGCACTTTTAAATTCTGAAAATATTTTTACAAACATGTCCTTTGGTTATTTTTCAAAAAAAAAAGGTTATGGCCAGTATTTATCATTATCTGTCATTGCTTATATGTATTGGACCACAGAGCCTTTGAATTAAGGTGATTCATTATCTTGTGTGAAGCATTGAAAAAAAATGTTAGAATTTTTTTGAATTTAATCTTATCAGTTTTGTACCAGTTTTGTGTACATATCATATGTTGTTTTAGAAATAAACTAATGAACATTGCATGGGAGAAGTAGAATCTGATAACTGGTAGGAAGTACTGCGGCAATTGGTGTTGGTTATTCAGCATTTTCACTCACAGCTCAGGGTCTTAGTGATGCTTGGCATGTCTAACTTATTAATAAACATGACAGATAGGAGGCAAAAGTTACTGTTACATAGATCTGATGGATATATTTAGGTGCAAAGAGCATGAACAGTTGCTGCTGATAATGTTCCAGTACTCTCAGAACTCATGCTATTGTGTTATTTATAATTTTAAAAGTTCAGGTCAATCAAAATGATACATGACATTATCCAGTTTAACAGGAAGTAATTCATTTGGACATCCATCAGAACTGATTCACTGAATTGTTGACACCTTTTCCCGTAATATATGATATTTCCAGTTCAGAAACACAAGGGTGATAATCTCTTTATCACATAATCAATGTCATTCTTAAAATCATGGGTTTTTAGTGAAATTTCACCCATTGAAGTAGCTTTAGAAACAGCATATTAACACTGTATTGAATAAACTGCCCAATTTATCATATAGTGCCAATTGTTTTGTGGCTATGTTGATTGTTTAATATCTTTGGCGTTTCACTGAATTGAATAAAAGAGAGTGAGCAATGTGTGTTAACATTGTTCTTGTATTTCTGAATGACATTGGATAATCATAATCATATGTTCGTACAGTACACTACAGAAATAGATTCCACTGTTTGATAAGAAACATTTTCATTACATGTATTTTAATTCTTGGATACAAGCAGTTTGTTGTGGTAAACAGCGATGATCATTTCTGTCCCAAGTGCCTGTACATTTGAATATACTTTCATTTCCTATCAATCATATAGAAAATTGGCAAGACTAATTTATTTGTCACAAATGCCAAGCATAGGTGATTGTTTGTTCATATTGACATTGGACTTAATGAGAAATATTTGACTCCCTACATAACTGGTACAAGAGACAGTGTTGATACGATATTTATTTACCATTGAGATGTGGATTATTTGTTTAACACATTGATGTTTAGATTGGCAGATGCATATACAGTAGGATGGATACTTTGTCAAGGAGTGGATTCTTTGTTCAATGAATAGTATTTTATTCAGTGAATTATTAAGTTACATTTTTTCATTTAGATTTTATATTTGGACTTTGGAAATGAATCACACGGCATTTGGTTTCAAATGTGAAGTTAAGCTCAACTGATTCAAATTAATTATCATTATTTTACTTCTTTGAGAGGCATATTCAGAAGTTGTTAAGATGAAGGAAAACCAAGTTCTATAGATAGTCAACTTCTTCATTGCAATAAAAGCGACGTTTCAGTGCAGATACTAACACCGTTATCAACCAAGTGATCCTGTATTTTAATCTGACTTCATGAATCATGTTATTTCTTACGTTTCCATGGTAATGGATTAAACAGCTACATTTTGCTGATACTTTATTCACTCGCCCAAATTGAAAGAATTTATGTTGGTTGAATTTGTTCCTTCTAAACACAGCCAACTTAATGTCCGTTTAATTGTTCAGTGGAAGTATTCTTCAGATATTATTTCGTTTTAATCTGTTCATGCTGTATATTATTAAGAATGAATAATGAAATAAACATTAAACAAAGTTGTTTAAGTCTAGTGTCATGGGAAACACATATGACAAAAGTATGTTCATTTGTGCTAAATAGTTTTGCTCACAACACTATATATACACATTTCCAGTGTATGAAATAAGATCTGCCCGACAGCCTATAACCTGGTAACTTTTGGCCTGGGCTGGCAATTTTTTGAAGTTTTTGTTTAATTTTGCCATTTAAATAGACAAATTAGAACATTTAGCCTGGCTATTTTTCAAAATGATTTCATACACTGACATTTCGCTGTAATCCATATTGCAATATTACATCAACAATGCCATATATTGTTACCATCATAATGCAGGCAATATGTAATATACCACACCCTTTTTGATATTGATTTCAAAGTCTTGTTAGCTTAGAGTTAGACTGTCTCTCAGTCCCTGACCACATTATTTGCCTTTCTGTCTAGCCCTTTTTGAGTGCTAAAGCTCTAAATGAAGCAAGTCTAGATTGCCTGGGGTGAATCTCCCATCCTGTTGGGGCTCCTTTTCAGTTAAAAAAGTGTTTGTTTTTCTGTCTAGCCCTTTCTGGAATCTGGAGTGCTAAAGCCCTAAATGAAGCAAGTCTCGATTACCTGAAGTGAATCTCCCATCCCATTGGGGCTCCTTTTCAGTTGAAAAGGAATAAAAACAATTCTGTCAAACTTACACATATTCAGAGACTAAGCATTAGTCAAGCTTAGCGTATAAGGTATCAGAACCAGATGAGTGTTGCTGTATGACTTCCCCTGACCTGTTACTGAAATTAAGCCCTGGCATGGTTTGGATGGCCAGCTCAGGTTACCCCTGTTGTTTCCCATCGCAGCATCAAGACATTGATCAAATGATAGGAAATTGGAAATAACCCTGAAGGGGTGATGAGGAGCAATGATAGGACCAGTGTGTTGTTAAGTATGTTGTACTGTAGGAAATTCCTTAAGGGAAGGGGGGCGGTGGGGTAGCCTAGTGGTAAAAGCGTTGACTCGTCAAGCCGAAGACCTGGGTTCGAATCCCCACATGGTACATTGTGTGAAGCCCATTTCTGGTGTCCCCTGCCGTGATGTTGCTGGAATATTGCTAAAAGCGGCGTAAAACCAAACTCAGTCAGTCAGTCAGCTTTAGGGAAGGTAACCAATTTGACCTGATATCCTATGATGTCAATTTATGATCCATGGTCAGAATTCCAGGAATCAATTTCTAACAAAAGGCTGTTTTGCTTGCATTTCAAGAGTTAATATGATGGTATCAATACTTGCTAATAGGTTTGGTCTATCAAAGCTTTATATTCTGCATGATGTAAACTGCAGCATTTGATGTAGCCCAAAACACAAATCTCCAAGTAAATAGTGGATTTGCATTTGTAAGATAAAAACTGAAAATCCTTATACAGAAAATTCACACACTAATGGTTATTGATATTTTCCTAGCTTTCCTAGCTTGACATTGTTTGTATTGTTATTGAGATAGAATGTGGTGATATAGTACAATAGCATTTTATTTAAGTTGATAATGCAAGTGCTGATGCTTTCTAGCTGATGTCAAACTCCCAAATGTTTGCCTACTTGATATAAAGTGTTGATTTAGCATTGTCCAAGGTCCATTTCTCACTTCTCTGATTCATTACTCATGGTTTAGTCAAAACTGAACCAATGCCAAATCAACAGATTTGTTTGCTGTTAGACATCTATGGTTCCAGTTGTATTCCATCAATACTGAATTCAAATGTTGTATGCCATTAAGCCATGATTTATCTAGGTTTTAAGATAAAGCACAGATGGTTTGCAAATTGGAGGAATAAAAACCTGCTTTTTAGCCCAAATTATATGCAAAAATATCAAATTGCTTAACATCAGTGGAAGCTTCACCATGATCAAATTTTCGATTAAAATGTGTATGGACTGAAGTTTAGTATCTTTGGTTCCAATTTCAGGATTTTGCCTACATTTGCTGCAGGCTTTGGACTGAAAATGACGACCAGGGATCTGTTGTAATCATTGTTGGGAAAGATCCACTCATCTGATCCTTTAAACTCTGACCTTAATGTTCCTTGCGATTTAAGTATGAAATTCGTAAATTATCAGTCCATATTAATTATCAAAGAGATGTCCCCTCTTAGGAAGGCGTTTCCTATTCTCGCGGTACTTACAGTTTTCGGCTGAAAAAACAACGCAAACAATTCTTATCGTATGAATGCTTGTTGTTTTTACATGAAGTGCCTTTACCTTTAACATCTGCATCTATCAGCTGCTAGATCCATCAGGTGAATTACCACTCGTGAGCCCGGTTATAAACAATGCCATCCGCCATTGACAAAATGAGGCTTCTCCCATTCTTGCGGTATAACGAAGAAGTAAGGTTACGGAGTGTATGGAAGAACAATCCTGTCTGAAAGGGTGGGAAAAAGTTATGATATGCCCAAGTTGGTATAAACTGACCACTATTCATGACATTGCAATATTTTCAAGACTCACAGACTTGGGCCACTTCCTAGTTACCGGTTGGCAAGATTAACAGCCGCTCGGTGTCACGCATCGGCAGAAAACGTGTTTACCGCGAGAATAGGAGACGGAACCATATATCATCTTGTTTGTTGTCATAGAAAAGCAGTGATTAAAGAAACCGTTGTTGTCACTTATTGATGATTAGTTTGCTCTTAAGGTCTGATAAGTGGACATTTTGGGGGATTGAGAAATGATCTTGGTTAGAAAAGCATCGTCTTCAGGACAACATGCTTGTCGTAATAGGCAACTAACGGGATCAGGTGGTCAGACTCGCTGACTTAGTTGACACACATCATCATATTCCAATTATGTAGAACGATGCTCATGATGTTAATCACTGGATTGTCTGGTCCAGACTTGATTATTTACAGACTGCCACCAATGTACCTGGAATATTGCTGAGTAAAGCCTTACAACAAACAACAAACAAATTAAGGAAGTCCTTCACCCTATTGAAGATCTTTTCACTTATTCAGTACATCACAACCCACGTTTTTGTCTTTCAGTTTCCATAGTGATAGGTGTTCCAACAATCAAACGTGACAAGATTAGCTACCTCACACAGACATTACGGTCCCTTGTCAATGAACTCAACCCAGAGGAGAAAGATGACTGCCTGATCATTGTCTTCGTAGCAGAGGTAGGTACAGTGTTTCCGTAGTAACTGTGACTAAGTGAATGAGGTGTAACTAAATCTCCTTGTCATTTTCTTTGAGCGGAGAAAGATGAGTGCCTTGTCATTGTCTCTTTAGCAGAGGTAGGTACAGTGTTTCTGTGGCAACTTTGATCGCATGAGTCAAATCTAACAATACTTTTAACTGTATGTCTGTTTTGCCCTGGCTCAGACATCTAAGTTTGCCCTAATTATTTTCAAGATTTGTCATAACCATACCCAGGCTCATGGGTTTTACATGGGTTTCTCATGGGTTTCACCAAAGGTGTAAATGGCTGTGACCTTTATCACATACTGCTTTCCTCAAACATTAAGCTGACGTACAGTGATATTATTGGAAGGTGCACTCTTTCACCCTCTCATCGTATGTCAGCTTATTGTTGTAGGAAATACAACCAAAGTGATTCAAGTCTTTGATGTAAACTTTTTTGGAATTCCCAGTGGTATGATGTGGGGAGCTAGTTCCGTTAAGCGATCGTTTCTCCCATTCACAACACTCTCTGATCATCGCCTTGTGAAACAGGACACAAATATTCAAGTTCAACAGGTGCAACAGTGGTCTATGTCTTTGATAAATTCCTATGCAACATCCACTGTTTTTCTGTCTCACAGTCCCAATACCAAATATATTTGTTTCTTTTCTGCCAAGCCTTTACAGCAATGCTATTGCTCCAAATTGAGCAGTGGTGGTGGGGCAGTGGTTAAAATGTTCGCTCGTCACACTGAAGATCTGGGATTGATTCCCTACATGGGTACAATGTGTGAAGCCCATTTCTGGTGTCTCCCACCATCATGTTCCTGGAATATTGCTAAAAGCAGCGTAAAACTAAACTCACTCACTCCAAATGAAGCACATGTAGAAGTTCTGAATCTTCAATCTCACTGTGGTCCATTTTCAGTTTGAAAATAGCGATTTGTTTCTGTAAAAATTATTATGGAGGTAATAAGTGTACTGCATTCTGTTATTATACTCTGAGTTATTTTTTATATAAACAAAATAAAACTATGGGCACTGTTAGCCTGAGTAGCCCTGTTAATGATTAAATAAGCTTGAAATACAACATTGATACTCCTATTGATATTCCTACACTGGATATGATTTAAAACAAAACACACTTCCTTATTCAAGTGTTAAAATATCTGATAAATGAAGGTGAGCTTCTTTACCTAAGGTAATCTATGAAGAAAACATAAGATATGCATGTTTTCTTTTTTCAGCCTTGGGACACAACATTCGTGGAGAAAGTTGCTGGAGAAATCCAGGAACAGTAAGTAACAACAAAGTGATCTTGTGCCTTGCCTCAGGGCAACACAAGTTATGATTGGCTGAACACTGATTGCATCACACGACTGTGTAGCATGATACACGAGGTTCTTTGATAAACATCAGAGACAGATAAGATCTGGGAAATCCTTGCACTCTGTACTTGTATCTACATGGAAAAGGAACTACTATATAATATTTGTCATGTTTGAACTTACTTCTTGATAATAAAGCCTGGTACTAAAACATAGCAATGTTTAAACAGTATTCCTACTTTTTATTAACAATTGAGATTTGAATAGTTGTAAAGTGAGATGTATATGATATACATGAGGGTATATTTTATTTTTCTTAAATTTGTATGCCATGTATTCTCATGAAAACACAAGTAAATACATCCTCAATTATTTATATGTGATAAGATCACTGGATTGTCTGGTCCAGACTCAATTTTTTACAGACCACCGCCATATAGCTGGAATATTGCTGAGTGCGACGTAAAACTAAACTTGCTCACTCACTATATGTCATAATGTTATCAGATTTCTATATCTATTTGAATTTTATTCGAACACATTCTGATTAAAGATTATGTGATGTATAATGAAAACATGATAATGTTCTAAGAGTAGCATGTAATGTTCAATATTAATTGGCAATAGGACTTATCAGATTATATAGAGATTTAGAGATTCAACTTGACTATTTGTTGATGTGTTTCCTGTAACATAAGTAGTTTCCTTCATTTGTAGTTTTAAGAGAATGTTTGAATTAGAAAGTCCTCACACTTCAGCTTTATGTAAAAGACTAGGATTGATCCAAATATGATTTTTAGAAATACTATTGAAGTCAAGGGTGCTGTTGTACAGAACGACCTTAGCGCTAAGGCCACCTCAAGTCTATGTGAAGGTATGGGAGTTACGGCCATCTAGCGATAATATCGCTTTGTACAAAGGCACCAAGGTCCTGAAGCTCCTTTACAAGCTTGACCACTATTTGAGTGAAAATGAAATGTTTTTGATGAGGTTTTTTAGGAAATATTTTCCTGGGGTGACCTATCCTATATCAAGGAGTGAATGTTTAGTGAGACATCTCGCGAACAAGACATGTCTTGTAGAGTATTTTGTTTATTTTTTTATCAAGGTTATATCATTTCATTTTCAGATTCCCAGAATATCTAGACAGTGGGTTGTTGGAAGTCATTGCTCCACCATCAGGGTTCTACCCAGATCTAGATCATTTAAAAGAAACTTTTGGTGATTCCAAGGAAAGAATCAGGTGATTACATCACGTTTATACCTATCAAGATTACCTCGGGGCCTTTAATAGATGCCAGTTAGATGACTTATGCAAAATAAATTGCACCAGGGCATCCAACAGAGGAAATATTGTACCTACAATTTGTGGTTAATGCCTCTATGATACATGGTGTAATTATTCCACTGGCATATAAATGTCCATATTAGTGAACATGGTGAGAACCAGTGTATAAATGTCCATATTAGTGAACATGGTGAGAACCAGTGTATAAATGTCCATATCAGTGCACGTAGCGAAAACCAGTGTATAAATGTCCATATCAGTGAACATGGAGAGAACCAATGTATAAATGTCCATATTAGTGAACATGGTGAGAACCAGTGTATAAATGTCCATATTAGTGAACATGGTGAGAACCAGTGTATAAATGTCATGATATCTGGATTGTCTGGTCCAGGCTCGATTATTTACGGACCGCCTCCTTATAGCTGGAATATTGCTGAGTGCGGCGTAAAACTATACTCACTCACTCATGATATCATCTACTGGATAGCCTGGTCCAATTATCTACACTTTGCTATCATAGCTGGAATATTATTGAAACAATGTTAAGCAACAAACAAACCGACAAATCAAATATTGAAAGTATTTGGTGCTCAAGGTATTACTGAGTCTAACAAAAGATTGTCCTCCTATGATGATTTACGAAACTGATGTGTATTAATGTCATAATCTACTGAAAGAAGGGGGCGTTGGGGTAGTCCAGTGGTTAAAGCGTTCACTTGTCATGCCAAAGACCCCAGGTTCGATTCCCCACAGGGGTACAATGTGTTAAGCCCATTTCTGGTTTTCCCCGCCATGATATTGCTGGAATATTTGCTAAAAGCGTTGTAAAACTAAACTCACTCAGTCACCACAACTGTCTTGATATGTTGCAGATGGAGAACAAAGCAGAACCTGGACTACTCATTCCTAATGCTATATGCCAGGAGCAGGGGAGTTTACTATGTGCAGGTATGTCATTAGCCCCTCAGCTGCACACACACTCAGCAGGTGCCCTTTCTGGACCTTATAGTAATAATACATACAGTGGAGACATTCATTGTCTAATTTTCAGTATTTGTTTACTACTGCATCAAAATATAGCCTGTTACTTATTGCCTATTGCTTCAAATATAGCACAATGTATAATCTTCCTGAATGTGAGTTGTCAGTTAACATGCAAACTTACAAATCTGTTTGCATCAGTTTCCAATATAGATTACAGATTCAGATTCAGATTCAGATTCAGATTTCTTAATTCAGTATTGGAGGCCACATGGCCCTAATTATTATGTTAGCATTCAAAATGTTTGTGTGGATAATTTACACAAAGGATATTCATATTCACAAAGGATAATACAAAATAATTGTTAATTTTCTCAATTTGATACATTAAATTCACTTCCATTCTAGTTCACTTTGGCATATTTCTTTTGGTGTACATTTGCAACACTGCTGATGCTATATTCTGGGCAAACTAACAGAAAGTGATATTCATCTTCACACTTATCATACATTTGTACATATGGAACAGTTTATCTTTCACGTAACACTGTATTTACAAATTTAAATTATGCGACAGAATGCAGAATTTTAGCACACTTCTATTCAAATAATTTTCAAAATAATATCAAGATAAGCACTGACAAGGATTTATATCAACTGTAGTGGAATAAATAGAAGGAACTGCTTATTTTTTATGGAACTTTTTTAAAATTTCATCTTTTCTTGAACAGATGAATAAATGTCTTAAGTAATGAAGACATATGTAAGTAAGTAATGAAATCCTGTTTTTAATAACAGGTAATGTGTGACACATACTAGTTTATCACAAGTCTTCATCATAGGAGAACAGGTAATGTGTGACACATACTAGTTTATCACAAGTCTTCATCATAGGAGAACAGGCATGTGGAAACCTTTCAAGATCCAAATGGATAATTTGGCACCAATTAAAGTTACATCCTGCAGAGCTACAGATAACTTTTTTGATCATTGAGTGATGTACTTGCTTGTGTTCATCTCAAGTGGGTGTCCTAATTTTCCTGTGAGTAACCTAATAAATTGTACCCACCTCACTTAAACTCAATTGGGTATTTTGCCATTTTCTGTCAACTGTAAAAATATAATAAAGTTTAAATGTTGGTTTAAGCATTTGTTATATGAGAAGCTATAAGAAAGACAGCAAGTTGCCAAGTTCAATTGTTGAAATAGAACTTCTCAAAATACCTCAGTTATTTTATTTATCCACTGGTACACAAGCTAAGATTTGACATTTTTGTATGTACGTATGTAAGATCAAATTTATAGAGTACTTGCAAAAATTCAAGCGTACTTGTATGCAATAGATTTAATAGGAATTGAGTTTTCACATAAATATTTGTGTAATTTATGCAGATACGCAGCTTATCTGTACCTCTGATTTTGTAAAATAATTTCCACAAGGAATTGGGAAACAAATCTATCCTCTAATTGAAACTTCCACAGTAAAAAGGCTCAACATGCTGGACTAAGAAATCATTATATATTTCGTTTCCTTTCAGGAGTGCTTTAACTGACTTTCTAAATAAGTTAATATATTGGAATGAATTGGGGAATTGTTTTTTCCTCTATGCACATACACACTAGCTTAATCAGTGTGGTTTTTTTTGGGGGGGTGGTGGTTTTTTTACATTTCTGAAATATTGACTTATTAGGCAGTGTTATCAGTATATCAGTTTACTGATGTTCATTCTTTCCATGATATGTATCACTATAATACTTTTGAATGTTTGGTGTATGATGTGATTTCAAATAGTGATTTATGTGTTTAAAGCTATACACCTTCAAATGTTTCTGTAATTCCAATATGCAAGTCAGCCAGGATACAAAGTTACCTCCCTTATGTGCATGCGCAATCCTACCCTTCTGTCAAAAACATATGGGTCACAAAGATGGCGGTGTGGTTGGTCATTATCACCAGCATCTTGGTTATTGTTCTGTTTATGAACTTCAATTCATGCAACAATATTTCTCATTGCTTCTGAGTTCAAAATTTAGAATTATAAATATATTGTGATGCGTATAGCAATACGGCTTGTGTATCACAATATATTGGGAGAAACTTGAAACCTCCAATACTCATTCTACAATTCAAACTATAACAAACTGCGGATTACAATTCCTCTTTGTAAGCTTTTCCCCCCAAAATATGCCAACCTATTTAATATTTGAAATGAGTGTGACCTTTAGCTGTATTCCACAATATGATGACAAGGGACACCAGAAATAGGCTTGACACAATGGATCCACATGGGGAATTAAACCAATGTCTTGAGCCTGTCAAACAAATCCTTTATGCACTTGGCTACCCTACGTAAATTTAAAGCTAACTTAAACTAAATTAAACTTTTCATACTATTGTCTCTGCTTCCACAAACGTCTGATAACAACAAACCATTCTACCAAATGTGAAAACTTGTCTCTGCAGGTTTCCATGGTTACTGTGGAATACTACACATGTTAGTCTGTTTATCCTGCTGATCAACCAAAATAAAAACATATTCAGACTAACAAGCTTTTTATTATTTGGACCCTTGCAAGCTAATTAGTATAAAAATCATAGAAGTGACCCTCCCTGTTCTCTCTTGTGTGATGTTTTGAATACCCTTGTTGTTTTAGTAGCATGTTCACTATTTGTTTTCCAGTCACATGGAACTATGAAGCAGAATTAAGGGTAACTCGTAATTCTGGGGGATTCAGTCAGTGACATCAACCCTCACTTAAATCACGTTTGTAGTATTTTATGTCATGGAACTACTAACTCCCTCACAGATCTGCTACTCATAATATTTCACTTTTGAGTTTTATACTTTTTCCCTTGACTTACTTTGTCATGCAAATAGTGTTGTGTTTTCATTGCACTTTTTGTTTTCAGCCTAACAGGTCAGATAATTTTGTTGTTTTAAAACAGGTTTTTCTAGTTGGATAGTATTTTTTTTCGTATTCATTTTGCATTGTAAGGAAAAATACTGCTTAGTTAAAGTAAAAGAACACCTGGTACATATTACTACAGTTAATTTAATGTCATGATATGCCATGTCATGCAGTGATATTTACTACAATGAAATTAAAGACTAATTTATATCTGAATGGTAAGTCCTTAGGGTTAATACTTCTCTTGTTTTGACCTAAATTGTTTTACCTTATCAATTCATTGTTTTGAGGGAGCTAATATTTAGATGTTAGTTTTAACATAGATTTTTCCTTCTCCTGATTCATACTATTTGCTTCTCTCCTTTAACCTGAAATCCTGTGGAAACATTCTGTGTTATTTTCCCCCAAAACAGTAAAAACATCTCACCTGAATGCATCCTGCCAATGTGTATGTGCACCGGCCTTCCTTGTGACCAGGAAGTAACTGTCACTCTCTCCATTTTCGCCCAAATGCTAGGTTGGGGGGAAATTTCTGTGTTTTATGATCAAAGGCATCTTATCAAAATCATGCAGTTTTTTCACAAAATTAGACTTGGGTTATCTCTTTAGGCCATTTATGCAACATACCTATTAGGTATTATCCCCTGTTGCGCTTAGCATGAAGCAGGGATATAGTATTAGGCTCCGTCACTAACGAGCAATATGAAGTATAGGACTTACAGGTAGAAGATAAGAATTTAGCACGAGTTGATAGGACCGCCTCCGTGGTGTAGTGGTTTGAGTGTCCGCCCGGAGAGCGGAAGGTCGCGGGTTCGATCCCCGACCGCGTCATACCAAAAGACGTTAAAATATGGTACTTCTTGGTGCCTACCTGGCACTCGGCATTAATGGGTACAACAAGGACTAGTCAGCTCGGAGTCAGTATAATGTGTCTGAGTGGGGTATTCATGCTTCACTGTGGCGTGGTATCTCAGTGGGCTAGCACTATAAAACCAGCCTAAGTCTGGGCTAATACAAGCAGCCTGCACATACACATACACATACACACGCATGCACGTCGTCATATGAGCTAAATATTCTCAAGCACGTTGTTAAACCCAATTTCACCTCACCTCCCAAGTCGATAGTATTTCCAGAAGATCATTCTTAGGGCTAGGATGTTTCCATGTCTCTTTAGCACACTCACAATCACAGAGACCCGTGGAAGTCAGGCTACTGTCATGTAACCAATGACCAAGAACCCATGCATCCCGTGATCTATCCAAGCATGAGTGACATGATACAGTTAGGTTAAGTTTACTACCTACCCTCAAGATATGGATCATCGAAGACCAACTGGAATCACATTCTATGCAAGTCTTACAAATCTACAAAAGCTTTATGATTTACTTCTTTTGTTTCGAAAGAAGGTGGTACCCCTTTTCATCAAGATTCAGGATCTTGGTTAAGATTCAGAAAGATTGGAAGTTTCCTAGGGGTTAATGAACAGTACATGAATTCAAAATTATGTGGTTGCCCTCTGCCTACTGATGGATTCAAGCAAATGATGAGTCAGGATAAGAAAAAATATGTATTTTTTAAAGTAAAAATAATATTTTATACTTAACCTGACTCATACACTAAAGTACTCCCACCAACAATCACTTCTCTTCAGTATGTTTATTTAATATTCGGCAATTACCAAAATAGTGGGAGTCACAGACACTGGTCATGTAGGAGGCCGGTGCAGTGGTGAGTGGGTGTGTTCAGGTGAGATGTTTTTACTGTTCTTGGGGAATATAACACAGAATGTTTCAACAGTATCTCAGGTTAAGGGAGAGAGAAGGAAATAGTGTGAGTATAAAATAATATTTTTACTCTAAATACATATTTTAATACTACATCAGTGTCTAACTTCCTACTAGCACAGGTTTTGTTTGCCTAGTTTCAGTTGGCAAATTTGCTTCTTATGATCTTTTCTGTTTTGTTGGCTCGTTTAACATGTTTCTTTCAGGTAAATCACTGATTGAGGTTTCATAGGTGTTAGACCCGTGAAGATCCGGGGTAGAATAGGTCTTCAGCAACCCATGTGCTTGCCATAAAAAGGCGACTATCTTGTCGTAAGAGGCGACTAACGGGATCGGGTGGTCAGTTTCGCTGACTTGGTTGACACATGTCATCGGTTCCCAATTGCGCAGATCGATGCTCATGCTGTTGATCACTGGATTGTCTGGTCCAGACTCGATTATTTGCAGACCGCCGCCATATAGCTGGAATATTGCTGAGTGCGGCGTAAAACTAAACTCACTCACTCACTCACTCATAGGTGTTATGTTTTGAAGTTGCTTGCTGTAATAAGGATAATGCATCTCTGAATGAGGGCTTACCACTTATGTGTACGGAATAGGGCATTTGTAATGACAGCTAAATATTGGTGGTGCTATCGTTTTTACCAGTGATAACTACTATTGTTGTCATAAAGGGAATTGAAACAAGCACTGGTCAGCTTGTCACCAGCATAATTTGTCTAACTTAAAATATACGTTTCCCTAGTGTTTTGATGAGTAATTAATCAATTCACATCAAACGGCTGCCGACAGATTAACAATGAATATTTTTATTCGTGCGGTAAACAATACTGACGTGAAACATACATGTGCACATATGCACAGATCTTTCCGTCCGGATAACTGGATCATTTTTCAATGGAAATCTATGGGAATGGTTTGAAAATTCTCCATCTGAGCCCGGAAAAGCTAGGTACAATTACTGAAGGCAAGTTTCATTTCACCTAAAAATCATCCGAAAGGCGGGCTTCCTGGATATACGGGGTCTGAGTAAACGGGGTTCGACTGTAATACATTTGAACAGTGCCTAATCTCACCTCAGAGATGCTCAGAGCCATTAAGGATAGATTACACACAAAGCACAGACATTTTGCCCTGGTTACCAAGCTGACTGTGAGGCGGTAGACTGTTGACTGTCACATTATTCCACTGGGTACCCGACCCGTGAAGATCCGGGGTAGAATAGGTCTTCAGCAACCCATGTGCTTGCCATAAAAAGGCGACTATCTTGTCGTAAGAGGCGACTAACGGGATCGGGTGGTCAGTTTCGCTGACTTGGTTGACACATGTCATCGGTTCCCAATTGTGCAGATCGATGCTCATGCTGTTGATCACTGGATTGTCTGGTCCAGACTCGATTATTTACAGACCGCCGCCATATAGCTGGAATATTGCTGAGTGCGGCGTAAAACTAAACTCACTCACTCACTCACTCCACTGGGTACCCATTCACAGCTTGCTGATTTTTGGTATCCTTGTAAAACTGCGGCATGGTATCTCGGTGGGATACCTACAAAACCGGCCTAAGTTTGGACATGTACAAACGGACACACCTTTTTCACCTTTCCTTTTACATTAAACCAGCAGGACTGTTTGCGTGTTATTTGTGCTTAATTATGTTGTAATGTAAATGAAACGGCATATCACACTCCAGTTTGGAATCACATGTCAAATTATAACAAATTGATTTTGTGTTTTTACGATGTCTACCAGATAGAAATTTTAAATGAATATAACTTATGTACATCTTTATTAATACTTGTGGCATGATAAACAAAGCATGGGTATTTTTCAGCTGGTAGACAACTGGATAATTTGTCTCATTTTCGTTTATTTCTACTAGGATCAATACCAACAAGTATATATCACTTTAAGACCTATTGTTAGTACAGATAAATACATAGGTATGTTTTCCACCCTGAATAGAGATGTTACGCATCAGCATGATCAGTATTTGTCCGGTTGTAACATAGCCATGTTAATCTGTTTTGTCGTAAGGTGATATTGAAAGTAATATACTTTTGAACTTTCATTCAGCTGGAGGATGATGTCATGGCCAAACCAGGGTACCTGTCAATTATGAAGTCATTTGCATATCAGCAAAAACCGACGACTGGCTCCTACTAGAGTTCTCTGCCCTTGGATTTATAGGTAGGTGCTGGAATATTGAAACAAAGAAGAAAATAGTAACACATTCATATTCCTTGTTGGGTACCATAGTGTTCTGTGCAAATGTAGGAAAAGATTCCATATACTGCTCCAAAGATGTTCAGGACCACTTTTTTTTGTCCCCCGCAGCAACGTAGAACGGGGGACTATGTATTCAGCGGCGTCCGTATGTTCATCCGATTTTTGTTAACGCAATATCTCATGAACTGTTGTACCCAATGTCTTCAAATTTGGTGACAGCCTACATTGGGGGATTACCCAGACACCAGTTGATTTGGGTGACCTTGACCTTATCTTCAAGGTCACCATGACACTTTGACCACTTTTCAAACTCTTGTTAACGCGATATCTCATAAAACATTGCACCCAATGTCTTCAATTGTGTTGACAGCCTACATTGGGTGATTATGCAGACACCAGTCATTTCAGGCATCTTGTATGTGACCCCTCCCCCAAAAAAGGAGTAAATGTGTTATAAATATTCCATTCTTTAGCGGCAGGGGACATTATCAGTAGCATATCAGTGGCAAACACTTGTTTCATATGATGTCATGACCGATTAACTTGAGAAATTTGAATATTAATATGTTCTTCACACCATTTTGAGGACCCGTGAAAATCCGGGTTAAAATTGGTCTTCAGCAACCCATGCTTGTCATAAGAGGCGACCAACAGGATCGGGTTGTCAGATGCTGACTTGGTTGACACATGTCAATGTATCCCATTTGCACAGATAGATGCTCATGATGCCAGTCACCGGATTTTCTGGCCCAGACTCGATTATTCATAGACCGCCACCATATAGATGGAATATTGGTGTTAAACAACAAACAAACCAACCAACCTATTTTGATTAGTATACACACTGACCACATTCAATAAAGATCACACAAAACAGAGCATCAGGTACTCAGGATAATTTTCTTTATAATATAATTTTTATTTGATCTTAACTCAAAGTTCTCCAAAAGACCAGGGTGCCGTTCCACTAACCGATCTTAACTAAGATCAATCTTAGCAAGTTACGCCAATTTTACAATCGTCTTAGCTAAAAGTTATACCCGTTTCACTGACCGATCTTAGGCCGATCGTAGCCGGTCCCGATCTTACGATCCGATCCAAGCTTAGATGGAGACTCTTTCGTTAGAGTGATAGAGGATAGCGAGGCACGATTTATTTCCCTTTGCAAAGTCTAGCAAATGATGGAAGTAGTTCACGAACCAATTGAGTGAGTGAGTGAGTTTAGATTTACGCCGCACTCAGCAATAGTCAAGCTATATCGCGGCAATCTGTAAATAATCTATTTAATTAAGATGCATAGCGTTCACTAACATGAGCGTTCATGTTAGTGAACGCTATGTATCTTAGCTATAAATAATCGAGTCTGGACCAGACAATCCAGTGATCAACAGCATGAGGATCGATCTGCGCAGTTGGGAACCGATGACATGTGTCAACCAAGTCAGCGAGCCTGACCACCCAATCCCGTTAGTGGCCTCTTACGACAAGCATGGGTTATTGAAGTTCAATATTCTAATTTGGGCCTTCATGGGTATTTTTCCAACCAAGTGTAAACGTGGAGAAAAAAACTAGAGCAAAATATTAGGGTAGTGAGCACCTTGGTTTCAGGTGCAAGTGTGTGTGAACGCTGGGTATCAGGCATAATATAATAATAATATACATAAATATATACTGTATGCATATTTATAGTGCGCCTATTCCACATCCTGGGGCATGCTCAAAGCGCTATGTACAGATAATTTACACGAGAGTATTTATAACCGAGCTTATAAGTAATATACTGAGAACAGGTTTTAAGTCTGGACTTACAAAATGTCAATTGTGTCAGAGCTTTTATTATGTGCCTGAACCTTGTCAATCAGAATAAACAAGGCGTGACGAGGCATCCTCTATAACGTATCTAGATTCTGTCAGTGGTCTTGAATAACACGCGGCCTGCCTTTAGAATCCTCCACCAAATAAGCGCAGTGAAATCAAACATATTTGTAGGTTTTTGTTTCAGAACATTGTTCACTTCATGGGTGTCCCTATTCTTAACTATGATGTTGTAATATTGTTGTACAAATGCGTTACACCGACTTGCTCGATTGTGTTCCCATGACGACAGTGGTCAGACTGGCCTGACATATGTAAGGCTTCAGTGCAGTGTTTGTTTACATTACAGAAATATACAAATTCATTTCATGGGGTATTTTAGGGGACGCTCACGGTGAAATGCTCGCTCTTATTTTTCACATAGAATAGGAAAGCCACCATTTTGGTTTCTCTGCGATTGATTTTAGCTATCCTAAGTTGGTCATGAGCAACTTAGACTTTGAATCTTAACTTTACGATTGACTTGGGTAAGATTGGTTAGTGGAATGGTATGCCGATCTTAACGTCATGCTAAGATTGGGATTTTAGGGGTTTACGATTGGCATAGGGCTAAGATCGGTTAGTGGAACGGCACTCAGGAAGTTTTTTTTTCTCTTTGGGCATTCTGAATTTTTTTTAAATGTACCCATTCTGCAAATTATTTTTTGATTCTGTGTGAATGTTTTATTCTGTTGAAAGTGCTCCTGTTTATGGTTCTAGCTTGTAATCAGCTTCCTTGTTCAATACATTCACTATTCAGCCGACCGCCTCCGTGGTGTAGTGGTTAGAGCGTCCACCCAGAGAGCGGAAGGTCGCAGGTTCAATCCCCATCCGCGTCATACCAAGGACGTTAAAATATGGTACTTGTTGGTCCCTGCCTGGCACTCGACATTAATGGGTACAACAAGGACTGGTCGGCTCGGAGTCAGTATAATGTGTCTGAGTGGGGTATTCATGCTTCACTGTGGCATGGTATCTCAGTGGGCTAGCACTATAAAACCCAATTTCACCTCACCTCATCACTATTCAGCCTGTACACACCAGGGTACATTTGTAACCTTGTCAAAATGAGAAAATGTTTTTTTGTCTGGGCATTGATTTCATGGGGTAGACTGTATAAAACATTTAGATATCAAGGAAGTTGATTTTGTGTGACCATTTATTTGAGCATTTACCCTTCTACACATAAACATTGAACTTATATGTTTTCATCAAGCATCAGTTGTTTTCATTCAACCCTTATTGACCCCGCCACAATACGGAACGATGGACTGTGTATTCAGCAGCATCCATCTGTCCATACGTATGTCCCGGTTCTTGTTAACATAATATCTCATGCACTGTTGTACCCAGTGTCTTCAAATTTGGTGACAGCCTACATTGGTGGATCATGCGGACACCAGTCTATTAGTGGCAAACACTTGTTGTTGAATACTTTCATGATCATTGTTGTTCTAATACTTTGGCAAACATAGAATATTTCAAGCATTGAGTGAGCTCTGTTGTTGTTTTAAGGAAAAATGTTCAAGTCAGCAGACATCCCACTTGTGGTTGAGTTCTTTCTGATGTTCTATGCGGAGAAGCCAATTGACTGGCTCCTGGACCATCTTCTGCAGGTCAAGGTGTGCAGCCCTGAAAAGGATCATGTGAGTTACCACATCTCGATATATTTCACTCTACAGACTAAACTTAGTTTTACTCAGCAAAATTCCAGCTGTATGGCGGTGGTCTATAAATAATCAAGTCTGGACCAGACAATACAGTGATCGACAGCATGAGCATCGATCTATGCAACCACGTCAATGAGCCTGACATCCCGTTAGTCGCCTCTTAAGACAAGCATGGGTTACTGAAGATGAGTTCTAAGGCAGATCTTCATGTGTCGTAAACTTAGGTAACTTGTACTATCTCATGTCTTTGTTGAATTAGGATTTACAACCGTTTAACAAACAAGGCTTTGTGAAACGGGATGAGTGAGTAAATGTGTTTAAAACCACAGCTAACTATTGTCCTGCTTCATCATGGTGGCCTATAAAGCCTGGGCAATGCAGACAGCGGGAGATACTTTGTGTCCTTAAGAAAGATTCTTAAGGTTGCAATAACCACAGAATGGCTCCAGAGGAGTAATATATAATTTACAGCAGACATGTGGTATGAATTCCAAAAATATTTTTTTATATTTTATAATAAAATCGATAAAACATTGTTCACTTCAGATGAATTGGAAAATTATAAGTTGTCTCAATTAAAAATATGTCTTAGCAGTTACAAAATGAATAAATTGATCCATTCTCTTTTTTACAGAAACACTGTAACAGAATGAAGCTTCAAGTGCGACGTAGATTCAAACCGTCTCTATTCCAGCATGTTGGCATCACATCATCTCTCAAGGGGAAAGTGCAGAAACTGAAGGTACTGTATTGAACACAGGGCCACCATGGCCACACAACATTTGGAAAAGTCCTCAACAGTGTTTAGAGAATAGGTTGCATGATGAGATATTTGGTTGACTGGTTTAATAATGATAATAGTCTGTTTATCATATGCATTGCTCCATGCATAATGCATGCTCGAAGCACCCAAACAATCTGATTATTATTTCTATGTAACTATAACCCAAGCTACCTGTTAGGCGTTAGAGGGTTATAGTCACATGACTTTATCCCACTGGGTACCCATTGCCAACAGAGGCAATTTTTAACAAACTCACTTGCCTAAGGTGAGACCACATATATCACATGTGCTTCGTTGTGGGGCAGGACTGAAGTCCTAAAAGTCCTATATAAGATATTGCTGTGTTATGCGATATAACAAACACACAATCCCACAGGTCCTACAGAATAGTCTTCATAACTCTGGTGAAAGAGTGTCAGTTAGAATAGTTATGGGAAAATTAAGACCCAAATTCCTTATGTTAAGGTTTATGTTGACCGCTGATTATAGTTCATTATAACCCGAGTTTGTTACGCACATTTAACTGACATATACAGCAATTGCCAGGACAATAAACACAATTTATTATATCCATTAGTTTGTTATCCCCCGCAACGCGTTTTGCGGGGGTATTAAAATGGACTCCGTCCATGCGTGCGCGTGCGTGCGTCCGTCCGTGCACATTTGTCTTTTCCGGAGCAGAACTCTAAAACTGTTCAATATTTCTTCACCAAACTTGGCACATAGATAGATCTGGTGGTGTACTGGTGCCTTTTGGTAGTTTTGGAATTCTGAATAAAACATTTTTTGCGTTTCCATGGCCAAAAGTTCGACTTAGCCTGAAATTGGTGGTAGTTCACTTTTCCGGAGCAGAACTCTAAAACCGTTCACTATTTCTTTACCAAACTTGGCACATAGATAGATCTGGTGGTGTACTGGTGCCTTTTGGTAGTTTTGGAATTCTGAATAAAACATTTTTGGCATTTCCATGGCACCGTGGCAACAAATTTGACTTAGCCTGAAATTGGTGGTTGTGCTCTTTTCCGGAGGTGAACTCTAAAACCGTTCACTATTTCTTCACTAAACTTGGCACATAGATTGGTCTGGTGGTGTACTGGTGCCTTTTGGTAGTTTTGGAATTGTGAATAAAATATTTTTGGCATTTCCATGGCAACAAATTTGACTTAGCCTGAAATTGGTGGTAGTGCTCTTTTCCGGAGCAGAACTCTAAAACCGTTCACTATTTCTTCACCAAACTTGACACATAGATAGATCTGGTGCTGTACTGGTGCCTTTTGGTAGTTTTGAAATTTTGAATAAAATATTTTTGGCTTTTCCATGGCAACAAGTTGACTTTGCCTGAAATTGGTGGTAGTTCACTTTTCCGGAGCTAAATTCTAAAACCGTTCACTATTTCTTCACCAAACTTGACACATAGATTAGTCTAGTGGTGTACTGGTTCCTTTTTGGTAGTTTTGGAATTGGTGATAGTGCTCCTTTCTGGAGCAGAACTTTAAAAACCTTTCAATACTCTCCTTCCACTTTTCTATACACACCTAAATATTTGACATAATCATACCTCGTAGACATAATCATCAAGAGTATTTTGCCATTGCGGGGGATATTGATGACTTTGTCTTCTTGTTATAATTCCATCATTGGTTCAAAACATAGTTTACTGAAAATTGAAAGGTTGAAGTGATATTATGTATTAAAGTAATATTACACAGAAGAACCCTATTGTTGTCAGTAGGAGACGGTGCCATCATCAACTCAGGTACAAGCCCAAAATCTTTCATAATAGCGTGTACATGTTCATTAACTACAAAACACGACTGTGTGGTTTATGTTTCAGGACAAGGACTTTGGCAAGCAAGGTTTATACCGTGCCCATGTGAATCCTGCTGCCACTCTTGCTTCCTCCCTGAAGACCTACCAGAAGTATACCCTTGTAAAGGCCTACATAGGTGAAACCTTCTACTGGGCCACAAGTCCCACACAAGGCGATGTCATCGACGTCAAGCTCAATCCTCCAATCCTACTGGAAAGGTGAGTCATTAGATTCCATTGTTATATTGTATTGTGCATGTGAGTCAGATGTCGTAAGGACTGATTAAGTGGTCCTCTTGCTCAAACATAGTAGATCAAACCTCAAACATCAACTATTGATTGGACAAACGCAGATTGAGATGCAAAGTGGATGTTTGTCGCCTTATTGCTAGATGATGGTTTGTTTATGTTAAGGTGCTTTGCACCCATTACTTTAGAACTATATCAAGCATGATTGGGTTGCAGTAAGGTACTTGAACTGATCATAAGGTACTTATTTGATCGGTTTTCTAGAAATTGGTGTGTCAAAAATGAAGTTTACAACCTTATGGATGACAACTTGTTGTTTATTGCATGGAGTGACATTTTGATGTAGATTCATACAACCGTCATCAAGCTAAGAGTGATGGCTTAAGAAGTTGCCTCCCATAAAGTTTCTGCTTCATTTCTAAGATAACAGGTGATAAAACTCATCACTATCTTCTCATTTCAGGTTTCTATTCCGAACTGGTAACACCGACCATTCTGATGACCGAGTCTATGACGGCACAATTGAAGTTCTTCCGGAAACTCCTCCAGAAAAACCAGTCCACCTTCCAAAGCTGGACTTCCCTCTCGGGGAAAAGCATGGCAAAGAAGAAGGTTACTACATCCTTGGGGTGTTTGATGAACATGGAGTTTGTGAAGGAGATGTCCCAGAAGATCTGGGGAAGATAGCAGTATTACGTATTCACTTCCAGTCAGACAGTGATCATTGGCTTGTTATTAGTGAGGTGAGAAGTTTTCTGTGCTATTGTAAGATTTGTAATGTGGTGTTATGTTGTTATTGATTCCAACACTAGCGGTTGAGTTATCCAGCAGAGTTCAGGGGTGATGGGGTAGCCTGCTGGATAAAGAATGTACTTGTCATGGTAAAATGTCATTTTGGCAAATTGTGTGTGAAGAGATCAGCAAAATAGCACCAACTCACCACAAACTCTTCTTGAAAGGAACCGGCACAGTGGTGTAGTGGTTACAGCGTCCGATCCCCGACCGCGTCATGCCTGGCGCTCGGCATTAATGGGTACAACAAGGACTGGTCGGCTTGGAGTCAGTATAATGTGTCTTAGTGGGGTATTCTTGCTTCACTGTGGCATGGTATCTCAATTGGCTAGCACTATAAAACCAGCTTCAGTCTGGGCTAGTACAAGCAGCTGCACATACACATACACACGCATGCATGTCGTCATATGAGCGAAATATTCTCAAGCACGACGATAAACCCTATTTCACCTCACCACCTCACCTTCTTGAGAGGGGCAGTATGTTAGCCCCGTGGTTAAAGTGTTTGCTCATCATGCTGAAGACACGGGTTGATTCCCCACATGGGTACAATGTGTGAAGCCCATTTCTGGTAACGTGATATTGCTGGAATATTTCTAAAAGCTGGGTAAAACCCAACTCACACACTCACTCACTCTTCTTGAAATGAACATGAGCCATTAGAAATTGAAAACCCTGTGTGTGTTTTCTTTAGAATTATGGCCTTGAAAAGTGTTTTAAAAACTAAATTACAAGTGGATTGGGGAGAAAATATGTAAGCATGTGTTTGTTTGTTCAAACGTGCCTGTAAAAACTACCGATATAATTTCATACTTTGTCAACAAACAGTCACCATGCCAACTGTTTTTCATAAAAGTAAAATGGATACTAAACAGTATGAATAATACATTTGTCTATAACCAAAAATCTTTTGGGGGAACGTACAGTCTGTACATGTTTCCCTTACTTTGTAACATACACTAACATTTCAGTGACACCACAGTTGAAGTTACACTGTGTCTAGTGCTTCAAGCAATTGCTCGTCACGCGGAAGACCCAGGTTCCATTCCCCACTTGGGTCCAATGTGTGAAGCCCATTTCTGGTGTCCATCACCATGATGTTGCTGTAATATTGCTAAAAGTAGCGTAAAACTAAACTTCGCTCAGTATTACTGTTAGGAAATTATTTCGTTGCTTCAATAAATTGTTGAATCGTGACAACCCTAATTTTCGATGTAACGATTTCCACTCATATGTTATTTCTCTTTTCAGATTCATGTGAAGGAAAAGAAACAAGTTTAATGAGGATCTTAAAGGCGTGTAACCAATCACCATCGTTGCTGTAGATATTCAACATCATATCATGTAAAACACTATTTCTGGAGGTTCATTTGAATTCCATTCTTAGGGAACCAGCCATAGTATTAGTCAATTCAAGTGTGATAATGTTGTTGTTTGGCAAGAAAAAGTCAATACAATAGCAAATGTTGCAAGAAACCAGAGAGAGTTTAACCTGTTCTGAGACGTGTTTGCTAATATATTTGAAGCTTGCCTGTTTCAAAGATTACAAAGGATCCACACATGATGAAGATGGTAGGAAGAAAATATGTTTCTTGGTTGTAATTTTTTTGAATATTTCATAAAACATCTTGGCCTCACTATATCATGAATATTAACATTTTCAAAATTTGTGAAATGTGGCAGACAAGTAGGACAACATTTTAGAACAGGCAATGATTGTTTGATACTAAAGGCAAGTATTGGTAGAACTGCTAGAAAATGTATTCCAGCTTCCAGCTATTAACTCAGAATTTTAGTGCTACTTTTACGTGTGTCAGAAAATTTGGTATTTCTGAGATGACCATGTATGGCAAATGTTGGGTTATGTGAGGTTGAGATGACCATGTATGGCAAATGTTGGGTTATGTGAGGTTGATAATGGATGTGATGGTACAGCTTTACAGAATCATATCTCGATACAACCCGGCTTATATTAGCCGTATCATCATGAAAAAAAAAAAAATTTCATTGTGGGCGTTGTGCAAATCTCAAATAATTAATTCTTGTGTGTCTCAAGTTATATCATTTCACAATCGTTGCTTAAAAAATTATTCAATATGATACTTTTAATTTAATATGCATTGTATTAAGTAATGCATACTCACATCACGCCCATAAAAAGAAAAATGATTTAACGTTTAGGTCTGTTGTCCCTTCCTAACACTGTTTTTTAAGATGGGCCTGTCATGGAGATCAAGCGTATTCAGAAAATAACGTATTGTCAGATGGAAAAAATGGTTCCTGAGCATCTTGATAACTTCGGGGTCGGTGGGGTAGCCTAATGGTTAAAGCGTTGGCTCGTCACACCGAAGACCCGGGTTCGAATCCCCACATGGGCACAATGTGTGAAGCCCATTTCTGGTGTCCCCCGCCGTGATGTTGCTGGAATATTGCTAAAAGCGGCGTAAAATCAAACTCAGTCAGTCAGTCAGTGATAACTTCGACATGAAGATCATATCTGTGTTGTAGGGTTACAAGTTGTCCTGAATTCATTTTACTGAACAATTGCAAGCCAGTTTTGAGAATGAAACATACTCCTGTGGGACATTAGAGTGCTTTTGGATATCTACATCAGTTCCACAGAAATGCTGTACAGTGATGGATAGGACAGGTTGAGTTTCATGGTGCTTTTGTTGAAGTCATTTGTCCTGTTTTTACTTTGTAAATACTTTGTTTGTGTTGAGAGTTGATATTGCAGAGAGTATTACCCTGTAATCAGAAAATGTGTAAACACATTACTGAGACAACTTTCTTACAATATATATACAACATATTTTCCTGTCTTGAGGAACATGATTTGTTATCTGTTTTAAGCGGTTTTCATTAACTTTACCCCTAACATATTTTTAGAGAATTTAAGTTGCCATATTATACTTTATTTATAGATAGATTAATTCATAAGTATATTTTAGACATTTGCTTGTAAAACTTGTGTTAATGATTCCTTGCTGATTGTTTTAGTTCAGGTGACTGACTTTACACCAAGTCCTGGATCATATTTGTTTAGTCATTTAAGTCAGGTTATTGTGCCTGCTTCCTGTTGAAATTGTTATTTAATTCACTTCAATCTAGTCAGTATGAATGGAAGAGTATTGACATAGTCATTTCATCAATTTACGTATGCGAGGAAAACCACCTCTCCTATGGAATGTGAAAGATAAATGTTTTAACCTCTGCTCTTTGTTTCTTTGCTCAGTCTGTTTTGGCATGCATACACAACATGGGATCAGAGAAATCTGTTCATTTTCAAGGCCTCAGTCTGATCTTAGAGCTACGCTGCCATAGCTCCTACAGGGTTGGTGTAGGGTAGCCAAGTGGCTAAGGTGCTGGCTTGCTTGTTACACCAAAGACCTGGGTTGGATTCCCCACATGTTTGAAAATTGTTCAGCAGTTTTGCTGCACACAAGACCAGTGTCAAAATTTTCAAAAATTTCTGTGCCCACCAGTAGTCACTTTATTTTAACTCTGACCAGTAGAGGTAGGTGATATTATTTATAGACTCACACATAGTCAAAGTCAGTTTGTTATTTAATATGTTATAATGATGGATTATTGGACACCTCCATGTGCCACTATAGAAAGATTTGTATAGTATTGAGCTAAGATGATATGGTGTTATGATGAAAGAGACTTGCCATTTGTAATAGATTGTTAAGTGAAAGAGAAACCAAAAATGGTTTTGTGTGAATGAATAATCATTTTAATCATCTATGCACGATGGGAACTAGCATTTTTTACACATTGTTAAAGAACTGGAACAAGATGGATGAGTTCCAAAATAGATATATTTTTAGAATGGGATGACTTGTAGTCTGTTAATCATGTTTATACATCTCTTATCTTATACATGTCCTTAGTTTAATTATTAAAGACAGATGATCCATTGTCACATGTAAATATACTTAAGTGTTGTATTTTTGATGCATGTTGTATTGTAAATAATAGCAATGCGTTTATGGTACAGTAGAACCAGGGTAGGGGCGGTGGGGTAGCCTAGTGGTTAAAGCGTTCGCTCGTCACGCAGAAGACCTGGGCTCGATTCCCCACATGGGTACAATGTGTGAAGCCTATTTCTGCTGTCCCCTGCCGTGATATTGCTGGAATATTGCTAAAAGCGGCGTAAAACCATACTTGCTGACTCACTCACTCACTAGAACCAGGGTAATCAGGGCGCTTTGGAATACAGGGGAGACAACTTCCCCTTGAATATGATACTAGTCACGACTTTTGACAAAGCATTCATTATTCTGGTCTGCAAGATTCTGTTACAAATTTGAAAAGGTTAGGTTTTAGACTGAAATTGTGATAACTTGCTAGTGTTTTACTGTCCTTTGGGACAGATATTTCTTATAGGTAAACCCTCGTCACGATATGGCTGAAATATTGCTGATGTGACGGTAATTTTAACTCACTCACTCACTGACATGACACAGAACATGCTATACTGATGAAATGGTCCATGATTTTGGGTTTTCTGCACTCATATACCTTGTCATCATCCAAGTAGTATTTTAAGGATGTTAACTTGTTATGCTTATCAAGTTATGATAGGAGTGTCTGTGGTCAGTTATGTTTATCAAGATCAGTAGACGATGAGATTGATTGTGTCCAATTTGTACTTTAGCAAGTCCTTTGTCATGTGATCACAAAATGGAGTTGAACTCCATTATGGTGAGACGATGTTAAAAATATAAATGATAGTAGATGGACAACTACTTTTAAATATAGTCTCAACTGAAGCATTCAACTGCAAACAATCACTGGTTTATCGGTTTCTTGAACTATGCCCAGACGAACTAACAAGGATCCATAGAACTCTCCTCGTTGTCCACTGTGTACTAACAAACGACATGAATTTCTCCAACAATTCACAAATGCATTTCATACAGTTAGTAGTAAGTTAGCTTTGTTTCCATACTAAGTGTTGTTTGATGTTGAGCGTATATTTTGGGGTAACAGTTGTCCAGCTGTCCTGACATAGTGCCAAACAGGTGCTTGACCTTGGTGTTCTTGCATGAAGTCAAAGATTGTTCCTTTACTGGTATTTGTTTACATATCAGTTCTTCTTTTAAAGGAGAAATGGAATTTGGTTAAAAAATATTATGTTGACATTTTATAAAGCTATTTTCAAGTTTGTCCTCTCTTTGTGGTGTATATAAATAATTTATATAATTACTACATATACTGTGGGAAATAAATAAGGGAACACCACTTCATGGCAGTGTTCCTTCGTTTATTCTCAGATTTCTTCCCACAGCACTATTCAAAGCTGGTGATGACAACTTGACAATATTAAAGGAATGCTTGAATTTTCCTGTGTTCCTTTATTTGTTTCTCTCAGTATATGTTCATTTCTTTGTAAGTGTTTGAAATGTTTATGAATTTGGCTTTAGTTTATTTGTGTAATATGTTGACTGATGATTGTCAAAAGGGTACATGAAAAACAGTTTTGATCTTTTCCTTTTTTGTGTGTTACTTTCATATATGTTATTTCAGAAACATATACAGCTTATATGGTATTGTTACCACTCATAATCAAATCTGTACTGTTGTGTTCTGTTGTTACATTGGATGATTTAGAATCAGTATTCATGTAAATCTGTGAAGACGATACATCGAAATGATCAAAAAACAAAACTGTATATACAGTGTTTCATGCTTTCTTCTCTGTGAACAATGGCACTTTATGTACATAATTTAGTTAGCTCCTTGCAGACCAATACATGTCTTTCCAACAGTGACTAGTGCCAGTGTAGATTATTCAGAGAATAACTTGTGAGCACGTTGAAATTATGGATTACTGCAAATTAATTTTGTAAGACAACTTTCAACATTATGTAATGAGGGACAGATTATTCCTCATTGTTCATGTGTTATTCTTTATTTTGTTCATTTCTGTGTTTGAGAAAGTGTAAAAACTTCGATTTCCCTGTAACTATAAGTTGAGACAGCAGCACATGTACTCTATTGTTGGATCAACATCACACTAAATTCACATGAAAAATATTATCTTAAATTATTTGTGTCATTGCATGTATATGTTTCAGTGGCCCTAAACATTTATACCTCCACAGATGCAAAACTTTGAGTCTTATTCTTATAAATAAATATGTCAGCAATAAAAAGTTCTCAGTGCTTGCTTATATCATTGATGCACAAAAATATTGACAATACAAAATCAGGAGATCAGTCAGCACAAAAACCAGTTCATTTTATTATCACCCAATCAGGAAGAGAAGATCCCTTAGTGGAAGTGACTTAATTAATTATTTGTTTATGGAAATAAATACTGTGTTTGTCAATCTCAGTTGCAATGTATTTTTGTTGCAATATACATTAAAACCTCCTAAAATTTAGCTCAAGCAACATTTGTTATGATTATAGTATTGCTACGGTATTAGTGGTCAACAGAAATCCATAGAAGTGACAGGGTGATATTCATAGTTACTGACCGGTTTCAAGGGGTTATATGGTGTGAGATACCTGGTGATGTGCCCCGAGCTGGTAGTCTGGTAGTGTAAACACAGAGTGCATCACACCCATTGGGACAGTTTGTGAATCTTATCACAGATATCTGAAAAGCTAGCAGACAACAGAAACACATCCAGAGTTATCACCCTTTCATTATATTTGGATATACTCGATAACTTGCAAATAATATAACCTGATCGTTGTGTTCACATTTGTGAGAAGTTCAGCCCTCCCAGCATGGTATTTATATTTTGCTTTATCTGTTAGAGTGGTACATAGACATGAAATTCAGTAACCAATCAGAAACGAGTATATAAATACATTTAAAATTCACACCACTGGGGTGTGTTATAATATCCATTGTTTCAGTAATGTCTTCCTGGTACCTTCCCAGTATATGTACATGCATAGTTTGGAATTTGAATGAAGATTAAAGGGAAGTTGGTTGGGGGCACTAAGAGCTTATCAGAGCAATGTGTTTATACAGTACAGTATTGCATGTGTTTAGTGTTCTTCGTGGACATTCTGTATAGACTGTTATCGTAGTGACATGGGACAGTGTAAAATGTATGGATAATTTATAGCAGAATAAGGCATTCCTAAATTGGTAATTGCTCAGATACATGTATACTTTGTGCAGAATATTTAAAATTTGCTTTGACCTGTAAAGCACTTCACATACAGCAGGTAAATGCTAGACCTATTATATTGATAGCAGACAGGTATGATAAAGGCTCTTTTGTCTCTCAAATCTTCCTGATATCATGGTTTTGACATATAACCATGCAAAATGTGTATCTATGGCTCAAAGGTGCCAAAAGACTGATTTTTTTTATAACCTTCACGAACCAATTTTATGACTGATTAAAAGTTAAAAGATAGTTATTAATACAATACAAACTTTGAATCAAGCTTTTCACGGATATATTTCACCTTGAACTAAAAAACATAATTTATTGCTCATTATAGCAAATCTTTTGCTTTTGAAAGTACCTGAAGCAAAATTCTGCATTTTTAGAAAAACCCAAACTAATCATCAACCCAATTACAGAGTTTTTGCAACACTAAAATTTTCAATATTCAGTGGGATATAAGGGCCTTTATCCTACCTCCATATTTGCTTTCAATGTGGAAAGCATCCGCCTTGATCATTCTGTTATTATGCAAAGAAAAATTTATAGATCATTAGTACATTCAAACATTTGTGGTTGTAAATTTTGCATTGTGATAAAGTTTAACCCAGTGGTTGTTCAGATTTAAAACACTACAGATGAAAAATCCAAAGTAAATCCCATAGTACATTTGACACTGTCCCAGCATGTGGAGCAGGTGCTTGTGTTGTCTTCCAGTGTAAACAAGTGATGTGTGCAGATATTGTTGTGTTGGCAGAATGCAGTTTACTTCCTTGTGTGATGTGTTAATGTGTGTTGTTAATAATTGAAGTCAAAGTAGCTTGAGACATTATGTAGCTTAGAGAAGAATTTGAACCCAACGGCTTCCATGAAAATGCCTTTTTTGTTTAAACGAGGGCTATACTCAGGTGTTCAGTGTCAGTCCATAAAATAAATGACAAGTGTGTGTATAAAATATTGTTTACAGACAATAAACTGTCTGCTAAACCAGATTCCGTTGCTATAACACCCAAAATTGAGGTGAAAATCATGTCACTAAAACAGACCTTTTGTTTGAACGATAAGAGTTAATTCTAGATTGAAATTCTTCATAAAAATGGGATAATTATATCAAATATTCTTGGACAGCCAGTTTCAGAGAAAAAATATTTTGATGCTGAAATAGGATACTCACTGGCATAAGTGTATGATATTAGGGAGTTAGTTCTCTGTGCCTGTTACCCGTTATGCAATCATACACTGAATGTCCTGTGTTTACCATAATAAGCAAGCTGAGTATGTAGAATATTTAGGGGCGGTGGGGTAGCTCAGTGGTTAAAGCGTTCGCTCATCCCGCCAAAGACCTGACTCTTATCCTCACTTTGGTTCAATGTGTGAAGCCCATTTCTGGTGTCCTCCTCTGTGATATGACTGGAATATTGCTAAAAGCAGCGTTAAACTCACTCACACTCACTCACATAGAAAATTTAAAGTGGGTCACTTTCTAAAACAATATCCAAGATTAATTTGCTATTGGAGATGAAATGTTAGATACTCACTTACTTAACATGTGGATTAGACTAATATACTTTTGTTATTTACCTGTTGTATACCTTCTACACTGCAATGTTATATGTAAGAAGAAATTGCAATATATACAAGAAAATAGTGTCTGGTAAATATTAGAGATTAGCACTTATAGAGATTACTTTACAGTTAGGTGCAACATGTGAAGGTCCAGGTTAGAATTGATCTTCAGTAGCCCATGCTTGTCATAAAAGGCAACTAACAGGATCGGGTGGTAAGGCTCACTGACATGGTTGACACATGTCATTGTATTCCAATTGCATAGATCGATGCAGATGCTGTTGATCTCTGGATTGTCTGGTCCAGACTCGATTATTTACAGACCACTGCCATATAGCTGGAATATTGCTGAGTGTGGCGTACAACTAAACTCAGTCACTCACTAAAGTTAGGGGAGAAGTTGGTGAGGACATGCTTTTGGGAGGAAAGGCAAATACAGAATTCATTAATGCAACAATGGTGGTGTCAACCTGCTAGCATTGTAGCAGTGTTTCCATGGTAAATAAATACTGTAAGTGCTGGTTATTATGTTGTGGATATACATAATCAGCATTGGTGGATGCAGAGGTGTGCACCCCCTCTTTTGTCCTGAAAGTTTATTAAATGACCATTGAAACTCTCATGAAAATGAACTGTGTGCACCACCCCTTTCTCAAAAGCTGTATCCACCCCTGATCAGGGTATCCTATACTAACCAGATCTACACAGGTGTGTTTCTAACCAGTCGAGATTTAAAATATCAGATGTGTCAAGTATGTAACAAGCTGTTAATGGATCATGTTTTAAAGATGTGTGTACAGCATTGTATATGTTTATAATATGTAAACAAAGAATATGTAAGTGATACCAGTAGAAGTGTATGTTTTGTTATGTAATGTTGATGGAGTAGAAGCATCAGACAGCATGTAAGTCCAGGTGTTCTAGCTCCTATACTTGCTACCCTTTGTATTGCAATACAATTCAGACTTAACACTAGAATTGTATTGAGAAGGAACAAGCAGATATTTCAGAAATAAAAACAACATAGTATACATATAGTGTATGAGTTTTTTTGTTTTGGGTTACACTTATTCTACTGATCTTGACAACCATAATGGTGGTGGTGCATGGTCCTGTGCATATTGGGGCGGTTGGGTAGCCCAGTGGTTAAAGCGTTTGCTCGTCACACTGAAGACCCGGGTTTGATTCCCCACATGGGTACAATGTGTGAAGCCCATTTCTGGTGTCCCCCGCTGTGATATTGTTGGAAAATTGCTAAAAGCAGCGTAAAACTAAACTCACTCACTCACTCCTGTGCATAGAGCCCAGGGGCCCGTTTCACAAAGCGCAACAATTGACAGTCGTAATTCTATGTTGAAGTGTGGGAGTTATGATCACCTTAGTGCTATGATCGTTTTGTGAAATTGGCACAGTAAAAATTCAGGTGAAGTTCAGCTACATTGGTCAAGGAGAGCCCTTGCTGGGTGACTGTTTGGCAGCTTGACTCCTCAGAGTTTGTAGGACTTCAGTTCTGGCCCACACTGAAGCACACACCACACATGTGGTCTCACCTTATGCAAGTGAAGGTGTTCAAAATTGCCTGTGTTCACCCAGCAGTGAATGGGTACCTGTCTATTATTATATGGATTCTGGGTTAAAATTGGTGTTGGTGTTGAGTTCCCTAAACCAGTCATAATTTTCAACAGAAATGTATTGAGCGCTCAGTTTTTGTGACCTACTGGAGAAGAGAGTATTTGAGGCTTGGCGGTTTGATACCTAAGTCATTTATTTTTTAAGATGTTTTTTTTGTTGACATTTCAAGTTTTTGAAAGAAACGTACCATTAATGAGGAACTAATCGTCTTGTCAGGAGGGTACCGAAATGAATTAATCCTTGGATGGTCAGAATCAAGGAGATTGATCAAGATAATAGGCATATGAACATGGTAGCCTATAACAGTTGACCTGTTGTCATGAATGTTGTTTCAGATAGTCATGACTGACATCCAATGATCGAGGGAAAAATACCAGCGCCTTGAGCAAGCACTAGTTGCCTGGATATGTGCGCTATATAAATATCATATAATAATAATAATGACTATCACAGGATCTCCTTGAATAGATATGATGAAATTAGACAGTGTATGAAATAAAGGCAGGCTCGATTTCTGACGGTCGGTCTAACTTTACAGCTCACCAGCGGATGGTCTGATAAAAATTTTACATGTTCCATACATCTGAGTAAATTCAGCATATCTTGGTGTCTGGTCTGGTTAAATCCATTTGGGGCTGGTAACATTTTGAAGTTACCAGCCCTGGTGTCTGGCTGGGTTTTTCGCTTATTTCATACACTGAATTAGACCTGGTGGATGTTGTACACAGCAAAGTGAATACCATTCAACTGACTGACTGAGTTTGGTTTTACGCCGCTTTTAGCAATATTCCAGCGACATCGCGGCGGGGGACACCAGAAATGGGCTTCACACATTGTACCCATGTGGGGATTCGAACCGGGGTCTTCGGCGTGACCAGCCAACGCTTTAACCACTAGGCTACCCCACCGCCCCGAATACCATTCACAGGGCGCAGGAGCAGCTATGTTGTTTATGCACACATGAATCTCTTCCCAACCGGTGCTCACTCAACCCTATATTCGCTCAGATATGGTGAAAGGTACCGGATTCCTTTAGGCAGTAAGTTCTGGCTTGATGATTTGGCTTTACAGGTGTTTTTGAACAACAAACTTTAGTCAGTGACTGTCGACATTACTTGGGATAAACAGGGGACATGTTAGACATCTACCATCAATTTGGCAGCTGGGTTGCAGAAGGACAGTACCATGAGGACAGTAACAAAATGCAGGTTCCAGGGAGTGTAAAAGTAGAAATAACCCCAAAGGCAGTAGTTTACTGACTACACATAGAGATTTATCATTACAAAACGAGTGGGTGTTGAATATGGAAAATATTCCAACCAGATATGTTTAAACATTTTGCTTTATTCACGAGCGAAAGCGAAACCAGTTCAAACATGCGGTTCGTGGACAACGAACTGTAATTGTTGACACTCTGGACGTTTCTGTGCCCCGATATTTGCATAATTTCAGTTTTCTGACAACTCATAAGATATTCAGAACACGTGTGTCAGTAATAAAGGCGTATCCTCAATTACCGTGAAGCGTATCTATCTGGCTTTATTACACATGTACCGCCTCCGTGGTGTAGTGGTTAGAGCGTCTGCCCGGAGAGCGGAAGGTCGCGGGTTCGATCCCCGACCGCGTCATACCAAAAGACGTTAAAATATGGTACTTGTTGGTCACTGCCTGGCGCTCGGCAGTTTGACAATGTTGAGTAAACAGGTCTGGCATCACCAACTTCCGGAGTATGTTGAAAGATGTCTTCCTGCTTCGGAGGTGGCGTTATGTTATCGATGATTTGTATTCGAGGTCCTAAAGAAAGATATTCAGAACACATGTGTAATAAGGTGAGGTGAGGTGAGGTGAGGTGAGGTGAGGTGAGGTGAAATTGGGTTTAACGTCGGGCTTGAGAATGTTTCGCTCATATGACGACGTGCATGCGTGTGTATGTGTATGTGCGGCTGCTTGTACTAGCCCAGACTGAAGCTGGTATTACAGTGCTAGCTCACTGAGATACTACGCCGCAGTGAAGCATGAATACCCCACTCAGACACGTTATACTGACTCCGAGCCGACCAGTCCTTGTTGTACCCATTAATGCCGAGCGCCAGGCAGTGACCAGCAAGTACCATATTTTAACGTCTTTTAGTATGACGCGGTCGGGGATAGAACCCGCGACCTTCCGCTCTCCGAGTGGATGCTCTAACCACTACACCACGGAGGCGGTCCAGTTGTGATACGTACATCAATTGATTAAATTAATTAATTTCATTGTGATCCGGTACACAATGGTGGCAAACGCCGAAATACACAAATCCATGTAAAACGAATAGCATATGTTTCCAAATATTCTCAAGCACGACGTTAAACCCAATTTCACCTCACCTCACGTATCGCACCTTCAAAATGAAATATATTGAAACTATTTAACACCGTGTGTACTAAATCAATATTATTTTCTGACAAATGCATGTTCAAAATGTTATTACTTTGTTATGACTGATATAACGTTTTGTGGTCAATTTCTGGAGAGGGCATGTGTTCAGTAACATACTGACGTGTATATTGATGTTATTGCAACCTAAAGAGTTCCACAGAGAAGAAAACCGAAATAATTCAGATGTTTTTCTTAACTTCCAACGAACATATGGATTCAGTTAAAGGTGCGAACCATGGTATATATACTCATGCCAATCATGGTTGTCACCCCTCCCCACCACCCCAACCCCAACCCCACCTCCCACCCCACCAAGCCCACCCACTCACACACACTCTCCAATTAAAAAATGAAGGGGTGACAACCATTATTGGCATGAGTATATTAGAATTATAGCCAATCATCTGGCTAGAGGTATTTCGTATTTTTGATAAATGATGATATTCGTTTGTGGTATCGAAGCACCGATGTTACCAAATCATGCACGTGACCAGGAGGTCACTCTAGGAGTTGATTTGGTGAGTACGTTCTATAATGTAACAGTCTGTAATTAACTCTACGTACAGATGTCTGGGAAGTGCACTTTGTTTGGGAATGAACTCATTTGGCAAACGCCGAAATACACAAATCCATGTAAAACGAATAGCATATGTTTCCAAATATTCTCAAGCACGACGTTAAACCCAATTTCACCTCACCTCACGTATCGCACCTTCAAAATGAAATATATTGAAACTATGTAACACCGTGTGTACTAAATCAATATTATTTTCTGACAAATGCATGTTCAAAATGTTATTACTTTGTTATGACTGATATAACGTTTTGTGGTCAATTTCTGAGAGGGCATGTGTTCAGTAACATACTGACGTGTATATTGATGTTATTGCAACCTAAAGAGTTCCACAGAGAAGAAAACCGAAATAATTCAGATGTTTTTCTTAACTTCCAACGAACATATGGATTCAGTTAAAGGTGCGAACCATGGTATATACTCATGCCAATAATGGTTGTCACCCCTCCCACCCCAACCCCACCCCTCCCCCTAACCCCAACCCCTCCCCACCCCAACCCCACCCCACTCACCCACACCCACACACCCTCTCCAATTAAAAATGAAGGGGGTGACAACCATTATTGGCATGAGTATATTAGAATTATAGCCAATCACCTGGCTAGAGGTATTTCGTATTTTTGATAAATGATGATATTCGTTTGTGGTATCGAAGCACCGATGTTACCAAATCATGCACGTGACCAGGAGGTCACTCTAGGAGTTGATTTGGTGAGTACGTTCTATAATGTAACAGTCTGTAATTAACTCTACGTACAGATGTCTGGGAAGTGCACTTTGTTTGGGAATGAACTCATTTGTTAAGTAATACCATACTTGCGCACCACGCTCATACCCAATGTTACCGCACGAAGTATTATCTCAGATAAAACAGCCATTATGAGTTATGAGACTGTCTCTCCCCTATTTGGGGAAGCAGGATTAATTAGGGATCTAATTAGAGCGTATTCGGGAATCGGGGTTCGACGCAAATACAATCGTATCTATAGTACGCAGAAACGGTATTATAGACTAATGATATACGTAGCCTCTGGTCTGAAGCATATTATTTCCCCTTCCTCTAGTCCTAAAGAAAGCAAGTCTAGATTTCCTCAGGTCTGAATCTCCATCTCACTGGGGCTCATTTTCAATTTGAAACTAAATATTTGGTTCTATTAAACTTATATATATTCAAATACTAGGTGGCAAATGCCGAAATGCAAAAATACGTGTAAAACGATTGGTAGATGTTTTTAAATGGACTACTTTCTACAGTCTACGTCAACACGAGCTTTATATATACTGAGGTACAAAAGAAAGTACACACCTGGTGTTTTGAGACTATTAAAACAACGTAAATATTTTGCTAGCAATGTTCCAATTGGGTACGATATCTATGGTGTTATTGCAACACGTACACAATGTTTGTGACTTGTGAGTGGCAATATAAACACTTTTCTAAATATTACGCTGTTTTGAGGAAAACATTGTACCAAAGCATCAGGTGTGTACTTTGTTTTGTACGTCAGTATATGTTATATCCAAGATATTGTCTTCATTAATTTTACTTATAATCGCACTCCTTTATTACCTAGGAACGTGTATTATATGTATTCTTTTCTGTGGTCGACATTCGGCTTCTGTAGAGTGATTTCTGAACATTGTGTCTTTCGTCACGCCAAAGATCCAGGTTCGATTCCCCACTTGGGTACAATGTGTGAAGCCCATTTCTGGTGTCCCCCGCCGTGATATTGCTAGAATATTGCTACAAACGGCGTAAAACTAAACTCACTCACTTACTATAAATATAAGTTATATCAGTACAGATATATTTGTTCTCCGTACGATTGTGTTAACTGATCTTCCTAGGGAAACGTAAATGTAATATGCAAAACTTCCGACGACAGCTGGTTCTTACCTATTTACTGCAGCCATGTAGGTAATTAAAATACCTTTGATATCATATGACAGGCCTCAGTATATTAAATAAAACAACATGCAAATAATTATTTAATGTCTAAAATCAAACAATAATAAATTCCAAGAAAATCAGATATGAAATTAGTGCATTTTATTTGTTTACTATCAAACATTATAGATTTAACGAAGGTATCTTAATTCCTTCCTGGCATAATAGATCTATCCTACGGTGATTATTGTCACAAGACAATATTTAGCTTTGAATTAATTGAATGCAAAGAAAAAAAATGGAATTCAAACACCCAATATCCTTATGACCTACAATGCAATTTCTTAAGAATTCACACATGGTCTAATTCATTCAGATTACTTGAAAACGAAAGCGGAAATAGTTTTAATCACGAAAAATACAGACTGTAGTTCGTTTCCTTTTTTTGAACGGCGTACATTTGTACATGGTCAAAGGGAGATAATAAAAGTAATTCTTGTGAGAAGAAGGCGGAGAAACGCCACATGTCAGTGGATTGTTTTGGTCAATGTTTCCTTCGGTAAAATGTCATCTAACTCCAAACTTCTGGAGGACAGAGTGTACGCAACGTTGAAAACTGTCTTCGGGCATGGCGAATTCAAAAGTCAACTACAAAAACAGGCGATCCTTAGCATCGTAGGAGGTTCGTGAGATATACTATCGCTGCTATTCCCAACCATAGGTCTCATTTTTCAGAGCAAAAACAAATAGAGCTGACTTTGCAATGAACCGGATTGACAATGTGTGCGTTTGTTTTGCACATATGGTATTAATGATTTTGATGTTGTTTTGTGGATTTTATGTACAATGTCAACGACCAGTTTTCTAGTTTGTGTGCGTAAATGGTTTTGCGTCGATAGATGAGTTTCCTTACTGTAGGCCATGTGTCCATTACACGGATGTGGTGATGTGTTATCGTGTCACATTGATTTCAGTAACTATTGACTTCAAATGACATTTTCTGATAACACTTACGGAATACGTGACAAACATTTTGCATCTAGGAAGGCGTTTCCTATTCTCGCGGTACTTACGGATATCGGCTCAAAAAATAACACAAACAATTCTTATCGTATGAATGATTGTTGTTTTTAAATGAAGGGTTTTCTCCTCTAACATCTACATCTATCAGCTGCTAGATCCATCAAGTGAATTACCACTCGTGAGCCCGGTGATAAACAATGCTATCCGCCATTGACGAAACGAGGCTTCTCCCAGGAATTAACGTTATTGAGTGTATGTAAGAGCAATCCTGCCGGAAAGGGCAGGAAAAAGTAATGATATGTCCAAGTTGGTATAAACTCCCCAATATTCGTGACACTGCAAGATTTTGATCACTCACAGACTTGGTCCACTTCCTAGTTTCCAGTCGGTGATGTAAACAACCGGTAAGTGTTGCGCATCGGCGATTTTGGCAGAAAACGTGTTTACCACGAGAATAGGAAACTGCGAGAATAGGAGACGGACCTATACATGATTAAGTGGAATATTCAGGCAAGGTTCAACATTTAATCCACTGGAAGTAAAAGCTGTGATCAATATAACGGGCCCAATATAACAATGCTCTTCCCTGCTTTTATCATGTTTATAATCAGACATTTACAAATCACTGGTATTAATACCAGACTATATGTTTTCAGACATCACATTTTCGAAGGGCAGTCTATGTTCACGCTGTAAAGAAGTGTATTCTGTTACACAATCATTGTAAATCACTGGTTTGTTTTCAAGATATAGTTGCATTCTGCAGTGTTCGCGAATAGTGTCTGACCCTCTGACAAATCCGGCAGATTCGCCAATGGTCGGATAGAAGTCTACAACCCACCGGCCCCAGTGTCCGACTGTATATTTCACAATGACTTTGACTGAAGTTGTTATATGTGACATGTGACACTTGTTTGCTGTTTATTTTATCTTAATTTTTCTCATGTTTGTTAATAATTTCAATGCCAATTATAAGAAATGTTAAATCTGAAATGTTTGTTTAATTTTATTCCATGGGTCCTGTGAATTTTCAATGGGTCAGACAGACATCTTAAACTTACAGGACCCAATGTCCTGTTACTTTGAAACACCATTCGTGATCACTGCATTCTATAACATGTATCAATTAATGAGGTGTCTAACAGTTGTTCTAGTCTGTCTCCAAGACACAAGAGACTACATTAAATAGGTGTCCTATGCAAGTCAAGAATGATTTTGCAAGTCTAGATTGCCTCAGGAATTAACAATTGTTATGGGCTCCCTTTGGATTTCTTTTGTAGATAAATATTTTTTCTGTGTTTAAATAAGATAACCATATTTCTGGGACTAAATGTCGGTCTACAGTTCATGTGATAAGCGAGACAGCAATGAATGTTCTTAAGGATCTGAAAACCCATGACGATTATTCTCCTGTGTGGAATTTAATATATTTTGGGTGAGGCTTGGTGACAAGGTATGAGGTATGTGAACATGCCCTGATGCTGTGAAATGTTGCTCATTTAATCAATAATTACTTCATTTTACCCAGACTTGATTATTAATGGGCCTCTGTCGAATCATGAAACAGCTGGAATATTGCTGACCACAGTAAACAAATCAAACTCTTCGCATCAGGACATTAACATGGAGGCTTGATCCTTGCTTTCATATGTGGAATGACTAGACCGACAACGGTCAATTTGTAATTTGCGCAGCAGACCTGATTATTAATGGGCCTATGTCGAATCATGAAACAGCTGGAATATTGCTGACCACAGTAAACAAATCAAACCCTTTGCATTAGGACATTAACATGGAGGCTTGATCCTTGCTTTCATATGTGGAATGACTAGACCGACAACGGTCAATTCGTAATTTGCGCAGCAGAGTTGTAACATTCCATGACTGTTTGATGATACTCCTTATGACAGTGCAAGCATAGTGGTGTTTGGTAATTAATTATGCATCAATACATATAATTTAATTATGTGCAGAGCTCCAGATAAGATTTAGCTCATGTGGGTACTGTACCCACTGTATTTTTTGGGAGTGGGTATTATGAATGTTGAGTGGGTATTTCATTTTCCGTTACCCACTACTTTCAAATATGTGCATATTTCAGTCAAGTATTACGTCATTGAGTAAGTTTATTAAGCAGGTATATTCTGCCTTGTGTCATACCTAATCAAAAACAACTTAAATATAATGGAAATGATTTCATAAAAAATCACTCATCCTATACTGACAGTACAACACTTGTCCTATACTAACAGTACAACTTGATAGCAATCGGTGTCTTTTTCATTACGCAAGCGATTTTTATCAATATATTCTGTACGCATTTGTTTGAAACTTTTTGCGTATCTAACATTTTAAATGCGTAATTGGTACGCAACAATTATTTTTCAATGCGTAATTCTATGCATATTTTACCCGTATACGCAGCTTATCTGGGCCTCTGTATGTGTCAATGCAAAACCAGAACAAATAGGTGAGGTGTAGCCCGTAGCTAGCAAAAACCCAGCCGGGCCTGTAAATCTCCAGTCACTGGCCCGACTGGCTAGTGAATTTTCATGGGGTCATTTTTAAATACATCACCCTCTCCGACTTGTTAAGTTATAATACACTTTTGAATCATACAAGATTATGGCCTTGTAAATGATGGTATTTTACATTTTTGTAATTTTTGTGTTTAGTTTCTACATTCAAATTAGTGAATTATTTTGTGGGCTAGTAACTTTTAGGCATAGCTAGCTTGACTGTAATTTGGAAACTATTTTGCACACTGCTTGGTAAGCATGTTGAGATAAGATCAGAATGTTTTTCTACTTTTTGATGGTACAGTTTGTAATGAAAACGCTCATAACAAACTATAAGTTTAGTCCCACTAACTGTATAGTTTAGTCGAAAATGAATTACAGTTATAAGAAACTAAAATGAGTACTCCCTTTGAGTTTTCCGTCATGGTTGTGACTGTACAGTACAGTACGTGGTATAAATATTACAATTGTTCTCAACCAGATGGTGGATTTACTGGTTTCATTATCTGCATCATTATCATATTAAATAGACATTTATTAAACAGTCGTTTCCTTCGTTACTATATTCAGGCAAAATGTATTGAATAGGGGTTACCATGGTTACAGTAATTCACCTGGCCCTTTAATTTACTGATAACAATATTTCAGAGTCATGGCTGCTGGAGCAGAATTGACTCACCCAACCTCTTCCAGTTGTTGATTGCCATGATGATCGTTATGAGATCCTGTTTTCTTGGGCTGTAACGATTCGGTTCGATTCATCGAAAATCGAATCTCACCCCAACTCGATTTGTTTCAAGCTCTGAAATAAGGCGAAACGTGACTGGTTGACTCTGGGCTAATTATCCAATGAGAATTGTTGTTAGTAGACATCGCGAAGTTCACAGTGGATTTCACGCTAAAAAAGCTGACTCTGAGAGTGAAATGAATCTGATGTTTTACTTGTATGAAGAATCGAATTGAAAATGATTGAATCGAGGGTCTAATATCGAAAATCGAATCAAATCGAGGTCTGGGTGAATCGTTGCAGTTGTTTTCTATTCATCCCATAATGTCTCTGTGGTGTAGTATATAGGTCATGTGAATGGTAAATGGAAAGTCTGTTTGACCATTTGGCTGTGTCATAACAAAAGTCATTAAGATGGTACATTTTTACCCATGAAGATACGGGATAGACTTGGTCTTCAGCAGCCCATGCTTGTCGTAAGAGGCGACTAATAGGATCGGGTGGTCAGGCTCGTTGACTTGGTTGACACGTCATTGTATCCCAATTGCATAGATTGATTCTCATGCTGTTGATCACTGGATTGTGTGGTCCAGACTCGATTATATACAGATAGCCGCTGGAATATTGCTGAGTGTGGTGTTAAAAATCAATCAATCAATCATGCTTTTTGTTTCTGTGCCTGGTGGACTGGTCAGCTCAGGGTCAGTATCCTTAGGGTGAAACAGTACAAAATGTGTTATCATGCAACGCTTCAGAATTCATTTTTTACCGTATTGATAGAGGACAGTACACTGGTTAAAATGTTTACTCCTTGTCTAAGCTAGCTACTTCCAGCTCTGAAATATTCAGAGGCAAAAGGTTTCTAGGCAATTCAAACTATGTGTATTATGACCTATGTATCATTCTACGTATCATATCCTGACTTAAATGTATCGTTTTAGCCCTGTAGTGTCCTCTATTTGTGTAGCGTACCAATGTTAAACATCTGGCATTAGTCTCAACCAGTAGAAGTAGCCACACAGGAGAGCTTACTTTTTGCAATATGACTGTGAGAGAACTATTCCTGAATATGATTTTGAAACCTCTTTCACTTCATCTTTTCATCTTAAATGTTGATTGTCATTTCCAGGTCGCAGCGATGCCTTTGTCTCCATGCCAACGGGAGCTGGGAAATCCCTCTGTTACCAGCTTCCTGCAGTTATCGCAGATGGGGTTTCACTGATTGTCTCCCCTTTGATAGCTCTCATGCAGGATCAGCTTGACCATCTGCAGTCGATCAAAGTCGTGGCCAACACACTCAACTCCAAAATGACCGTGAAAGAACGCAGCCGAGTGCTAGCTGATCTGCACTCCACGAAACCAAAGATAAAACTGCTCTACATTACACCCGAACAGGCTGCAACGGATCACTTCAAGTCTCTGGTTGAATCTCTGGCCAACCGCAATCTGATTGGCTATTTTGTTGTTGATGAAGCTCACTGTGTCTCACAGTGGGGCCATGACTTTCGTCCATGATTACCTCAAGCTCGGAACCCTTCGCTACAAGATGCCCACTGTGTCTTGTCTTGCATTGACAGCAACAGCTACAGGTCAGGTTGTGGAGGACATCATGAAGCAGTTGAAGATGAAGAAGAATGTGCTTAAGTTTAAGTCAAGTAGTTTTAGAGAGAATCTGTTTTATGAGATATGTCTGAAAGAAATTTTGCCAGACCCTTATGAAGATCTTGCTGTTTTTGTGAGGAAACACCTGGGATATGATCCAGATACTGAAGAGAAAGTGGAAGACTGGGTAGGTTGATAATGAATTAGTTGTGAGTTAGTTAAGCACTGCTTTAAACAGTTTGTCAGTTGTATCGATTCCCCACATGGGTACAAAATGTGAAGCCCATTTCTGGTGTACTCTGCCTTGATGTGGCTGGAATATTGCTAAAAGCAGCGTAAAACCTAACTCACTCTCACTCACTCACTCACTCACTCACTCACTCACTCACTCACTCACTCACTCACTGATGTAGTCACTCACTCACTCACTCACTCACTCACTCACTCACTCACTCACTCACTCACTCACTCACTGATGTAGTCAATCACTAAATTGTCTATTAGACTTTATTAGTAATAGACTTCTGCCATATAGATGGAATATGGAAGAGAGGGACATTAATGAACAAAGAAATAAAATGTCGAACTTTTGTTTCAGACTGACTTTGGATGTGGGATCGTCTACAGTCGTACGAGGAATGGATGTGAAGAGATTGCGTATCAGCTGTCTCGTAAGGGTATTCCAACCAAGGCATACCACGCGGGTCTGAAGCAGTCAGAGAGGGAGACGGTGCAGACTGACTGGATGGAGGGCAGGGTGCCTGTTATTGTCGCCACCATCAGCTTCGGGATGGGTGTCGATAAAAGAAATGTCAGGTCAGTCTTCAAGGATATAGGGCGGTGTGGTAGCCTAGTGGTTAAGCATTTGCTCGTTATGCCGAAGACACAGGTTCGATTCCCCACATGGGTACAACGTGTGAAGCCCATTTCTGGTGTCCCTCACTGTGATATTGCTGGATACCATACTCACTCACCCCACATTGATGAATGGGGGGTGAAGTCCGGCTGGCATCTTATCTACATGATCTACATGCATTTTTTCTGAATACGATGGGTGCACTTAACAGTTATGATTCCTAGGCTCCAAGCAAGTGTCGTTAAATATGCCTGCTGTTTGAACTCAGTCCCCCATGCCAATTCTAAGTGTTGCTTCAGTTATATGTGAACGTGGTGTGTTGATTCAGGTTTGTTGCTCACTGGACGTTACCCACCTCCATGGCTGGCTACTACCAGGAATCTGGCCGTGCAGGGAGAGACGGCAAGCCGTCTGTGTGTCGGCTGTACTACTCACGAGAAGAGAGGGATAGAGTGGCCTTCCTTATCCGGACAGATACTAATAGACAATCTGTAAGTTTGAGTTGGGGTGAAAATTCAGGATTAGATTGGGTCCCAAGAGCTCATAACAGGGGTAACAAAATCGATTGTGTAATCATTGTACCTCAGCTGCATAGATTGGTGCTCAGAATATTGATCACTGTTTTTTCTGGTCAAAACTCCTTCGTACAGTTTGCTGAAATATATAAGACGGGAATATTACTGACCGGCAGTGAACAGTAAGCAAACAAAGCTTGAAGCATGAAGTCAATTTAAAACTCAGTCATTCTGCTTATTTGTATTTCCTTAGTAGTTTGTTTGCCTTGTTTTGATGTAAGGGTGGTGGTCTTTGGTGAGTAAACATTGATCTACCAGATTGGGATATAATAGCATGTGTAGATGCAATAAACCTGTGTAGATAGAGTTAGAATTGGTTTTCAGCAACCCATGCTTGTCATAAGAGGCGACTGATGATATTGAGTGGTCAGACTTGCTGACTTGGTTGACACATGTCATTGTATCCCATTTGCATAGATTGATGTTCATGCTGTTGATCACTGGATTGTCTGGTCCAGACTCTCTTCACAGACTGCCACCATATAGCTGGAATATTGCTGAATGTGGTGTTAAACAACAAACAAACAAAACAACAAACAAACATAGTGATTAAATCTTTGGCTCATCATGTTGAGATGGCAACAATGTTTACCATACTACTCATTGTTCAGAGGTCCAGATAAGATTTAGCTCATGTGGGTACTGTACCCACTGTATTTGTTTGGAGTGGGTATTATGAATGTTGAGTTGGTATTTCATTTTCCGCTACCCACTGCTTTCAAATATGTGCGTATTTCAGTCATTTTACTCACCTAAGTATTGTGTTATTGAGTAAGTTTACTAAGCAGGTATGTTCTGCCTTATGTCATACCTCATCAAAACCAACTTAAATATATTTGAAATGATTTCATCAAAAATACCTCATCCTATACTGACAGTACAACACTTGTCCTATACTAACAGTACAACTTGATAGCAGTCGATGTCTTTTTCATAACGCAAGCGATTTTTACAAATATATTCAGTACACATTTGTTTCAAACTCTTTGCGTATCTAACATTTTAAATGCGTAATTGGTACGCAACAATTATTTTTCAATGTGTAATTGGAAATTTTCAATGCGTATTTTACCTCGGATATGCAGCTTATCTGGGCCTCTGATTGTTCAATTGAAATTCTACTACTTAATTAGCACGGTGTCCTTGAACGCTTTGTTCACTTCAGAGAAAGAAAGACACAGCTGTACTGCGAGCTAAGTCTGCCAATGCTGGGTTTGATGCGCTGGTCAGGTTTGCTGAGGAACTGAAGTAAGTCATGGCTCTACTAAAGCTTAATTATTCTGTTTTATTAATAGAGGATACTAAACGACCTTACGTGTAATACCATTTTTATTACCGAGTTAATGATTTGGTATCAAACGAGTGAAAGCTTCAAATGAAATTTAGAGACTATCAATTCGGTCTAACATTCATCTAATTTCCAAACACAGTACGTTTATCTCCTAAATCTTTCACGAGTTTAATACAAATGGTATTTCACGGAAGCGAGTTTAGTATTCTGTTTAATACTCTCCCACATAAATTATTGAAATTGCATACTACCAGTGTGCTGACTCTCAGCTTTCCACGAGTCAACCAAGGTCTAATACCATTGTGACAAAAGCATTAGCATTGTGACGTCATAACTGTAACCATTATGACGTCATACGTCTAGCGGTATTACACTAGTGTAATATTGCTGTAAAAATATTACACTGTAGAATCTTCCATGGGCGAGTAATAAATGTATTTATATTTGTTTGAGAGTAAAATATTTTGTCATGTCTACTTTGATGTCTGGATTTCAATTTTTTCTTTTATGACATTGATGAGCAGTGACATAGTCTAGTGGTTAAAACGTTTGCTTGCCATGCCAAAGGTCTGGGTTTGAATGCCTACATGGGTACTGTGTGCAGCCCATTTATGGCCTCCCCCACTTTGACATTTTGGAATATTGCTAAAAGCGACATAAAGACATACTCATTCACTCACTTTCTGTGAGTGATAGTCATTCATGCTTTGTTGTAGAATAGAAACCACAGCAATTAGGTTATTGTAAATTGTTTCTATAATAAGATGTTTAACTTATTTTTTATCATGTATTTGTTCAATGATTTTTTTAACAATGTAAAATTTAATGTTTACTTTCTTGTAACTAATCTCAGATTAACTCTAATCCCATTTCACCTCCTTAAATATTGGCATGTTGCTAAGAAGATCCTAAAAACATGAGTTGACCTGAAGTTATTCTTCAGCATCCTTGACTATTGCAGATGTCGACATGCAAGTATTGCAGCGTACTTTGAAGATGAGAAACCTCAATGTGATGGGTGCTGTGATGTGTGCAGTGACCCCAAGTTGGTGGAACTGACCATGCTCAATCTTCAGCGAGGGACCTACGCCAGTGTCAACAAGGTTGCTGGAAAAGGTGGCATCTTCTTCATGGATGAAGGCAACACTGATATGTACGGAGGAGGCAGAAGAGGAGCTAAGAAGTAAGTGAAAGGAAATCTAAAAATGACTCCAGAATCATGGGTGAACCAGGTATCTTGCAGCTTCAGCTAGGTGAGATTGAATCCTTGTTTCCCCAAAAGTATAACAAACACAAGCAGCAAAGCCTTGATTCATGTACATGTAGCAGCCATAAAATTTCCGAGTCCCGTGCTGGGATTCGAACCACAGACCTGATCCAAAGTAGGATGCCTTGTCCACATGACCAAAGAGGTTAGCCCCATCAGCAAGCTGACAAGGTAACGATGTCATCTGTGGGATGACTCCACGTCCTTTCCAACTACTTGAAGTCAAAGTCATCTTGTTTGAAGATATGTGAGAATGTGTTGGTAAATATATACTGGATAATCTTAAGAATTACCTCCCTTCACTCCCAAACATTTCTTCTGAAAAGAACGATGTGCTGGTAGGCATATGATCGTGAGAAATATGTAAGACTCTGGAATGTTGAAGGTAAAACTGGGTCCTCATTATCATCAATAGTATATGTAACATTCACTAATATATGTAACCCAATAACTCTCTATATTTCTTATGGTCTGTGTGTTCAGAGAGTCGGATGATTACGCCCGTGGCTTCAGTGATGAAGAAGGTCCGGATAAAGAGGCGCAGGAACTGAAAGAGAAGCAGCAGCGGACACGAATGATCATGAAAGAGTTTAAAAAGCGTGACGAGGGGTGAGAGGAAATCAGTGTGAATGAGAGTCTATTGTTGATCAGAATGAAAACCAGTGTTGCTGAGTATGACGTTGCCAATATGAAAAACATTGTTGCCAAATGTAAAAGCCATTATATTTTTCCTTATCCCGACTCATGCTGTATGCTTATCTCCCTTTTTCCTTTGAAAAGTAGTGGAAACGTGAATCCCTTTGCTCCCTGAAGCAAGCGTAAAATCACTCACCCACTCAGGTTACCTCCCTTATTCTTTCCCGCCACTGGTTCCCACGTGACCGGCACAGAGATATGCTCTTGTCACTTTCTCCTTCATCACCCTAGCGGACGGTTTAGCGGATACTTCGGGTCCCTTTTACGGCCTCATATCCTTTTTATATTTAGGCCTCTATCAGAATTTATGCTGTAGATTGTATATTTAGACATTCTACTATATGTACGATCTATTTATTCATGTAAATTATTGTTTGAAATTTGATTTTACTCCGGTATCAGGTGACTGATTATGTATGCCTGCATGTCAACAATGTAGAGTGCGTACTACAGCGCCTGACCCTCACCCTGTCTGCAATCCTTGTCATTCTACTTCGTGTTCATTACTTTCAAGTTGTATATATTGCACAAATTTGTCCACAGTTGAATTTCATTAATTTTTGTTATCTTGTTTACGCAAGAAGTTAGACAAGGTACGGCATGATAACAAAAGCTATGCTGAGAGGGTTGGTTCTCAGTCATCAAATTGTGAGTTGCTTCCTTTACTACCTATTAGTAAAAGTCATAATATGTCATCTGTCAATACATTTACTAATGTTCATGTTCATGGCCGGATGTAGATACTAAACCCTTACTACGTAAACCATGGGCAGCTTCTACCTTATTTGATGGGGGAGTCAGACAGATGTCAAGCAAGGTATCTCAAGACTCCAAGGATCAGATGATAATTAAATCTATGCAGACCATGACTAAAACCGCAACCAGTTCCGATCCAGATTTACAGGCATCCAAAAGGCCATGGAAAAGAAATACCCAGCAGCTAGAGGTGGTAAGTCATTTCCTTTTTGTCGTCCATCTGAAAACTCCAGAAGTTCCGGCAGAGGTCATTCCTATGGATACTCCCGATCAATGCGCTGAGATCAGGTTCGGAACGATCTGTTGCTCTACCCCCAATCGTTCCCGTACAACCGTCAACAGTGGGTGGACGTCTGGGCAGCTACTGGGAGAATTCTAGGAGACGATTACGTCATGGAAGTTCTACGAGAAGGGATACAAGATTCAGCTCAAGGCAATGCCTCCACTTATTATCAACCCATAGATACATCATTATCCTGAGTCTCAACGCAGCAAACTGACTGAGGCCATTGACTCTTTACTAATAAAGAATGCTGTGGAAATCTTAGATCAACAGTTCAACATATCTCACCGCTCTCCAGTGATAAATCTACAATTTTAGTGTGTGAGTCCAGGGACTCACTCTGTTGAAAAGTAATGAGTCCTTTTGAAATTTTCGTGAGTCCCTCAAACTTTAGAAGAAGAAAGGGTCATCTATAGTCAAAACCAAGCAGGCTTTTCCACTTGCTTGTCAGTGAACTTCATTTATCAGAATTTCGTTGTTAAAAAGGACTTGAAACAATTTTAAAGCATTGTAATTAATCAGGAAGTAAGAAAACAACATTACATATTGGTTTGAGTGAACGAACAAGAGAGGGCGTGAGTGACTTTGTCAGTAAAGACAGTAAATTTGCAATTAAACATCACTAGACAAGATTGTTTACCATTTCTAATCTGTTTTTGCTTTGCATTGTATTATATGCAGGGATTAAGAAGATAACCATGTGTATTTGTCTCGTATACAGAGCCGGAAATAGCAGTCAACTGACTGACTGACTGAGTTTGGTTTTACGCCGCTTTTAGCAATATTCCAGCAACATCACGGCGGGGGACACCAGAAATGGGCTTCACACATTGTACCCATGTGGGGATTCGAACCCGGGTCTTCGGTGACGAGAGCCAACGCTTTAACCATTAGGCTACCCCACCGCCCCAGATCATATATAAAGTAGAATGCAAAATATACACTCTACAGCATAAATTTGGATAGAGGCCTAAATATAAAAAAGATATGAGGCCGTAAAAGGGACCCGAAGTATCCGCTAAACCGTCTGCTAGGGTGATGAAGGAGAAAGTGATAAGAGCATACCTCTGTGCGGTCACGTGGGACACAGTGGCGGGAAAGTATAAGGGAAGTAACCTGAGTGGGTGAGTGATGTTACGCTTGCTTCAGGGAGCAAAGGGATTCACGTTTCCACTACTGTTTAAAGGAAAAAGGGAGATAAGCATACAGCATGAGTCGGGATAAGTATAAAATATCAATTTTATCATAAAAATTACATTATCATCAGCAGGTTATGGACAACCCGCTAGCGTTCGCGAATGCTACCTCATCACCGATGTCATCCAGCCAGGTTCGCAGACCTCGTCATCAGCCTTCTGTGCATGAGCCACGTCCGTCTACAGGGTTCGCGAACCCTCCACCTGAGGTTGTCCCAATGATAGAAGAAGAGGTTCAAAAGGATTCAGACTCCTTTATTTACAATGATGCGGAGGTAGTAGCCTGGATTGCAGATCGTTTACCTATATCCTCGCCTACCCGGGACTCCAACCCAGCAGATACATACTGCATACAGGATGACGACTTCGAATCCATTACCATACCGCCGATTAAACCGATATCTCAGGTCCCAGAGAATCTAAACGCAGCATTTGCCAAAGCTACTAAGAATCAAGGGCTACATATACCAGAGTTTAATGCTCGGAAATTCTCAGTACATAATATGGAACCTTTCCTTCGGGCGCAGGAGATTGATGAGGACTTTTCTCTGATCAGCGACTCCAAGTCACACAGTTATCAAGTTGAGGATCGCAGGTTAGCTCAGATAGACACTACTACCAGGAGGGCTTTCTTTGGGCTAGCAAGGTCACGGGCAATCAACGAGGCGATGATTAAAACGTTCAAGAACCCACAGTCGGAAGAAGAACGGATGGTTTTGTCAGCGCTTATAACTCAAAAAAAAGATCAAGAATTTATCTCAGATCACCTGGCTTCTACTTCAGCTGGGATTACTCTTCTACGTCGTCAAGGTCTCCTATCAGCCTGTTCATGGCCGGATATATATACTATACCCTTACTACGTAAACCATGGACAGCTCCTACCTTATTTGATGGTGGAATCAGACAGATGTCAAGAGAGGTATCTCAAGACTCCAAGGATCAGATGACAACTAAATCTATGCAGACCATGACTAACACTAATCGTCAGTTGTCACACTGCAACCAGTTCCGGTCGAGATTTGCAGGCATCCAAAAGGCCATGGAAAAGAAATACTCCGCAGCTATTCGTCGTCCATCTGAAAACTCCAGAAGAAGTTCCGGCAGAGGGCATTCCTATGGATACTCCCGATCAACGCGGTGCTGAAGAACAGGTTCGAAACGATGGATTTGCCCTATCCCCCAATTGTTCCCGTACAACCGTCAACTGCCCCAGCTACTGGGAGAATTGGAGAATTTTAGGAGACGATTACGTCATGGAAGTTCTACGAGAGGGATACTAGATTCAGTTCAAGGCAACGCCTCAGCTTATTATCAACCTATAGATACATCATTATCCTGAGTCTCAACGCAGCAAACGGACTGAGGCCAACTACTCTTTACTAATAAAGAACACTGTAGAAATCTTAGATCAACACAACCTCTTACCGTTTTTTTTGCTCCAATCTTCCTAGTACCAAAAAAGAACTCTAAGGAGAAGTTCCGCCTCATCCACATCATGAAGCGTTTCAACCTTGACTATCTACTAAAACCAGACAAGTTCAAGATGTTCCACTTACCACAGTTGCGACATCTAATCAGACCCAATGATTATCTAGCCAGCATAGATCTTCAAGACACCTATACAGGGGTGGAAATAACTTTAGAATTGCTAGTGTACTCTGGTACAGTGGCAAATGTGAAATCACTTGCCCTGATATATTTTCCACAATACCGGCCGTTTTCTTGTTGATTTTTAAAAACACAAACATAATTAACATTGGAAAGTCAACTGGACATATACGAGTGTGATATACGAATATGCTTGCCCGACAGAACAAAACACTGGACTCGGACGCCGGGCAATGGGTTATTTCCACCCCTGCTATATGTACATCCCCATACATCCGGACTCGAGGAAATATCTATGGTTCCTATACCAAGGACAATATTACCAGTGGAAGGTCCTCCCCTTTGGAATTTCTTCGGCCCCGTGGCTATTTACACGTGTGATAAAACCCATAGTGGCGTTTTTACACCAGCGAGGATTCCTTAGTGCCTTCTCTACCTAGACAACGGCATACAGTCGCATCAACTTGCAGAGCAACTCAGAAGTCAACTAGACTTTACAATCCAGTTACTAACTCAACTCGGCTGGTTAGTCAAACAGATGAAATCAAAACTACAAACATCACAAGAGCTGCAATTCCTCAGAATCAAGTTTCTCACCACAAAGAACCGCATCATGGTCCCATAGGATTGGTGAACAAACATACAGGTTTGTCTTCTCACCACTATGAATGAACCTCTACCGATAAGAGAATGGTAGAAACTGTTGGGCCTTCTCACGCCAGCACAGTCTCTAACAGCCTGCAAACGATATCCATCCTTCAACATCTGAAGGAATATCTACTTTGGTGGACAAACAAGTCGAATGTTTGCAATGGGACTTATTTGCAAGAGCAAGCTTACAGTCTACACATCCGCAAGTAGCGGAATATCTGTGCCATTTGAGAGCAACTAGACATTTGAAAGGATCTACACTGCTTGCATGCACTCGACTTTGGACCAACGAGATTCGACATAGGAGAACATGCTGCAGTCCACCTGGGATTAACATGGGATTTTATAGCTAAGAATCAACTGCCGGATCATCAAATCCACGTACCAGCATTGTCATCAGTACTAGGACAACAAGATACAGAGGACTTGTCCCTATGCCCAGTCAGAGCTTTTAAGATCTACTTACAACGGACTGCTACAAAAAGGAGGAAGTTTAAATGTCTCTTTATTCCACTATCACCCACCACGACTATTGAAGTCTCTCAAACCACTATCTCATTTTGGATCAGAGCTGTCATTCTACGAGCTTACAAAGCATCAGGACTGGCTTCACCTAGATCGTCTAATCCTCATGAAGTTAGAGCATTAGCATCGACTCTCGCACTACTTGGAAATTGCTCATTATCATCCATTATGGAAGCTGCTTTTGGAAATCAGACATGGTGTATGCTAATCATTAGTAGTTATATCAGGCATTTACCAGTTCGGCCCACTTGTAGTTGCAACTCACGATTCCAGCCAGACATGCTATTGATACAGGAAAATTAAGTTTTCTCCTGTAACATATGTTATATTTGGGATAGCACTTTCTCAGTAAAGTACAGATTCTAGTACTTTTGGGGGGTTGAGTCCCATCCGGATTCAAACCCCCACCCTCAGAGTCAGGCACCTAATCACCAGCACACAAAGTCAGACGCCTAGACTGCTCAGCCATCGCGGCGTCCACATAAAAATGGAAGTCGGACAACTGGTAGTCTAGACTGCGGACTTTGTGTGCCCCTCAGTTGGAGGGCTCTAGATCATGAGTCAAGATAAGTATAAAATATCAATTTCATCATAAAAATTACATGTTACTCGGTTTGAATACCATTACTGCAGCGGTGCTGAGTAGGAGAAAACTTACATATTTGGGATTACACTTTCTCAGTAAAGTACAGATTCTAGTACTTTTTGGGGGTTGAGTCCCATCCGGGGTTGAGTCCCTTCTGAGGGTGTGGGTTCGAATCACGGATGGGACTCAACCCCAAAAAAGTACTAGAATCTGTACTTTACTGAGAAAGTGTAATCCCAAATATAACATATGTTACATTTGACCACTTTCTAAAATGGTATTGTGTAAGTTTTCTCCTACTCAGCAGTAATGGTATTCAAACCGAGTAACATGTAATTTTTATGATGAAATTGATATTTTATACTTATCGTGACTCATGATCTAGAGCCCTCCAACTGTCCCCTCTCACCATTACAGGCTCCACTGTAAGTCATAATGTGGGCTTATTTCGGTGAGAGTGATGAGAGCTAGGCCCAGATCAAGTGGGACCGTTTTAGCGGGGAAAGGGAGGTTACTCGTGGGTGAGTGATATTACGATCGCTTCAGGGAACTGAAAGGGATTCAAGTTTCCACTTAACCGTCGAAAGGTGAAGGGAGAGAAGCAATAAGCATGAGTCAGGATAAGTATAAAATATCAATTTTGTCATAAAAATGACATGTTACTCGGTTTGAATACCATTATTGCGGAGTAGGAGAAACTTTTCATGTATGAATAGCGTTGTTTGTAAATGCACTATATCACAAGACACTTCTCTAAAAATAAATAATGCATTTCTCACAAAAATACTAATGATCAGTCCTCAGGGAAGCAAACATATAATTAATTACTAAAAAATTAAGTATTTAGATTACAATGTCAAATTAAAAAGTTTGAATGAATTAATGCAAGGTTGTATTAAATTGACACTGGCAGCCTCTACCAGATGAACATTATTTCAAGCGAACCCCATAGAGTTATGTCCCTTGGAGCGCTCTTTATGAATATCCTACGCACAACTTGTGATTGAAACCAGTTCAACAAACACCAACAACACTGCATGCTACAGTTTTCAATGTACGGAGCGACTGTTTACATTCCATATATGACAAGTGTTATCTGTTTGAACGCTGTTCGCCTCGAACCCTCACCCTAACCCTGACCCTAAGGCCAAATAAAAAAAATGTAATGGTTCCGATTACACCTCTTTTAAATTTAGGGTAGGTAGGTAGGATTTTTTTTTTTTAACATATTTTTTAGAAGTAACGTACAAACTAAGAACACATTTATCAATGTGTAATTGTTTTTTCAATCAAGCTTGCTGTCATCATATTGACTTTCTCTATCAGAATGACCGATGTCTGTTGGTGCCGGGAAAAAACAATGGTGTCTGAAAGCTTATTTTATTCAATCCGCTTAAAAAAAATAGGGTCAGCACCAGAATTCTAGGGTCGGTCGGGTAATCAGAACCACAACATTTTTTTTTTAGGCCTAACCAGGGTTGTTGCACAGTATGAAAACATTGTGGCTCAATATCATTGTTGAGAGTGAATAATGTTATTGCCTTGTTTGAGTACCATTGTTTCTGAATCACGATAACATTATGGTGCATAGTTTTTGAGTTTGACTAACATTATTGCCTAGTTTGCATACCATTGTTGTCAACTACATTTGTTACAGACCACAAATACTGCTATATCTTAGTTTAAATACCATTGTTGCAGAGTAGGAGTACCATTATTGCTCAGGTTAACGGCATTGTTGCAGAGTATAAATAACATTATTGCTCAGTTTAACGGCATTGTTGAAGAGTATACATAACAATATTGCTCAGTTTAACGGCATTGTTGCAGAGCATAAATAACATTATTGCTCAGTTTAACGGCATTGTTACAGAGTATAAATAACATTATTGCTCAGTTTAACAGCCTTGTCGCAGAGTATGAATAACATTATTGCACAGTATGATAATATTGTGGCTGAATTTGAATACTGTTGTTGAGTATAAGTAGTATTACCATGTACGATGAATTTCATTGATGCTGAATCTACATACCATTGGTTCATAATAAGAATTTCATTGATGTGACTGATGGCAAGAATGTGTGAACTATTTCTTTTGTTGAAACAGGATGGTGAACCAAGCAGTCGTCCAGAGAATGATTTCATAGCCCCAACACTTGACTGTCCGCTCAGAGATGCAACAAGTCAAAAGATTCCAAAACTCACAGTGAAGGTTGGTTTGCACTCACCACCAAACATTTGTCGAAACTGAAGGCTTGGTTTCTGAAGTATTCTTTGTTTGTGGTGGATGTTTTGTAATAGTATTTGAGTCTTGGAACAACCTTCTTTGTCTTTTATGTTGAACTTTGTGTTAATGACAAAGATCATTTACTTTCACTCTTCATTTCATACATTGTAAATAGTGAATAGTGTTAAAAGGTTAAGAGGTCGATGACATTTAATTTTTGGAAATGATTGTTCAACATAAAATGGTTATGACATGGACATATGGGGTTCATACTTATTTCAAACAATGGTTGCAATGGACATGTTGAATGTACAAGGCTCTGTAAAATGTTTAAGTGTAAGCTAGTGATGCCCTTCTTCGTGAAGATCCAGGTTAGAATCAATCTTCAGTTACACATGCTTGTCGTGAGGGGCGACTAACGGGATCGGGTGGTCAGGCTCGCTGACTTGGTTGACACATATAATCGGTTCACAATTGCAGCAGATCGATGCTTATGCTGTTGATCACTTGATTGTCTGGTCCAGACTCGATTATTTACAGACCTCCGCCAGATAGCTGGAATATTGCTGAGTGTGGCGTAAACTCACTCACTCACACACCCTTCTTTTACATATTATTCATGGCAGCATATCACCAGTGTAACCTAACATTTTAAATAAAACTTATTAAAATGATTATGAAAAGAATTAATTTTGATAAAGCATTTAACACTTTCTGTAGAGAATTAATTCTTAATATATAAATTATAATATTACACTTGTCAGAGGGGTACTTCAAGTTTGTGGTCAGGACTACCAGTTGCCAGACTTGATTTATGTGGAGACGCAGTGGCTGAGTGGGTTAGATGGCTGACTTTCTGTGCTGGCGATTACCGTATATTACCGTCTATAAGCCAAATTTTGAGGACCAAAAAAATATGTCTGTAGAAGGGGGTCGTCTTATCTATGAGATACAATTTCACGGAAATATTTTTTGTGAATGATGAATAAAATACATATTAACCTGTACGTTTTCATTATTTCAACATATTATTACATATTAGTCATTATGACATTTATCGTACAATCAGCTGTGCACACGTTTCCCGGCGATCAAGTTCAAACATGCACAATAACATAGCGGGATGAATTCTGGCGCGTCATCAGTAAAGTATAATACAGAATACTATTATTTAACCCACAGAAACATATCCTACTATTGTGTAATTTTAATTACAGTTTTTGCTCTATAAATTAATTAAAGAATAAGATTATCGGTATTGTATTTGAGCTGGAAATAGCAATCAGCTGTGCACACGCGTTTCCTGGCGATCAAGTTCAAACATGCACAATAATATAGCGGGATGAAATCTGGCGCAGTCATCAGTAAAACATAATAAAGAGTACTAATATTTAACCCAAAGAAATATATCCTAGCATTATTAATTTGTTTTTGCACTATAAATGTAAAATATATAATCAACACTAAGGTTATATCGGACCCTCATGAGCGTGGTAAGTTGTACGCACATGGAATGGGGTAAAATAAACAGGCCATTTAAAGAACCACTCAAACATTGTTTTTGTTACTCTTTTTAACCATTACATATGAAAGATTTGTGGTAAAATATCAATTTTGTCATAAAAAGTGACATGTTACCGGTTTGAATACCATTATTGGGCGGAGTAGGAGAAACTTTTCATGTATGAATAGCTTGTTTGTAAATGCACTATATCACAAGACACTTCTCTAAAAATAAATAATGCATTTCTCACAAAAATACTAATGATCAGTCCTCAGGGAAGCAAACATATAATTAATTACTAAAAAATTAAGTATTTAGATTACAATGTCAAATTAAAAAGTTTGAATGAATTAATGCACGTTGTATTAAATTGACACTGGCAGCCTCTACCAGATGAACATTATTTCAAGCGAACCCCATAGAGTTATGTCCCTTGGAGCTCTCTTTATGAATATCCCTACGACAACTTGTGATTGAAACCAGTTCAACAAACACCAACAACACTGCATGCGACAGTTTTCAATGTAATGGAGCTTAACTGTTTACATTCCATATATGACAAGTGTTATCTGTTTGAACGCTGTTCGCCTCGAACCCTCACCCTAACCCTGACCCTAAAGCCAAATAAAAAAAATGTAATGGTTCCGATTACACCTCTTTTAAATTTAGGGTAGGTAGGTAGGATTTTTTTTTTTTAACATATTTTTTAGAAGTAACGTACAAACTAAGAACACATTTATCAATGTGTAATTGTTTTTTCAATCAAGCTTGCTGTCATCATATTGACTTTCTCTATCAGAATGACCGATGTCTGTTGGTGCGGGGAAAAACAATGGTGTCTGAAAGCTTATTTTATTCAATCCGCTTAAAAAAAATAGGTCAGCACCAGAATTCTAGGGTCGGTCGGGTAATCAGAACCACAACATTTTTTTTTTAGGCCTAACCAGGGTTGTTGCACAGTATGAAAACATTGTGGCTCAATATCATTGTTGAGAGTGAATAATGTTATTGCCTTGTTTGAGTACCATTGTTTCTGAATACGATAACATTATGGTGCATAGTTTTTGAGTTTGACTAACATTATTGCCTAGTTTGCATACCATTGTTGTCAACTACATTTGTTACAGACCACAAATACTGCTATTTCTTAGTTTAAATACCATTGTTGCAGAGTAGGAGTACCATTATTGCTCAGTTTAACGGCATTGTTGCAGAGTATAAATAACATTATTGCTCAGTTTAACGGCATTGTTGAAGAGTATACATAACAATATTGCTCAGTTTAACGGCATTGTTGCAGAGCATAAATAACATTATTGCTCAGTTTAACGGCATTGTTACAGAGTATAAATAACATTATTGCTCAGTTTAACAGCCTTGTCGCAGAGTATGAATAACATTATTGCACAGTATGATAATATTGTGGCTGAATTTGAATACTGTTGTTGAGTATAAGTAGTATTACCATGTACGATGAATTTCATTGATGCTGAATCTACATACCATTGGTTCATAATAAGAATTTCATTGATGTGACTGATGGCAAGAATGTGTGAACTATTTCTTTTGTTGAAACAGGATGGTGAACCAAGCAGTCGTCCAGAGAATGATTTCATAGCCCCAACACTTGACTGTCCGCTCAGAGATGCAACAAGTCAAAAGATTCCAAAACTCACAGTGAAGGTTGGTTTGCACTCACCACCAAACATTTGTCGAAACTGAAGGCTTGGTTTCTGAAGTATTCTTTGTTTGTGGTGGATGTTTTGTAATAGTATTTGAGTCTTGGAACAACCTTCTTTGTCTTTTATGTTGAACTTTGTGTTAATGACAAAGATCATTTACTTTCACTCTTCATTTCATACATTGTAAATAGTGAATAGTGTTAAAAGGTTAAGAGGTCGATGACATTTAATTTTTGGAAATGATTGTTCAACATAAAATGGTTATGACATGGACATATGGGGTTCATACTTATTTCAAACAATGGTTGCAATGGACATGTTGAATGTACAAGGCTCTGTAAAATGTTTAAGTGTAAGCTAGTGATGCCCTTCTTCGTGAAGATCCAGGTTAGAATCAATCTTCAGTTACACATGCTTGTCGTGAGGGGCGACTAACGGGATCGGGTGGTCAGGCTCGCTGACTTGGTTGACACATATAATCGGTTCACAATTGCGCAGATCGATGCTTATGCTGTTGATCACTTGATTGTCTGGTCCAGACTCGATTATTTACAGACCTCCTCCAGATAGCTGGAATATTGCTGAGTGTGGCGTAAACTCACTCACTCACACACCCTTCTTTTACATATTATTCATGGCAGCATATCACCAGTGTAACCTAACATTTTAAATAAAACTTATTAAAATGATTATGAAAAGAATTAATTTTGATAAAGCATTTAACACTTTCTGTAGAGAATTAATTCTTAATATATAAATTATAATATTACACTTGTCAGAGGGGTACTTCAAGTTTGTGGTCAGGACTACCAGTTGCCAGACTTGATTTATGTGGAGACGCAGTGGCTGAGTGGGTTAGATGGCTGACTTTCTGTGCTGGCGACTACCGTATATTACCGTCTATAAGCCAAATTTTGAGGACCAAAAAAATATGTCTGTAGAAGGGGGTCGTCTTATCTATGAGATACAATTTCACGGAAATATTTTTTGTGAATGATGAATAAAATACATATTAACCTGTACGCTTTCATTATTTCAACATATTATTACATATTAGTCATTATGACATTTATCGTACAATCAGCTGTGCACACGTTTCCCGGCGATCAAGTTCAAACATGCACAATAACATAGCGGGATGAATTCTGGCGCGTCATCAGTAAAGTATAATACAGAATACTATTATTTAACCCACAGAAACATATCCTACCATTGTGTAATTTTAATTACAGTTTTTGCTCTATAAATTAATTAAGAATAAGATTATCGTGTGTATTTGAGCCGGAAATAGCAATCAGCTGTGCACACGTTTCCCGGCGATCAAGTTCAAACATGCACAATAATATAACGGGATGAAATCTGACGCAGTCATCAGTAAAATATAATAAAGAGTACTATTATTTAACCCAAAGAAATATATCCTAGCATTATTAATTTGTTTTTGCACTATAAATGTAAAATATATAATCAACACTAAGGTTATACGGACCCTCATGAACGTGGTAAGTTGTACGGACATGGAATGGGGTAAAATAAACAAGCCATTTAAATTCACACATTTTTACCGATGTTACTGTAAACTAGCAGTCCATGGAAAACAAGGCGGTAATAAGCAAGCCAGTTTGTTGACATGTTATTGTCTAACTACAATATGTATAATATTTAGCGAAACAAAATATATTATCCATTTTCTGTCAACTACATTTCATTTCGATGCGTGAGTAGACGCAATATGATTGTGAATTTTTAATAATGTGGACCAAAGTTATAATTATTGGTAACCACCAGTTGTCTGTGGTCTGTGTTTGCCGCGATTAGGACCCCATCGCGGGGGGGTCGGCTTATGCACGAAACATACCATTTTGACACTGATTTTAAGGGTCAAGTTTGGGGGTCGGCTTATCTATGGGGTCGGCTTATAGACGGTAATATACGGTAGGTGCCTGACTCTGACAGTAGGGGTTCGAATCCTGGATATGACAAGAACCAGAAACCTTAATGTAACATATGTTACTTTGTTTACATTATTTTTAATTATTATTTTACTTTCAGATTCGAGAGCACTGCTTCCAGATGTTGGAAAATGCACTATATGAAAACTATATTGATTATTATGAAAATGATGCTGATCGGATCAGTGCAAGAGACTATGTGCCACGAAGTTGTGCCCTTGACCTTGAATTCCAAACATTCCAATCCAATAAAATAGCAAATGTGTACAAGGCTGGGGTTATGAGAGCTGTGTCAGAAATTAAGAAATGTACAAAAGACAAGAAAATCCACACTTCTCTGGAATCTAATACTAGGTCGAGTGCGAGTGGCAAGCCCGGATCTCCAGCCAGTAGCCCAGGAGCTGACACAACAAACCCATCTCTCCCCTCAGGAACAAAGGTGCATAAGAACATTGACACTGGAGCTTCAAGGCTTAGTGCTTCATCAGCATTCGTAACAGCATCCTCGTTACTTGCATCACGTGAACGCAATTCCGATTCTGTGCCTTCGTCAACATGTAGCCTTCCATCGGAGCATCTCATCGGAGAAAATGTGGTGGACAGTACACAGGATCCCGAGCTGCAGAAGAACATTCGGAAAAATCCCACTTACAAGAACATATTTTCGAATCAGGACAGTTGTTCATCAGGATCTGATGAAAGTGAAGCAAAGTTTGACATTGTTTGTTCCACGACTGCCATGAGGGACAAAGTGGTGCCTAAAATTACCTACTTTTTTTGAAAGCCAGTCTTTTAAGGGTAAAGAGGACGAAAGTGTCAGCAGTGTTAGTGACAGCTGGACAGTGTCGAGTGTTAGTGTCCTGGACACTGTGGGAGGTGTGAAAAAGTCTGAAATCAGCAACAAGAAGCGACATAAAGAGGTATGTTACCATGGTTACAGTTCGTATTATGTATCTACTCAGGCAGTGATGGATTTTGACACAGGTTTGACAGTATTTTGGTGTTATTGTTTGTTTGTTGTAAAATAATTGACTCTGGATCAGACAATCCAGTGATCAACAGCATGAGCATCGATCTACACATTTGGGTGGGATACGTTGACATGCATCAAACAAGTCAGCAAGTATGACCCTCCGATCCTGCTAGTCTCGTTTTACAACAGTTTGCTGAAGACCAATTATCACCCAGATCTTCGTATTTAGGTATTACCATGGCAAGGTAAATCTGAGGTGAGGATGTAAGATCAAATTGTCATATAATTTCTATTCCTGAATGGTTTCATATACCCGACTGTCATCTCAGTAAACTGTCCATCTGGAAGACATTAACGGGGTAAATGTATGGATGGTTTTGGAGGTGATCTTCTCGAAACGGGTAATACAAAAATTTGCATTCATAATTATTTGAATTGGTCATATTTCATTCACTCACATCAACATTATTAATAGTAATACAATAGTAAGGTCCCCACACTTCCTGTTTTATGGGTAATGGTAATAGAGATTACTATAGTCTGTTTGCAGTGAAAACGTACCGATGAATTTCACTTTAAACCAAAAAATAAATCAAATAAAGTGAAATTAAGATATCAAATCCTCATAATTTTACCTTGCCAATTGAAAATTTAAATCTCAGAATTTTATTCAACTTAAGATAAAAGTTGTTTAACAAACGATCATGGTTTCATATCAGCCATTATTGGTTTGTATTACAGGGGTGACATTGAAACACCGAGAACAGGTAGGGCTGGTCTAAAACCTGCCACAAAGCCTGTGCATTTGTTTCACTGTTCCAACTACTGCGCTTATCCCCTTGTAATACAAACCAATAACTAGTGATTCAATCTATGATCGTCTGTTAAACAACTTTTATCCAAAGTTGAATAAAATTCTGAGATTTATATGTGTAATTGGCAAGGTAAAATTATGAGGATTCGCAATCTTAATTTCCAAGGGCTATTTACATTACTTTTTTGTTTAAAGTGAAATTCATCGGTAAGTTTTCACTGCAAACAGACTATACATGATCACACCTTCTTATAAAATCTATGCATATTTTGCCTGTTCCTGTGACTTCTGTGGTACATTGCCATGTTTTATACATAGTGTAACGGTAATGTGTGACTTTCTCTGACTTCATCCGACTTCCTCTGACTTAGTAGAGGTTGTGGGTTAGACTAGTAGTTAAAGCGTTTGCTCGACATGTCGAAGACCCGGGTTCAATTCCCCACATGGGTACAATGTGTGAAGCCCATTTCTGGTGTCCCCCGCTGTGATATTGATGGAATATTGCTAAAAGCGGCGTAAAACTAAACTCACTCACTCACTCTGACTTAGTGCTTACTGCTCATACCTTCTGATTAACCTAGTGCAACCCTTCACCATGTTGACTAAGAAATTTCAGACATATCTGTGGATTATCAAGGCAATGATGATGATGCAAACTAGATAAGATAAATTAGATTCATTAAACACTCTGAAGCCATGAAGTTTCGACACATTTAGATAAATCTAATTCTTGTCAGTTAACAAATGTAACACATGCTGCAAATGAGTCTCGTAGGCATGAGAAACGATAATCAGGAAAGTAGTCTGTTATGATCTGTCCTTAGGTCATCAACATGGAGTAGCCAATCATGAACCTGGGATTTAATCTCACATGTTTGATCCCCGTTTTCTCAGATGGTTGTGTTTAATAGTGTTTAATACAAAGCTCTCCCTTTTCACTCCAGTATGGCTTGATGTGCTCTTTTAGTTATTGCTGATAAAGTTTAAGACTTTCAGAAGCATCACTCATCTTCACATGATCCAGGGGTGGAAATAACTCTAATATTGCTAGTGTACTCCGGTACAGCATTCTCTTCCACAGAGGTTACTTGTCATATCTTCCTCTGTTCTTCCCTTCTAATAATCGGCCATATTTCCGGTTCTCGTGAAAATCCCCTAGCGGCAAAAAGATCGCAACACGAATTATCTCCCTTCTTTCTATCCAATCAGAACACGTGTTACATCGAATTAGATTCAACTTGACTAACACAAGCAAATGTGGGGCCACAAATATCCCCATCTGCCGGGACTTGTGTTGATGTTACACACAAGACGCTTAATGGCTAGCTTGTCTGTTGTCAACGAGGGCGATGGAGACGCCACTGATCTGCCATAACATGACTGAGTTCTGTCTAGAAGAAACGCTTATGATCGGCGCAGGGGAAGAAGTTTAATTTTCTCAAGCATTCGGAAATTACCGAGACCTTGCTTGAATGATCACTTTTGAAACAACGCCGCTGATTGCACAACTAAATCTGATTGCCTCCAATCACGAAGTCTTGAATGCTCACACCATGAAAGGGCCGATTAGAACAGAGGTTACGTTAGGAAGATATGACAGGAGATGCCGGTACAGTGGCACATGTAAAATCACTTGCCCTGATAATTTTTCTACTATACCGGCCATTTTCTTGTTGATTTTTAAAATAAACGACATTATTAACATTGGAAAATCAACTGGACACCGGCACAGCGTGATATACAAATTTGCTTGCCCGACATTAAAAAACACTGGACTTGGACGTCGGGCAATGGGTTATTTCCACCCCTGTGATCATGACCATTACCCATCATGTATTTCTAATGATGAGTGTTGGTGTATCTTGTTCATATCAACTCATTATTTACGCAAGCTTTATGTAAAATGATGACTGCCCTAAAGATGAAGTGTCTGCCCTTGAAGTGGAAGGTCCGTTGGTTGGCCATGTTATTGATGGTGCTTGTTGTTACCCAGCCTTTAGCATTGAGGGGATGGTACAAGGACTGGTCAGCTCACAGCCAGTAAACTGGCTGGGGATGGTGCTTGTTGTTACCCAGCCTTTAGCATTGAGGGGATGGTACAAGGACTGGTCAGCTCACAGCCAGTAAACTGGCTAGGGATGGTGCTTGTTGTTACCCAGCCTTTAGCATTGAGGGGATGGTACAAGGACTGGTCAGCTCACAGCCAGTAAACTGGCTAGGGATGGTGCTTGTTGTTACCCAGCCTTTAGCATTGAGGGGATGGTACAAGGACTGGTCAGCTCACAGCCAGTAAACTGGCTAGGGATGGTGCTTGTTGTTACCCAGCCTTTAGCATTGAGGGGATGGTACAAGGACTGGTCAGCTCACAGCCAGTAACCTGGCTAGGGATGGTGCTTGTTGTTACCCAGCCTTTAGCATTGAGGGGATGGTACAAGGACTGGTCAGCTCACAGCCAGTAAACTGGCTGGGGATGGTGCTTGTTGTTACCCAGCCTTTAGCATTGAGGGGATGGTAGAAGGACTGGTGAGCTCACAGCCAGTAAACTGGCTAGGGATGGTGCTGAATGGTATCTTAATTGGATAGCATCATAGTTATGCTATTGGTCTAGACTAGTACAGGAAGTCACATGCTTAGTCCTCACTATAATTGGAGCGATGGGGTAGCCCAGTGGTTAAAGCATCCACTTATCACGCTGAAGACCCAGGTTCGATTCCCCACATGGGTACAATGTATGAAGCCCATTTCTGGTGTCCCCCGCCGTGATATTGCTGGAATATTGCTAAAAGCTGCATAAAACCATACTCACTCACTCTCTCACCCTCATGATAATCTATAAAACAACTTTATCCCCACTTTACCTCACCTAGAAAGTGACTGATTTCTTCTTTCTAAGGACAAGTCAGACAAGACTGAGAAATGCAGCCCACCAGCTAAGAAAGCGAAACCCAGTTATGATGAAGCCAGTCCCAACTCCCCGACTGAGATGAAGGCGTACCCGATGAAGGATGGAGATCAGACGAACCAGCCTCTACGCATACAGAAGAGTTCCACTGAGTTGAAAGGGGTGGCAGACCTAGTTGTCAAGTACCTCACTCCTCATTATAAGGATGGCAGGTTCGCGACAAAGGTCAGTGGTAACAGTGTTCATTGGGGCTGCATGAATTTCTACTATGAGCATGATGAGGTGAATAGGGGGTAATGACTAGGAATATTGGTAGTGACTACAATACAACCCAGCAGTTGATGTATTATTCATCATGTTCAGTGAAAAATAACAAAATAATTTTTGGGCATGTTTTGACCTTGTTGACAGTGTTAATTTGTCATGAAAATAAGCAATGACAACATTACTGTCAAATTAGACATATGAGAGTGTTGACTGTCATCCTGCCTGGCAGGTCAGTTGTTTCTCAGGACATGTGCTAATGTAGGACAACAGAGAAATATTTCCTTGGACAAACTCCTTACCAAGACTGTTATTTGTATTTAACAGAACACACTACATGCAGAACATCCTATTTCCAAGGGAGATAACTCTTCCAACTCTAACATTTGGTCATGTCAGAAACTACATCATTCTAAGGAATGATAACAATATATATGGATGAACAACTTCTTCATTATTCTTTATTACAGTGGGAGCAACGGTTTAGTGTAGGTTCTAACACTGATATCAAGCATTCACAATATTGTTTGTATTTCAGGAGCTGTTCAAGACAGTGGCCAGGTGTATTTCTCACAAAGTAGTAGAGACAACAAAGGGACTACCTACAACTGGTGAGATAGTAATGTGTGCTCGTAGTGTCTTCTGACTCATTCAGCCGCCTCCGTGGTGTAGTGGTTAGAGTGTCCGCCCGGAGAGCGGAAGGTCGCTGGTTCGATCCCTGACCGCGTCAAAAGACGTTAAAATATGGTACTTGTTCGTCCCTGCCTGGCGCTCGGCATTAATGGGTACAACAAGGACTGGTCAGCTCGGAGTCAGTATAATGTGTCTGAGTGGGGTATTCATGCTTCACTGCGGCATGGTATCTCAGTGGGCTAGCACTATAAAACCAGCTTAAGTCTGGGCTAGTACAAGCAGCCGCACATACACATACACACGCATGCACGTCGTCAGATGAGCGAAATATTCTCAAGCACGACGTTAAACCAAATTTCACCTAACCTCTCCTCTGACTCATTCAGATCCACCATGTTTGTTTGAAGCAGAGAAGTCCCCAGTATCCCATGCTTGTGCCATGTGTAGTAAGAGCTGACTAAAATTGACAGTGCTGCAAAATATATTTGGTCTGAGGATCTTGGTACGAAGTACATGACTTGTTTCTCATGCTATCAACCACTGGTTCTCCTGGCTTAGGCTTCTGTGATATATAGGATGGTGGGGTAGCCTAGTGGTTAAAGTGTTCGCTTGTCGTGCCTAGGGCCCGGGTTTGATTGCCCACATGGGTACAATGTGTGAAACCCATTTCTGGTGTCCCCTGCTGTGATATTGGTGGGATATTGCTAAAAGCAGCGTTTAAATAAACTCACCCCTGTGATATAGGTGGAATAGTGTCTGGGGTACTGTGAAAAGTCGTTCACTTGTTTCCTTTATGTCCTCAGCTTGGTGAGTGGGTGAGTTTAGTTCTATGCTGCTTTTTAGCAATATTCCAGCAATATCAAAGCGGGTGGCACCAGAAATGGGCGTCAATCATTGTACCCATGTGGGAAATTGAAACCAGGTCTTTGGTATGACGAGTGAACACTTTAACCGCTAGGCTACCCCTCTGCCTCCTTAGTTTAGTAGAAGAGTAGGTTCCAAGTGTTGCTAGCTTGTCAACTACAGCAGGGAAAATCCCATGATTGGCCTTCTAATGATCAATTTGACAGTGCTGCTGTGAAATGTAACTACATTGTCTTTCATTGAGCCTCATAGATGAGTTACTCAAATATGGCTTTAGTTAACTCCATGGATAATTTGAAAGATAACCAGACCATCAACTTTCAGTAGTGGGCGATAATTTAAGTCAGTGTTGTATTTTCATGGACTGTTAGTCAGCAGCTAACTTTAAGGACCCATTCATTCTTCTATTCTAGAATTATGTCTTGAATGGAGTAGCTGAATCATCATCTGTTGATAGTGCTTGACAGGTGACCAGCTCAGCATGTCAACATAGTCTGACATGTCAACAGTGCTTCAAGAGTGCCCTGGAGAAATAGGTCCCCTGTGTCACAGGGAACAATAGGTTTCCAGAGCGCCCTGGAGAAATGGGTCCCCTGTGTCACAGGGAACAATAGGTTTCCAGAGTGCCCTGAAGAAAAAGGTCCCCTCTGTCACAGAGAACAATAGGTTCCCAGAGCGCCCTGGAGAAATAGGTCCCCTCTGTCACAGAGAACAATAGGTTCCCAGAGCGCCCTGGAGAAATAGGTCCCCTCTGTCACAGGGAACAATAGGTTCCCAGAGCGCCCTGGAGAAATAGGTCCCCTGTGTCACAGAGAACAATAGGTTCCCAGAGTGCCCTGAAGAAAAGGGTCCCCTCTGTCACAGAGAACAATAGGTTCCCAGAGCGCCCTGGAGAAATAGGTCCCCTCTGTCACAGAGAACAATAGGTTCCCAGAGCTGCCCTGAGAAATAGTCCCCCTCTGTCACAGAGAACAATAGGTTCCCAGAGCGCCCTGGAGAAATAGGTCCCCTCTGTCACAGGGAACAATAGGTTCCCAGAGCCTTTGGAGAAAATGGTCCCCTGTGTCACAGGGAACAATAGGTTCCCAGAGCGTCCTGGAGAAATAGGTCCCCTCTGTCACAGGGAACAATAGGTTCCCAGAGCGTCCTGGAGAAATAGGTCCCCTCTGTCACAGGGAACAATAGGTTCCCAGAGCGTCCTGGAGAAATAGGTCCCCTGTGTCACAGAGAACAATAGGTTCCCAGAGCGCCCTGGAGAAAATGGTCCCCTCTGTCACAGAGAACAATAGGTTCCCAGAGCGCCTTGGAGAAATAAGTCCTATCATGCTGTGATAGTGTGGATTGATGCTGATGCCCTGAAGGTGTGGATTGATGCTCATGCTCTGATGGTGTGGATTGTTACTCATGCTCTGATGGTGTGGATTGATGCTCATGCTCTGATGGTGTGATTGTTACTCATGCCCTGAAGGTGTGGATTAATGCTCATGCCCTGATAGTGTGGATTGTTACTCATGCCCCGATGGTGAGGATTGATACTCATGCCTTGATGGTGTGTATTGCAGCTCATGCCCTGATGGCGTGGATTGATGCTCATGCTTGATGGTGTGGATTGCAGCTCATGCCCTGATGGTGTGGATATTGTTACTCATGCCCTGATGGTGTGGATTGATGCTCATGCCCTGAAGGTGTGGATCGATGCTCATGCCCTGAAGGTGTGGATTGATGCTCATGCCCTGATGGTGTGGATTGTTACTCATGCCCTGAAGGTGTGGATTGTTACTCATGCCCTGATGGTGTGGATTAATGCTCATGCCCTGATGGTGTGGATTGTTACTCATGCCCTGATGGTGAGGATTGATACTCATGCCTTGATGGTGTGTATTGCAGCTCATGCCCTGATGGCGTGGATTGATGCTCATGCTTGATGGTGTGGATTGCTGCTCATGCCCTGATGGTGTGGATTGATGCTCATGCCCTGATGGTGTGGATTGATGCTCATGCCCTGATGGTGTGGATTGATGCTCATGCCCTGATGGTGTGGATTGATGCTCATGCCCTGATGGTGTGGATTGATGCTCATGCCCTGATGGTGTGGATTGATACTCATGCCCTGATGGTGTGGATTGATGCTCATGCCCTGATGGTGTGGATTGATGCTCATGCCCTGAAGGTGTGGATTGATGCTCATGCCTGATGATGTGGATTGTTACTCATACCCTGACGGCAACCCTTTTTTAAGAATTCTTAATCCATTTAATGTGTACTGGACACATGTACTACATATGATAAAGATGCCTAGATGAGTTGTAATGTAACCTCTTAAATATGAGAATGTCCAGTTTCCACGTCAGGATCATATTTTCCCATGACCTACATCGTATCTTGAGAAGTGTACCTCCCACTAATTGGGCAACAGTTCCGTCTCTGGAAGAATGCCGGTCCAAATCTGCAATGTGCATTATACAAGTGTGTTTTCATCAGCTGGAGTCTCTGTCAGAACACTTCCCCCATTTCCAGTTTCCAGAATCTCAAATGTCATGATGACCACACCTATTAGCAAGTTCTATGAAGCAAACAATTCCTCCTTGTGAAATACTTCTCAAACCCACTACACCATCTGTTTATGATCGAAATTTTCCAAATGTTCGTGTTTATCCAAGAGTGTTGGCTTAATCACAATTTCCCTTCAAAGTTTGTGTTTCCTGGTTTGGAAGCCTTTTATCCCTTTATGATTAGGAGGATGCTTATGTAATTATGATGAAGTATTGAGGTGTGTGTGATCTCTGCAACTACACCCACACAAATGCACTGTGTACACTCTCTCAACCTTAGAAATAAGGCCATTGTGTTGCCTCCAAAATACACTTTGTTGCCTCAAAAATACACTTTATATTTTTTTGTTTAGAATCATAAGGCATGATTAACATTGGTAATTGAAACTATAAGCAGTCATGTTTGTTTAAGTTTTGAATTTTGGGGTTTAAAGTAATTAATCTAATCTGTGTAAGGTCAAGAAGTTCAATAAGTAATTTTCCTGGAACATAAATGTTCATAGCTTTAATAAATATGCATTACCTTCCCATTAATTTGATTAAGAGAATTTAAGTTCCTAAATATTTCGTGGCGGTGGGGTAGCATGTCTGTTTCTGCGCTGCAGTATCCCCCAGATGGCTGGGTGGGGGGTGGGTTGGGGTGAGACTTCGATATGTCCAAGGAGACATTGCTACACTGAAATTGTGTCACAATGCAGACCACTGTGATGTCATCTCCTACCATAATGCAACAATCAACTGACACCACTAATCTCTCTTACACCTAAGCTGGTTTGGTATACTTTATGCACTCAACATGCAAGACACCATTCATGCTTGTTATTGTCTTTGACAAACTGAAAAGTTGGACACAAATAGAATCTCCCCTTTTGTCGTTAAATATCTTTTGATATAATCAATGAAATTTAAACACTCCTTGCCCAGCATCAGAGTTCTTAACTTTTAAACATTCATGGTGATATATTGCATCAAATGTAAAGGGTCGGTGGGGTAGCCTAGTGGTTAAGGCGTTCGCTCGTCATGCTAAAGACCCAGGTTTGATTCCCCACATGGGCACAATGTGTGAAGCCCATTTCTCGTGTCCCCACCACGATATTGCTGGAATTTTGCGAAAAGCTGTGTAAAACTAAACCTCAATCACTCACTCAAATGTCAACTTGGTAATCTTGTGTATCTTACTTCATTGTTGCTGATGTTAGTGTTAAGTGAAGACAAGGGTATTTGTGTTACTCTGTTTTATCTGTGTGATAATGTCAGCAAATATTAAAATCATGTTATTTTCAGGCACTGTTTAGCTGTTTAGTCACTGGGGCTGGTGGGGTAGCCTACTGGTTAAAGTGTTCGCTCATCACGCCGAAAACCTGGGTTCGATTCCCCACATGGGTACAATGTGAGAAGCCTATTTCTGGTGTCCCCTGCCTTGATATTGCAGGAATATTACTAAAAGCAGCGTAAAATTATACTCAGTCAGTCAGTTTATTCACTCTTGTTTCCTTATCTGCAGGTAAAGAAGAAACAAAGCGTCTCGTCCGAGAGTTCATGGAAGAGCATCGGAAGGTGACCTCCATGAAGGACTTGACCGGATGGCTGTGACAGGAGGCGTCGTTGGTCACCCTGTTCTTTATGCAGATTGTTAATAGCATTTCAGTAATTGCATTTACAGATGTGTAATGTCCATTACATGCTTTGTTATCTTGCTGTTGTCTGTTTATGAAGTACAGCAGACTGTTATCTGTAGACATGAGGTCTTTGTGTCAGCTTTGATATGTCTTCTGTGCTTATGTCCGAATACGTTCACAACAACTTTGCTTACTGATTTCATAATTGTTGGGGTTATCGTGTGAGGCTTTTACAAGCATGTTTTCTAAATCCTTTTCGTTTATTCATAAACTGAATATCTGGGCCTTTTACCATTAATGCACTGGAACACACTATTCTGGTGTCCCCGTCGAGATATTGTTGGAATATTGCTAAAAGCGGGATAGCCATACTCACTCACTTATACACAGTAGAACTGCTCCCCACCAAAACAACCTGGTTTATCAGGATTGTTCATTGATTTGTTTTTCAGTCAAGGAAAAGAGAACCAAAATGTTGAGGGATTTGTTTCAAGGCATTATAACGGACTTCAGGTATCTGACAATGCAGTCACCATCTTCTTTTGTACATATATGGATTATGGGTGCGTTGCAAGCCGTGGATCACTAATAGTATACAAATTAATCGTTTATCTGGGCCTGCAACAGCTTGAAGCACTTGCCCACTCTTCCAAAATGGTGGCACGATAACAGTTTACTCACCTTATTTTGTGGAACTTAACAAGAGTTTCGATGACAAACTGATTAATTTATTACTCTTGATGACTAATAAAGAAAAAATAAAGAAGTTGTTGTCCGTAAGATTTGTCTTGTATTACTACACCGACTTCTACATACCTTTGAAGAATATTGATGACTACATGGAAGATGTCAAACGAACTAAGGATGCGAGGGTGTAAGCTACCTTTTCCCATCCTCCAGCTGTCCGGTCCCCATTTCTCGTTCTGCTGTCAAACTCAAATTTCTCTCATGCACCATTTTGGTTTGAGAATGAAGCAACCTCAGACAACAATTGATGCGATTGTAACCGGCTGAAAATTAGTGCTCTGTAGTAAGGTGAATCAGTGTAAATCAGTTTTAAGCAATTGGCTGTTTGCAACGCACCCTAAATCTGCACATTTCTTAAGCAATAAATATATAGGTATAATTCTATTTGAAAATCAGGTCACGTCATTATGGTTAGGAACCAAAGGGGATGGACTTAAAGGATTGGCCTTAATATGTCCTTGCTTGTCGTAGGAGGCCCTCAATTGGATGCTTGGTTAGGAGTCTTCAGCAGCCTGTGCTGGTTTTAGCTAAGGGTGAAACGGTACGCTCTTACCACGGAATGGTACGTATTGTGGTACTAACAGGAAAATATCAACTGTCTAGCAAAGAAATGCATACATTTTGACGAAAATGATTCAATTTCTAGACATTTTAGAAAAGGTTTTAAAAGGTTAATACAATGATGGTACGAAAATCGAAAATACCGAAATTTTGGATTGCTTTACGGTATACCAAACCAAAGGCAAAATACCGAAGTTCTACTAATAACGCGGTATACCATTTCACCCCTAGTTTTAGCATGAAATGTTTGTGTGGTCTGGTTTGTTGACTTGGTTGATGGTTTGTGTTTGTTGAATTGTTGCTGACAATATCAATCACTTGATTTTTGGGTCCATACTTGATCATTTACAGACAGCCATCATCAGTGTATGAAATAAGGCCCGTCCGACCTAAATTTACAGCTAGACAGCCTGATGGTCTGGTAAAAAATTTAGATGTTCCATACATCTGTGTAAATTCACCATGTCTTGGAGTCTGGTCTGGTTGAATCCATTTTGTTCTGGTAGCATTTTGAAGTTACCAGCCCAGAGCCTCGTTTCACAAAGCTCTCGTAAGCTTAAGATCTCGTAACTTTTCTCTTAGCATTCGTACCTCCTATGTTATAGTATAAGAGGTACGAATGCTACGAGAAAAGTTACGTTTCACAAAGCTCTCGTAAGCCTAAGATCTAAGTAACTTTTTTCAGTAGCATTCATACCTCCTATGTTACAGTATAGGAGGTATGAATGCTAATCTGAAAAAGATACGTTCATTAAAGCTCTCATAAGCCTAAGATCTGTAGCTTTTCTGTAGCATTCATACCTCCTATGTTAGAGTATAGGAGGCAATGTGAAGGCTGAAAAAAGCCTAAGATCTCAGGTAGCTTCTCCTATGCTTACGAGAGCTTAGTGAAAAGGGGCCCTGATGTCAGGCTGGGGTTTTGGATTCATACACTGCCATCATACAGCTGGAATATTGCCGAGTGTGGCGAGAAACCATAAACAATACTGTTAGTAGTGACTACAGGGGCAGACAGACTTGATGACTTGGTTAATGTCGTGTCATTGTAATCCAGTGAAGGGTGCTCATGATGTCAGTCACTGGTTTATGTGGTAGCTACTTGATTGTTAACTGGCATTCCCATACAGCTTAAATTGTGCCATTTAAATTGTAAACAATAAATGGAAATCCTGTTAGGCGTATGTTGACCAAAAATAAAGGCATTTTGTAAGCAAATGCAATTATTAAGGAATTGGATTTATTAATCCAAATTATGCTTTGTAAACAATATCATAGAACAAGGTAAAGACACCTGTGTTTCTTTATGACGAATCTGAGTTCTGTCAGACCAAATGTACAAGGTATACTATCATGGTAAAGCAGTAACACTGTATATATATTATCAATTGTAATTGAATTACAATGTACAATTAGTTTTGATAAAGTCATAATGTGTATGTATGTTTATTACTGCTGTATTGTATGCTTACCATATTAACATAGAATGAATCATTGTAACAGTTTTAATCATGCAGTTTGTTATGATATTTAACCTTTGCATTTGATGAAGAAATACTCAGCATGTATGGATTTGTGTTAATGCAACTAGCTGTGCTGGAGGATATCACTGATCTGCTAGCAATAACACATTCAACACAGTGATGTTCCTTACTATATGCGGCCATGGGTGGCCCAGTTGGGCAGAGTTGCCTCCCTTGGACCTGCCAGAAACCTATGATCATGGGTTTTAATCCCAGTTGACTCTGATTATGTTTTGGGGTTTGTCAGCTTGTGGGTTTCACCAAAGTGGTAGAATCTGAGGCCTGCATCACTTTAGGCTTTCCTCCATGTTGTGACATGATTGGAACACTGTTCTGAGCAGCATTAAAACCCAACTCACTTACTTGTGATCTCATTACAGGGGGCAGTGGGGTAGGCCAGTGGTTAAAGTGTTTGCTCATCACACTGAAGATTGTGGTTCGATTCCCTCTGTGTGAAGCCCATTTCTGGTGTCCCCTGCCATGATATTGCTGGAATATTGCTAAAAGCGGCATAAAACCTCACTCACTCACTCACTCATTTGTTATCTCATTAACGTATCCATGAAATGGGTAAATTTCTGTGACTGACTTTGCTCTTTCTTAAAATTTTGCATTTAACATGTACTATTGATAATGAAACAAATGCATTTCTGAAGAGGGATTGATATGTATTGTGTTATCCTGAAATGAGCGTGCAACATAAATACATATTCTGATTCTCCTGTACCTTACATCTGTGAGATTCTTAGTTTTCATGTTATACCAATATTCAATACAATATGGTAAGGAATGTTTACCTGCTGCATTTGACTATGCTGAAAGAATATCCTTGTTTGTTTATGACTGGCTGAGGGAAAATGTCTTGAATGGTGTAAAAATTTAATTAGCTCTTTTTTATATTACCTGCTTGGGACATAGGTTTAAAAAAATCATTTTTGTGACAAAGGATTTTGGATTTGATGCGTTAATGTAGACATGTGCTCAGTGGTCTACAATCAATCTACGAGGTCTAAGGATGTTAAGAATCAGATATTTATTACCTCGCCAGACTGCAAGTCAAGTGAGCTTATGTCATAGCCTATTGGTCTGTTAACTGTCACAGCAGTGAGGGCGGTGGGGTAGCCTGGTGGTTAAAGCTTTGGCTCGTCACGCCGAAGAGCCGGGTTTAGAATCCCCACATGGGTACAACGTGTGAAGCCCATTTCTGGTGTCCCCCGCCGTGATGTTGCTGGAATATTGCTAAAAGGGGCCTAAAGCCAAACTCAGTCAGTCAGTCAGTCACAACAGTGATCTTCAAACAGTTATGGCTACTCTACTAAGCCATTTTTCTTCAAAATCTAATGAGTTTGACTCTTGTCTGGTTTGTATTGGGGTTCATCATAGTTGTTGTGCATTTTTCATTTTCAGTTTTGACCTTGATTTGACCATTGCACATTGACAATTGCACTTTGACTTGAAAGTTCTCTGAAAATGCATTTCTTCAAAAAACACTTGACTAATAAATCTGAAACATTTCAAACCCCAATTTGTAATCAGGTTTTTATTATGGCTACCATGGAAGCATGGTCAGTATTCAGTCACCTTGGTTCAGAATGTAACTTAATTTATGATTTGTTACCTGTATATGGAGATCTAACACTGTTCTGCTATTTGCAATATTTATGATTATACCTTTGATTTGATCATGCCATTTAATTCTCTCAAAATGCATGTTTGACTTTGCGAACTTCTCTAAAATTGCTCAACTATGGGAGCTGTACTTTGGTTTGTATCTATATTTTGTTCAAATCGTTAGATTTGAGCTTAAATTATTTGAATATTAACACTAGCATCAGTAAACATTTTAAACTGTTGGCTTCATATCCAGTGAGCTACAGTACCTTTTCACTGTTTTATGCATGATTTACTGAAAGCAGTGGTTGTTCTTGCAGGAGTTGAACAGTTCCCTGCTATGGAGGACATCTCACGATATGGGACTTTAGTTCAGTCCGTGGTACCTGTTTTAGTTTGATTATTAAGTAGTTGATAAGTTTTCAGTGATTTTCATGGCAGTGGTTTAAGAGTTTACTTGTCTTGTCTAAGATGTGGGTTCATCTCTTCTCATGGTTCCCAGTGTGAATCCCAACCCATATAGCTGAAATGAAATAGTGGAAAACAATACTCAAAGATTTCCGTATGTTCACAGTGATCCTGTCATTTGAAAGTGTGTCATTTGAGTTGGCAGTCAGAGAGTTTAATATGGTCAAACTCAGAGTGGATAAACAACATCAAGATCAATGTTTTGATATAGAGAAAACAAATGCCTGGTATTGGTTCTAGTTTGTACCTGTAACAATTTATGATCTGAAAAGCATGTTGATAGTAATTAGGCTGCGGTATCTAACAAAGGTTTCTGTTCATGAACCAGACCCTATTATTCTTTTTGTATGTTTTGTTGTCCTCATATTTTACAAAATGTTTTTGATACCTTACAGACATTTTTCAAGCCAAAGAATATGATTTTAAAGTCCTATGTGCAATATGTCTTTCCTTCTCGAGTTGAGTTGCTTTTAGGTGCTTAAATTCTAGATCTAATTATTGATATAAATATGTTTCAGTTTGCACTGTTGAAGAGATTCATTACCCAATATTAGTTAATTTCGCAACACCTCCTGGAGTCGACAGATGTATAAACACACAGCTCTGTATATTTCTGGCATGAGACACCAGAGCTCTAATACCAGGATAGGCTGGATGGTGTTTGAATCCAGGTTTGGCCTTTATAATAACCAATGATCCATCAGCCTCATGAATTTCAGCAAAGTGGTAAATGTCTGTCTTTGACCTGCATTACTTTAGGCTTCATTATGTAATTGGGGCAGTGGGTTAGCCTAGTGGTTCAAGCATTTGCTTGTCACATTGACAGCCTATGTTTGATTCTCCACATTGATAGGATTTATGAGGGGTGATCTTAAGAATATTGCAGGTATATTGCTAAGCAGGTCCTAAAACCATGCTCATCATGCAAATCTTGAAACAGTTAAAATTTACCTTAAATCCTATTGAGGACAATTTTATGGATATATAACTTCTTTCACAGAATACAGAAGTTGTATATCCATAAAATTGTCCTCATTCTCCATTTTAACAAATTGTAACATCTATCTATAGAATTGACATCATTATGTAAAGAATGAGGACACTTTTATGGATATATAACTTCTTTCACAGAATAAAGAAGTTGTATATCTATAAAATTGTCCTCATTCTTTACATAATGATGTCAATTCTTGTAGATAGATATGTTAAAATTTGTAACTTCACAGTTTGTTTATATAATCACTAACACAAGAAACAGTATACAAAATTGTTGACATCTTACAGCACAAAAATTCAAGTTGCATGTGTCCAGTCCAATGTTTTATTTGTGTGTATGGGTACATAAGTGCAAAATATGATAAATTGCTTGGTTAGCCAATGGAATCACTGCAGTTTGTATACTCACATTTAACTACAATCTTAAGCATAATGGCTTGTCATTGGAAGCGTTCTTGTCATTTGACAGTTGGTGCTTGAGTATACTAATCAAGACAATCCGAACCATTTGTGGTCACCTGTATATATTTGACCTTAACTGATGAAAAGGTTAGTGACTTTCCTGCAGCATTAACCTTCCAATTGTGTGTGGGTCTGTAAGGATTGTTTTATTAACTGTTATCTAGAATAGCATCATGTACGACTGCAAATAAGAACAAATGTTTCTCAGGCACATTTGACTCTTAAGTGAGAGAGTAATGTTTCTTATGGAAAACAAGTAATATGACATGATAATATTAATTTTTTTCCCTGCAGAATTCCAAAGA